CGCACGTATGAACTGGGCCAGAAATAGGACCGGGCTGGCATGACCTGGCCCTCTGCAGCAGCGGAGGCGGCCCCTCCCTCCTGTTCCCGCACCTGGATTGCGGCAGAAGCCCCGGGAGGGAAGGAATTGTCAATGCCAGCAGCCCAGCAGCAGCAGGCGCCCACCCCTCTCTCTTGCGCACTCAGGGGTAGTCCTTGCTGCTTGCTCCAGCCACGTGTCACAAATAGCATCTGAAAGGGAGCGGAGGGGATCGTCTGCGGAGTGGAGAGGTGGGTGGATCGAGGCGGATTTGGGTACAGAAAGGAAGGAGTCATGAAAACGAGAGAGCAGAGCGTCAGAGGAAGCTGCTATGAGTTCTGCAAAGAACATTCAAGGTCCCTTTTCTAGACAGGGAGTGAATTTGACCACTCTCGGCTGCTTTATGCTGAGTCAGACTCACTCGCCCACCTAGTTCAGTATTGTCTACACTGACTGGCAGCAGCTCTCAAGGGTTTCAGGCAGGGGTGATTCCCTGGAGATGCAAGGGAATTGAACTTGGGACCTTGTAAATGCAGAGCAGATGTTCTACCACTGAGCTATGGGCTCCTTCTTGAGATAACCCCACAAGGTTCAACACAAGTCCTGGAAGAAGCTAGCTAGGAACAGCATGCTGAACCAAAGGAGCCATTGACCTGATCTAGCAGGGCCACCCCAGCTCTGAGATTGTAATAATAATACAGTGGTACCTCGGGTTAAGTACTTAATTCATTCCGGAGGTCCATTCTTAACCTGAAACTGTTCTTAACCTGAAGCACCACTTTAGCTAATGGGGCCTCCTGCTGCTGCTGCGCCACCGCTGCACAATTTCTGTTCTCATCCTGAAGCAAAGTTCTTAACCCAAGGTAATTATAATGAGTATGGGTTGCTCGTGCGTAAGTTGCTGCCTCTCCAAGCTTTGTTGCCTTGGTAAACCTTTCAGTCTGGGCAGCCCTTCACTTCGTGGCTGCCTCAGTCGCTAGCAGAATACGTCAGTGGGCGTTTCTTAAATCTTTTCCAACATAAAAGTTGTTTGACACCCAGTCTCCTCCAACTCTCTCTGCACAGAAGTCTTCTGCGCAGGGTGGGCGTGGGTAGCGGGGGACCAGTGCTCTCCCCGCTGGTGTCTGGTGAAGAGTCCTGGAGCCCTCTCGCCGATTCCCCCATCAGCCCCTCCTTATCCCTGGTGTAGCGCTGATTTGCTTCCCCATCTGCAGAGCTGCCTCTCTCCCTGCTGGGCCCTTCTCCAGCATCATTTGAGAGCCTTCCCTCCGCCTCTAGCTCCGATGTCAGTTCCCTGACAGTAATATTTCTGGGTTAGCGTATCTGTAACCTGAAGCGCATGTAACCTGAAGCATATGTAACCCGAGGTACCACCGTACTTGTAATGCCACTTCGTTGGAACACTCAGTTCCAACCTGAGCAGTCTCCAGCGGTGGCTGGTGCCCCTTGAGACATGGAATAGGATGGAAGGGAGGGAGCCCAACAGTAGGTGGCGCCAGATTCAAGGACAGGCAGAGCCAACTACTTCTAGCTTTCCCACCATCCCTACTGAGTTACAGAAACAGAGATTAAGGAGAAGGAAACTAACAGGCAACACTACCCCCTGGACTGGTTAGAAGCCAGGTAAGCAGGATGGAGGGGACTTGCTGAGATTGGCACCCCATTCATCAAAACGGGGCAACCTCCCCTGCCTGCCATTTCCAGTGACCTACTGAATCCACCCTCTCCGCTTCATTTATTTATTTAGGGATGGGAAAGACACTCCCTGTCTGAAGCCCTGGAAAGCCTCTGCCAGTCAGTGCAGACAGTTCTGAGCTAGATGGAGCAATGGTCTGATTTGATATTAGGTAGCTTCCTATTTATTGCAGCTCTTCTTCGTTTTAGAACCATAAGAACACTTATCTTAACTTCTTGTTAGGGGAAGGGCTGTAACTCAGTGGCAGAGCACCTGCTTTGCATGCAGAAGGTCCCAGGTCCAAACCCCAGCATCTTCAGGTAAGGCTAGGAGAGACCCTTGTTTGAAATTTTGTAGTGTGGATAATACTGAGCCAGATGGTCTGACTGGATATTTATTTTTTTATTGCACTCATATTGGGGTTTATAGGGTGTTAGGGGAGGGGTAGTACCTCTGGTGAGGGGAAATGTCCTCCTCCCTCTGGGGTAGTTTGTCCAGTTTTGGTCCTCACCTTGCACTCAGCTCTTGCCTGTGGCTCCTAGAAGCTGTCAGCATGTGGCAGCAACCACAGGCCGGGAAGCGGCTTTGACTGGCTGGCTAAACCAGGTGAGGGTAGCCAATCGGTCTCAAACTCTCAGTGGGTTAGGGACTCCCCCCGTGGGTTAGGGACTTCTCCCGCATGCAAAGAGAGTCTTGGCAGATTGAGTGGACAAGACCAATAGTAGGTCCATCAGTCAGGAAGGCAGTCAAGGGGCAGATGGGGCTCCTAAGCCTGGGAAGGTAGCCTATCCTGGAGAAGGAAAAGTCTGGTCCTCTGGTGGTTCAAATCCCCATGATGGGGTGAGCTCCCATTGCTTGGTCCCAGCTCCTGCCAACCTAGCAGTTCGAAAGCACATCAAAGTGCAAGTAGATAAATAGGTACTGCTCTGGCGGGAAGGTAAACGGCGTTTCCATGCACTGCTCTGGTTTGACAGAAGTGGCTTAGTCATGCTGGCCACATGACCCGGAAGCTGTACGCCGGCTCCCTCGGCCAATAAAGCGAGATGAGCACCGCAACCCCAGAGTTATCCACAACTGGACCTAATGGTTAGGGGTCCCTTTACCTTTACCTAAACCAGGCCTAGGCAATCTCGGCCCTCCACATGTTTTTGGGACTACAACTCCCATCATCCCTGGCCACTGGTCCGGTTAGCTAGGGATGATGGGAGTTGTAGTTCCAACATCTGGAGGGCCGAGTTTGCCTATGCCTGGAGTAAACTCTACAGAAATCCAGAGTGGAGTTCCTAAGACGGTTCTTCTATGCCTCCTGCCAACTCCTGCAATCAACCTGGTGCCAAACGTATTGCTCTGCTTTCCTTTGGACCACATCAGCCAGGCCGAGAGGGGAGTTTTGTTGTCTGAGCAGCCCAAGGACCTCCATACACACTGCCCAGGTTTGCACCCCAGGGAGGTCACTTTGATGCTGCTATCACAGCACCTTGACTCCCACTCCATTGTCTCTTGAGGGATGCCAACAATCCCACATTTTTCTTCTAGGAGCTGAAGGCTATATTCACGGTTCTCCCCCTCCTCACTGAATCCCCCCAACAACCCTGTGAGGTAGGTTAGGCTGAGAGACAGTGGCTGGCCACCAAGGTCAACCAGTGAGCTTCATGGCCAAGTGGGGATTTGAACCCCAATCTCCCAGGTCCTAGTCCAACACTCTTCTCCTGCCTTCACTTTAAAGAAGAACCACAGTCTCAGGTGTGGGAGGCAAATGCAGCCCTCCAAGCCTCTAGTACAGTGGACGCTCAGGTTGCGAACGTGATCCGTGCGGGAAGCACATTCGCAACCCGCAGTGTCCGCAACCCGCAGCGCTGCACCTGCACACACACAGGTTGCTATTCGGTGCTTCTGCGCATGCGCAAAGTGCGATTTAGTGCTTCAGCGCATGCGCAAGCGTCCAAACCCAGAAGTAACCCATTCCGGTACTTCTGGGTTCGGCGCGGTACACAACCCGAAATCGCACAACCCAAAGCATCTGTAACCCGAGGTATGACTGTATCTGGCCCTCGGGACTTTCCTCAGGCCACGCCCCTCGCTGACTCTGCTGCACCCCCCTTCCCTTGTGCTTTCGCCCCTCTGGGATGTGCCACTTCTGGCTTGGATGGAGAGAGACTCTGTTTGGTACAAACTTCTGAAATGTGCCTGGTTTAATTGTAGCCTACAAAACCGTCGCATCTGTTACTCCGCCCATTTTTGCTTCTTGTCACGCCCCCATTGAAATGCAGCCCCTGAAGGTTGCTCATGAAGGAATTCGTGGGCGTGAGCCCCGAGACCCTTTAAGTAAAATTAACCACCACATACTTCCAGCGGAAGGAGCCCCAGAACCTCTTAACAATGAAATGCGGATGTAATTAATGGGTTCATTTGTTCTTATTACAGGTTATAAAATACAATGAATGCTGTAAAGGAAAAATTAGTATGATATAGTAGCTCGAATATTATATTAAACAGAAGATGGTTAATCCTATTTGTAATATATTGTACTTTAAAGAAATGTAATCTGAATCCTGAAATATTGTTTAGTGGGCTAATTTATATTTATACTTTCAGCAATATTACTTTTGTAACACAGTTTGGTATGGGTAATTTTTTTTAAGTGTCAGAATCTGGAGAAAGAAAAAGAAATCAATAAAACCATCACACACCTTGAGTTGGGGGAGGGGGAGACATGAGCCCCAGGACCTTTTCAATTACACTGAACCATCATATGCTGTACCTCAAACTGGGGACTCCCGAACCCCAGTCCCAGATCCTTTCAAACAATTAAACCATCACATATTTCAGGCCAGGAGGTGGAGGAAAGACGTGAGCTCCGGGACCTCTTAAACAATACCGCCCCACCTCCCAAAATAATATATCTCACGTTAGGGGCAAGACACATAATTTGAGCCCGGAACATCTTTTCAAACGAGGAACCCTTTTCCGTAAGTGTCTCAGGTTAGGAAGGCGGGGTACTACTTTGAGCCCCGGTACCTACTGAAAAGCTCTGCAGAGTTTGCCTTTGGCAGGAGGGGTGGGATGCGGGCACAGGTATATGTGTGAGAGAGGGGGGAGGGGGGAAGAAGCCGTTTCATCTCCTCCTCTACCACCCCGTCTCTTTCTCTCTCCCTCCCTCCCTCCTTTCCTTCTCGCAGAAGGGGCGGCCCCGGGATGCTCGGCGGCCGCCGGCGTGCGGTATATAAGAACCGCGGCGCTCCCTTCTGCCGCAGTGGCCTCTCTAGCGTGTCGCTCCGACGGCAGCGGCGCCCTCCCCGCCACCACCATGATGAGCTACGGCATGGACACGCTTTATAGCGGCCCCTCGTACCGCAAGGAGCCCGGCTTCGGCGGCGGGCGCTACTCGACGGCAGCCGCGCGCTCCGCAGGCGGCAGCGGCTCGTTGGCGTCGAGCGGCTTCCACTCGCAGTCGTGGTCGCGGGGCTCGGCGGTCTCCGTCTCCAGCTACCGGCGCCTGGGGGCGTCGTCGGCGTCCGGGGCCGCGGGGGTCCTGAGCCAGCTGGGCTCGTCGACTGAGAGCCTGGAGTCGTCGCTGAACGGCGACCTGCGCGGGCGCAACGAGAAGGAGGTGCTGCAGGCGCTCAACGACCGCTTCGCCGGCTACATCGACAAGGTGCGGGCGCTGGAGGAGCAGAACCGGCAGCTGGAGGCCGAGGCGGCGGCGCTGCGGCAGCAGCAGGCCGGGCGCTCAGCCATCGGGGAGCTGTACGAGCGCGAGATCCGCGACATGCGCGGCACGCTGGTGGTGCTGAGCGCCGAGAAGGGGCAGCTGCAGCTGGAGCAGGAGCACCTGGAAGAGGATTTGGCGCATCTCAAGCAGCGCCTGGACGACGAGAGCCGGCAGCGCGAGGAGGTGGAGGCGGCCATCCGGGCGCTGGGCAAGTTCGCCGACGACTCTCAGCTAGCCAAGGGCGAACTGGAGAAGAAGCTGCAGGCGCTGCGCGAGGAGAGCCTTTTCCTGCGCCGCAGCCACGACGACGAGGTGGCCGAGCTGCTGCTCCAGATCCAAGGCAGCAGCGCCCTCCAGGTGGCCGTCGAGGCTCGCGACGCCGCAGCCCGCTCCGACGTCACCTCTGCACTCAAGGAGATCCGCGCCCAGCTGGAGGGACACACCGTCAAGAGCTCCATCCAGTCCGAGGAGTGGTTCCGAGGTGAGACTATAGACGGGGCGGGCCATCCCGGAAAGGAGGAGGGGGCGTCAGGGAGCCCCCCGACGGTGGGATAAGAGAGCTGCGCGCGCGGGGGTGGGGCAGCTTTGTCCAAAGGAGGGAGGGGGAGGTCACCCCACCCGCAACACTTCCAAGGACATGGAGAGGGTCGTCGGGGAACCACTGGAGGGTCCCCAGTAGCTGGGCTGGGCGGGGGCAGCAGCTTTGTCCAAAGGAAGGAGGAGGCGGCCACTCGGGAACCGCCCCAGGAATAGGAAGGAAGGAAGGAAGGGGACGCCGGGGAGCCACCCGAGAGCCGGCAGGGAAGTAGGGCTGCGGGTGGAGGCACCTTAGTCTAAAGGGTCGGTCGGAGGACCATTCTGCAGTTAGGAAGGAAGGCGTGCCGGAGAACAACCTCAGCGGCAGCAGAGGGAGAAAGTGCTGTCTCCTAGCAGCCGCTTCATCAAAGGAGCGGCGAGGAACGGAGGGGGTGTCCCCCGCGCTTCATAATCCAAGAGTGGACCCAGCCCCCCGCAACTATTTGGAAGTTTCAAAGCTGGGAGCGCGCCTTCGTTGGGAAGGGTCAGCGGATGGGGGCTGGTGGGTTTCATTTTTCTGGCTATTATTTTAATAATGTACCGCCTCCTTATAGTCAAGCATAATAATATATCATCATAATTGCAAATTAAACAATTGGTCGTTGTTAGGTGCGAAAAGGAGCGCTTGCAAAATTATCTGTTGATTTTTCTTCTTTTTGGATAAAGAGCCCTTTCATCTTGGATATATTCAAGGGCAGGCTGCGAAAACTCGCTGTGAATCTTCACACACAAACATACCAAGCGAAACCTCTATTTCTCTCTCTCCCCCCCCCCCCATATTCGCCTCGCTCCCCATCCCTGAAATCGCGCTCCTACCCCAAGGCAAGAGGGGAACAAGTCGCCTGGAGCGGAGGAATTTCCAAATGTATTTTTTTCGGGGGGGGGGGTTGTCCTCTGCGTGCCGGGGTGGCATCCCTTGACAAGCCATTACTCTGCAAAAATGGAGACCTTGTCATGGAAGTCTCCACGCAAAGGAAAGCGTTGCAATGGGGGCGTGTCCCTATCTCAGTGCTCCCCCCCCCCGCGTCTAAACAGCTTCAACTGGGAAACCTATAATAGCAACACTTACAGCTAAAGCGAAACTCCCCCCCCCCTCCCCGAGTGAAGCAGACTAACCGCGTGGAATTGCTTGTATAATATATGCCAATGCAGTGGACAGGATACTTCTGCGGGGGCGGGGATACTGGTCATTGCCCACCCCAGCTGCTGAGTTGGGGGAAGATGTCCTGTCATGGAGGTCAGGCACGCTAGCCTAGATAGAAAAAGATTAGGAAATGCGTTGGGAAGGGAAGAAATGTTGGGGGGAGGGGTGGATTGCCTATTAAAGGAGTTGGGAGGTGGATGAAAGACTCTCTTTCCAGAGTCTATAGCGAGGGAAGGAAGACTCCAAAAGGGGCGGGGGGCGGGGAGAGAATGCATTCAGGGGCTCAGGGGGTAGTGGTGAACTTTGGGGATACCTGGACTGTGAGCGCGTTGCTCCATTGCACCAATACGAGGAGGGAGGGAGACTGATTCAGCACTGTGGACAGCGGTGGAAGGAAAGTACAGTGGTACCTCGGGTTACATACGCTTCAGGTTACAGACTCCGCTAACCCAGAAATAGTACCTCGGGTTAAGAACTTTGCTTCAGGATGAGAACAAAAATCGTGCTCCGGCGGCGCGGCAGCAGCAGGAGGCCCCATTAGCTAAAGTGGCGCTTCAGGTTAAGAACAGTTTCAGGTTAAGAACGGACCTCCAGAACAAATTAAGTACTTAATGCGAGGTATCACTGTATTGCGCCGTCACTCTTGGGGGACAGAGGGTGTCCTTTCATTCATTTGCTGTGGGTGCAGTTTCTACCGGGGGAAAAAGATGAATGTATGCCTCTCCTTGGTGCAAAAGGCGGCTACATTTCCCGCTCCCCGGGGGGGGGGGGGGTTTGAACTAAATCTGTCACCAGTCCTATCCGTACTGCGGAGGTACCTAAGAAAAAGGGGTCGATCCGCCTTGCTGCAGAGAGTGGGGAGAGAAAATGGTGGGGGCAACCATGTGTGGGACGAGGTTGGAGAGAGGGGGGGACGACGCGCGCTGTGTCTGGGCGCCGCTCCGCAGTCTCTGCTGAGTCAGTCCTCGCCTCCTGCAGTAACTTGAAGCCAAAGTCAGCTGCACGCGGGGAGGGGGGTTGTGGGGCGGAGGCGGCTGCCAGGCTGGCGCAGGGTGTCTGACTTCTCTTCTTACAGCCACTCCCCTCCCCAGGGCCCCGATCCTCTCTCGCCGCCCCATTTCTCCTCCTCCTCTGGCCATTTCCCAGTTCCCCATGGGATCCACCCACACACCTACCTATTGAAGCGAGAAAGGCGTTGAAGTGGGGGCGGGGCGGGGGCGTCCCGGAAAGGCTGGTAACGTCGGGATCGGATGCAGTTGGGGCGGTCGGTGCAAGCGCTCGCGCCTCCCAAAATGAGTTAGGTGGGAGGGAACCTAAGCTGTTTTACACCGAGTCAGACCATTGGTCTGTGTAACTCAGAGGCTGCCCCAGAGATCCTCGGTGGGGACATTCCTAGCCCTACCTGGAGACGTCGAGGATAGAACCTGGGACCTTCTGCATCCAAAGCAGGTGCTTAACCTTTTTGCTACTGCCTTTCCCCCCTAAACGGAGCCCTTTCGACTCCCAAGCACGAGCGGATTTCAGGGACTGCAGCAAAAGCAAATTCTCAGAACCAGCCGGAAAGTTGGAGAGCTCGAGTCGCCGTCTCTACCACCTAGCCGCTCTTTTCCTCTCCACGCGCCCCCTGGCTATGCTAACCCGCGTTCAGGGCCCCCGGAGTGTGGAGGGCCGACGCTGTCCAGGGTCCTGATCCAGCAACTTTTTCCAGGACGATTGCTTTATCACTATGACAAGAGCGGGGCCGGCGCGGGCGCTGTCCGCGGTGCTGATCCTGCTTCTTTGTGCCGTTGTCGGCGGGGGTCCTGATCCCGCTGTTCGATTGATTGGTTGCATATATATATCCCACCGTTTCCCCCCAAGGAGCTCAAGGCACCGTACATGGTGCTCCCCCTCTTCATTTAATCCCTGCAACAACCCTGTGAGGTAGGTTAGGCTGAGAGGAAGTGACTGGCCCAAGGTCACCCACTAAGTTCCATGGCTGAATGGCGATTTGAACCCTGGTTTCCCAGGCCCTAGTCTGCACCACTTTAGACCGTGCAGTAGGGGTTCAGTTGCTCTGTTCCTCACGAAGACTGACGCGGAGTGTTACTAGTGGAGAGAGAGAGAGGCTCGGATCACAATACCGCAATTTATTCCTGGGATTGGTGAGGCGAGTCACATATAACTTCTCCCTAAATTTACCTCCTCCTTCTTAGCATTGTAAGGGGAATCCGTGTTGTTGGAAGTTTGCGGGAGGGACATATTTTTACTTCCTACAGATTGGGAAATCCCTGCTGTTGTTGCAGTCTAGCTTTAACAGTTCTCTTGTCTTTCCTTAGCAATTCCTGTTTGGTAGCCACCAGCAATACCCTCCTCCTTTCATAAAGGCTGGCAGAAGCCTGGAGGGCAGCTGCAGGAATGTGAGCCAAATATCTAAGCTGGTTTTCCCACAGGCATCTGGGTGGCAGCTGTGAGAACAAGATAGGGGACTGGATGGGCCATTTGCCTGCTCCAACAGCCAAACTCTGTTTATGTTATTGTGAGGAAATGAAAAGCCTGGCTTATGGTGGCACCAGGTTATTATTTATTAAATTAAATGTTTCACATAGCACTTTCATTGTGCAAAAAGCAGCTTATCTCTTTCCCTTGGGGGTGCAAACTGCAACACACACACACACCCAGCTTCTAGAATTATCTGTCCCACAAGCCCTTTTAAAGTATGTTCCTTGACAGCTCTTCAGCATGCCTGCATTGTGAAAATGGCACAGGCTTAAGAGTGAGTGGGATGTGACCTAAAGGCTCTATTATAGTCCTGTCAGGCAGGTTTCCGTACTGAGAGGCGGCTTCAGATGAAATCGTCAGGTTGGCCCCGCAAAAGCAGTTTGATCTGCCTAAAGAGAACCACCTACGGAAAGTAATTGAGATGCACACCTGAAGGTCACTTAATGCAGACAGGCCAATTCTAACACACACACCCCTTGCTCACAATACGAGGTGCTAAAAGGATGGTTCTTCTCCCCAATGCCCCATTGTATGGTCATTTGTAGAGGCTTTTTGAGTCTATTTTCACTACTGATTTTGGCTCCTGCGTTTATTCTAGAATGAAACCATCCAGACATCATAACGTATTGCCACTTCCTTAATTTCCCAATGGAGTAGTTAGTGATGGTCACTAAGCGAAAATGTCACCACCCACATACAAGAGGCAGGTTATTGGCACATGTGGGGGAGATATAAGGCTTGCAGGCATAAAAAAAGAGAAAGGAAAGGAAAGGAAAGGGGTCATGAAGTCCCCCCAAATGCAGGTGGGGGTGGGACTGTTTGATCATGTACAGACAGAGTTTGTGAGGGGTGTCTTTATGGCTATGTTTATTTAATCTATTTATATCTTGCCTTTTTACAAAAAAACATTGCAACCTTTTAAAACATTATTAAAAAACACAGTAATAAGAACAAACCGGCTAAAAGCAATAATTAAAATACACCAGAACAGATTTAGAACCTGCAGTTAAGATTCATTTCCCTCTGACCATAGCCCAGTGATCAGCATCGTCTGCACCTTAGTTTTCAAAGGCGTGTCTGAATAAGAAGGTCTTAGGCTGTCAGCAGAAATATGACAAAGAGGAAGCCAGTCTAACCTCTCCTTGGGAAGAAATGCTGCTGTGTGGGAGCAGCCACAGAAGGGGCTCTCTTGTGGATAACCACCTGCCGTGATTCAGATGCCGGTGGGATTGAGAGAAGTTCTAATTTGGCAGCACAACTGCAATAGTGACTGATGGTAAACTAATCCCCCTGCCCCCTGCCCTAGGCTTCCTGTCCTTGATCCCACAGTTGCTATGCTCTCCCCAAAAGAGCGCTGTGGCAGAGGCCTTTCCTCAACAAGAATGGCTGCCTGCAGGCCCAGACATCACCAAGGCTAGCCCATCCAGCAAAGTGTGTGTCGAGGTTGTTGAGACCAGCTCTCCCTTTCTGAGAGGGGCGCCTCCTATCTGGAGGTCTGGAGTGGGGTTGTGTGAGCTTTGAAGGTGTAGATCAGTGAGGGCAAGTGTCAGCTAATCTGTGTCTTCTAAGGCTGTTACTCTTCAGACACAGTACAGTCTCTCCACCAAGAAGGGGGAGATTTGAAGTCTCAAAAGACAATGTTGATTTTCTCTCTCTCTCTCTCTCTCTCTCTCTCTCTCACACACACACACACACAGAGAGAGAGAGAGAGAGAGAGAGAGAGAGAGAATCAACATTGTCTTTTGAGGCTCTTTGTGCTCCCTCTAATACTGAGTTCAGGTGGTTGAGTGTCGACAGGATTTCAGCTCAAATTTGGCCAATGAGAAATATATAGCCATGCTTTGGTGAATCCTGAACAGTAGTACAAAATACTTGCAGAAAAATTAAATTAGAGGACTTCCTCCCCGCCCCCCAAAAAACCCCAACAACCAGCAGCCAAAACCAGCAGCCCCAGGAACTACGGAATAATGAATGCCAATTGGTGATGGAACAGGCAGAAAACCAGGAAAGAGGGGCAGGGGAGAAAATAACTGGTTTGCTTGAGCCTTTTAGAGTAGAGTAGGGTAGGCTGGAAATCTGAAAGGGAGCACTCTTAACCAAAGGTGGGGAGACACTGCAAAATTTTGTTGCGGATCCCACGATGAAGAGCTCAGTTGTGTATGCAGATGGTTTGAACAAGCATCTCAAGCAGCAGCATGGGCTGTGCTCTGGGTCAGAGGGAGGTGGGGCAGGGAGTTGATTCTGCCACTCTAGAAAGTAATCTCTGTAGATGGCTGGTCCTTCTCCTCGCTTGGAGAGACTGAGCACCACCACCTCCAAACCAGAATGTGTCCTCCTTAGCACCAACTGTTTAAATCATAATTCCTATGCAGTTCTTAAAAGACCAGGTGTTTTGCAATATCAGCGTTCATCTGCACACTAACCCTGAGAGGTAGGTCATCATCACCCACATTCTATAAATGGGGCTCTGGGGAGGCAGGCACAGGAGCTAGATTCTAATCACAGCCTTATTTTCATATATATATATATATATATATATATATATAAAATTGGTTTTTGTACGTGTTTTCCAAACATAACATCTCATCTTATACAATATAACAAACCTTTGGCTGTCACAGCCTAGGACTTCTGTCAACCTCGATTAATGGTTTTCTAACTTTCTTTCTGATTTCGCATTTTATTTTAATAGTTATTGCTATAAAATCCAAATCCTAAATAAACTCCTTCTTAGTCCTTTTTCGCAATAATGCATATAGTTCTCTTTACAAAACTTCTTGCAACCCTACAAAGCACAGCCTTATTTTCAAGATGCAGGAAAATCTGTTAGTCTATGTTAGTTTCCATTCCTCAGGATCCGTTCATTTATGGCCATGAAGACATGGGTGTTTCCTTCTCCCCGCCCTTCATTTCTGATATCACTTAAACCAAAGAGCCTTTTTCTGACCTACCTCATCTATTTTTTGCTCTTCCTGCCCACTGCTTGCCCATATCATTTTTCTATGGTCCCCTAGCTGGAAATGATCCTGGGAAAAGTTTATTCTATGGTGGCCATAGCTCAGTGGGGAACAGTCCTAGCTCAGTTGCAGATCATCTGCTTTGCATGTAGAAGGTCCCAGATTCAATCCCTGGCATCCCCAAGTGATTTTAGAAAAGACTCCTGTCTGAAGCCCTGGAGAGCTGCTGCCAGTCAGTGCAGACAATACTGAAGTAGACAGGCCAACAGTGGGGCTCAGTATTAAGCAGTTTCTTATGTCCCTCTGTGTATTCAGAGGTTAACTGCCTTTGAATGCAGAGCTGCCCTGAGCAATCATGACATTTCCCAGCCACTGGTATGTGTGTGGAGACATCCTGCATTTATCTCAATCCCTTTAAAAATATTCCTAAATCAGAGGCTGTTATCCTGCCTTCTGGAGAGGAGTGTCATATGTTGACTACACATTAGAGAGGCAGTGTGGTTCAGTGGTTAAAGTGCCAGGCTTAGGACCTGGAAGGCCAGGGCTCAAATTCTCACCCAGCCATGAAGCTCACTGGGGGGACAGGAATTGGGGGACAATCACTGCCTCTCAACTTATCCTATCCACAGGGGTCTTGCCGGGATTAAATGAAGAGGGGGAGAATGCCATACACGCCACCTTGAGTTCCTTTGAGTGTAAAAAAGTGCAATAAAATAAATAAAATAAAATAAATACATATTTATGCACCATGGCGAATACAGCGTTTGTTTAGGCTCCATTCCATTTGCCACCTTTACTGCTGCTGATCCTTTCTGGAAAATCAGAAGTACAAACATATTAAGGTTTGTTTTTCAGGATGCTGCAGTCAGCAATATGTGAATGCTGCGCGAGCCCTTCTGAAAGAGACAAATGATGTATGAGCAGAGATCAGAAGAGCTCACAGCTATTTAACAATAGCATTCAACTGATTTGGGTTTTGTTTTTTAAGTTGCGTTTTTTTCTTTTTTAATTTTAGCAGATCATTAATGAACCCAATTAAAAGGAAAAACCCTTCACCACCATCGCAGCGCGGTTGCCTGGAAAGCAGAGAAAGAGAAAGGACTCACATTCATTCTCTGCATCCATCTGCCCGCATATGTGGCAAGGCAGTAACATGAAGTATTATCCCTCCACAGGATGCCACCTGAAAATCCAAATTCCCCTGCCCTTCCCCTTGCATCTGGGAGCTATGAAACCCCTGCTGAATCTAGTGGGTGATCAAGATCAAACCCTCCTTTATATCCAAGGCTGTATACCTTATAGCTTATGATGCTGGAAACAACACACAGCAAGCCAGCAGCTTAAATAATATAAAACAGACAAGAAGTATAAAAATCAGTTTTGTGGGTTTTTTTGTAGAGGGCATATTGAGGCAAGACTATATACATTTGGGAGCAAGATTCATTCCACTTTTAAACCTGAACAGCCTTAAATGAGTGCAAAACCAGTATATTGTATATTTTAAAAATCCGTTCAGAATGTTTTAATAATGCACAGTTCATTCCCCACCTCCCCGGAACTTGCCTAGTTCCGGATGATGACGCTAAATCATCTTGCAGATCCCAGCAGAGGGGGCTGGGCTGCCCATTCGTCTCAGGAAGCAAAGTGATGGAGGCTTGGAGGTTCCCATCAGGGGCTGGCCAAAGCGGCTGAATTGTCTTAAGCCCGTTATTAACCCTTCCTCCTCTCTTTTCCCCATCTCTCCGCAGCTGTGCTAGCTAGGGCTGCTGGGAGCTGTAGTCCTGGAAGGGATTGGGGCAAGCGGGCCGGCATTGCAGTGGTGGGCGTGGCCAGTGGCAAAAGTGGGCGGAGCAACAGGCTTCACTGCCGCTTGGGTACCATATAGGCTACATTTAAGCCATGCACATTCAGAGCTGCATACGGGCATCACTCTCTAGCCAGGGAAGTAGGAGGCACGATCACAAGAAAACAAGTGGCCCATCTAATCCAGCATTCTCACAGTGGCCACCCAGATGCCCCAAAGGGAAGCCCAGAAGCAGGACCCCAGAACAAGAGCCTTCTCCCCTCCTGTGGTTTGCAGGAACTGGTGTTCAGTAGCATGACTGCCCTCCAACCAGTGCCATATAAGCTAAACAATCTATAGCTTAGGGCCCCACTCTCTTGGAGCCCCCCAAAAAAATCAAAGGGGAAAAAACTGGATGTACACTTCCAAAATATAAGATAAAAAACAAATAAAATAAAACCTACATACAGCAACAGTGTTTTGTGTTGTGTAAGTAATGGGCCCCGCCTGCTAGCCTGCTCTCTAAAATATCACTGGTTTGCTCATTTCTATATTCAGTGGTACCTCGGTTACATACGCTTCAGGTTACAGACTCCTCTAACCCAGAAATAGTACCTCGGGTTAAGAACTTTGCTTCAGGATGAGAACAGAAATCGTGCTCCGGCAGCGCGGCAGCAGCGGGAGGCCCCATTAGCTAAAGTGGTGCTTCAGGTTAAGAACAGTTTCAGGTTAAGAATGGACCTCCAGAATGAATTAAGTACTTAACCCGAGGTACCACTGTATAGGGTGCCTACATTCTGCATGGACTGGTTGCATGGTAACATGTGCTTTCGATACCTATTAGGTCCATAAATCACCATACAGCATATATTCAACACAAAAAACAGTGACAATTTGTTGTTGACAAAGGACAGCTGGACATATAAAGGGCCCCATTACCTTCAGTAGCTTAGGGCCTCATCAAACCTAAATCCGGCCCTGCTTCCAACCGTGGAGGCAAAAAGCAGCCATCATGTCTAGCAGCCATTGATAGCTTGGTCCTCAATGAATTAGTCCAGACTATGAACTCGTCCAATCACATTTCAGGGGCACATTCCAGTATGGCAAAATCACTAAGTAAAGGGATAGCAGAGAGCCTGAGGTCTGTCACATGGGAAGGGGCACAGCATGTGGAGAGTCCCAAAGGCCATATCGAGAGCCCTGGAGGGGGCCCAGAATTTGGCCCCTGGGACTGGAGTTCACTCCTGTTTTGGACCCTTGTGGATGGAGTAGGAATGGCCTGTACTCTGTAATCTTTCCTTGACAATATATTTTGGCATGCTTTGTGACTGGATAGATGCTTTTTCTTTTTCTTTCCCCCCAATAATATTTATTGAATTTCATACAAACACATAACTTCAATAAAACAAAAATAAGAAAAACAATAATAAAAGAAAAGAGAAAGAAATAAAATATTACAAACCTCACAAATAATACCCAAGAATACCACCACATACACAAAATAAAACTTAATTAATTAATTTAACTTCCAATTTCATAAACATATTACTTGACTTCCTCTCATCTCTTCCACCTGAATTTCCTTGTAATTGAATGTAGCAGTTTCCAATATCATTATTCCAAAAAACAACATTCTGGTTATTATCAAATTTCCTAACTTTTCTTATCGTTCTGTTTCTCATTTATTTATTTAATCCTAGGCCTAATTAGTTCTTTCAAGGAGTTACAAATCTTTAAATATTACAATATTTATTCAAATAGTCTTTAAATTTCTTCCAGTCTTCTCGATATTCCTCTTCTTTCTGGTCGTGGATTCTCCCAGTGAGATCAGCCAGCTCCATAAAGCCCATCATCTTCATCTGCCAATGACTGGATATATGCTTTTTCTCCTTTCCCTTCCCCACGTTACAGTGAGGCTGGACAAGCTGTCAGAAGCGGCCAAGGTGAATACCGATGCCATCCGTACAGCACAGGAGGAGATTTCTGAATATCGCCATCAGCTGCAGTCTAAAACCACCGAGCTCGAAGCTCTCAAGGGGACGAAGGAATCCCTGGAGAGGCAGAGGGCCGACATTGAAGACCGCCATCATGTTGATGTCCTCTCCTATCAGGTAATGTGTGGGCCAATGGCAGCTGCCTACTAAAACTCCCCCAACCAGGTGCCCTTCAAATATCAGGTCTCATCAGCCCCCCATGTGGCACAGCCAATGGGGAGGAAAGATAGGGCCATAGTCCAGTGAGATCTGGGTTCACCACCTGGATTTAAATCCACCAGTCTTTAGCTGTGTAACCCAAGGGTAGCGCAGGATAAGCCAAGCTCTCCTAGGCTGAAAACAGACAAGAATGTTTAAGAAAAGAAGTGTTGAAGCTTCTCCCACTGCCAGCACTGAAGGAAGATCTAGCTACCACCCTTATCAACCTCTGTCTGTGGATTGAAGAGGGTGCCATCTTGTCTTTGATTTGTAAAAATGTTACATGGAAAAAATACGAGAGACATTACACATACTTCGGTAAAACAAGAAAATCTTTAATAATAATAAAAAAATGGATGATAATGGCAGTCCTCCTCAGAGCAGACCAGTTGGAGTAGGGCTTAGGTGTATTTTGTTAAGAACTCTTAGCACCCTTAGGAGTCCCCTGTTTCCCTCTCAGAACTACAATTTCCCAAGCGATTTAACAATGAATCCCTCTTCACTGGGAACTCTGGGAATTGTTGCTCTGAGAGTGGAATAGGAGTCTCTCCCAGCAACTCTCAGCACTCTTAACAAACGACACTTCCCAAGATTCTTTGGGGGAAGCCATGACTGTATAAAGTGGTAAAATACTGCGTCTAGATGAGACCTAAGGCATACAGCTATTAAAAACGAAAAACAGACCTTAGGTTGATCTACATACGGGGGAAAAAACACTATAAAAAAATTAGAAATGAAATCATTCTAAAAGAAGAAAAAAACACTATGTAAAAACCGCACAGAATTTTCAAAAAAAATTTTTGCTCTCCAGCGCCATCCCGTGTTGCATGTTTATAACACATTCAAAATGTTGGGTGTTTTTTTTGTTTTTTTTTTACTAATGTAGCTGAGTCCCTTGTCTGGTTGGCTTGAAGACAACCTCCCTCCCTTATACACACATGCAGATAAACACCAAACAAACAATGCTCCCCAAAGCAACCTTTATTATTAGTGATGTTTTGTTGATGTTCCTAACTTGGACAGCTTGCAGATCCTAGAATATGCTCCCAGAACCCTTTGCAAGAGACTCAGGTTCTTTGACATGGAAAAGCCAAAAAGTTGAAGGAGCGTCTCCACCCCCATTGTTCTGGCCGGATACTGAGGTCCAGCGCTGAGGGCCTTCTGGCGGTTCCCTCCCTGCGAGAAGCCAAGTTACAGGGAACCAGGCAGAGGGCCTTCTCGGTAGTGGCGCCCTCCCTGTGGAACGCCCTCCCACCAGATGTCAAAGAGAAAAACAACTACCAGACTTTTAGAAGACATCTGAAGGCAGCCCTGTTTAGGGAAGCGTTTAATGTTTAACAGACTATTGTATTTTAATATTTTGTTGGAAGCTGCCCAGAGTGGCTGGGGAAACCCAGCCAGATGGGTGGGGTATAAACAATAAATTATTATTATTATTATTAGCTAGAATATGGCTTCTCTAGAAGAGAATGGAAAGCCAAATGCTTTACTCTCAGGCAGAAGTACATTTTGCCTATATAGCACTCTCAGCCCTCCAGCTCCATGCTGACATGGGAGAAAGAAGCTGTAAATGTGGCATTTATAGATATGCCCCTTCAACATACTACATTCCTGTGTGTCTGATCATTCTGCAGCCAATGGAAATCAGCCTCTCCTTGCCCTGCTGAGCCCATTTACTTATTGTTATTTTTTTTTTGGATTTATTGCATTTGTATCCCACCTTTCCTCCAAGCAACGGAAGGAGATGTATATATGGCTCTTCCCCCTACTTATAACAGTCCTGTGAGGTTGGTCAGGCTGAGAGGGGTTGACCTGGCCCAAGGACACCCGGTCAGTTTCCTCATGGACCCTGGTCTCCCAGGTCCTAGTCCAATACTCTAACCACTACACCACACTCCCAAGAAGTGACAGGTGCCCACCCTTAATGAGTTTTCCATACTACGGGCTGCCACAGGATACTGATGGTTAACATGTTGCTGTTAGTGCTTCTGCAGCAGTTTTTTTTTATCTGCCCTTGGCTTTCTGTTATTTGTAATTGGTATTTGTGGTTTCATTCCTTTTACTGCACTGGGATTACTTTTGTAGTGAAGGGTGGCTTAAAACTATCTTTAAATACCTTTAAATCATTAAATAATCACACACACACACAGAGAGAAAGAATATTTAAGAGTGAAATCTCTTTCTCCCCCTTACGACTTCAACATCTTTGACCTGGATGCAGTTCAAGCGGGACTGCACTGGTTTCGGTGCATGCTTAGCCCTCCCATTGAACTGAATGGGGCTTGAAAGTGCTTGGGTTTGGGCTGGATCAAAATTTCAGGCTTCTGGGATCTACTTTGCTATTTACTGGAAGGCATCAGAGACTGGTTTATTAGTGCCACCAACCTCTGCCTGCCCTCAGCCGGCCCACCACTGGCCTTCCTTCTTACGAGTCCAGGGAAGTGACCCCGGCTGCCAGCTTCCTCCTCTTTCGTCTCATTGTTGCCCCTAGTAGAACTCAGCACGGAGGAGGATGGAGACAAAACTAAGAATTAGTTGGCTCTGCCTGCCATTAGCTCTGGCGCCCCCTAGTGTTGGGCTCCCTGCCTTCTGCCCAAGCAGCCCAATGGGCACTAGCTGCCACTGGCAGAGGCCTGAGACACACCAATTGCAGCCTAGTCGAAAAGGCACACACTCCAGTTGTAATATAACGATAACCAGTGCTTTTTTTCTGGGGGGACGCAGGGGGACGCATACGCCTAAACATGTTGTGAATGTTTCTACTTTTCTCCATTTGATGTATTTATTTTTCCTGATTCGAAGTATAAAATGGTGATTTTCTCGAGTCAAAAGGAGAGCATTCCTAAAAAAAAAGTTTGTTTTTAAGAAAAAAAGCACTGACAATAGTTACCTGCCCAACAGTTCACAATGTAAAATATACCATTAAAAACAGTTGAAAACAAATTGCATCCATAAGAAGAGGTTGGGTCCTAAAAATAAGACATCTCAAACACCAAAGGCTGGGATAGAGAGGTGCATCTTCAGCAAACAACAAAGTTTGAATAATGCCATTGGCAGGTGCACCTGTGTGTGGAGGGGATTAGAAGTCCAGGGGTCCTGTACCTTTTTACCTTACCTAGAAGCCCAGGAAGTATTTGCACACCATTCTCCTGAAACTGAGGAACCTGGTGCCTTCAGGGTTCCTAAATGCTTAGCTTTGGAGCATATAGAACAGCTCCTCCTCCGTGTTCTTCCTGCAGTCCTTCTCCAGAGTGACCCTAGGAGCCCATCCTCAGGGCATCCTCATTTTCTTAAACCCCCAAAATAAGGGGTGTCTTATACAAGGGGGTGTGTTATACGCGGAAAAATACAGTAATAGGTCTTCGATTCCTCCATGATCCTGGACCAGCCGCTACCCCACACTGGGTCATCACTGCAGCCCTTTGGCATCAGTCACCTCACACTCTGCCTAGTGCTAGGCCCAGCTGTGACCCTGTGGTTCACTCACTGGCCACCTGAAGATGATCCACACTCTTCCCTGCCTCTCTTTCATAGGAGAGCATCGCACAGCTGGATAATGAGCTGAGGAACACCAAGTGGGAGATGGCCGCCCAGCTGAGGGAATACCAAGACTTGCTGAATGTCAAGATGGCTCTGGATATAGAGATTGCAGCTTACAGGTAGGTGTCGCTTCATATCCCTACTCTGACAGGCTCACAGGCGTAAGCCCTTCCTCCTCCAGACACGGCATCCTTTCCTTTCATGCTGTCGTGCACAGGCTCATCCCTGTGCACGTCCAGCCTTGTTTTCTTCACCTCGGTCCTTCAATTCCACTCCTCCACAAACCGCTCTTTCCTGGGGTTTATTTATTTATTTTATTATTATTTTTAAAATCATTTTAAAATGTATACCCTGCTTTTCACCATTTAGGTCTCATAGTGGCATACAATGGTTTTGTTTTTTTAATGTTCAAGGTTTAAAACAAATAAAACCTCTAACATGTAAAAACTTCAGAATTTTATAAAGTTTCAGAAATTTAAACCAAGAACACCTGAACTATTTTAAAACATCAGAGCAGCACTTGGGACATAAAAGCCTCATGGAATAAAATGGTTTTAATCAGGCACCTGAAACTCAGCAGGGAGATGACCTATGCCTGACTTCTAGTGGGAGGGAGTTCCACAGAGTTGGGCCCACACAACTGAAGGTGCAGCTTCGTGTTGTGATGAATCATGCTTCTGGTCCCTGGGAGACCATTAACATTGCTTCCCTGGGTAAGTTTTTAATTAAAACTGTGGAGTGTCTATTTAGACATAGATCTAGCCATTATTTTCCAGGCACTTTCCTGGCAATGAGACCAAGGAAATAAACATTATTCACCAGCCAAAGTAAAACAAATAGATACTGGTCATCTTCACACCATACATACTATGGCACCATTTTAAACATGGCTTCCCCCAAAGGATTCTGGGAGCAGTAGTTCAGTAAGGGTGCTGAGATTTGTTAGGAGACCCTTATTCCCCTTCCCAGAGCTACAATTCTCAGAGTGGTTTAACAGTCAATCCCTCTTGCCAGGGAACTCTGGGAATTGTAGCTCTGGGAGCGGAATATAGGGTTCTCCTAACAACTCTCAGACCCTTACTGAACTACTGCTCCCAGAATCCTTTGGGGGAAGCCATGACTGTTTAAAGTGATATCATAGCGCTATAAATGTACAGTGTGGATGTGGCCATTGCTGTACGCCCTCCTGGTTTTCTGCATGGTGATTGGTAAAGGTAAAGGGACCCCTGACCATTAGGTCCAGTAGTGGCCGACTCTTGGGTTGCGGCGGTCATCTCTCTTTATTGGCCGAGGGAGCCGGCGTACAGCTTCCGGGTCATGTGGCCAGCATGACTAAGCCGCTTCTGGTGAACCAGAGCAGCGCACGGAAACGCCGCTTACCTTCCCGCCGGAGCGGTACTTATTTATCTACTTGCACTTGGGTGTGCTTTTGAACTGCTAGGTTGGCAGGAGCTGGGACCAAGCAACGGGAGCTCACCCCATTGCGGGGATTCAAACCACCGACCTTCTGATCGGCAGGTCCTAGGCTCTGTGGTTTAACCCACAGCGCCACCTGCATCCCATATGGTGATTGGTACTCGCAGCCAATTGGTTTAGCAGACTCTGACTTCCTTTGATTTCTCCCACCCACCTTTTTTTTGGAAACAGGAAGCTCCTGGAAGGCGAGGAATGCCGCATGGGAGCTGGGCTGGGCCTCTTTCCTTTCCCTGAATCCGTCCCCAAAGCCCCCAGCATTTCCACCCACATCAAGTTCAAGAGCGAGGAGAAGATCAAAGTGGTGGAGAAGTCTGAGAAGGAGACGGTGATTGTGGAGGAGCAGACCGAGGAAGTTCAAGTGACTGAAGAAGTTACGGAGGAAGAGGGAGGTGAGAAAAAGGAAGAGGAGGAGGAGGAGGAGGAGGGAGAGGGAGAGGGAGAGGGAGAAGAGGAAGCAGAGGAGGGAGGAGAGGAAGAAGAAGGAGACACAAAAGAGGAAGAAGAACAGGGAGAATCTGAAGGAGGAGAGGGTGGTGAAGAAGAAGAAGAAGAGGGAGAGGCAAAAGAGAAGGAATCTCCATCAGCAGAAGAAGCTCCAGAAAAAGCACCAACACCTCCAGAAAAAGAGGTCAAATCTCCAGACAAGATTCAGTTGCCAGTGAAGGATGATGCCAAATCTCCAGCATCCAAGTCTGCGGCTCCCAAATCTCCAGCTCCCAAGTCTCCAGCTCCCAAATCTCCAGCTTCCAAGTCTCCAGCTCCCAAGTCTCCGGCAGTTGCCTCCCCGACGCAAGAGGAATCCAAATCCCCGGCCAAAGCGAAGTCTCCAACAAAGGAAGAGGCCAAGGCTCAGGCAACAAAATCGCCCGAAAAGCCCGCATCCCCTACCAAAGAAGACTCCAAGTCTCCGGCAAAAGCTCCCTCTCCCACCAAGGAGGAGAGCAAGTCTCCAGATAAGGTCAAGTCTCCGGCAAAGTCTCCGGCAGCAAAATCTCCGGAGAAAGGGGCAACCCCGACAAAGGAGGAGGCCAAGTCTCCAGGGAAGGTCAAATCCCCCACAAAGGAGGAGGTGAAGTCCCCAGAGAAAGCCAAGACCCCGCCAAAGGCCAAGTCACCTGAGAAGGAGAAGCCCCCACCGAAGGAACCAGCCAAGCCACCTGCGAAGGAGGCCAAGGCCCCTGCAAAAGAGGAGGAGAAAGCCCAGGTGAAGCCAAAAGCAGAGGAGAAGAAAGAGAGCAAGAAGGAAGAGGAGCCCAAGAAGGAGAGCCCGGCCAAGGATGTGCCAAAACAAGAAGCCAAGGTGGAGGAGAAGAAGGGGAAGGAGGAAGACCAGAAGAAAGCCACCAAGCCAGAGAAGGAGGAGGAGGCACCTTCCAAGGCAGAGGATAAAGTGAAGGAAAAGGAGCCCACCAAAGCGGCAGCAAAGGCCAAGCCGGAGGCAGAGAAGGAAGCGGAGAAAGCCAGCAAGAAGGAGCCTGAGCCAAAGGCACCGGCCAAAGAAGCGAAGGCCAAGGAGCTGAGTAAGCCGGCCGAGAAGGAGCCTGAGAAACCCAAGGTGGAAGAGAAGAAAGAGGAGCCCAAGAAGGAGAAAGTGGAGCCCAAGAAGGAGCCGGAGGAGAAGCCCAAAGCCGAAGCCAAGCCCAAAGAACCAGCCAAGGCGGAGGTCAAGCAGACCCCCAAGGCCGAGCCGGCAAAGGAGCCAGCCAAAGCCACCAAGCCCAAGGCTGAGAAAGTGGAGAAGTCGTCCAGCACAGACCCCAAAGACAGCAAAGCCGCAGAGAAGGCGTCCGCGGCAGAGGAGAAAGCGAAGAAGAGCGAGAAGTGAGAGGGAGGAAGCTGGAGGCACCGGCGGATGTCGGAGGAGCTGTTCAAGGGCCCTCGCTGCCTCAGGACGGGCTCCTTTTTTTGCCCTTTCGAAGGCTGGACCTTTTCTGCTTAGGCGAGTGGTGACTCTCGCTCACCCGCCGAGGCATGGAGCTCATGTTAGCAATATGTTTATGTGAAAGAAAAATAAACAAGACACCCCCAAATAAGCAATGAACCGAGCCGCCGCCACCCCCCAAAAAAGGTGGTTCAATAATGTTATGATAGCTTCCGTAGCAGAATGTGATATACGCAGAATGCCACATTTAAACACTTGAATTTATTTAAGGAACGGGGAGAGGGAGGAGGGGAGGGGAATATCCAGAGCAAAACTTGACTGCCCTTTTCAAATAAGTGCATTTATTTCCAAGTACGGGCAACGATGGGTCGAATGCAATAAATGAATGTATGCAGTTAGAGCTGGGATTTATGCTTTGGGAGATGTATAGTAGGCTAGAGAATTCCAAAACGATCTAGAAAAAAATGCCTTGTCTTCATTTTCACACTGTCGAGAGCTTCATCCGTAGCTGGTCTCAGGAGGAAGGTCATTCAGGGCGCCTTTTATACCGGAAACCTAAACGGGTTTCAAAACTGGTTCCATTGCTTCGGTTCCTCGCTTCCATTCTTAAGGGACCCTGGGAAATACAAGTTTACCATGGATACCGAAAAGGGATTTCTCAGCAGAATCCCTTTGCAGGGGAACAGCAGTTCCCGATGTTTTCTGGGAAGGAGCCATGCCGGTCAAAACCGGTTGAAAACCTGGCTTAGGTTTGACGTATAGATGTGCCCTCTGTCGTTTAAAAAAAAACAAAAAACCATGCACACACATGCACACACTCACCCACTGGAAAAAAGAAGTGCACTACAGCAAGTCAAACGTTCACTTCCAGTTGCTTCTGTGCAATAAAAGTAAACAAAAATGCTTACAAAGAGCTGACTCTCTCCTCTGTGTTGTGGTCTCCTTTCTGGGGTGTCAAGAGGGAAGGTTTGGCAGGTGGAGCTCAGTGGTGAACGATGTGCTTTGCATGCAGAAGGTCCCCGGTTCAGTCCCCTAGCATCACCACAAAAAGGGATCAGGAAGTAATGGCAAAAATCCTGGGGAGTCATTGCCGGAGTGAAATCCTGGGCTCAATGATCAAATATTATTATTATTATTATTATTATTGGTGCACTGGTTTGACATCGTCTGATAGGAAGTGCCTACAGAGGGTGGTGAATACAGCACAGGATATTATGGGCCATCCCATGAATCCACTGGATGAAATAGCGGAAGAACGTTGCCTCAGGAGAGTGAGGGAAATTCTCAGGGATGATTCACACCCTGGATGGCAGAAGATATAGAAACATGATTAGTCGCACCAACAGGGTAAAGAACAGCTTCTGTCCGTGGGCTGTTAGGCGGCTGAATGAAATATAACAACAGGGCAACTGACTTTCGGGTTTGGTGGGTGTGCGTCAGTAAATGAGGGGAATGAAGACTAAGAGAGCTGAGTGGGGGGTGCTCGTGGAATTTCACTGTATACAAGTTGTACAAGTGACAATAAAGTATTTCAAATTTCAATAACAACAACAACAACAACAACAACAACAATTTATTATTTATACCCCGCCCATCTGGCTGGGTTTCCCCAACCACTCTTGGTAGCTCCCAACAGAACACTAAAAACAGAACAAAACTTCAAACATAAAAACTTCCCTAAACAGGACTGCCTTCAGATGTCTTTTAAACGTCAGATAGTTGTTTATTTCCTTGATACCTGATGGGAGGGCGTTCCAGGCGCCGCTACTGAGAAGGCCTTCTGCCTGGTTCCCTGTAATCTGCCCTTCTCCCAGGGAGGGAAACGCCAGAAGGCCCTTGGAGCTGGACCTTGGTGTCCGGGCTGAACGATGGGGGTGGAGACGCTCCTTCAGATATACAGGACCGAATGCTCTGACCTCAGCTTCCTCTGCTCCTTTACCTAGGCTGTTAGAAACCCCGAGCATTAGGGACTGAGATGCACTTGCCTAGGCAGCTCATCCCAGTCTAAGGCTTCCAGGATGGGTTGGGCCGCAACTCAGAGCAACTGGCTTGCATGCAGAAGGTCCCAATGCAGCTGCTGCCAGTTAGATTGAGCTAGAAGGACCAGATGCTGTATAAAGCCGCTTCCTGTGTTCCTGCATCTTAAGGGAAGGCCCGAAATTCAATGGCAGAGCATCTGCTTTTCATGCAGAAGGCTCCTGGCCACAACCCTGTCCTGTGGCGCTGAATTCTATGTGCTAAAAAAGACATTTACTCTCAACCAGCAATGTACAACACCTGTGCATGCAGAAGGTCCCAGGTTCATTCCCCAGCATCTCCTGGCAGGACAGAGAATGCCCCCTGCCTGAAACCCTGAAGAGCTGCTGCCGGTCAGAGTAGACAAAACTGAGCTGGGTGGACCATAAGGCAGCTTCCTCTGTATCCCTTGGCATTAACACACTGTCTATCGGCTTCCTGCCTAACGTGACCTGGTTTCCAAGCTTACTCATGTAATATATATGAGCATCCTACTGTCCTCATAAGTAGCCTGTACTACTTAAAACCAATGGATCCACTGCCCTTCTTAATGGATCGTCCTTTCCGCCTTTGGTTTGGCCCCAGGTGTGCTTCTGCTACAAGTGCAGCCTATACCCAGGTGGCTTTCCCACTTTGCAGCAGTATTTTCGATTTGGCACTGCAACCCGCACCCTTCTTTTGCACCTGGCTCAGGGCTGTCCTAGATCCTACAAGCATGCAAGCTGCCTACATTCACTCTAAGACGCCTAACCAATCAAGTAATTGCCCTGATCTGCAGCTTGCAGAGTTATATGACACCTGCAGACAATCGAGCGTTTGTTCCTATTTGTCTGCAGGGGCATGACATTGAGCACACACTTCCCAGTGCGTATTCCCGTCAACTTTCTATGCTGCAAAAAGTCCGGAGGGAGAGATCTTGTTGCACAAGAGCGTCAAACCCACTTAATTGCTTAAATATACTCGGAATCGAGAGTGGATTTCATGCTCTTTATTCAGCCCATAGTGGTGAGGAGGAATGGAAGTTCCCCCAGAATGTCTGCTTTATATACATTTATTAAACAATGGGCCCCACATGATTGGCTAATTCCGGGATTCTCCTGTAGGCCAATCAGGTTGCGGATTCACTTCCACCTGGAGCTGGATTGGGTGGCTCCTGTGGACCAATCAGACTGCTGAATTCTGGATCCTATTCAACTCAGTACATAACAATTGCGTACTGTGAATTTGCTGGTATGTGATTAAATCCCATTCACAAAACAGCAGTGCCCTGGAACCAGCTTTTGTTTGTTTCATTCTCCTCCCAGCCCCAAATACAGGGATAATCACACATGGGGTGGGGTGTGTATGTTACACTGATCCTTTGTGTACTTGAATCAGCTTTGCTGGGGGTTTCCAAAAGCAGTTATGAGATGCATCTCAGATTGCAGAATTCAAGCTGTATTTACCAGTGCAGTAATAAAAGTAAGACAAGTGTGTACGTGGAGTAGCGAGACTTTGCACAGGTCTTTGTCCAGTTGCCTGCCTGCCCCTTTGGCTCTGCCAGCTGATAGACCTCTTTCCACACATACATTAGGTTTCTTGGATTTCTGTTTTGCTTCCCAACTACAAAAAGTTGGGAAGTGAATTACGAGTAAATTACAAAAGAAGTGAATTACAATGAGAATGAAGCACAGCAATAGCTATATATAAACATATTTAAAACACAGGACAACGAACATCAAATTATTATTGGTGCCGCACTGGGAAACCAAAACGTCTTTGCCTGGCATCCAAACAATGACAAATTTGGGGCCAGGCGGGCCTCCCTGGGAAGAGAATTCTAAGGACAGAGAGCTACTATGAAAAAGGCCCTGCTCTCTTGTCGCCATCCTCCAGACCCCCCTTGGTGGTGGTCCTCTGAGAAGGAGCTCAGGTGATAATTTCAGTGTCCAGAAAGGTTCATTTTTGGGGTAGGGGCCCTGGGCTTTAATGGTCAAAACCAGCATTTTGAAATGGGTTGGAAACAAATTGGTAGCCAGTATGGATGCAGATAAACATGCTGGCCCAAGACATTTGCCATCTGAGGCAAAGGCCAAGATGGTGTCCCTATTCCACCTACAGAGGCTGATCAGATGAATCTCATTGCAATAGGACAGCGTCCTCCAGAAGTCAGCAGGATAGGTTATTGGGTGCAGAGCAGGCCACTCAGCCCTCACAGCACCTGCCGCCTTAGGCACCTGCCTCATTTTGCCTAATGGTAAAGCCAGCCCTCAGCCCTAGGGACGCGGGTGGCGCTGTGGGTTAAACCACAGAGCCTAGGACTTGCCGATCAGAAGGTTGGCAGTTTGAATCCCCACGACGGGGTGAGCTCCCGTTGCTCGGTCCCTGCTCCTGCCAACCTAGCAGTTCGAAAGCATGAAGTGCAAATAGATAAATAGGTACTGCTCCGGCGGGAAGGTAAACGGCGTTTCCGTGCGCTGCTCTGGTTCGCCAGAAGCGGCTTAGTCATGCTGGCCACATGACCTGGAAGCTGTACGCTGGCTCCCTCGGCCAGTAAAGCGAGATGAGCGCTGCAACCCCAGAGTCGTCCATGACTGGACCTAATGGTCAGGGGTCCCTTTACCTTTACCTAGAGCCAGCCCTGCCCACCAAGTCTTCCAGGCAGGTCTTCTTGCTTGCAGAATGTGGGTTTCTGAAGCAGAGAGATCCAGACTCATCCCAGCAGACAGAGAACTGGGCCTGGCTGAGGCCGATGGAAATGTAGTTCAAAGCTTCTGGTGGACACCAGAGTTTTGGGCGGCTGTTCCAGATTCAATCTATTCCTGTGTACACCACTTCACAGCTGCTTGGCTTCTCAGTCTCGAATGATAGGAGCTGTATCTTGTAGGCACCACTATGAAGAAGAGTTTGGATTTGATATCCCGCTTTATCACTACCCGAAGGAGTCTCAAAGCGGCTAACATTGTCCTTTCCCTTCCTCCCCCACAACAAACAATCTGTGAGGTGAGTGAGGCTGAGAGACTTCAGAGAAGTGTGACTGGCCCAACGTCACCCAGCAGCTGCATGTGGAGGAGCGGGGAATCGAACCCAGTTCACCAGATTACGAGACTACCGCTCTTAACCACTACACCACACTGGCTCTCACCACATTGCTTACCCCTGCTTTAGTGGAAGGATTTCCCTTCCCTTTATTCCTGGATAAAAAGAGCTCAGTTGCTCTAGATGGAAGACCCATTCCAAGGTGAAAAAGACTATGGCACTTTTGTGACGAAATCCCAGGAAGGGGGGGGGAGAAAATATCTGCACAATTGCTTTACATTAATTAGCGAGAGCCAATTCAAAACAATTCTTGGCGGCGGCAGGAATTGGAAAGGCGTCTGAAGACCAAACATCAGAAAGGAAAGCTAATTGGATATACATAGGAGTCATCGGGAGAGAGAGATGCAAAGCGTTCTCCTTGTTCCCGAGTGCCCTCTGCCAATGTCATTTCATAACACAACGTCTCACTGAGTGGCTCTGGTGGTTTGCGTGCAGAAGGGCCCTTGGTCCAAGCCTCCAACTAAAAGGATCAGGTGATGGGGAGAGACTAGCCTCTGCCCAAGACCCTGGAGAGCCACTGCCTGTCAGAAAGCAGAAAGATCAAGAGTAGGCACAGCCAGAGCCAATGATAGGCAGCGCCACCCTCTGCCTGCCTGGAGACAGGTAGCTTTGGTCAGATTGCTGCAGTGCTTCCATTTCTAGCCCATCTTACCTCCAGGGAATTCAAGGTGACTTGTGGTTCTCCCCTTCCCCATTTAAACCTCACAACAACCCTGTGAGGTAGGTTAGGCTGAGAGATTGTGACAGGCCCAAGGTGACTCAGTAGGGTTCTTGAATGGGGGGTTGTTGTTGTTTGAATACCACCCTATACCCGCAGGTCTCAGGGAAGTTACAACATAAAATCACAATATAAAAACAAAAGATACATAATACAAATAAAAACAAAAGCAACACAATTACCCACCCACCCCGGCCACTTTTAAAAAAGGCATTGGACGTCAATCAGCCAAAGGCCTGGTTAAAGAGGAACCTTTTTATCCTGGCAACTAAAGGTGTATAATGAAGGTGCCAGCTGAATCTCCCTGGGGAGAGCGTTCCCCAAATGGGGAGCCACTGCAGAAAAGGCCTGGAGAAAAGGCTTCAGAAAGATGATGAGTCTATGTAGGTTTATATGGAAAGAGGCAAGAGGGCTCTGACAGGGTCCTAGAGCAGGGGTCAGCAACCTAAGGCCCATGGGCCAGAAGTGGCCCGCAGAGGTTGTTTGACCAGCCGCCGAGCCTCCCCCAAACTGAGCTGCCCGCTTGCGTGCTGAGCTAAACCGGTGCAGCGCGGCGCGGGGACTCACTTCCACAGTACCGAAAATTGCATCTGAACATGCACAGACACTGAAAATCACTTCTGCACAGACACTGAAAATTGCGCACGCGCGCAATCCAGCCCACGGAAGGATCTCTGTGGGACCAATCCAGCCCAGACAAGATAAACCTTGCTGACTCCTGTTCTAGAGTCTTCCTATCTCCTTCTCAAAGCCTAGTTAGCACTTTCTCAGCTTTAGGAAGGAGGTGGGAAGGCTCCAGGACCCTGCCAGAGCTTTGTGCCACCTTCTCAAAACCTGGCTTTGGGAAGACAGTCCAAGGGCTGTGGGAGGCGTCAGATTTTGGTCTCGCTCCCCACACTCAACATGATAAGGCAGTGTGCAGAGCTCTGTGTGAAGTACTTTTGCAGCCTATTTGGTATAAACAACTGGACCACCCTGAGCCAAAGAGAAAACTGAGCTAAAAGTGAATTATTGCACCCAAGTAATTCTTTGGGTGTACAGGGGCCATACTTGCTTCCAAGCTTTAGGCAAATCCTCCACTGTTAACTGCCAGAAGTGGACCCCAAGAAGGTATATCTGACACAGGTGTGCTTGCCCAACAGTGACCCCTTGGAGGCTGAAGTCTGCACCAAAATAAGCATGGTCTTTAGTTCCTCTTATATCAGGTGCAGGGAACCTTTGGCCTTCCAGATGTTGATGAACTACGACTTCCATTAGCCCCAGCAAGCATGCCCAATGGCAACATCTGTAGTTCCAGCAACATCTGGAAAACCAAAGGTTCTCCACATCAAGTTTAGACAGTATCAAAGGAATGTTGGGTTGAATGCCAACTTACGGGGCCCATATGCCTAGCCAGAGGATTGGCTCATGAGGGCATGCTCAATCGCTAAACTCTCTTACAGAGAGTAAGAAGTCCCCATTGACCCACGGAAGATGGCTACCACAAGCAGCTTCAAGGGGATCAAGAACAAACAAGAAGGTGAAGCAACCTGGAAAAATCTGAGCATGTCTAGGGTGGGCTTTTGGAGTTGCAATCCAAAATGACAGGTGGGCACCAGCTTGGGGAGGGCTGGTTCTCTCCCAGGTCCTTTGATATAGGCTGGGGTGGGGGAACCAGGAACAGAGACAGAAATGGGATTTGTGTCTCCCTGGAAAACCTTTGCTGAAACTGTTATTTGCCCACCTTGCAGGACTGTTGTAAAGAAGCACTTTGAGAGAGAAAACACTCTACTAATACTGAATGTAGTTGTGGAATATATTGACTGCTGCAGGACCCCACTGAAGAGAGAGACATTGTGGGTGAATTCCTGTTTTTATTTTCCAGTGAAAGTGAGCACAGCAATGCAGCAAACATGCCCGCCTTTTCACAGCATCCGGACCGTGGATGGAGGCCTGGCTCCGGCAGTCTCCCAGAGCCCCAGAGCCCTTCCCCATAGCTCTCTCTCCCTTATGATTTCTTGCAGCTCCTCCTTCCTAGCTATGTGCCCACATCCCATCCTCCAGAGCTCCCTTTTCTGCGGGTAAAGAAGCAAGTCAGACAGTGAGGCTAAAAATAGGCACCTAATGGAAGCTGCAATGCAGTCCTCTCTTCTCGGCATCCTTGCGTTTGGGCGGCAGGGAGCCAACTGACTTGGCAGAAAGATGAAGCCAGGAAGGCAGTTTTCTGAAGGTGGAAACGGAGACCAACCTGCCCCAGGCCCCGTCAGCTTCCCCCAAGAAAGCCGGGGAAGATTTGAACAAGAGGTCCTTGCGCTTGCAACAGTAGTTTTGGCCTCAGCGAACCCAATTACATCTCTCCCCGCAGCAGGGACCCAGCTTTTCAGCCCCAATCAAGCCAGGCTATCTGCTCTGAGTCTCGGCTGCAACTGCAACTTGGTGCAAGCCAGTCTCTGGCACGGATTCTGGCAGCTTCAAAGCTCTGTGTTCCATTTTCAAAAAGTGCGGCAGGGATCCGAGCAGCATGGGAGGCCAGGAGTCGTTTTGTACAAGACACCTTTCCTATGCAGGTGCGAGGAAAGCGACAGCTTCCGCTCCCAAGACAGATGCATCTTGCCTGGGTAATGGACCGGATGAGAGCCAACAAACTGAAGCTCAATCCAGATAAGACTGGGGCACTGTTAGTGGGTGGTTCCGTAGAGCAGATGGGTGTGAGGTTGCCTGCTCTTGATAGGGTTACCCTTCCACTGAAGGAGCAGGTTCGTAGCTTGGGGCTACTCCTGGATCCTTTGCTGTTGCTCGAGGCTCAGGTGGCCTAAGTGGCCTGGAGCGCCATCCATCAGCTTTGGCTGGTGGCCCAGCTATGACCCAATCTGGACAAGGACAGTCTAACTACTGTTGTCAATGCCCTGGTAACCTCAAGTTAAGATTACTGCAATGCAATATACGTAGGGCTGCCTCTGAAGACAGTTCAGAAACTTCAGCTAGTACAGAATTCAGCGGCCAGGCTGCTCACCAGAGCAAGATGGTTTGAGCATATTACACTGATCCTTGTCTGACTGTACTGGCTACCAATTAGGTTCCGGGCCCAATTCAAAGTGCTGGTTTTGACCTATAAAGTCTTAAACTGCTCAGGACCACAATACCTCAAGGACCGCCTCTTTCCATATGAACCTACCCGGACCCTGAGGTCATCTTCTGAGGCCCTCCTTTGTGTGCCTCCTCCTCAAGAGGTCCGGAGGGTGGCAGCATGAGAACGGGCCTTCTCTGCAGTGGCTCCCTGTCTGTGGAATACTCTCCCCAGGGAAGTTCGCCTGGCGCCTTCATTATTTACCTTTAGGCACCAGGCAAAAACATTCCTTTTTAACCAGGCCTTTGGTTGATCTGATTGACATCCAATGCCCTTTTAAAAATGTGGCTCTTTTTCGGGGTGGTTATTGAGTTGTTGTTTTTATTTTGATTATATATATTGTGGTTTTTATGTTGATCTTTTCTGTGAACCGCCCTGAGACCTCTGGGTATAGGGCATTATATAAATTCTAATAATAATAATAATAATAATGCGGCTGTAGCAAAACAAGACACACCACTTGTCCGCGCAGGAGTTACATGGTTCTTAAACCACTTATGGGGCACAGGGCTTTGCAGCTGATTGGTACTGCTTTTGGCCCAGCTCCCTCTGTATCTGCCCCGCACATGACAACAACTGCAGAGCATCTGGGTGTAGCCAGAAAGTCTGTGCTGTTGTTGCCAGGGTCAAACAGATTCCTTACCCTCTGTTTCAGTAAGCTGCCTTTGGTTCTCTGCACAACAGGAGAGACACATGTATAACAAAATGGAACTTGTAAAAGCACACACTCAATTTAATATTTTAAAACAATCCCCGCTACAGATAGAATGGAATGGATAAAACCAGAGGTGGACAGAAATCTCTGGTGAAAGTCGTCGGCAGGATGAAGCTGGAACTGTGCCAACCAAGAATCCCAGAGGGCAACAATTCTCCTCTCTCTTTCTCCTTGCATCGAGCTGCCTGGAGGGAGGATCCCAGCTGCAGAGAAGTCAGCGATGGCTGAAGAAACCCTGAGGATGGTTGAACTTGAAGGGCTTCATCCGACTGGGGCCCCTAAGAAAGAAGAAAGATTCCTGAATATCAACAGCTATTGCAGGACAGCTCTTCTCATCAAATGCTTTCAAAAAATCTGTGGATCCTATATCAGGATCGTGATGAAAGGGCCTTTTAGAAAGTCACGCTAGGACCTTTGTAGAGATCTGCTGGCTGTAACAGAGGAAGATAATCAAGAATTTTACCTGAACAACTTAGGTCCAGGGTACCTTAGGGATTGCCTGAGCCCTCATGAAAGTCTCCTTTCAAACAACCAGTACAGAACCAGGAAACTCCACAACATTCATTGATCACACCGGCTGCCCACAGATACATGACCTCCACAATCTCCTTTTTATTTGAGCAGATCTACGCACACTTCTGCCTTTGTGAAAAGAAACAAAAATACTGCAGCCTCTTGCTTTCTCACAGCATGCCCTTCCTTGCTCCTTTTGACTGCCTTTGTTAAAGCACAGAGGAGCTTGAGAGGAGGCAGGCAGAGCCCCAGTCGCAATGCCACCAAATGTTGTGGGTGCAAAAATCAGAAAGCGCCAAGGCAGGAGATGAAAAACGGGAGACAGCTCCCAGAAGACACTGGAGACGAGATGAAAGCGCCAAAATCCAGGGGAATGAACAGCTTCCTGCTAGAGATAGAGCTCATTCTTCCTCCCCGCTGGAATAGGAAGAGGCAAGATGAGCCCTCTAGAAGCATGAGTAGAAGTGCCAAGGAAGGCTCATAGCTGTACAAGGCGGGAAAAGATAAAGGGCGGCGAGGGAAGGAAGAGACAGCAGGAACAAGGTGTGCCAAAATTTTTGATTGGTGGGGAGGGACTAGAGAGAAAAACGAAGCCCCATGTAGGTCACAGCCACTTAAAAGAAAACCACAGCTTTCTGTACAAGGTGCACAATGAAGCCATCTTGTATGGAAGCTGCCAATCTACCTCAATAGTATCTACACTGACTGGCAGCAGCTCTCCAGTGTTTCAGGCATTAAGTTGCTCACTCGCACCTATGAAGGTTCTTTCACCTGGAGCCTGGCCAAAACCTGGGCATCTTCTGAAAGTGCACAATGCCCCCCCCTCCCCCAGTCTGGCTACTCTGCTTTAGATGTGCCACAGTACGAGTGTCAGGGACTGTGACGAGGAGGGCTGCACTGAGGAAGAATGGTGGGAGTCACCCCCTTCCCCTGATCCTGAATCTCCCCAGGAGCAGGAGGACAATACGGATTTGAAACAGTGGTTTGCAGAGGGGCATAGTTCAGAAGGCAGAAGCTTGGAAATACTGGATGAGGAACAGCTAGGAGAAGTAACACTGGGAGAGAGTTAACAAATTCACAGTCTCTAGACAGCATGCACCCCCCTTCTCCAAAGACATGGAAAGCTTAGAAAGTGTTAGAACACAAAGCACAGAGGGTACAAGCTCAGATTACAAGACATAGGAGTCACATAGATTAACAGGGACAGAAGGGGGGGGTGAGCCTTAATTGGGAGCACTGTCATTTCTAGGAGACGTGTCCTTTTCCCCCCACTGTATTAAAGAATCTAACTGGTAAGACGTTCCTTTCATTTGATTTTTTATTTACTGCCATGGGCATGGCGGAGGAAGCAGATTCCCCAAAGTTGGACAATGAGACACACACAAGCCCTGCTCCTTACCTGACGAGGCGCAGACACATTTTCTCCTGCGGAAACTCCTTGGGCCCCTCCACACTGTTGTCGTGGGTCTCTGTCTCAAGGTAGACATCCAGGACGACACACAAGCGCTGCAGCTGATTGGTCAGGAGCTGGTAGCCTGGCTTGGGACCATACAGTTCTTTGTAGTAAACAGAGACCTCGCTCTCCATGGCCTGCAGAGAACCAGAGAAGGAAGAGAGAAGAAGGTGAAAAGGGGACAATGTGAGTCCCTCAGAGACTGCCCAGCCATGTCCTGTATCAGGGATGGGGAACCTGTGACTCCCCAGATGGAACTCCTATCATCCCTGATCATTGACCACGCAAGCTGGGGCTGATGGGAGTTGGTGGGCCATAGGCTCCCTGGCTGAGAGTCCTCTTCCCTGGGTTTGGGCCCAGCACCGTACCCGGATGTTGTCGTCGTTGCTGTTGGTCTTCTCCCCTTTCCAGTTCAGGCACAGGCTGAAGATGGGAGGCATGGAGGAGTAGCCTGGGTTCAGCACCACCGCTGCCTGCAGCTTGGCTAATCACAGAAGGGAAGGGAAGGGAATGTCATCATGGAATGGTCAAAATTTCTAGCCCCTCTTGGTTTATGAGTAAACACAAAAAAAAATGAAGGCATGCACAATGAACCTGGCCACTGAACAAAGGTAACCCACAGCTTTACTCGTCGTTCTCTTGGCCTCGATCACCAAGCGGCCCCTGGAAAACTGCACACAAGGGAATGCGGCCCCCAGAATGAAAACAGTGGCTTCCACCAACTGTTAATCTGAAGTCTTACTGCCTCCAACCATGGAGACAGAGCACAGCCATTGTGGATATGCTCTGCCCCTGCGGCTGGAGGCAATTACGTTTCTGAATACCAGCTACAAGAAACCACAGGAGGGGATAGGGGTCTCGTGCTCAAATCCTGCTTGTGGGTTTCCCGCAGGCAATCTGGTTGGCTGCTATTGAGAACAGGATGATGGTGAACTAGGTAGACTGCTACCCTGACCCAGTAGGGCTCTTGTGACTCTTGTGGTCCCCACCTCTGCATGACAACCATGCCTTCTTCTCAAGCCTGCTTGCGGTGGGGAAACACAGGAGAAAGAGAATCACCCACCTGTTCCTCTTTCTATCAGGGCCATGTAGTACAGGTGCGTGTCCTCAGCCAAACCGGCCTCGACGACATCTTTTGTGTAGGACAGCTCCTGCAGTGGGAAGAGGGAGAAGCGGGCGGTGAGCTGGGTCTACAGAGATAGGGACGCTGCGTATCCACACACAATGGAGTCTCTTTACAACATAAGCACAGATCAGATGGCTCAGATCGACATGCAGTGCAGAAAACAGGCAGCTGAGGCCAGCGGTGTGAGATGGAAAAACAAGAATAAGCATTCCACTTCCAAAAACTTTTTGCTTCATTAAAATAGTAATAATCTGTCAGGCTTCAGGGAATCTGATCCCCCTCCCTTATGGCAGGCTGCTAGTAATGGAAAGACAAGAAGCTCTTACCAAGGTATTTTATTCAATATTCAGAGAGAGACGTACAAATGCCGTTTCTCGGATAATGGCGTTGCTCCGAGTAAAGTCCCACCCCATCCGTCTCTGCTATTATACGCCATCCCTACACTGGCTGATCTGTGCTTTCTGCCTCTGAGCTTTCTGTTCTCCTACTCTCAATGCCTGCCGGGTTCGGGGAGAGGGGTGGTGGTCTGGAATGCTTTCTAACGACACTGAGTCTGTCAGCTGTCTCTCCCCTGGTGCTGCTTCTTCTTCCTGCTACTCTTCCAATATTCCCAGCTTCTCCCCTCTACAACCTCTGAACTGTGACCTTCTGCAAACCACTGTTGTAAACCTATACTGTCTCCCTCTTCTCTGGGAATTGCAGGAGCAGGGGGCGGTCTCCACCATTACTCTCAGTCCAGCCCCTGACATAATGATAACAATACAGTGGTACCTCTGGTTACGTACTTAATTCATTCCAGAGGTCTGTTCTTAACCTGAAACTGTTCTTAACCTGAAACTGTTCTTAACCTGAAGCACCACTTTAGCTAATGGGGCCTCCTGCTGCTGCCATGCCGCCAGAGCACGATTTCTGTTCTCATCCTGAAGCAAAGTTCTTAACCCGAGGTACTATTTCTGGGTTAGCGGAGTCTGTAACCTGAAGCATCTGTAACCTGAAGCGTCTGTAACCCGAGGTACCACTGTAATAGATACAATACCAACCAAACTGAGCAAAGCTGTAATTGCCTCTCCCTCCACATGGCTATTCTTAAGCAGCATGCACACATATATGATTTTCAAGCAAAGCAGGAAGCATTCTCAGACGTAGCATTCAAACAACATTAAATGGGCTTTTTTGATCCCCTCCCTCCCAGCTCAAATCAAGTATTTCAGGGCAGCCTTTCCCCGCCCAGTGGTTTTGGACTACACCTCAGCCAGCTGTTTTTGGCCTCAGCTCCCCATCAAGTCCCAGACAGTCCAGAACAGCTGGCGGGCACCAGATTGGGGGAGGCTGGTTTAGCAGGCCAGTTCTTTCTCACAAGACTCCACTTACCAGGTAATCCTCGTACGTGAGCGCTGTCCACTTCACCAACCGCGACACAATCTTTGCCGGAAAGAGATGCTGGCACTCGCTGGAGACCGGCAGAATGCCATGCTCTGAAGCCCAAGACGGGGAAAAAGAAAGAGCAACATAAATATGATCGAAGAGAGTCCCCTTTCCCTAGCAGGGTCAACGTGTTATGTTCAGAAGTGGCAGCTCAAAGGGCAAATCTGGCCGCTGAACAATTGTGGCTTTAGGTTCCTGTCATATATGGTTAAGCAAAAAAGGTTCTAAACCTCTGAAGGCTCAAAAGAGTTCTGACAGGTAACAGCTGGTGATAGGACCAACATGCTGATGAGTGATAAATTAGCACAAAGCTTGCTCCATTGGAGATGGAAGTGGAAAAAACAGAGAGGCGCTTGGAAGTTGCAAAGGCAGTGTTTGACCGAGATTGTCCCAATCAGTGACAAGCAGATGTACTGCAGCGGACCCAAGGATCCTTCGGCCAATTCCCAGTGAGCCGCTGAATATCTGTTGGTTGCTAGGACTCTTGCCAAGAATGCTGGGTTAGGGAGATCGTGGTCTGATCCCACAAAGGAGATAGGGCTGTGGGAACTGGCCGGTCAATTCCCATAGCTTGGTGAGCCCGATCTGGACTTGGGCTAGCCACCCACTTTTAGACCTTTTTCTTTAGAGAGTTTCAGTGTTCGCCCCATACTACTCAGTGCTCTGAAGATTCCATTGTCCTGACAACGTTTCGATGGATAGCTCATAATTGTCAATCACACCTGGGACACCTATTTGGACACATGGACTGTGTATATTAATTTATATGTTCAAGTCAAGATCAGTGGGATATTTAAACCGTCTATGAAGCTGACCGTGTTTCCATTCCCCTTCTATTCTAGCTTCAAAACTTTACAGTTTTGGAGAAAGTCAGTGGGGAGAATGTGTGGAAGGGGTGCAATCTGGATGAACCCCCTCCACACCATCTCCCTGCCAAAAATTGCCTCTCAAAGCTTTTGTTAATGTTTCCCCGCAAAGGAGCTACTACAGCAGCTTCCAGGGGGTGATTTTTGTCAAGGAAACAGGCATATGGAGAATAATTACTTAAAATTCCCCCACTGTCCATGCCATTGCCATGGGGCTCCCACAGCTGCTTGTTCCTAAATGAAGCAATTTAGCTGCTTCTAAGCAAGCAAAAATGCTTTTTAAGTTAGATGTAGTTAAGCCTGGAGGTGGCAGATTTGCATGTGGGAGGCTGCCACTTCAGATTACAGGTGGGGGCTCCCATGATGTCATTCTCCATACAAAATAAAAATCCCTGCACTCAGAAAACTAGCAGTGTCAGAGGAAATGGGACTCTACCTACATCTTCCTGACATGCTAGGTTTTCTTGTGCAGGGATTATTTGTTTGTAGTATGATGGAATGTTCTGCCTCACTTTGTAAGTTTGGGGCTGAAATGTGTCCCAGGCCTGAGGGTGGGGGGCATCTGATGCTCAGTGTGTGCACGGTTGTTGGAATCCAGAGTGTCACTACTGGGGGAAGCAAGAGGGCAGCTGGGATTTACCAAGCGAAGCAAACTGCTTGTGTAGAGCAAGGCGGGACTCCAGCCTCATCTTGAGCAATTTCATCGTCCTCTCCATGTGGCTAGCGCTCAGCGAGTTATCGGCAATCACAGGATTCTGCAAATGGGGTAAAGGCAAAAGTGGTGTTACCTTCGCACCACTGAAGAGCCAGGAAACTGGGCAGGCTTGACCAGATTGGATTCTCTCGCAGCTGCAACCTGTTTCCTTGCACAGCCTCATCCGAGATGAAAAAGCCAAGGCCCCGACATCATCCAGATTCCTCTGTGCACAACATTAAAACTCATCCTTATGCTGACAGACGAGAGAATGATGGATAAAGTCATAGAAGCGATCATCTAGCCCAATCCCTGTCCCATATGGGGATTGAACCTGCAACCTTGGTGTCATCAGCACCATGCTCTAATCAGCTGAGCTATCCTAAGGATACTTGCTGAGTCCTCCTTCCACTGCCCTGGGACTCTGCTCTCATGGTTTGGAACCACCTAAACATGCACAAACTTTCACACACACACATACCCCGACTATCTATACCCACACAACACACACTCACACACTTCCGTAAGAAGAGCCATGCTGGATCAGACCAATGGCCCATCTAGTCAGGCACCCTGCCATGGACATAGCCGGTGGGGGTGCAGCTGCTCCCCCTAAAACAAGTAAGTAAATAAAAATACTTAACTGACCAATTGCATCTCAGATAACTCAGTTTTGCCCCCCAACATAAAACCTGACCCACCTAAAATAAATCCTGGCTACGCCCATGCATCCTGCTCTCACCGTGGCCAACCAGATGCCCCAATAGGAAGCCTGTAAGCAGGATCTTAGCAAAAGAGCGCTCTTCCCTCCTTGCTGTTTCCAGCAACTGGTGTTTGGAGGCAGAGTGCAGCCACTGCAGCTAGTAGCCATGTCCCCCGTAAACCCCTCAGTGCATCTTCATTCACCTGCCCGCAAGCAAACGCTCGCTCCGTTTGCAATTTGGAGAGCCGGGTCCAGCAGTGCCGGCAAAGGCTGCCTATAGAGATTAGGGCTGCGTCTTTGTTCAAAGGCAGCACTGCACCTACCTGGGGCTGATCCTTGGGGAAATGCAGGCCCCCCAACTTCTGCACCCACATGTAAGGGTGTCCCAGTTCTGCAACGTAGTCGTTCAGGGACATGATCCTGGAAGACACAGGGAGGGAGGGAGCATGTGAGAAGCCATGAAGGAGAGGCCTACAAGGCAAGCACCTCTGACCATTACCAGCTTACCCGACTTTATCAAACTGGAACTGGTTGGCAGGGTTTGGAGTCCTCTTTCCGTGATCTCCAGGATACAGGCAGCTCAGGAGGGTGTCGGGGCACAGCAAGTCTCTAGAAAGAAATAGGAACAAGCAATGTGAAATTCAGAATCTTCCTGTGCTATCCTTTGTCGGAAGATCCAGCAAAGGAAGGAAAAAGGCATTCTTCACGCAGCAGAATTGAACGACGGAACTCACTCCTGCAGGAGGAAACAACAGCCGCCAACCTTAGATGGTGTTCAAAGAGGACTGGGCAAATTCACAGAGGGGCAAGGCTATTGATCGCTACTAACCACTATGAGTAGGTTCTGCCTCCATGGTCAGAGGCAGCAATACTTCTGAATACCAGGTTCTGGGAACCACAGGAGGGGGAGGAATGCTCAGACAAGACAATCTGGGTGGCCACTGTGAGAACAGGAGGCTGGACTAGATGGGCTCTTGTGCCACTGTGTTTCATTTCTATCTAAGTCGGATCTGCCAAAGAAAAATCTCCCCGTATGAACGACTCTAAGATTCTGTGCAAGTTTACTTCTGCTGCGTTGCCATGGGAATTCCGCAGATCTGCAGGGACCTCTGTTGTGTGTGTGTCTGTGTTCTCCTCCCCTCACCCACTGGAACATTCTGACGTCGCTCAGATCTTTTGAAACTCCATTTTGCATCCATTCCCGTCGTCTGCGCTGTCCGCCTTTCTAAATGGGCCACAGACTGTCATCTCACAGCGATGACTCTAGAGTTGTATGCAGGCATACTCTGCATTCTCTTCAGATCATATAAATCTTCCCCCTACCCCTTTAGAGTTGAATGCAGGCAGTCCCCACAGCTCCCACCCTTTCTCTCAAATGCTGCCGACAGAAGTAAACAGGTTCTCTGATCAGCAGCAGATTAGACTGAAAAGTCACATTAAACACAGATAATGAGGGCAACCGAGAACCTCGTGTTTAGGCAGGAGAACAATCGGATCACAGCATTCGTGGTTATCGGCGACTTTAAGAATCAGGGTAGTTAGCCAAGCAGGAAGTCAGGTTACTGAAGGCTGCCACCAGGCATTAACAGCAGAACCATCCAAGGATGAATAATTGCACTGGCACATATACACCCCCAACATCACCTCCTCTTTTTCCACTGTTAAAACTGCCTTAAGTGTGTGTGTGTGTGTGTGTGTGTGTGTGTGTGCAATAAACAAAGGTTTAAGTGATGCTCTGCCGAACGTCTCAGCTTTAACTAAAGTTAACGTTAGACACATGTGAAGCAGGCTGCTGCAGGGGAAAGAGCAAGCTGCTTCTCCCAAGCCTATTTTGGCAGCTGTGCTTCCAAGCCAGATTTCCACGCACACCCCAACACACACAACTCCAAAGGGAATAAAAGCTCCACTCCCTGAGGCGAGGTAACTCACAGAGCAGAAGAGGGAAGGGAGAGGAATAGGAGGAAGCAGTCTCAGCAGAGAGAGAGACTCAGCGACCATGCACAGGGAGAGGAAGCGATTAGTCTGCTAGAGAGTAATTAAATGAGACAGGGAGACGAGATGCGATCAGCCCCTAATTTATCCTCGCCAACTCAACAGAGCACCAGAGACACATAGGTCCGTTTGTTGGTTTTTTCCCTGCTATCTGACCCATAGGAATGCTCCTCTCTCATCAGGCTCCTCCCTGTCTCGCTGCCAAGATAAATTAAGAGATCAGAGACAGATCTTGTCTTTTCCGCTAAAGTCTCTCCGCTCTTTAGGGGCGAACGAGGCCCGAGAGGGGATGTATAACTGCAACGACTACAAGCGACATGCAAGTGACTCTGCAAACTCGTGTGCCCACAGCGCCCCCTGGTGCAACTCGATGGCAGTGCCCATCTTTTGCACTGCCCCAAACAACATATTGAGGTAAGGCAGAAAGCCAAATTCTGCCCAGTTAGATGGGAAAGTTCAGGTTGGGGAATTTTTAGGCCTGAGGTTCTGGCTGATCGTGGTTTAATGGGAGGCCCACCGCACCCTTACACAGATCAGAAGACTCAGATCTTCAGTATCTGAGAACAGCAGCTGACAAATCTTGTTCTCCGTTACTCCATAATAATTCTTCAAATTGTAGAACCGTTAAAATTCATACTTGTGTATGCTAACAGACTCCAGCAACTGTGCCTGCTTGTTTCAAGGTGCTGCCTTCTGTATAGTTAAGTGGACAATTTAACAAGACCCAAGGTTAACAAACGGTTTTGCCTGCGTAGAGCAAGAGATGTGAGTCTGTTGATGCTTCTGCACTGTAACCTATATAGTGAGCACAGAGCAGGGGTGCAGAACCCTTTTCGCTCCACAGGCCAAAGCCGTATCTGCCACACGGGGCCAAATGTGACAGGTGGGCGCAGCCCACACCATGTCAAAATCCCATAAGTACATAAGAGTCTGATGTTCTCACAGTGGCCCACCAGATACGTGTGGGAAACCTGCAAACAGGATTTGAAGAACAAGAGCACTCTCCCTTCCTGTGGTTTCCAACAGCTGGTGTTCAGAAGCAATTATGCCTTCAAGGGAGGAGGCAGAACACGGCCAATGTGGTTGGTTGCCATGGATAGTCCTCTCCTCCATGAATTTACCTTATCCTGTTTTAAAGACATCTAGGCTGGTGGTCATCGCTGTCTCCTGTAGCAGTGAGTTCCATAGTTTCGGCCCAATCTGGAAGGGGAAGTTTGTGTGTGTGTGTGTGTAAAAAAAAGGAGAAGGGAAGGGGAAAGAGACTTGCAAAAGCTTTTGTCCCTCCCTCCCTTTAAGGTCTGGGGACTTAAAAGTAAAGTGAGGGAGAGATTTGCAAAGGCTTTGCAAGTCTTCCTTTGTGTTGGCTTAGTTCAGTTGTCATGAGGAAAACTCATGGCTCAGAAGTTCTCTGTCCTGCAAAGAACACAGGAAGTGACTGGCTGCTTGATCAGGCCAAAGGGGCTCCTGTTCTCACAGTGGCCAACCAGATGCCTCTTCTGGGAACCCCGCAGGTAGGAGCTGTGTAGTGATCCCCAGCATACTGCCCCCAACAGTGAAGGGAGAACACAGCCACCTTTTCTACCTGGCTCTGGTTGGCAGATCTTGGGGTTCTAGTAGATCCAAATTGCCGACTGTCTGCCCACCCCTGATAAAGATGGACCAGCAACCTAAGTCAGGTTAACATTGTTTCTCAAATCCCTAAATGAGGTACCTCTTTGGCAGGTGCTGCAGGAAAAGGGTATACAGAAAACACTCACAAACTTTCCACATCTCAGAAAGACTGCACTGGAATCTCTGCTTTTTCTTCGGGGGTTAAAAAACAACAACCCACTGGGCAAAGTAGAATTCTGCCAGCAGCCACAACAGCAGGTTTGCTTGCCAACACCCCATGAAATAATTTCCCAGCTGAACCCACCTTCGGCACCTGGGATCCATCAGCGACAGCCTGTCCCCTCGCCACCCCCCGCAAAGCTCACCCGGCACTGATGGGCATGGACATCTCCGCAGCTGCCGTCACTTTGGCTTTCGTCGTCATGACGTTGAGGTTCATCAGATAGTAGAAGGTGAGGAGGAGGAGGCTGCCATCTGCAATGACACAGCCAATGCCAGGGGTTTAGGCAGGAGAGAGCAACGACTTCCAGTTGTGTTTAAACCACTGTGAGAGGATGGGGGTCAGTGAACTGCTCCCTTACCTGTTGGAACTCACTAGCTATAATACATGGAGAACCTCAGGCTTGTGGGCTGAATATGGCCCACCAGGACTCTCTACCTGTCTGGCCCTCGGGGTTCTCCCTCTCCTAAGCCACACCCCTTCTCCACAGGCAAGGCCCCTCCCTGGCCCTACTTCATACCCTCCTCGAGCGCTCTTTCGCCTGGCTGTAAATATGTCCTTGAACTCAGATAACGCTTCTTGCTTGCCGTTCTCCAGCCAAAGAAATGTGTACAAAAATGCATGGGAGGAAAGCGTGAATTAAAAAGCCATGTTTTAGTGAAAGTAACATGCAAAACTTCCTCTAAGGCAAAGTTGCTTGAATATTAGGAGAAAGGGGCAGGAAAACAATTACAATTGTTTGGTGAAAGTGTGTTGTGTGTGATCAAAAAATCGCAAGCTGCTGAGGAGATGTCGGGGACCACCCTAAGACCGGAAAAATGAACAACTAACTGATATGGAAATTGAAATATTCATGCATCCCTAACTTCCAGAGAAGGGAAAGATCCCCAGTTTAGGGGCACCAACAGATGAGCCGCTTTGCTTTCTCACGTACCTTTGCATTTCAGGTCGACAGTGACGGACAGTGGGTGCCTCTTGAGCATTTCCTTCCGCTTGTCATCCAGCTGCACTCCTAAGGTTGGGCGGCGACGCTTCTAGAGTGGGGAAGGGAGAATCACAACACATTCCTGCCTCCACTCTTTCAACGCACTTTCCCTGCACTTTGTTTGCTGTGGCTTTGCACCACACCTGTTGCACCCTGGCCTGTTGTTACCTGTCCTGCCCATGTGCTTTGAGGTGCAAGCGTGAGATGGGCAGCAGGGAGGGACAAGCGCAGCCACCCACCCACCACCACCACTAGGGTGGTCATTGGTACACCCCAATCTTTCCATTTTCCTTTTGAAGGGGCTGTTGCCCCATTCTGAATAAGCCCTGTCTCAAAATTCTAAATCCAACACCATAGAGGAAAGGAAGTGCTTACGAGGAACAAAGGAGGTTGCTTCATACAGAGTCAGACCATTGGCTCCATCTAGCTCAGGAGTAGGCAACTTAAGGCCCGGGGGCCGGATGTGGCCCAATCGCCTTCCCAATCCGGCTCGTGGATGGTCTGGGAATCAGCGTGTTTTTACATGAATAGAATGTGTCCTTTTATTTAAAATGTATCTCTGGGTTATTCGTGGGGCATAGGAATTCGTTCATTTCCCCCCAAAAAATACAGTCCGGCCCACCACATGGTCTGAGGGACAGTGGACCGGCCCACAGCTGAAAAAGGTTGCTGACCCCTGATCTAGCTCATTATCACCTACATGGACTGGCAGTGGTTGTCTGCGGTTTTAGGTAGGGCTCTCTCACACCCCTACCTGGAGATTCCGGGAACTGAACTAGCGACCTTCTGTATGCAAGTCACATGCTCCACCACTATTATCAGTGGTTCTCCAGGTTTTCAGTCAGGGAGTCTTTCCCCAGCCTTACCTGGAGAGGCCAAGTGAGGGACAGGGAGAGCCAAAAGGAAATGACAATGCAGATGACCGAAGGAGATGGTCTGTTGGTAAGTGCATCACCAAGTCCCAGTATGTTTGTTTCTCCTCACTTCGTTACATGGAAATGGCACACAAGAAAGGCCCATCACTTATTATATTTAATGGGGGAGGGGCGGGTGAATGACAAGGAACATTAGACGTGAAAGAACAGGTCTAATGGCACACGGAATACCGGTTTCAAGGCAGGAGGAGACATCTCCCCACAACATCCCTCCCCTCCCTGCAATTTCATAGCGCAGTGGGAAGGTGGAGCTCTTACCGTGGTCTGCTCCTCCTCGGCATCCGAGTCACTCTCATCATCTGTGAATCCAAATAAATGAATGCTAAGAGCCTGGCTGCATCAGGGCAAAGACCTATTTAACCTAGCATTCTGTTCTCACAGTGCCCAACCAGATGCCTGTGGAAAGCGAACAAGTAGGACACAAGTGCAACAGATCCTTTAGTGATGGCAGCCAACTTGGATGGCTTTAAAGGAAAGGACCGCCTCTCTCCATATGAACCAACACAGACCCTGCAATCATCACCCGAGGTCCTCCTTCGTGTGCCTCCTCCACAAGAGGCCCAGAGGGCAGCACATGAGAATGGGCCTTTTCTGTGGTGGCTCTCATCTTATAGAATGCTCTCCCCAGGGAGGCTTGCCTGGCCCTTTTGTTACATATCTTTAGGTGCCAGGCAAAACATTCCTCTTCTCCCAGGCCTTTGGCTGATCAAACAATCTGTGTCCTTTGTTTGTTATTATAGCATGCATTTTTGTGCTTTTTTATATTGTAAACCACCATGACCTTCAGACGAAGGGTGATATAGAAATTTAATAAGAATAATAAATGCACGGAGAAAGAGGCTGTCTACGACCACAAACCATGATGGCTATATGTCACCTCTGCCAGCAGAGGAAGTATGCCTTTAAATACCCATTGCTGCACATAGGTCCACTTTGTGGGCTTTGCGCTGGGGCAGCTGTTTGGCTACTGTGAAGACAGGATGTTGGACTAGGTGGGCCTTCGACCAGAACCAGGGCTTCTCTTACGCTCCAACAACAAAGCAGCAATGCCTCCCCAGTTATGGAGCATGTTTATCCAACTGCAGCCAGGGCAACCCATACAACATCCAGCACAGACACGTTAACACTGCAGGACAGAATCTCCCAATTTCCTCTTTACAAGTTTAACAGTTTTGGTTAGCTTTGAGCTCAGTTTTAACATGCAAGCTGCCAGTGGGCCACCCGTATTTTGCAGCCCTTGTCAGACTATGACTCCCCGTCAGCCTTGATCCTTGGGCGATGCTCGCGCGGGTTGATGGGAGTTGCAGGCTAGCAACTTTCAGAGGGCACCAGTCTGGGGCAGAACAACTTCTGTCAGACCTAGCCAGCATGGCAAATGGGAAGAGACGCCAGGAGTTGTAGTCCTGGAGTGTGCCAAGCCAAAGATGGCTGGTCTATGCCAACTGGCTGCTGCTCTCCAGGACATTTCCCAGCCCAGGTAGGTGGGAATCCTTTCGCTGGAGCTCCTGAACCTGGAACCTTATGGAAGCAAAGGACATGCTCAACTGAAGAGCCATTCACAGCAAGTGAAGGCAGCTTATGGACCCTCACTCACCCTGAGAGTCCTCTGGAGGTTTGCAGAGCGCTTTGGCTTCCTCCACGTTGCCTTCGATAGCCACAGCCAGCTTCTTGTCTGTGAAGGAGATGACGCTGTTAGCCACACCTCCCCAAAGATGACTCCCACAAACTCTGTAAAGCTCAGAAGCAACAAGGTTGTCAAATGCAGAAGCTTCATCAGGTTTTGGGCAGCTCTGCTCTCTCTCCCCAACCCTGCAGACTCAGGGGAGCCAGGGATCAGATTAAGGGTGGGGGCGGGGAACACACCATGTGACAGTCTTCAGATAATGTCATGCTTTCTGCATGGAGCTGTGAAATTTGACACCTCTGCTCCCCTTCAAAGCTCAGCTACCTTGAAATAATAACTTACCACAGGCTTGGCCGTAGGCACTGGCTTGGACAAAGAGCACATAAAGGGGTGGCGGGAGATGCCTGGCTGTCTCATACTGCTTGTGAACCTGGTCAAAAGGCATGGAAAGGTACTCCTGGACAGGGAGCGAAGCCTGATAGGAAAGAGGACCGACAGGGGAAAAAATGGGGGTTATAATTCTGTGGTTTGGGTAGTGACCCATGAGAATAGGTTGGCACCAAAATGCCCCCAAAGACGCTGCTTTTATTATGCTATGTTGTCAGTACGTGCCCTTTCATTATTAGGTATGTTATGTTTTGATGCACAGAGGGCAGGAACCTGTCACCCAGGGGCCGCATGTGGCCCCCTGTCTCATTTGATGTAGCCCCTGACACCTCTTGAAGCTGCTCTAGTTCTTTTATCCTAGGAGTGGGGAACTGCAGGTTCAGGGCGCCCTTCCTCCAGGACTCTATCTGGGCCTTGGGACTCTTCCCCAGTCCGCACCCCTCACAGGCCCTTGTCTTGAACCCTCCTCAAGTATTTTTGGCCTGGCTGGGCTGTGTCCTTGAACTCTGATCACGCCTCTTTTTTGCCTGGATGGAGGACAGAGCGGGATGTGGGTGAGAATGTGCAGAAACTGACCTTCTGTACAAAGGGGAGGAAAATACACATGTTGCCCCACCCATTTTTGCTTTAGCCCCACCCACCACTGGTATGTGAAACGTCTGGTGGCTCCAACAACCTCGGGAGGCCTGCAGCTTAGCCAACCCTGTTATAAATAATAATAGTAATTGCAGTACAGTGGTACCTCGGGTTACATATGCTTCAGGTTACAGACTCTGCTAACACAGAAATAGGTACCTCGGGCTAAGAACTTTGCTTCAGGGTGAGAACAGAAATTGTGCAGCGGCGGCGCGGCGGCAGCAGGAGGCCCCATTAGCTAAAGTGGTGCTTCAGGTTAAGAACAGTTTCAGGTTAAGAACGGACCTCCGGAACGAATTAAGTACTTAACCTGAGGTACCACTGTAGTAGTAAAATAACCAGCACACTGAAAGAGAAGGAAAGGCAACGGTCTCTGACAAAGTCAGTGGGGCTTGTGATAAAAGTCCTACCCAGAATCTGTTCTTACGTAAAACCACTCATATATATTCAGGTTTTCTTTCTCTGAAGCAGGGATGGGAATCTGTGGCCCTCCAGAAGCTGCAGGACTCCAAACCCCCAGCCAAGCATGGCCAATAGTTGAGAATGATGGGAGATGTAGTCCAGCGACATCCCGCACCAGCTCTGTAATCAATGATTTGGTTCTGTATCGAAGGCCATCTCCCATGCCACACCAACAGGGTATGCGGGTTTCTTAACCTCCTGCTGAGAACTCCTAAAGCAATTCTTTTTAAAAGCCTGACCCACAGCATACCTGCATGATGCTGTTGAGCCGAGGCTGGAGGTTACTGAGGTACTCCTTCTTCACTTCTATCTCTTTCAGGATCTTCTCTTTGTTTGCCAGACTTTCTTTGTACTTCTCTGCCAGCCTGCACGTAAGAGATTCACAGTTACTAACAAGCGACAGTGTTTCCAGAGAAAGTAGAGGAGGGAGAAAGGGGACACACACAAAGTCTGAGAACACAGGAAGCTGCCTTATAGTGACTCAGATCAATGGTCCATCTAGTTCAGTATTGTCTACACTGACTGGCAGTGGCTTTCCAGAATTTCAGGATGGGATCTCTACCTGGAGGACAGAACCTGGGGCCTTCTGCATTCAGGGTGCTTGCTCTATCAGAAGATGCTGAATTTGTCCATCTGGCAGGGGGCGCTCCAGGGTTTAATGCAAACGGCTCTCACAGCCCTACCTGGAGATGCTGGGGAACTGACCCGATGATCATCTGCATGCAGAGCAGAAGCTCTACCACTGACATTTCAGCCCTTCTTCCTCAAGTCCTCCTCTCATAATATTTATAAACTTGGAACACTGTGGGACCACACTTCTAGATTCCCAGGTCTGTTCATTTTCTGGCAGTCTTTAAAATGCAGGGTCCCCTGCCCCTGCAAGCATGCCAACATCGCAGACTATCTTGCCAGAGTGGTGCATGCTCTGGTTAGCTCCTGCTTGGACTACTGCAATGTGCTCTACGTGGGGCTACCTTTGAAGGTGACCCGGAAACTACAACTAATCCAGAATACAGCAGCTAGACTGGTGACCGGGAGCGGCTGCCGAGACCATATAACACTGGTCCTAAAGGATCTTCACTGGCTCCCAGTACATTTCCGAGCACAATTCAAAGTGTTGGTGCTGACCTTTAAAGTCCTAAATGGCCTCATCCCAGTATACCTGAAGAAGCATCTCCACCCCATTGTTCAGCCCGGACACTGAGGTCCAGCTCCAAGGGCCTTCTGGCTGTTCCCTCCCTCCGAGAAGTGAGGTTACAGGGAACCAGGCAGAGAGCCTTCTTGGTAGTGGTGGAAAGCCCTGTGGAACGCCCTCCCATCAGATGTCAAGGAAAGAAACAATTATCTGACTTTTAGAAGACATCTGAAGGCAGCCCTGTTTAGGGAAGTTTTTAATGTTTGGTGTTTTATCACTTTATTATTATTGTTATTATTCTGCTGTGAGCCACCCAGAGTGACAGCCAGATGGGCGGGGTATAAACAAATAAATAATAATAATAATAATAATATTTGCTTCTTGCTTTCATTAGCCCCGTTTGGGCTGCAATCCCTGTTGGCTCTCACTACCTGAGTTCACTATTAGAAGGACCGATACTGCAGAGTGAAGGAAAGGGAGGAGAACCGTAAGCTTGCTCAAAGCCACCTAGCAGCTGCTGGGCTATCCTACTCACCGCTTGCGCTGCTCCAGCTCCCAGTCGAGGCGGGAGAGCGTCTGCTGGTGGGGATCGGCGAGCGTAATCTCCGGCTTGCTGATTTCTGCAGGGGCCTCCTTGTAAAACTCCTCCACGCTCACCAGCTCAATCTCCTCATGCTTGGACCTGAAGGAAGGGGACCAAGAGAAAGATAAATAAGGGGGGGGGAGGGATCTTCCTCTGTATCCAAGGTCACATGTAGCCCAAGGACCGCAAGACTGAGCTAGCTGCAGTTCAGTGACAGCTCTCAAGTTGGGCCTTGGAATGGGCTTATCAAAGTTGTGCAGACCAACTAGATAAGGCTAACTTACAGTTCAAATTTCTAAAAAGTTTTTGTTTGTTTTTTGCAAGTGGCCAGGCTTGTAATAATGAGATGCTGGAAGAACTTGGAGGCTGCATCTTTGACAAAAAGGATGGCCAACAGCACTTGAGGTGAAAAAAAGTACTAACAAAACAAAATTGGCAAAAGGTGTGAAGCCTCATTAGTCTACTGGCTAACTTTTGGGGGCCTCTCTACCCTCCAGTAACAACCTATTTTTTAAGCTGCTTACTTAAATTCCAGGCATTTTGTGATCTCCTTCTGCAGGTGCATGACTTCGTACAGCAGATTTTGGAGCTGCAGGTGATAAGCATCCACTTTCTGCTTTGCCTGTTAACAGAGCACAGAGAAAAATCATTACAAGGCAGGGCAGTGAAAAATCAAGTTGGTGCGGCTGAGACACACGGCTGATGATGCAGTCTCAAAAAAGTGGCAAGTTAGTGAAACTGAACTGAGATCCATATGCTCATGTGGGCAACCTTCCAGAGGCCACCTGCCAGTGGTGGGCAGCGTCAGAGGCAAAGATGGGCGAAGCAACAAATGAAATTTTATTTTGTATAGTAGGCTGGTTTCTACACACATACTCAACACACCTTTCTCTGTCCTCCATCCAGGCATACAAGAGGCATGATCAGAGCTTGAGGACACATTCCATCCCATCACTCAGGGGAGGGAAGTAAGGTCTGGGAGAGGCAAAGCTCAGGAGGGTACGTGGCCTGGGGAGAGTCCTGAAGGGCTACATTTGGCCCCGAGTCTGATGTCCCCCACCCCTGATTTACATATGCAAAGTATAAAGGTAAAGGTAAAGGTAAAGGGACCCCTGACCATTAGGTCCAGTCGTGACCAACTCTGGGGTTGCGGCGCTCATCTCGCTTTATTGGCCGAGGGAGCCGGCGTACAGCTTCCAGGTCATGTGGCCAGCATGACTATGCCGCTTCTGGCAAACCAGAGCAGCGGACGGAAACGCCATTTACCTTCCCACCCGAGCGGTACCTATTTATCTACTTGCACTTTGACATGCTTTCGAACTGCTAGGTTGGCAGGAGCAGGGACCGAGCAACGGGAGCTCACCCCATCGTGACGATTCGAACTGCCAACCTTCTGATCGGCAAGTCCTAGGCTCTGTGGTTTAACCCACAGCGCCACCCATGTCCCTATGAAAGCATACAAAACAACAAATTTCGTTTTACCCCATGGGGAAGTGTGTTTTAAGATAACACAGAAAGCCATGCTGTCGGAAAACAGTGCTGCGTATCAATACCAGTACAATCTCACTTCTTTTTAAAGAAAATATGTTAGCTCCATCAGTCCAAAATAACGGGTATTCTCCTATCTATGTCCCCCTCACTTGGATTTGAATATTCAGCCCAACACACAAGTAGGAATGAAAGGGTTGGGCTTACTATCTTGTAACATATAGGCTCTATTACAATTATTATTATTATTATTATTATTATTAATTCCCCGCCATTCACCCTCAGGTCCAAGAGTGGTTTGCAACATTAAAACACAATATTCAAACCAGTTTAAAACAACTAACAATCACAAAAATAAGGTGGGTCTGAAAAATCTTCCCTAGAACTGCCTTGTATGAGAGTACGGGTCCAATGAGGGGGAGGGTTTCAAGAAGCTTGTGGAGCAAGCTTCGGTGCTGCTGCACCTAATGATCTGACCATCCAAGATCCTGTAACCCTTCCCTGGTTCTCTGGACTCAACCGTACCTCGTGGGTTTGATCCCTTCCCTTCTTTAACCGGATGTGAGCCAAACGGTTGAGTTTCTTCAGGGTCATGAAGTGGACACAGCTCTGGATGCGACGCTCCTCAATCTCGGAAGCCTGAAAGGCAGAGAGAGGGGAAAAAGAGGAAGCCGATTAGGACGGTCCTTAATTTTCTTACCTTTATATCCCGCCTTCCTTACACCATCATAGAACCCAAGGCGGTTTCTGTGAGGTTTCTCAGTCTTCATCCATCTAGGCACTGCCCCAAACCTGCCTAGCTTCAGCAAGGTGGGAGTCTCATGTGCCTTCAGACCACAGCCCAGGACCCAATTGTGTACCTAACTCCCTTGCCCCCTAAATCTGCCAGGCTTATCCTTTCCTCTTTCAAATATCTAAATTTTGCTAGGGTTTATCTACCCCCCCAAGCCCCCGGTCACATTAGGATGCCTTGACAGGGGTGGGAAAATATTTTTTTAGCCAGAGGGTTGGATTCCCTTCCCGGGGCCACATGCCCATAGTTGGCAGGGTTACAGGCAAATGTGAGTGGGGTGGCTAATGTAGTTTTACCCTTGTACATTAAGCTTTTTTCTGCTCACACCCACACACTCCTCCCTCTACCTGCCATGCGGGCACGCAAAAGTCAATTTCAGAGTTGAAGGAGACATCCCAGCCAGGCAAAAACACCCAAAGCAAGGCTAGTAGAGTGTGTGCGTGGTTGGGGAGAGTCTAAGGGCCACACAGATAGGTCAGGGGGGGCACATATGGTTTCCCACCCCTGTCTTACACTGTCTTTGTTGCCTTTGCTCTTCAGCTCCTGGATTTCCGCCATAAGCCTCTGGAGGTCCTGGCAGGTCTCTTTGTAAAGTTCGTAATCTTTGTTGGGGTCCCGCAGGTCCATCTCAGCCTCTTCGCTGTAATATTTGGCATCCTGCAAATGGAAACAGAGAGGGAAGCTAGACTCTTGGAAGTTCTCTTCTCTTCAGAAGGGAAGGGATGGCATATTATACAAAGGGCTCTCTGTAGCATCTCTGTCACTCCTGAAAGCAGAATATAAAGGTAGGCAAAAATGATCCTGGCACTGCAAACTCCATCATCACCCTTCCAGTTTATCTTGTTTCTGAGACCATGGCTGTCACCGATGGAAGCGAAAGCCTTGAAAAAGCTCAATATGGAGGTCAATTGGCCGAAATATTGGGAAATTTTGGAACAAGATGGAGACAGATTGAAATTGCAGAGTTTTGAAAAACTAAAAAACAAAGTGCGAGACTGGCTTCATTATTATCAGATAATGGAGGCATACAATTTGGATAAGAAAATCGGCTTCCAGGTGGAAAAATCAAAATTAGAAAATGAATTGTTAGAACCCAAAACTAAAATTTTGTCAAAGATGTATAACTTGCTGTTGAAATGGAACACTCAGGATGAAACGGTGAAATCTGCTATGATTAAATGGGCACAAGACGTTGGACATAATATTATGTTTGCTGACTGGGAACAGTTGTGGACCACAGGTATGAAATTTACGGCATGTAATGCCTTAAGAGAAAATATTATGAAAATGATATACAGGTGGTACATAACCCCAGTCAAGCTTGCAAAAATCTACCATTTGCCTGATAATAAATGTTGGAAATGTAAAGAAACTGAAGGTACATTTTTTCACCTTTGGTGGACGTGCCCAAAGATTAAGGCTTTCTGGGAGATGATATATAATGAACTAAAAAGGTATTTAAATATACCTTCTTGAAGAAACCAGAGGCCTTTCTCCTGGGCATAGTCGGCCAATCGGTGTTAAAAAGGACAGAACTTTCTTTATGTATGCTACAACAGCAGCAAGAATACTCATTGCAAAGTATTGGAAGACACAAGATCTACCCACACTGGAGGAATGGCAGATGAAAATGATGGAATACATGGAATTGGCGGAAATGACTGGCAGAATCCGTGACCAGGGAGAAGAGTCGGTGGAAGAAGATTGGAAGAAATTCAAAGACTATTTACAGAAATATTGCAAAATTAATGAATGTTAGAATGATGTTGGATTGAAGTTAAGGGGTTTCTAGCTGTACAGGCTAAAAGAATATGGAAAAATTGGTTTTAATATGTAAAATCTAAAATTTAAAGTTATATTATATCAAGATTAAAGATTAGGATTAAAAAGGAGGGAAAGGAATTGTTGGATTAACATATTTAATTAGAATACAAAAGAGGGGGGTAAGAGGAGGTCCGAGAAACAAGTAAATGTAAAAGAAGTGAGGAAAAGATGAAATTGTTTTTAATTGTTTTTTCCTTTTTTACTTTGTATTTTTTCTTTTTATTGTTATATTTTTTTTTATTAATGTGGTTTTTTTCTTGTGAAATTTTAATAAATATTATCTTAAAAAATATATATAATCTTGTTTCTGAGACCATGCCGCATTAAAGCTCAAGGAGAAAGTACCGTAAGTTTAAGTTCGAGTACAGCCTTCCACAGCTTAAGAGGGAAAGCTCCAGGTGAGAACACTGGCTAAGCATTTCTGAGAATCTGTTTTCAAAGACAGGAGAGGTAGCGCTACAGTAGAGGCATCACAGCATCCCAGTCGCTAAAAGGCTCCTTCAGATGGTACTTGGGAGTTATATTAATTTTGAAGCAGTAAAAAATGTTAAATTATGCCCAAAAAACCTGCAGCACACAAGCCTGCTACACTCCGAGAATGGAATTTGGTGAAGATATAATTCTCTACGTCTGGAAACATCTGCCCATTTTGGCAGGCAGCAAAACCAGGGGGCTTGACTGAACCCCGGCCAGATTCCTATGCGTGGTTGGTGGGCTGTGTTAAGGCTCTGTGGGTCACAAATTAGGCAGGCTTGCTCTGAGACTCCCTCCCCCTTTTATTCCTGACACACTTTACAGTAAATGGCCACACTTTGAGTTCACCAGGACATAATCAGTTACTAGTCAAAACCTGGCAGTTAAAATACAGTAACCCCAAGGGCTAGTCTAGAGCATCTTTTACAGACATACCTCCAAACCGCCCTGCTTTTCCAAACAGCATCTAAGAAGCCCACAAGTACCTCTGTTACAATGAAACTACCTGATCAGTGTCTGGCCGGCCCCTCTTGCCTTCCGATGGGCCTCCATCTGTCCGGATGACCTTCGGCTTCCGTTTCTTACTGGAGTCTGACGACATTTTCTTAAAACATGAGAATCTGAAAACCCATGAAAAGGGGGCAGGGGGATCAGTTAATCTCACACAGACTCAAGTAAAATCTACTTTCATACCAATCATTCTCCAAGGCAATGTGGAAAGTGTGCCTGTGACTACCGAAGGACGATTCCTTTATTATTTTAAATCACCCAGAACCATTCAGATTTACCGCTGGACATAAAAAATATGCTGAAAGAGAGGTGACTGCAGGAAAGGTCATTCTGCATAGAACATCGTAACAGGAGATCAACACCATATAATATAGGAACCGGGTCTTCAGCATGGTGGTCCCTACCCTTTCGAATTCCCACCCCTGATGCCTCCCTTGTTTTCTTTTTGGCACCTACTGAAGACTTTCCTCATCCAACAAGCCATCTAAAGTGGGGCTTTTTATCCCAGTCGCTACATGTACGAAATTCAAAGCTCTTTTTTTTTTGTATACAATAAGCACCCTATGTTGCGCTTAACTCTTTGGGCTCCTTTAGGAGGAAGGGAGGACGATAAAGAAATTTGATCAATAAAACAAAACCCGGAGGTCAAGAGCGGTCCTAGGCCTCATTACCTTTCAACCACAATGGCAACTTTTAAAACACAATTAGTTTCTATTTCATAATAAGTTTTAAAAAAAAAAAGTTAGCCGACTTGAACCCCCACAGCTAGGGAGAAAAGCGGGATAGGTAAAGGTAAAGGGACCCCTGAACATTAGGTCCAGTCGTGACCAACTCTGGGGTTGCGGCGCTCATCTCGCTTGACTGGCCGAGGGAGTCGGTGTACAGCTTCCGGGTCATGTGGCCAGCATGACTAAGCCGCTTCTGGCGAACCAGAGCAGCGCACGGAAACGCCGTTTACCTTCCCGCTGGAGCGATACCTATTTATCTACTTGCCCTTTGACGTGCTTTCGAACTGCTAGGTTGGCAGGAGCAGGGACCGAGCAATGGGAGCTCACCCCATCGCGGGGATTCGAACCGCCGACCTTCTGATCGGCAAGTCCTAGGCTCTGTGGTTTAACCCACAGCGCCACCCGCGTCCCTTATATACATTAAATAACGGCAATTGACAACAATAATACAGTGGTACCTCGGGTTAAGAACTTAATTCGTTCTGGAGGTCCGTTCTAAACCTGAAACTGTTCTTAACCTGAGACACCACTTTAACTAATGGGGCCTCCCGCTGCTGCCGCTGCACGATTTCTGTTCTCATCCTGAAGCAAAGTTCTTAACCTGAGGTGCTATTTCTGGGTTAGCGGAGTCTGTAACCTGAAGCGTCTTTAACCTGAAGCGTCTGTAACCCAAGGTACTACTGAAATGACCCTCTTCCCTCCCTATTCTTGTTCACTATAAGAGAATAATGCTTAGAGGCCCTTGGGAAGATGTCTGCACATGCTCAGAGGGGCTCTCACCTGCAACAGCCGCCACAAGTACCAAGAGGCTGAGAGAAAGAATACCTCCCGGAGCTAAAAGCCACCCCCACCCCGAATTCTCCTCGCCCTCCCCGCCTCCGGCTCCGATTTGGAGAGGGAGGGGGGTATTAGCACAGGTATCCCCACCCTCAGAGAACAGAAGGGAAGAAAGAGGGAAGCCGTTTACCGACGGTCACGCGCCCCCCCTCCCCCCATCCGGCTCTCACCGATTGATCCTCCTTCTTCCACAAAGCCTGAGCCCAACCGGAAGCACCAAACCGGAAGCGAGGGCAAAGCAAGCCGGCCGCCGGCGAAAGGACTAGAGCGTCGGTACAGGTTGTTTTTTTCCCCCCTCTCTCTTCCGCCCCCTAGTGGCGCCTCGCGGATGCTTTCAGGAAAGGAGGGAGCAGCTGCTTCTGCTGTTTTTTCTCCATCCCCGCTTTTCCTCTCCTGCCCCCGCTTCTTGCAAAATAATAATTTTTTATTTCACGTTTATATTTTTCCTGTTGTATAATTATTTAATAATAAGCATTGCTGTTATAGATTGAAGTTTCTCTGCCTTATATAACAATCTTACCACCCCGCTGCCGGATTTGTTTATAAGCTAAACAAGCTGTAGCTTAGGGCCCCACTCTCTTGAGGGCCCCCCAGAAATTTAAAGGGCAAAAAACATGGATGTACATTTCCAAAATATAAGATAAAAAACAAATAAAATAAAAGCTACATGCAGCAGCAGTGTTTTGTGTTGTGCAGGCTCCTATGATGTAAGTAATGGGTCCCACCTGCTAGCCTGCTCCCTGAAATATCACTGGTTTGCTCATTTCTATATATAGGGGGCCTAAATTCTGCATGAACTGTTATGTGCAAATGGCTTTTGATACATAATAGATCCATAAATTACCATATAGCATATATTTAACACAAAAACAGCGACAATTTGTTGTTGACAAAGGACAGCTGGACATATAAAGAGTCCCATTGCCTTCAGTAGCTTAGGGCCTCATCAGACCTAAATCCAGCCCTGCTGGATAGGGATCAACTCCTGTGGGAGCTTTGGCCCCCACAATAAAATATTTGAGGGGACCAGGCCCCCACAAAGTTGATGGGCATTCCCATTCAAATGGTGTGTGTGCACTGCATCATGTGATCGATTACACAGGGCGGGGATTACCTGGGCCCCCACAATATTTTATTCAAGTTGGCACCCCAGCACCCCGCACCAGGCATGTGTGTATGTGTGCTCATATCACAGTGCACTGGCCCAGACTGGCTGCTGTGATAGGAATCTTGAGGTCTTAGATATATGGTAGTGTTCATAAGTGTACCAACCAAGCACGTACATAGATCAGCACAGGAAGGCTGACCTGAAACTATTTTGATTCCCAAACTGTCCCCAACTGACCAAGTGTTTTCTCTGGGTCCGAGGATCAAGAAGCAAGGAGTCACAAAGTCAAGGGCCCGAGGATCAAGGAGCCACAAAGTCAAGGGTCTGAGGATCAAGAAGCAGGGAGTCAAGAAGCTGAGGTTCAAGGATCAGGAAGCAAGAAGCCAAACACAGCAAGGCAAGAAGCGTGTTGCTGTGGCAGAGAGCTGAAGGGAAACGCTGACCTTATATCCCTTCCTGGCTCTTGCCACCAGATGCTGTGAGTTACCAATCGGCCTCACCTGTGAGGCCACGCCTTGCCTCTTCAGAACAAACTTAGGAAGGCCCCAGTCCATTTTTCTGGGGGTGGTCTTGATCTAGAGGATGGGAATTTCAAAAGTCTTTATAAGCCCTTGCACAGCATTTTTGGGGGTCCTCCGCCTTTCCTGCGAGTGAGGGGAGGACCCTGTTGCAACAGATCAATAAAGATCAAGCTTACTAGCTGCTTTGCTTCTCAATATTCTCTGGTTGGCCTCTGTTATTCTCTCCTACCAATAGGGAACCTATGTAAGGACTCTATATGGGCTCTTGGATACCCCATAAGGCAAAAGGGCATATTTTTATTTACAACACCTGCAAAGTCCTATTGGTCACAGGGCCTGGCTCCTGCATGCACAGCTGACACCTACGCTGAACTGTGGCACGTGGGAGGGCACCCTCCGCGCCCCTCGGGAGTGCGCCCGCCCTCGGCAACGCGGGCATATGCTCTGCCACTGAATGCAGACCCTCAAAGTGTCCCTATTTTCCAGGGACTTCCCTGATTTAGAGAACCCGGTCCGGTTTCTGATTTGATCCCGGAATGTCCCACTTTTCCTTAGGATGTCCCTATTTTCATTGCGGAAATGGTGGTGGATATGGAGTTATCCGACCCTCGAGCCATCTGAAGGCAATCCTGTATAGGGAAGTTTTTTTTAAAAAAAGTTTAATGTTTTAATATATGTTAGAAGCTGTCCAGAGTGGCTGGGAGAACCCAGTAAAATGTGTGGGGTATAAATAGTAAAATTATCATTACGGAATGGGACTTCCCTATTTTCATCAGAGAAATGTTGGAAGGTATGGCAATGGTCAGATGGGCCGCAGGTTCCCCACTCCAGCTGTAGTGTATGTTCCGCTGTAAACAAATCAATTCTGTAGTTGTTGTTTTCTCAAAATAATAATAATAGACAAGGAATCTTGAGGAGAGGGATTTGGTGTGTTACAAGTTTCTATCAAACCCAGATAAATGATACACTCCCTTGAGAAACTTTTTTTTTTTTTAGTTTATTTTCTCCTTCAGATCTATAAGGACTAGAAACTTGTGTACTGCTTTTGTTTTTAAACTGAAATCTGATAGAATCAGGAGGCTGTATTCAGTTTCATTTAACAGATTTCATGTAGACAACACACACATTACAGTGGTACCTCAGGTTACATACGCTTCAGGTTACAGACTCCGCTAACCCAGAAATATTACCTCGGGTTAAGAACTTTGCTTCAGGATGAGAACAGAAATCGTGCTCCGGTGGCGCGGCAGCAGCAGGAGGCCCCATTAGCTAAAGTGGTGCTTCAGGTTAGGAACAGTTTCAGGTTAAGAACAGACCTCCAGAACAAATTAAGTTCTTAACCCGTGGTACCACTGTATTCAGATCCAACTGTACCATTATACAAGGCCAGGTTGAAAAGAACTGTGTATTTTCACGGGTCTAAGCAGGACTGCTTAAGTTTCACCCTTATTGCAAAAGCAGTGAGAAACTACTTTTTAAAAACTCCCAAATTAAAAAAAGAGTTTGCCGTATTAGGAGTTGGGGTGGATAGTGTTTGAGAAACACTTTCTGTTTGTACAAATACAAATCGTTTATTGTCTATGTGCAAAAATACTGTAAACAAGTTGAAACATTAGCAGGATTTTAAGTAAACGCTTGCAACTAGCAGAAAAATAGATAAAATTAAGGGAAAAAATAATTGGAAAAGTGTAAGTATGGAAATGTAGAAGAACTTGGTTAAAATAAGGAACCAGAAGAGGGTACGGATGGAAGTCCAGAGATTTAAAGAATCTCAAAGAGAAGGTTTGTGAAAAGGCATTTGTATAAATTTAGATTTGGTAGAAATGTGAGTTAATTACTGTTTTTATTTGTGAAAATATAACTGTGATAAATTAATAAAAAATTATTTACAAAAAAGGAGACAAACACCTTCTGTTATTTTTATAGAAAAAGAGGTGCTGGAACTCACCATGAACACCTCCCTTGTTCTCTTATAACGGCTATAGATCCCACCTGAAAAGTGCCGGAACTGAGTTCTGGTGAGTTTCGGCTTAAAAAAAACCTGATCCAGTTTATGTGGTTCATTCGGTATTGTGGTCTGAATGCCGAAAGCTGGAGACAACCGAAGACTGGGAAGGTGAGAAAGGAGCCAAAATGGACAGATCTGCCCATCCACCCCACACAGCGCTACAGTTCCCCGCACCCTTAACAAGTTATGTTTCCCAACATCTTCAATGGCTGTCAAAGTAGTGTAACAGTGTTTTAAATGGGATGCGAGCTTGGTTAGCCATTTTGTCTCTCCCTCCCTCCTCCGGAGGTGTTAGGACATCAGAACCACCACACGGGTAAGGATCATGCACTGAACTTTCATTTGCTTAGCATCTTCTGCTACACCAAGAGACATCTAGGCCCCCGTAGGGTGGGAACTGGGGCCCGGGTTTTCATTATCCTGTGTGTCTTCTTTTCTGACTCTCGGCTGGGCCAGCAAAGGCGCGTTCAGAACTGAGGATGTGCTGGCTGGGCTGGCGCTTTGGATAGAATCAGTCGGACCGTTGTCAGCAGTCCTGGAAGAGAAAGAGAAACCTCCCCCGTGAGGAATCCCTAATATCTCATGACGGCGGCGCGTCTGCGCTGCCATCGTAGACCCCACTCAAACCACACAGTCATGGCTCCCCCCAAGGAATCATGGGAGCTGCCGTCCGTTCAGGTTGCTGAGCCTCATTAGAATTCCTGCTCCATGATTGCAGTCATGGGATTGTTGTCTGTCACATGACGGTGCATGTTTTGACTCCACAGTGGGAAGTGACGGAGACAGGATGTTTGTGTTACTGTGTTGTGTGAAGTGGGACTATTGTCCTTTGTTTTTTTCCTCTTTGCTGTTTATACGTGTGTTTATACGTAAATAAAGTAGATTAGCCAAAATGCTGAGTTGCTGAGGTCTGTCATGCATGACCTGCAACGACTCTGTGGATCCCTAAGTGTGCTGGTGTGGGTTGGCATTGGTCGCTGTGATGTTCGGGGTGAAGAAAGCTTTTGAAGCTCCCAAACGAAAGACCAGGAGGGAGAGAACATGCCAGTCGGGCATGTGTCTCTACCAGGGTCCTACTCAAGTGTAGGCCGAACTCCTGACACTTATCCCCCTCACGGAGCTACTATTCCCAGAGTTCCCTGGGCAGAGGGATTGCTAGTTGGACTACTCTGGAAATTGTAGCATTGTGATGGGGCGTTGGAATTCTTCTAATCCCCAGTTTTGTGTTTTGATATGGTATTTTGTGTTTTTATATTGTGATTTTATGTTGTAACCACCCTGAGACCTGTGTGTATAGGGCAGGACAGTGGTACCTTGGTTCTCGAACCTAATCCGTTCCAGGAGTCTGTTCGAATCCCGAAACTGTTCCAAAACCAAGACACTGCTTCTGATTGGTTGCAGGAGCTTCCTGCACTCAAGTGGAAGCCGCATCAGATGTTTGGCTTCCAAAAAACGTTCGCAAACTGGACTTCCGGAGGTGGCGCCAACGGCAATGGCGGATTCCCTCTAATTCGGAGGGAATCTGCTCCACAGAAATTGGGTCTGACACCACTTCGGCGCAGCGGGGACCCCTTAAATCACAGGCGGGTGAAGCCTGTGACCCTGGGACTCGGCGGGCACTGTTTGCGCCCCCCCAATCTGCAAAGGAACCCGGCAACGGGCTCCGGAACAGAGCGGGGAAGTGGCGCTGTGCTGTGAGTCGTCTGCTTCTTTTGTGGAGTGAAGCCGCGTAGCTGTTGCCGGAGAGCGCTGCCTTTTTTCCTGGACAATTCGGACTTTAAAACAAATACCCGTGAGTACTTAGAATTTGAACAAATGGGACAGTAAATGAAGATTTGTGAAAAGGACAGAATTGGACTATAAAAAAAAAGAAAAAAATCTATTGAATTCGGTACGGAGCGGGAAGGGCTAAACAGGAAGTCACCCTTCCGTTCTTTTGTAAATAGAACAAAGCAAAGGCAATTTACACTAGAGCTTTGAAAATCTCTTTTAAAAGAGTGGATTCCAACATTCTAAATTGGGAATATTTTTTTTTGGACTATTTGAAGTAGTAAAAGGAAGTTATTTTCGTCCTGATCCTGGAGCGGGGAAGTCAGGACTGACGTGAATCTATCAAGGTAATTGTGTGTGACAGATAGCTAAAAGAAGAGAATCTTTGTGACTTTACTGTTCCCTTTCGCATTTTAAAGGAATATATATGGACAAAGTATTTCAAGTATTTTGGAAATGTAGCAAAAACAAATATAAGTCTTCCCCCTAGGGGGAGCCTTTGAAACTGTAACTAATTTCAAGGACTTGACAGCTGCTACAAAATAACCGTGGGAAAGCGTGACAATGTTTTCAGAAGTTGTGGTGTCCCTGCTTTATAAAACAAATACTCTACTGGAAGAATTACATGATAAGGTGAACCGGATGGCCAATTCGACTGGAAATCTTAGACTGGCAGTGGAAGGTTTTGACCAGACTGTGGGAATATATGTGGAGTCTATCCAGGACTCAAACCAGGAGTGTGTTTTGACAAAACAGGGGTTTGTGGCATTAAATCAGGAGTGTGTCTTGACAGAACAGTCCCAACAGGAGTTTGATCCTTCGGATTTGACAAAGTAACATTGAAAAAACCAGATCTGGGAAGGGAAAGTTCGGTGTGGTTTGGAAATGGGGGGCTGGATTGACCCCCCTATGTCGGGATATCTGGACTTTTTAAATACAGTAACAGGCTGCGATATGTTTGGAATTGTGGGGGCCCACAATTTCGGAGGGCCCTTGAAGAATGCTCTTAAATACTACATGGAATGCAGCGATGAATATGGAAAAGGGTCTGATCTGATGAGAAGGGCTAAAAACACTACTAAGTTGGAGTTATCACGAGCAAGTGACTACAGCCACAAATATGAAGAAAAGCCGCGGAAGGGCCATGGAAGTGACCTGAGGGCCTCGGACATAAGGTCACCGGGTTAGATTGAGGAATAAGGACTGACAAATCCCGGAACCAGGAGGAAGGGACGTTGGATAAAGATTGGACTTGTTTATATGCTTTTTCCTCTTTTTTTTAATTAATAGAATGTTTTATAAAGTTGATGAATGATAGAATGATAGAAAAATGAATGATAGAAAAATGTTGGAAGAAATTACCTGGCTTTAGTAAAGATGCATAAAGAATTATGAAAGAACATTATGAACACAAGAAGTTGGTAAAATTAAGATTTAAATTTTAAATTTTAAGGTTTATTTTATTATAGAAAGATAGGATTAAATTAGTTGAGAATTCCTTTTATGTTTTATTTTTTTGAAATATGGAAAGGAAAGGATTTGCTGGGATAATTAATAACTAGAATACAAAGGAAGGGAGGAGGAGGAGGTCTAAGAAAGAAGGTAATGACAGTTAAGGATCTGAAAATAATGAATTTGTTTTGTTTTCTTTTATTTTTCTTCTGTATTTTCTATTTTCTCATATTTTTATTTTATTTTTGTATTTTTTGTGTGTAAGCTTTTGTATTTTTTACTTTTTGTTTTTGTGTAAGTTTTGTATTTTTTGAAATTTCAATAAACATCATTTAAAAAAACAAAAAAAAAACAAAAAACGTTCGCAAACTGGAACACTTACTTCTGTGTTCGTGGCATGTGGGAACCGATTTGTTCAACAACTAAGCCATTCGAGAACCAAGGTATCACTGTATACAAATTTAATAAATAATAGCAACAACTATCAGCACCCTTTGCAAACTACAGTTCCCACGATTCTTCTGTGGGTTGGAGCCATGACCGTTTCAAGTGGTATTAATTAAACAACTGTTTTAAAGTGGATTTGTTAAAGACTGCTTTTTAGGGATATCAATGTGTTTTAGCTTTTGTTGTGGTTTCATATTGGTTTCCCGAAAGCACACCCTGCCCCCCGAAAGGACCCCTGCCACCGCCTCGTCTTTGGCAGCGTCATCCTCTGCCTCGGCCAGAGGTCTACGGGGTGCAGAGCCCATGCTGCTGGCCTGGGCGGCGGAGGCAGCTTCCTCGCTGCTGCTGCTTCCTCCTGCTCGGCTTCGGATTGGCATCCGCAGCTTTGGATTGGCTGCAGGAGCTTCTGGCAGCCAATCCAAAGCCATGCTGGTTTAGCATGGGGACTGACCGAGTGGGCGGCAGGATCCGCAAGGTTCGTGGGCTGGATTAATGAACCCAGTGGGCCACATCCGGCCCCCAGGCCTTAGTTTGCCGACCCCTGATTTAGGGCCTGGTTCAAGGCCATGGGATTTTTCTAGCAGAAGCGCCTCAGAGATGCCACACAGGCCAGCTCTTTGTGCCCACTGTCAAAACAAAACACCTCCTTGCACAGGCGGAGTGAGGAGCATGAATGTGTGGACAACCTCGAAAGAGAAACTCTACCTCGGAAAAGTGGAGGGTTTCGCCCTGCTGAAGGTGTTGCTAACCAGGAATGAGGAACGGCAGCCACCGGGGCTCAGCATAACGGGATGCAGGTCGACTGTACTGCTAGAAACGAAGAAAGGAAATGGTTCGGTATTGTGTTATGTCTCACTTTTCCCACCAAATGGTGCTCAAGGTGGCTGACCATCATCCACACAAGCACATTTAAAACATATTAATTACCCCCAAAGTATTTTCCCCATTATAGAACAATAACCCAATGTTTCCTAAACAAACTACAGTTCCCACCATAGCTGTCAACGTTTCCCTTTTTTTAAGGGAAATTCCCTTATTCCGAATAGGATTCCTCGCAAGAAAAGGGGAAAGTTGACAGCTGTGGTTCCCACAGTTCTTGTGGGTGTTGTGCATGGTGTACGCAGAGCCATACGCAGGTAAAATAGTAGGGGCTGAACAAACTTCATCGTACTTAACAACAGCCAGATCAAGCCCTTTTAGGGGCAAAAGGCCTGTCCGAATAAAAACATTTGATCTCCCAGTGTAAACAGCTGGATATCTTCTTGCATTTTGCTACACCGGGGAAGTTGTTTGCTTGCTATGCATCTGGATATATTAAGTTATCATAATCAAATTTTGCAAGGAGCAGGTTTTCATCCTTGTTTGAATCCAAGTGGACACTGTTTTGAATCAAGATGGTGGACTGAACCTTTCAACACTACACTGATTTTAACCACCGATATCAAAACTGCACAGATTTTTTGTTTGTTTCTTCGAATTCCCAAGGAACATGGGCCCATAGCAGCTAGAACATAATAAATAAATTCCATTTTTTTCAATCAATAAAGTCCTGCATTACTCCCTTGACTGGATTAAGATTACAGTGGTACCTCGGGTTACATACGCTTCAGGTTTCAGACGCTTCAGGTTACAGACTCCGCTAAACAAGAAATATTACCTCGGGTTAAGAACTTTGCTTCAGGATGAGAACAGAAATCGTGCTCAAGCGGCACGACGGCAGCAGGAGGCCCCATTAGCTAAAGTGGTGCTTCAGGTTAAGAACAGTTTCAGGTTAAGAACGGACCTCCGGAACGAATTAAGTACTTAACCCGAGGTAGCACTGTACTTAATTTTGTCACATTTACTACCTCTCATACTTCCATTGTCCACTTGTAGGGTGAATAGGGTGCTGCCCCACCTACCTCAAGCTGCTCTCTTCCAACCCCCACCTGTCTGCCTTCCTACTTAACTACCAGGAGAGGGGTTGGGAGTGTCCATTCAGCTTCCTCCTCCTCCTCAGCCTCAGTGTTGCCCTCATATAACGAAGCAGGGAAGAGGATGGGGACAAAACTCAAACTAGTTGGCTCTGCCTTTCATCGCCTCTGGCACCACCTACTGTTGGGCTCCCTGCTTTCTGCCCTACCAGTCCCCATTGACATCAGCCACCGCTGGCTGCATCCAGCCCACCACTGCCTCCAAGCGCCGGTTGAAGACCAGTCTCATTTGCACTTGTTGCTGAGTTGTAGATCTTCGTCTGAAGATCACAGGGCGGTTCACAACATTGAAAAAAAGTTGGTGATGGCCACCAACCTGGATGATTTTCAAAGAGGGCTGGAGGAGGCTGCTAGCCACAATGGCCATGCTCTGCCTCCACAAATGCTTCATGGTATTGTTTTACCACATGAGGCCTGTCAAAGTTTCTGTAAAAAAGCAAAACCCAAAAACCCACTTTACTACAATGTTTCCCACATTTGGGTCTTTTTGGACTACAACTCCCATCATCCGTAGCTAGCAGGACCAGCCGTCAGGGATGATGGGAATTGTAGTTCAAAAACAGCTGGAGACCCAATTTTAGGAAACACGGCTCGACTACCTTCTTCTGTATCCCACCCATGCATTGTGGGATGACCTTGCCACTTTGAGACCCCCCTCCCTGCCCACCTTGCCCTTCAATCAGCTCCCACCTCTTTTGATTGACGGGTGATATGCCAACCTGGGGCTGCTTCAAGTCCGTGTTCAGATAACCCGTCGATCTCTCTGCCTGTTTGGGGGTGGAGAGGGAAGGCTCGTTATTGCCCAGTCCACCAAAATGGACAGATTTGTTGTCTTCCTATGGATGGCGGGGGGGGGGGCAAAGCATCTTGGCACAAACCTGTTTTGGGTAAGGACCAAAGACTTTGGGCATAGCTGCAACAACCTGCTCTGGAAGCCTGGCTTGGCCTGGCATGGTCTTCCTTCCCCGTCTCTCTAACTGTGATGCCCTCTTGGCCGCTGAAAAGGAGTAAAAAAAAGTAGTTTATTACAGGTGCCGGGAGTTGTTGTCCTGCGATGGATAAGCTCCAGAACCCAGGATTCCTCGGGAAGGAAGGAACCATATCTTCAGAGGCATGGCATGTCCAATGCCTCTCCTGGCTGGAGCAAAGTCCAGAAGTAGCCCCTTCCCAGCCCTTCTACCTAGAGAAAGGCAGGACCAACCAAAAGCATAGTTGCTGGCCTTCTGCATCTCCCGTTTCAGCTGTTCCACCTCTTCTTGAATTTCCTCCATTTCCATTGAGTTGCTGTGTTTGAATAGTGAAGAGATCTTGGCCTGGAAGAGAAGGGTTGGTTGGGAGAAGAGAGGCTGGGCACCATGGCAGGGCTGGAGAAACTTATCCTGACCTGTCACCACTATAATAATAATAATAATAATAATAATAATAATAATAATAATAATTTATTATTTATACCCCGCCCATCTGGCTGAGTTTCCCCAGCCACTCTGGGCGGCTCCCAATCGAGTGTTAAAAACAATACAGCAGTAAATATTAAAAACTTCCATAAACAGGGCTGCCTTCAGATGTCTTTTAAAGATAGGATAGCTGCTTATTTCCTTGACATCTGATGGGAGGGCGTTCCACAGGGTGGGCGCCACTACCAAGAAGGCCATCTGCCTGGTTCCCTGTAACCTCACTTCTCGCAATGAGGAAACCACCAGAAGGCCCTCGGTGCTGGATCTCAGTGACTGGGCTGAACGATGGGGGTGGAGACGCTCCTTCAGGTATACAGGACTGAGGCCGTTTAGGGCTTTAAAGGTCAGCACTAACACTTTGAATTGTGCTCGGAAATGTACTGGGATACTGTCGCCTCCATAGGCCAAGCAGGACAGGTGGGTGGGACAACCCCCCCCCGTCAATCACCTGCTGTCAGGTGGGGTTGCCCAGCCTGGTGGGTTTATGTGGGGATTAGATGCAGGGCTAAGAACGGAATACACTCAAATTTTGTTGTATATATTAGCAACCTCCCTCAAGTGGATTATTGGGATGGGGTGGCACTCTGAGAGAGACTTCATTTGATGCAAAATGCTGCTGTTAAAAGCTCGACTGGCACAGTGTGTTGGGCATGCATGGGTGAGGCATCTCAGGATCCTGAACTGGGGTTTAGCCTCCACTGTGCTGAATCATTCATGTCTGGAAGCAGCCAGTTTACTATGAAGAGAGAAAGAGAAGCTCTAAATACAAACGGGGCACAAAAGAGGCAAGCCTCAAAATGCAGAAAACTTCCATTTTGAGGCTTGCCTCTTTTTTTCTCTTTTCTCTCTTCACCCTCTTTTCCAGACATCTTGAGGTGCCCCCAGCTTTACCTTCAAGTAGGACGCCATACCCGCCTCCTCACTCTCCAGCTGCTTCCTCTTGCGCACAATCGACTCGCAGATTCCTGGGTTCTGCTCCATTTTGGCATAAAGGTCCTGCAGAGATTTCTGGGTGTACGTCAGAGATTGCTTCTCAAAGTCCTCTGGGGAAATCCGCTTGCAGAAAGAGACGTAGAGCGGGGATTCGTTGTCAAATTCACCCAAGGTCTCCATCTTATCCCTGGAGAAGAAGGTAAAGAAGTTCTTGATTTTAATTATTTTAGTAATTTAGTAATTTATTATTTTAGTAATCGCCTTCCACAGTCTCTTTTTTATGATTTTCAGTTTTATACATTTCCATAATTTTACAATCATTTTAACATTTCAAAACTCAAGTTCCTTCCCCCCTTTCTGTGGTTCCTTCATTTTGTTTTTTATATTTTCTGCATATTCCAAATTAATTTAATTTATTCATTTACTCATGTACGTTAAATATATACTCTTATGTAACTGTAGATTATTACAATAATCCAACATTCTGATCTGTTTACATTTCATTTGCAAATATTCAACAAACCATTTCCATTCTTTTATAAAAAGTTTGTTATCTTGATTTCTTATTTTTCAGCTAAGTTTTGCCATTTTCCGCATATTCCATAAGTTTTTTGTCAGGGAACTGCTATCGGAGCTAGAGGCAGAGGGAATGCTCCAGAGGGATGGCGGAGAGGGTCCCAGTAGGGAGAGAGGCAGCCCGTCCGCTGGGGAAGGAAATCAGCGTAACACCAGTAGAGAAGGGGGGCAGATGGGGGAATCGGAGAGGAGGCTCCAAGACTCCTCGCCTGAGACCAGCGGAGAGAGTACAGGTCCTCCGCTGCCCACACCCTCCCTGCGCAGAAGGCTTCCGCGCAGGGAGTCTAGGCGGAGACTAGGCGTCAAGGAACTTTTGTGCTGGAAGAAGTTTAAGAAACGCCCACTGACGGATTCTGCCAGCGACTGAGACAGCCACGATGCTGGAGGCTGTTCAGTCAGAAAGGGTTTAACCGGGCAACCTCGCCAGGAGTGGCGGCAACTTACGCACGAGCAACCCCTAAATCCATTACATTTTTGTATCCATTCTTCTTTCTCTGGGACTTCTTCTTCTTCTTTCCATTTTTGGGCAAATAACATTCTATACAGTTTGGGTAGTTCTGTTCCTATAATCTCCAAAAAGGAAAGCTTCTGGGTTTGTTTGTTTTTTACAAACGTTATTTTAAACATCTTTTTCAATTCATTATATATCATTTCCCAGTCTCAAGGCTGTTTACATATATACCTATTTGTGTGCATTCTTGGAGATGTGGAGACGGTCACCAACTTGGATTGCTTTAAAGGAGGATTAGACAAAAATTAATGGAGAGGAAGGCAACCCATGGCTATGTTCTGCCTCTATGGTTGGAGACAGTCAGTGGCAGCACCAGAAATGAATTTCGTGGGGTGTGCAGGGGTCACAGAAGGGGCAAAGTATATTTCTAAGCGGTGAGCTGTGTCCCACAGGCTACCATTGTCAGTTTGCATTTCTTAGTACAGAAAGTATGGGTCTGATGTGTAGAGATCTTTCCTATTCTAATTAATTCAAGAGGGTTCTGGAAGCTTCTCTGTGTGAAAGAAGCAAGCAGAAGGTTCATGATGTTTGGGTTATTCCAGGCTTCCTCAACCTCGGCCCTCCAGATGTTTTGAGACTACAGTTCCAATCATCCCTGACCACTGGTCCTGCTAGCTAGGGATCATGGGAGTTGTAGGCCAAAAACATCTGGAGGGCCGAGGTTGAGGAAGCATGGGTTATTCCTTCAGAGAAGCTGAGTACAGCTGGTTTAAACTGATTGTTATCTCTTTCTGTGAAGATCATGCCGACTATAATAATAATAGATTCAATAAGCACACAAGACGTAACCGGCTGTACTTTTGAATAAATAAGGTATAATATTCATTGTGTCAAATTGTAGATTTCAGTGGAAGTCTCAGAAAGTTCAATGAAAAAAGCAGAAGACCCAGTGGATTGTTTGACTATAATAATAGGCCAGAAGGACCCTGGGTCTTAACTATCTCTCTTTTCCTTCTGGTGTGGTGTTCTGTATGCTTAGTGTTAAGGTTTAGACTTATTATAAGTTCTTGTAAGTTTAAGCCTGCCGCAACTGGATTTCTTATGGACAGTGCCAGTCCTGAACGCATTGGATTTGTGACCATTATGCTCATTCGCCTTCAGTAGCAGTAAAGTTCTGCTGGATGAAATACAATTCCCTCTGATCTATTTTGGGGGAATCCTGCAACGTGTTTAAGTTGTTACTCTGCTAACTAGACGTTGGAATCTGCTCTGGATCAATACTGAGTAGAATTCCACGACAACCGTATCTGAAAGGAAAATAACAGCAGTGGAGGGGCAGGTGGAGTGGAGCTTCTTGGGGGTTTTTCTGGGAGGAGGGGGGCACTGGCTCTGTCCATTGAGGCAGTATGATTCTGAATGCCAGTTCCTGGAAACCACTGGAGGGGAGAGTGCTGTCGTGCGTAGGTTCTGCTTGTGGATTTCACATTGGGGCATGCTGGGCAAAATGGGCCATTGGGCTGATCCAGTAATCAGTCTCTTCTTGGATTCTTATGCTTTGAGGTTTTGCGGGGGTGGGGTGGGGGGTTTGATCACGACTATGGTCTACGTGGAAAAATTAAAAGGCCCTCCCTGTGTGCAGCAGTTGCAAACTGGAACAGGGCCTTTCACAGCTGTCTAGGCACATTAAATGCAATCACGTATTTGTCATGGGGTCCAGTTTTTCCCATTTCAGGTTTTTGATTGCAACCTCAATCAGAACGAATGTGAAACGGCGAATGTACAGATTGATAAGAAAGTCTGGAACAGAAAATGGAAGAGTTAGTTTAAAAATGTTAGCAGCAGCAAAAAATACGGGGAAAATGCTCTGGAAATTATATTACGATGTTATCTAAGTCCCTAGTTATTGAGCGGAATATACGACTACAAATCTGCCATGCTGGAAAGTATAGCAAGAAATAAGCTCTTTCTATATAACATGCAGTGGAGTTGCAGGGTAAGTAGGAAATTTCGGTCAGCAGAGTTCAGGAAAATGGGTGTCATTACAAAATGCTTTATAACTATTGGACTGAGGCTAGTATTACTGTCTATTATTTACTGCTGAAATATGCAACAGAACTTATGTAAGAAACGTTGAGGAGTTTCTTGTTAGCAAACGTTTGCTTAGCAATAGCAGAGAACTCTGGTCACATTTAGACCATGCATTTAAAACATTATGATGCCATTTTAAATAGGCAAAACTGCTCCCCCCCCAAAAAATATATTGTGGGAGCTGTAGTTTGTTAAGGGTGCTGAGAGTTATTAGGAGACCCCCCTATTCCCCTACCAGAGCTACAACTCACATAGTTGCCCGTGAAGAGGGATTGGTTGTTAAACCACAGAACTGTAGCTCTGTGAAGGGAATAGGGGACTTCTAACAACTCTTAGTACCATTAGCAAACTACAGCTCCCAGAATTCTTTGGGGGGAAGCCATGACTGTTTAAAATGTCATCACAGTGTTTTAGATGCATGGTGTGAAGGTGGCGTTAGTGTTGCTCAGGGGTAGGCAACCTAAGGCCTGGGGGCCAGATGCAGCCCAATCGCCTTCTAAATCCTACCTGCGGACGGTCTGGGAATCAGTGTGTTTTTACATGAGTAGAATGTGTCCTTTTATTTAAAATGCATCTCTGGGTTATTTGTGGGGCCTGTCTGGTGTTTTTACAAGAGTAGAATGTGTGCTTTTATTTAAAATGCATCTCTGGGTTATTTGTGGGGCATACAAATTCATTCATTCCCCCCGCCCCCCCAAAAAATTGTCCGGCCCACCACATGGTCTGAGGGACGGTGGACCAGCCCACAGCTGGAAAAGTTTGCTGACCCCTGGTGTTGCTCCTTGGAGAACCCAGCAGGGAGGGAGGTGAGGGGAAAAACCAGAATTAGTTGGCCATGCCTCTCATTGGCTGAGGCTCCTCCTAACAACTGGTTGGACATTAGGTGGGTTATTAGCCCAATCCAGCAGGCTATTCTTATATTCCTAAGAGGCAAAGACTCAGTCGTAACTCCCTCTGTGTTCAATGGGAGTAACTCCCCATGAAGTGTGTGCAGGATTACAGACAAAACCTTACAGCGGATGCAGTGACTCCCGCAAAGGCAAACGACTAACTAAAGTGGTACCTCTATTTGGCAGGTGTTACTTATTCCCAAAGGCTTTTATAGAACTGCAGTAGCCAAGTAGCTGATGCTTGGGGCCAGCTAGCCAGGAAAGGAGGTGCAGTTTTGACTCTGAGGTGGCTGGTAGAGAGCAGCTTTGCAAGCCAACCCATTCTGCTCTGATGCCCTATAGCTCCCAGCCTCAGGAGGAATTGTGACATCAGAGGCAGATGAGCCAATCCCTTACGTGTCCCAATTGTTGCCTCCAGCTGTGCAATTGTGGCATCACAGATCAAAAGCAGCCAATCATCATTCCCAGCACCAGCTATCAATGGCTGCTAGCCTTGATGGTTATGTTCTACCTCCGCCGTAAAGGCAGTGCCAGCTGTTGGAATAACAAGCCGGGAGAGCACTGTTGCACTTTGACCCATCTAGTCCGGCATCCTGTTCTCACAACGACCAGCTTCCTGGGGTTCACAAATATTATAAGGCAACTGCCTTCTACTGAACCAGACCATTGGGTCCATCTAGGTCAGCAGTCTTTACACTGACTGGCAGCAACTCTCCAGGGTTTTAGATAGGTGTCTCTCCTAGTCCTGTCTGGAGATTGAAGCTAGGGCCTTCTACATGCAAGGTGAATGCTCTGTCAACCTAGTATTGCTTTTAAAGTCCTCATGAAAATTCACCAGCATTTTATAGGGAATTTCTCTTAATATTCTGATTTATTGCTATTTTTGCCCAATACAGTGGTACCTCGGGTTAAGTACTTAATTCGTTCCAGAGGTCCATACTAAACCTGAAACTGTTCTTAACCTGAAGCACCACTTTAGCTAATGGGGCCTCCTGCTGCCGCCGTGCTGCCGGAGCCCGATTTCTGTTCTTATTCTGAAGCAAAGTTCTTAACCTGAAGCACTATTTCTGGGTTAGTGGAGTGTGTAACCTGAAGCGTATGTAACCTGAAGCGTATGTAACCCGAGGTACCACTGTATACATTTTTGGCAAAGCCATTTCCCACAATATACAACTGTACCTTGGAAGTTGAACGGAATCCATTCTGGAAGTCTGTTCGACTTCCAAAACGTTCAGAAACCAAGACGCAGCTTCCGATTGGCTGCAGGAATCTCCTGCAGCCAATCGGAAGCTGTGGAAGCCCCATTGGACGTTTGGCTTCCAAAAATAGTTCGTAAACCGGAACAGTCACTTCTGGATTTGTGGTGTTGGGCAGCCAAAATGTTCCAGAACTAAGCTGTTCGAAAACCAAGGTACGACTATAATGCCTTATTGCATGTGGTTATCAGTTTTATGCTTGCATTATTACAGTGGTACCTCGGGTTACATACGCTTCAGGTTACAGACTCCACTAACCCAGAAATAGTGCTTCAGGTTAAGTACTTTGCTTCAGGCTGAGAACAGAAATCGTGCTCCGGCGGCACGGCAGCAGCGGGAGGCCCCATTAGCTAAAGTGGTGCTTCAGGTTAAGAACAGTTTCAGGTTTAGAACGGACCTCCGGAACGAATTAAGTACTTAACCCGAGGTACCACTGTATTTTATTTTTGCAAATTACTGGGCTGGTGAACTGCACTGCGACATTTGGAGAAGGGCAAGTTTCCAAAGGACACCTGTATTTCGGCTCCCATATTGTTTCACCGTTATGCATGTTGGGGAAATGAATCAAATTTCTTCCCCATCTGATGAACTGCTGACTGTCCACAATTTGCCAGGATATAAAGTGGCCACTTTCCAAGGATACCAGGCAGAGCGTGTGGAAACCATGACATCTGTGTCAAGCTGAATATTTGCAAATACAGCAGGGGGCGGGGGATAATAAAACACAGTTTTAGATGCCTGCTTTTATTTTATTCATGACTCAGGAAGCAATCCCTTTGCTGTAGAAAACGCACAACGGCTTTATTGACCTTGTCTCAATCTCTCCAGTTGTCCGCCAAAGGATCAGCATGCGTGAGAAGCGGCAGCGAGGGCCTTGCATGGTTTGTAGCACAAACATCACTTGCAGTATTTGCTCGTGTCCAGCTGTTTATATTGCTCTTGGTATGGAGCCCCTGCAAAGCAGATGGCCGCACTACGGTCGCACTCGCAGACGAACGCCGCACATTCATCATTGTCATCTGAAGCAGGAAAAGGCCAAGCATGAACTGGGTAACTTCTCGGGAGAAGGGCCTTAGCCAAGTGGAAGGGCACCTGCCTTGCATGCAGAAGGTCCCAGGTTCAATCCCTGGCATCTCCAGGTAGGGGTGCAAGAGACGCCCTGCCTAAAATGCTGTCTAACATCCCGGAGAGCCACTGCCAGTCAGTGCAGACAACACTGGACTACATGGACCAATGGTCTCACTCAGTATTAGGCAGCTTCCTATTTAATTCAGTTTCTTTCTTTCTTTTAAAGAATCCTAAATTCTAGAATCCTAATTTTTTTTTTTACGGGAAGGTTTGTAGCTCTGTTATATAGCATCTGCTTTGCTCTCCTTGACCGAGATCTCTCACAAGCTCCACAACTGAAAATAAGAACATAAACCTTTGAAGGTGACTCGGAAACTACAATTAATCCAGAATGCGGTAGCTAGACTGGTGACTGGGAGTGGCTGCCAAGACCACATAACACCGGTCCTGAAAGACCTTCATTGGCTCCCAGTATGTTTCCAAGCACAATTCAAAGTGTTGGTGCTGACCTATAAAGCCCTAAATGGCCCAGTATACCTGAAGGAGCGTCTCCACCCCCATCATTCAGCCCGGACTGAGGTCCAGCTCCGAGGGCCTTCTGGCGGTTCCCTCACTGCGAGAAGTGAAGTTACAGGGAACCAGCAGAGGGCCTTCTCAGTAGTTGCACCCACCGTGTGAAATGCCCTCCTGGCAGTTGTCAAGAGTTGAGCAACGATAGAATTTTTTGTAGACATCTGGAAGCAGCCCTGTTCCAGGAAGTTTTTAATGTTTGATGCTATATTTTGTTGGCAACTGCCCAGAGCGGCTGGAGAAATCCAGTCAGATTATTCTTATTATTATTATTAGCCCTGCTGGATAATAATAATAATAATAATAATAATAATAATAATAATAATAAATTTTATTTATACCCCACCCTCCCCGGCCAGAGCAGGGCTCAGGGCGGCTAACACCAGTAAAATTACAGTAAAAACATAATAGGGGGAAAAAACCAATTTAAAATACAGGTTAAAATGCAATTTAAAATGCAGCCTCATTTTTAAAGTAGCCCATAGATCAAAACCATAAGGGGAGGGAAACATAAGGGTCAGACTGAGTCCAAACCAAAAGCCAGGTGGAGCAGCTCTGTCTTGCAGGCCCTGCAGAAAGATGTCAAGTCCTGCAGGGCCCTAGTCTCTTGTGACAGAGCATGTCCACCAGATCGGGGCCAATACGGAAAAGGCCCTGGCCCTAGTTGAGACCAATCTAACCACCTTGTGACCCGGGACCTCCAAAATGTTGTCATTTGTGGACCTTAAGGTCCTCTGCGGGGATCAGGCCAAAGGCCCAAATAGTCCAGCATCCAGTTCTCACAATGGCCATTCAGATGCTTGTGGCAGGATCCAAGCACAAGAGCCCTTTCCCTCCTGTGGCTTCCAGCAACTAGCATTCAGAAGCATTGCTGCCTCTGACCATGGAGGCAGAACATCGTCACTTTGGCTAGTAGCCATTGATAGCCTTCTCCCTGAATTTGTCCAATCTTCTCTGAAAGCCACCTGTTTAACTCTGGGATGGAGTACCTGCAACCAGTGCTATTTTTCTAGAAAAAGAGGTACCGGAACTCACCATGAACGCCTCCCTTGTTCTCTTATAATGGCTAAGGCACCCACCTGGGAGACGCCAGAAGTTCCGGCTGAAAAATAAAGCCCTGTAACCATACAGATGTCAACTCAACACTTGCTGACCATTGGCCACACTGGCTGGAAGGGGGGGAGATGCTGGGAGTCCAGCATTATCGAGATGGCCAGGAACTTGTGTCCATCCCTGATTTAAGACAGTGGGGATTTAATTTGGAGGCTTGTGGAGAGAAAGCTGAACTAGGCCCTCTGACATAGCCAAAGCAGGGTGGAGGCTGCATTTACCGCTGCAGGTGACATCACTGCCTGAACAGCTGTAGGCGTAGGTCTTGGTGTAAGGGTTGTCTATGAGGAATTTGCATTCGGAATGCTTCTTGGCCTCACCATAGCATTTGTCGTGGATCTGGCAGCACCTATTTGAAAATTAGAAACATTCATGTTGATTCAATGAGCTTGGGAGACACTTAGGAGCTGCCTTGTTTAGTGAAGGAACGTTGATTTCTCTAGACAACATCACAGCACACATTTAAAGCACACCAGTCCACTTTAACCAGAAGAAAACAATGCAACGATCGGTAAGTGTCGTTAAAAACAAATACTCAAAACCAATTCAAATCAAGGATAAGGGAAAAGGCCATATTGAAACACATGTCAACATTCTATGCCACACTAAAAGATTAAGTTAATACAATTGCAGAACAGGTATTGTATGGCACATCAAACAGTGCCATTTCCACAGATCGAAGTGGTCAAGTGGGCACATACCAGTATCAGGGTAAGGTGATCTTGCAGGTAAACTGGTTCCAAGAGGTTAAGGGCTTTATATACTAATAGTTGTTGCTGTATGTAGATAGATCCCTAGATCCAAATGTGGGGCAGAATACCCTCCACATAAGAGAGAGCCACAGCAGAGGTTTTAAAACACAAAAACACACAGCAAAGTGAAGAGCGGGAATATACGCTGTTAGACCTTTTAAATATCCCATTTTTAAGTCACTTGTATACAGCGCTTGCCCTTTCTATCCCTTTAGAACAGCAGAGACCGCACTATTTGATAAGTTTAAAAGACTAGTTTACTTACAAACTTCAAAGGTCAAATTCATGTGCTTTTCCATGCAGCAGCCGGAAAAACGCAGGTAAAAAGGCTAAGTTTACAAAATATGGCAAATGTTTCTGAACACACTTTCTGAGCTGGGAGCAGTCAAGCTCAGACATCCTCTCTGATCGGCTTCACATAGTAGAAGTGAACAAACAACAGAAAGAAGGCAAAGAAAAAAACTTTCCTAACTGCCCACTGGAGGTGAGAGGGTGTGACCTGGTCAAGTCCAGCAACAACAGCTTATTCTGTTATCATGGCCACAGTGATCCATGTGACGGTCATCTCCAGGCTTGACTACTGTAATTCGCTCTACGCGGGGCTGCCCTTGAAGCTGTCCCAGAAACTCCAGCGGGTGCAGAATGCTGCAGTGAGGCTCCTCACAGGGTCTCTGCCATGGGAGCATATTCATCCAGTGCTTTTCAAGCTGCACTGGCTCCCAGTAGAGTACAGGGTCAGATTTAAGGTTTTGACCTTTAAAGCCCTTCACGGCCTAGGACCCTCGTACCTACGAGACCGCCTCTCCCGTTATGCCCCACGGAGAGCCTCAAGGTCCATAAACAGCAACACCCTAGTGGTCCCGGGCCCTAAGGAAGTTAGATTAGCTTCAACCAGAGCCAGGGCCTTTTCAACTCTGGCTCCGGTCTGGTGGAACGCTCTGCCTCATGAGACCAGGGCCCTGCAGGATCTGATTTCTTTCCGCAGTGCCTGTAAGACAGAGTTGTTCCACCTGGCCTTTGGCTTGGAGCCAATTTGATTCCCTCCCTCTCTTTCTTTTTTCTTTTCCTTCTCCTCCTGCGAGGAGGCTACATTTTAATATTTTAATGTTTCGATATTTTAATGTTGTATTTTAATTTTGTTTTTAAGTTGCAATCATTCAACCTGTTTTTATTATTGCTTGTAAGCCGCTCTGAGCCCGGGCTTGGCTGGGGAGGGCGGGGTATAAATAAAAATTATTATTATTGTTATTCTGTGGTCTTAACCCCTTAATGCATTAACCCGAACTAAACATGCTAGTTATATGAGGCTGCATTTCCCACAAGAGTAACACCTTGAACTTGGCCTGGTAGAAAATGAGCAAACAGTACAGTTGTACCTCAGGTTACAGACGCCGCTAACCCAGAAATAGTACCTTGGGTTAAGTACTTTGCTTCAGGATGAGAACAGAAATCGCACAGCAGCGGCGTGGCGGCAGTGGGAGGCCCCATTAGCTAAAGTGGTACCTCAGGTTAAGAACGGACCTCCAGAACGAATTAAGTTCTTAACCCGAGGTACCACTGTAAATATCACTGAGCAGAGTTTTATATGCTGACAAGGCCTCTATTCTGCCAGCAACCATGCTGCAGCATTCTGCTGTAGTTGCAGCTCCCAAATTAAGTGCAAGGCACTGTGGGTTAAACCATGGAGCCTAGGACTTGCCGATCAGAAGGTCGGCGGTTCAAATCTCCATGATGGGTGAGCTCCCATTGCTCGGTCCCTGCTCCTGCCAACCTAGCAGTTCGAAAGCATGTCAAAGTGCAAGTAGATAAATAGGTACCACTCCGGCGGGAAGATAAACGGCGTTTCTGTGCGCTGCTCTGGTTCGCCAGAAGCGGCTTAGTCATGCTGGCCACATGACCCAGAAGCTGTACACCAGCTCCCTCGGCCAATAAAGTGAGATAAGTGCCGCAACCCCAGAGTCGGTCACGACTAGACCTAATGGTCAGGGGTCCCTTTACCTTTTTAAGCCCCAAATAGAGCAAATTTTTAAAGGTAGATTTGTTGCAGTAGAGTCTACTTTAAGTGTAGAAAACTGAAGTTTTGGTATGTTCTTAAACCCCTCCTGCAAAATACTGATCACCTGCAGGTGCCCTAATAAAATTAGGAGGTGCAAAGCCTTGGAACACGGTAGGGACGGGAGGGTGGGCAGAGGGCAAAGATGAGAAATTTGCTTACTTGTCCAGCTCATCGACTGGTGTCCCGCTGCCCCCCAAGCCACAGTAGCAACCATAGTCTGCATAATCCTTCAGCGGGTCACTGCTGGGAATGGTACATTTGATCATGTTATGGAACTGCAACAAGTTCCTAGGGATGGAGGCCGTGTCTGAGCCTACTAGAAAGGAGACATAAACTTCCCACAAGAGGAGTTCAATTAGGGTTAGGTTGGCGTTTCCCAGGCTTCCGAGAGTTGATGCATAATCCTGCCTGCTAAACGCAAGCTGGAAGGTAAAACCCCACCCCGAGGGTGCATTCCTGAGGCCAGGCTGCCCTTCGGTCTCCAAGATGGACCATGCCAAGGCCCCTCACTGAATGACCACCCAGCCAGCACTTGCTCGCTCCTCACTTGGTGTGCCGCATTCCCTGGACGGTGGGAACAGATCAGGCCCATGGATGGGATGGGAGAGGCGGGCAAGGGGCAACCCCAGCACAACCTGCCCCAGCGCTCCTCTCTGTGTCAGGGGGTTTCTCCTGCCAAGGGCTCCATCAGCCGGCTGTGTTCCCCTCTGCACAGCTGGGCAGGTGATTCAGTGCAACCCTGCTTGGCTCTGGTAGGGGGTCGCTCTTGCAGTGTTGGCGATTTGCCTGCCCCGAGTGCTGGCAAGCCACACGGCAGTGCTGGTCAAGGGAGCACACCAGGCAACAGAGGTGGTGTGCCAAAGGTACCATGAATTGTTAACCAAGAAGCATCCTTCAGAGGGAACCCAGTTAATAAAGGAATTTATCCCCCACCCCAACACAGCATATCCACTTCCCGTTTCAGTAGGAACACCCATTCATCTCTTAAGAGCCACAACTTACTTGATGCCAAGATTAGGAACCAAGCAAGGTTCATCCTGTCGGCTGTTAAGTCCTCGCAAGAAGGGTTTTCCTGTAGGGCGTTCGGCCTCTTTATACCTTCGCTTTCACCTTGGTCCCCGGCAAAATTCAAGATAAGATACCTGGAAGTTTGTGTGTGTTTACCTTTATATAAGTGTTGCCCAGGTGATCTGTGATTAAACCAAGGCCACCTGAAAGCCAGCCACCTTATTTTCCAGGACTCCGCTTAGCCACCAGCTTTCCCACAGAAGCATGTTCTTGTGTTAAACTTTTGGGGCTCTGTGTGTCGGGTGCTGATGGGTGACAGCTCTGCAGACCAAAATGGGACTCATTTTGGGCCCCATATAGCAGGTTTCCCATGCCTGCTATATGGGGCCACCCACAGCTGCAGAGAAAATTGTTCATACTGTTGGTTACATCTCCTGGCAGCTGGTTTTCCAAGGACTGCTAAACTTGAGATCCTTTCAACCTGAGAGTTGCTGGGGATTGGACCTGGGAACTTGTGTGTGCAAAGCGGATGTTCTACCACTGAACCATTGGTCCATCTAGTGCTTTATTACCTACACTGACTGGCAGCAGAGTCCAACAAATGATATTCCTTATCCTTCCTGGTGATGCCAAGGACAGAATCTTAGGTCTTCTGCACACAAAGCAGGTGGCCAATTTTATTGTATTTAGCAAAAAGCCTTTACAATGGACAAGAGAGAATAAAAGGAGAACTTTCCTCTAAGATCAGACATGTAACCTGTAGCAGTTTACAACATGAAAAGAAATTTACAACATTAAGACTTAAGACTGGAGTGCATTCACATAGCTGGAACGCAGCTTCTTGGCTGCCAGTGCAAATTTGGTTCCTTGGTGTGTAATATATAGATGTTTATCTGCTAGGAGTTCAACTGTCATTTCCTGTGCGGACCGACCCGGAAGCCAGTTAAGAGTTGGCGACATAAATTTTGCTCTGGCCGTTGTATACAGGGGGCAAATCAGCAGATAGTGTGTAATGTCCTCTACCTGATTGTATCCAGATATACATTTGCGATCCATAAGGGGAATTCCCCGAAATCTCCCCTCTAAATATGACAAGGGCATCTGCTAGAATCTTTGTTCTGCAAAGCTCCTGTGTAGTTGTGGGAAGGTCAGAGTCTCAAGGTAATGGGGCCTTGAGTGATGGGTCTTAATTTGGGGGTACCAAATAGAGTAATGGGCAGCAATGATGGATGCTCTGTCTTACGTTGGCATCCTCATAAAAAATCCAGTTTCTAAGGTCATGTGGGCTAAGGGCTAAGTAGTTCTCCATTTGAAGATTATAAGCCCTAAGCTTATCTTGGAACTTTTGTACCCAACCCCCCGGTCTTCCACTGAGCTAAACCCAACCCAACAACATCTGGGAAGCCACAGGTTCCTCATTCCTAGTCCAGTATCAAGTGTATAACATGATGCACAGGGTGGAGAAAGTGAATAGGGGAAAGCTTTTCTCCATCTCTCATAATTCTAGAACTCGGGGCCATCCATTGAAGCTGAAAGGTGGAAGGGTTCAAGATAGACAAAACTTCTGCAAGAGGGAGTCACCACCACCAGGATTCTCTGCGCACAAAAATGGAAAGAAGTTGCCACCAAAGAAGGGATAAGTAAGGCGATGGGACTATGCAGAATTGGCAAAGTGAACGGCCCAAATAAGAGAATCTAACAATGATGGCTTTGTGGAAGAACAGAAGCCCTTTTCGGACTATTTAAGAAAATATGATGAACTGACGAACAGGATTAGGACTATGAGCAACAGAAGGAATTAAGAAAACACAGCAGCATTGGGACGGAATAAGATGCAGAAGGTGTTGTGCAGCAGAGGGGGAGAAATAAAATGGAAAATGGAGTGGGAAGTTGAAAAAAAAGACAAATGTATCATGTACTTAAGTATATAGGTCTAATTCTGGAAAACTGAAAGAAAAATTACAAAAAAAAAGTGGAAGAGAAAAATTCATGGATGAGAAACATTCACGGATGAGGTGGTGATCAACTATCCACGATGGCGATGTTCTCCCTCCATGCTTGAAAGCAGCAATGTTTTTGAACATTCCTTGCTAGGAATCACAGGCAGCAATGTCTAGGCAACACGATGACCATGTACATACGCAATAGACAATCTTTATAGAATTCCTTCAAACCGTAACAAGTACAAAATGAAATCTTTAGTCTCAAAGTCTCTGAAAATCTTTAAATGAAGCGAGGTACCAGACTTTGTACGATGAAGCTGTGAAGCTTTGTGTATTTGGCAAATATGATGTCCAACACTGAACAGTGATTCCGGATATTGACAGCGTGGTGGGAGGATATAGAATTGCTTCATAAACCCATCTTATTTCAAATGAATGTATGTAAATGGAAATATCAAATGCTTTGGAACAGTGCTCATGTAATCATGTAGTCACTGCTGACTACATTACAAAGTCTGGTAATAAGTACAAAATGAAATCTTTAGTCTCAAAGTCTCTGAAAATCTTTAAATGAAGCGAGGTACCAGACTTTGTAATGTAGTCAGCAGTGACTAGATTATTACATGAGCACTGTTCCACAGCATTTGATATTTTCATTTACATACATTCATTCGAAATAAGATGGGTTTATGAAGCAATTCTATAATCCTCCCACCACGCTGACGAAGAATTCTAAGAAATAGTAGTCAATATCCAGAATCACTGTTCAGTGTTGGACATCATATTTGCCGAATACACAAAGCTTCACAGCTTGTCTTTCATCTTACAAAGTCTGGTACCTCACTTCATTTAAAGATTTTCAGAAACTTTGAGACTATTTGTACTTGTTGTGATTTGAAGGAATTCTATAAAGATTGTCTGTTGCGTATGTACATGGTCATCGTGTTGCCTAGACGTTGCTGACGTTCTCTTTGCAACACAGGGGTTAGGAATCACAGGCAGGCAGAGTGCTGCTGTGCTCTGGTCCTGCTTTTGGGCTCCCCACTGGGGCATCTGATTGGACGCTGAGAATAGGATGCTAGACTAGTCCTGATCTTATGTTCGCTAACCTTGCTTCAGGCTTTGCCCTGGCTCTGCTACATTCCACTGAATTGCCAACAGCTTTGCAAACAAAGCAGGCAGCTGAGAGGCAAATTACACAATGAGCAGGTGGCTGGATCCCCACACTCCTGCCTTTCTAGGCCTCAAAGGACAAGGCCCGGTTATGCCCATGACAGGGAACCTTTTCCCAGCTTGAGGGCCACGTTTCCTCCTGTGTGACCTTCTGGGGGCCACACCGACTGCTCCTAGCACAGACCTCTGCCACAAACACACATGGCAATCCATCGCTTTCCTCTCGGCCCCCTGAAATGTATACAGTGGTGCCTCGCAAGACGAAAAGAATCCGTTCCGCGAGTCTCTTCGTCTTGCGGTTTTTTCGTCTTGCGAAGCAAGCCCATTAGCGGTTTAGCGGATTAGCGCTATTAGCGGCTTAGCGGATCAGCTGATAAACGGCTTAGTGGCTTAACGGATCAGCTGTTAAGCGGCTTAGCGGATCAGCTGATAAGCGGCTTAGTGGCTTAACGGATCAGCTGTTAAGCGGCTTAGCGGATCAGCTGATAAGCGGCTTAGCGGATCAGCTGATAAGCGGCTTAGCGATCAGCTGTTAAGCGGCTTAGCGGATCAGCTGATAAGGGCTTAGCGGCTTGGGAAAAAGGGGGGGGGAGGAAAAAACCCCCTCAGGAACTCGCAAGACATTTTCGTCTTGCGAAGCAAGCCCATAGGAAATTGCTTTATGAGCACCTCCAAAACGGAAAACCCTTTCATCTAGCGGGTTTTCCGTCTTGCGAGGCATTCGTCTTGCGGGGCACCACTGTACAGCCCACACGGTGCAGCGGTTAAAAGGGTCAGACTTGGACCTGGGAGACCAGGGTTCAAATCCCCACACGTGGCCATGGCTTTGGGCCAGCCATTGTCTCCCAAGCTAAACCTTCCTTCCAGGCTTGTTGTGGGGATTAAAGGAGGAAGGGGAGAATCACATGAGCTCCTTGGAGAAAAAGGTGGGATAGAAATACGATAGAAAAATGATAAATAAGGAATAAGGTAGGGCAGCTGGCGGTGGTAGAAAAAGTCACAGAACATAACAGACAGCGTTAAAGGTAAAGGGACCCCTGACCATTAGGTCCAGTCATGGCCAACTCTGGGGTTGCGGCGCTCATCTCGCTTTACTGGCTGAGGGAGCTGGTGTACAGCTTCCGGGTCATGTGGCCAGCATGACTAAGCCGCTTCTGGCGAACCAGAGCAGCGCACGGAAACGCCGTTTACCTTCCCACCGGAGCGGTACCTATTTATCTGCTTGCACTTTGACGTGCTTTCGAACAGCTAGATTGGCAGGAGCAGGGACCGAGCAACGGGAGCTCACCCCGTCGCGGAGATTCGAACCACTGACCTTCTGATCAGCAAGTCCTAGGCTCTGTGGTTTAACTCACAGCGCCACCCACGTCCCTAACAGACAGCATTAAGAGGGATTAAATCCAAAGTAAGGTTCTCAGTTACTTGGTTTCTGTTTGTTGAATTTCTTTTGCAAGAACAGGAAGCGGTCCTGGCCCCGGGTCTTCATTGTCCATTATGGACAGGTACTACACCTAAACATTTTTGGTCTTCAACCTAAAAAATAATAAATCACTTCCTTTGGTCTTCCAGACTGCTGTTTCAACAGATCACCTGTTTTTGTGACCTCAGGTTGCTTCAGTTCTCTCCCTGGTCCCCCATGCATAAACAAAGTAGTACTGGGACAAAGTTCACACTCGGGTTTTGTTATGTGCTGTAAGCTGTGTTTGATACTACATATTATGTCATTTGTCTCAGAAAAAAATCAGTAAAATTCAATATAAAATGATTAATATATAGGGATGCTGTTGAAGGGATAGCTCAGTCGGTAGAGAATGAGACTCTTAATCTCAGGGTTGTGGGTTTGAGCCCCACGTTGGGCAAAAGATTCCTGTATTGCAGGGGGGCTGGACTAGATGACCCTCGTGGTCCCTTCCAACTCCACAGTTCCATGACAGTTATCTACAAGTTTGGTATTTCACGGGTCTGGAGGTGAGGAAATTTTACTCCAACTCCACAATGGACAATCAATACACACTGCCACACACACAGTAGTATATTAAATATTTTATTACATGTGCAGCTAGGCTGTTTCACATGGTCCCTAGGCAGAAGAGCACTTAAAATAGTTTATTACGAACAAGCACAGCCTCACTATGCTACCCAGAGATGGGTAACTGGTCAAGAGACAAGATGCATTGTGCCAATGAGAGGACACTGTCTCTGTCCACCTCCTCTCTTAACTCGCAGCTGGGCGACCACATTTAAACCACCAGGGATTTTTCGGTCTGTGCACGTATAGAGAGACCAAGCTAAGCAGGCTAGGAGGAGGACACTTTTGGCATTCCAGAGGCTGCAGAACTACAACTTCCGGCAAGCATGGCCAGCGTGACCATGGGAGTTGTAGTTCAGCAACATCCAGCAGGTTATAAAGGTTCCCCACGCCCACAGTATACATTCACTACATTCCTGAGAACGCTACCCTGTTGTGCATTATAGTCGTACCTCGGAAGTTGAATGGAAACTGTTCCGGAAGTCCATTCGACTTCCAAAATGTTTGGAAACCAGGGCATGGCTTCCGATTGGCTGCAGGAAGCTCCTGCAGCCAATGGGAAGCTGCAGAACCTGCGTTGGATGTTTGGGTTCCAAAGAATGTTTGCAAACTGGAACACTCACTTCCAGGTTTGCAGCGTTTGGGAGACAAAACGTTCAACTTGCAAGGCATTTATCTTCCGAGGTACAACTGTACAGTCATACCTTGGTTGTTGAACGCCCTGGAACTGGGACATTTTGGCTCCTGAATGATCAAAACCCGGAAGAGACTGTTCTGGTTTTCAAATGTTCTTCTGGAAGCCGAACGTCTGACAGGGCTTCTGCAGCTTCCGATTGGCTGCAGGAGCTTCCTGCAACCAATCGGAAGCCGCGATTTGGAAGTCAAACACTTTGGAAGTCAAATGCACTTCTGGAACGGATTCCGTTCCGACTTCCAAGGTACAACTATTTCCTTTTAGAAAGGTTTGGAGGCTGCCTTTGCAGCGATCAAAAAGGCTATTCCAAGGATAAGAACTGTTGCGGGGTAGGGGGTGGGGAGAAAAGAGTCATTTCCTTTGTAATCCAACAATACCAGTTTAGGTGGCATTCACACCTTAAAGGGCTATGCTATTACTTTAAACCTTCATGCCTCCCCCCTCAATGACTTCTGGGAGCTGTGGTTTATTGAGAAGTCTCAGCAACCTTAGGAAGACCCCCTATTCCCCTCCCAGCACTACAATTCCCAGATTGGTTTAATAATCAATCCCTTCCCCCAGGGAACTCTGGGAACTGTAGTTCTAGGAGGGGAGCAGGGGCCTCTTAACAACTCTTAATATAATTGTGTGTGCCACAGCAAGCAACAGCCAGCACCCCCTAAGCAGCTTCATCTAGAGAATCATCAGCCTCCGGAACAAGCCAGACTGGGTCGTCCATCTGTGGCAACACATCAAGCCTTCAGGCTTCTCATTCAGAGTAAAAAAAATGAGCGCAGCAGGATTCTGACACACTTTCTGAAAACCAAGAGGCTGGAAGGAAAGGGGGGGCGGGAGGAAGGCAAGGAGATGGGTATCTCCAGACAAAGCAACAAGAGAAGATGGGGGGCAGGAGAGAAGGTCAGAAAAGAGTTCAGAGAGGATCCAGGTGGAGGAAAACGCGGCCAGCTCAATTTCTTTTTGCGTGTTTGGTGCAGAGAGATGACAGCCTGGCGACAGCATCATTGCAAGGGGGAAATCTTCAAGGGGATCATGATTCGCGATTCCATGCTCCGGACCAGAGGCACTGCAAAAGGAAAACCTGGTGGTCACTCGGCAAGGACACAGAGCAGAGGAACCTGTCCGCCACTGCCCGCTCCACCCTCACCCTCAACAGGGAGCCCCCCACAAGCTCTCTGGTCAAAGAAAATTAATACCAAGCAATTCATAGAAGGAAGAACTTCTCCAGGGACTGAGTTCTCCCAGGGGTAATGCCAGGGTGGGCATTGGGAGCAGGCCAGCAGGAACTCACAAGGCGTCAGTGAAGTTAACTCTTCAAAGAGACAAACGGCTCAGGCCTAGTGAGCACAGCAAGGCTTCCCAGTAGGTCTTGCCCTGATGAGGCAGTTGCGAAGACTGAAGGTCCCCACAGCTCCCTAAGTCTCCTCTTCCCCCAGGTCCTTCCCAAACAACCTGAGAATTCTCTGCCTTGTCTGTCTTTGCTATGCTCTCTTCATGCCTCTTTTGGTTCTGGGAGACCAGGGAAGAGGGAAGCTGGTCGCAACAGGAGAGGGAGACTTCCTGGCTTCTCTCTGCCTCTTGGCCCTCCTCCTCTCCAGCCTCCGATTCTGGACTGCTCTCTGCCACAGACTCTCCCTGCTCACGAAACCCGGTTACCTCTTCAGCTTCTGACACCTCCTCCTTCCAGTCTGCTCCCTCTTCTCTCTCAGACCAGCTAACTGTCCACGAGGGCAAAAGCAAGTCACCTGGTGCCAGGTGATTGACAGGTGGGATGGCCACGCCGCCTGTCAAACTTGGAGGAGGGTTGAGGAGATAAGGATTCGGCCCACTGGCCAGATCTAGTCCCGCACCCCTGGTGTGAGGGTACACCTGGATAAGCAACTCCTGAATTTCATATTCAAGCTCAAAAGAATTTTGGAAATGGGACACTAAGGATTAGGGCAGGGGTCTGCAACCTTTAAGACAAAAAGAGCCACTTGGACCCGTTTCCGAAGAAAAAAAAACTGGGGCCCCAAAACCATTGCAACATTTAAAACAAATATATCTCCGGAGCCGCAATCTGACAGCGGGCGGGAAGGTGACATCGGGACGGTGCATGACTAACGCACGCACCGCCCCCATGCGACGTCAGAGCCAGTACAGCCCCCGCCACAGTGGGGAGTGTCGGGGCGCACAATGCGCCTCCTCCCCTCGCTAGTATCTGCCCCGGAGCCGCGGCAAAGGTGTAAAAGAGCCACATGCAGCTCTGGAGCCGCGGGTTGCTGACCCCTGGATTAGGGGGAGGCAAAGCTTTTTCCTGCAGAGGATGTTCAGAAAAACAGCTTCTCTAAGCTACTCAGCCAAGAGCATAAGGTCACTCAGCCAAGAGCATAAGGTCAAACAGATTCCTCACTGGCCTTGCAGACAACTTCATTGTCCAGAAAGTGGGAGAAGCAACAAGAGGAACAGCCATTTTAGATCTGGTCCTAACCAATGTTGATGATCTGGTTAGTGGGGTAGAAGTGGAAGGATCATTAGGCGCGGGTGATCATGCTCTTCTGAAGTTTACTATACAGCGTAAAGGAGCAGCCAAGCATACTAAGACTCAATTTCTTGACTTTAAGAAAGCCGACTTCATAAAACTTAGGGAAGTGCTGGGTGAGATCCCATGGACAGTAATACTAAAAGGAAAGGGAGTTCATGATGGCTGGGAGTTTGTTAAGAGGGAGATAGTAAAAGCACAACTTCAGGCAATACCAATGAGACAGAAGGTGCCTAAAGAAGCCAGGGTGGCTATCTAAAGAACTTTTAACTGAGTTAAGATTAAAAAAGGATGTGTACAAAAAATGGAAAAGGGGGGGAAACCACCAAAGAGGAATTCAAACAAATAGCCAGCACGTGTAGACACAAAGTCAGAAAAGCTAAAGCACAGAATGAACTCAGGCTTGCTAGAGAGGTTAAAAGCAACAAAAAAGGCTTTTATGGGTATGTTCGTAGCAAAAGGAAGAACAAAGAAACAGTGGGGTCACTCAGAGGAGGAGATGGTGAAATGCAAACAGGGGACACAGAAAGGGCTGAACTCCTCAATGCCTTCTTTGCCTCAGTCTTCTCCGATAAAGAAAACAATGCCCGACCTGAAGAATTTGGAGCAAATGATTCAGCAGAGGAAACACAGCCCAGAATAACTAAGGAGATAGTACAAGAATACTTGGCTAGTTTAGATGTATTCAAGTCTCCAGGGCCAGATGAACTGCATCCAAGAGTATTAAAAGAACTGGCAGATGTGATCTCAGAACCACTGGCAGTCATCTTTGAGAATTCCTGGAGAACAGGCGAAGTCCCGGCAGACTGGAGGAGGGCAAATGTTGTCCCTATTTTCAAAAAGGGGAAAAGAGAGGACCCAAATAATTACCGCCCAGTCAGTCTGACATCAATACCAGGGAAGATTCTGGAGCAGATCATTAAGCAAACAGTCTGTGAGCACCTAGAAAGGAATGCTGTGATCACCAATAGTCAGCATGGATTTCTGAAAAATAAGTCATGTCAGACTAACCTGATCTCATTCTTTGACAGAATTACAAGCCTGGTAGATGAAGGGAACGCAGTGGATGTAGCCTACCTTGATTTCAGCAAGGCATTTGACAAGGTGCCCCATGATATTCTTGTAAAGAAGCTGGTAAAATGCGGTCTTGACTATGCTACCACTCAGTGGATTTGTAACTGGCTGACTGACCGAACCCAAAGGGTGCTCATCAATGGTTCCTCTTCATCCTGGAGAAGAGTGACTAGTGGGATGCCACAGGGTTCTGTCTTGGGCCCGGTCTTATTCAACATCTTTATCAATGACTTGGATGATGGACTCAAGGGCATCCTGATCAAATTTGCAGATGACACCAAACTGGGAGGGGTGGCTAACACCCCAGAGGACAGGATCACACTTCAAAACGACCTTGACAGATTAGAGAACTGGGCCAAAACAAACAAGATGAATTTTAACAGGGAGAAATGTAAAGTATTGCACTTGGGCAAAAAAATGAGAGGCACAAATACAAGATGGGTGACACCTGGCTTGAGAGCAGTACATGTGAAAAGGATCTAGGAGTCTTGGTTGACCACAAACTTGACATGAGCCAACAGTGTGACGCGGCAGCTAAAAAACCAATGCAATTCTGGGCTGCATCAATAGGAGTATAGCATCTAGATCAAGGGAAGTAATAGTGCCACTGTATTCTGCTCTGGTCAGAACTCACCTGGAGTACTGTGTCCAGTTCTGGGCACCACAGTTCAAGAAGGACACTGACAAACTGGAACGTGTCCAGAGGAGGGCAACCAAAATGGTCAAAGGCCTGGAAACGATGCCTTATGAGGAACGGCTAAGAGAGCTGGGCATGTTTAGCCTGGAGAAGAGGAGGTTAAGGGGTGATATGATAGCCATGTTCAAATATATAAAAGGATGTCACATAGAGGAGGGAGAAAGGTTGTTTTCTGCTGCTCCAGAGAAGCGGACACGGAGCAATGGATCCAAACTACAAGAAAGAAGATTCCACCTAAACATTAGGAAGAACTTCCTGACAGTAAGAGCTGTTCGACAGTGGAATTTGCTGCCAAGGAGTGTGGTGGAGTCTCCTTCTTTGGAGGTCTTTAAGCAGAGGCTTGACAACCATATGTCAGGAGTGCTCTGATGGTGTTTCCTGCTTGGCAGGGGGTTGGACTCGATGGCCCTTGTGGTCTCTTCCAACTCTATGATTCTATGATTCTAAGCGCCAGGGACTCTGCGTCAGGGACTCTGTGGATGCAGGAGAGATCAGCCGAGGCAGGGAGTGCAAAATAAGTGCTCTTATCTCTGTCTCATTCCCAAAGCCCGTCATTGGCTCTGGGCTGGTTCCCCCTGCTGTTGCTCTCCTACCTTGCAAGCCATCAGCCCTGAGTACCAGCCACCACCGTTGAAAAAGATGCCTCACCTGTATAGTAAACGTTCTCATCCCACCCTCGCTTTCTCCAGGCAGCGTTCCTTGTCTCCTCTCGAGACTGCAGGTCCCTGTAGGCTAGAAGGACAGCAAACCACTACATCACAGGAAAGCTCATCGACGTGGGAAGCTTTTCGGCTGCTGCATAAAGTGCTTGACTCATGTTAAGCAGCAGAAAAAGCTAATGCAGTCTTGGCAGACCACAAGCATAACATGAGGCAACAGTGTGATGCAGCAGCAAAATAAGCAAACGCTATTTTAGGCTCCATCAACAGTATAGTGTCCAGACCAAGAGAAGTCATAGTACCACTCTATTCTTTTTTTTTTTTTTTAAATCATATTTATTAAAGTTTCCAAAAATATAAAAATACAAAGAAAAAAGACAAAAGAAAGAAGATATTTAAAAACCTTACTTTCATTCCCTACTTTCTGGGACTCCGCCCCCCCAATTGTATTCCCCTTTCCTTAATTTGGTTCTACAAGCTCTCACTCCCAAATTTAAAGCTTAATTTGTTTAACCCACTATCCAAATTGAATTGTACAAATCTTACCACCGTCCCACATCATTAACAGAAAAAGAAAAAAGATTTTCCCCAAAATCCACCCCAGTTCCTTCCACAAATTCCCTTTTTTTTAAACACGTCCAATCAAAGTAAATAACATGCGTAAGTTATGTAAAGAAATAGAAAATAAGAGATATAGAAAAGTTCAAAAAATGGTTACACAGCCTTTGGATTTCAAATCTGCCCCCTTCCCGGTTTGAATTCCCATGTCCATCAGGCTATACATTATCAGCTTGGAAGTCTCATTTCATGACCAGATTTCTCCCCGATTCCATCTTGCCGGTTTCGTTTAGTTTATTAATTTAAATAGTATTTGACTTCAAATGTCCAATCTAACAAAGGCCTTTAATTTCCTTGATCTTTACCACTCCTCCCGTTGTTCTTTCCATGTCGTAATCGGTCCTTTATTCTTCTTATTCCTCACTTTCTCAGGTTTCTTGTCCTGTTCAGCTGCTAAAACTTTCTAATTCAGAAATCTAGTGTCTCTGCAGAGGTTTGTTATTCAGGAACAAAAACTTACGTCCAGTCCCTTTCTTTCTTCAATAAAAATTCCATTGTCTTCCTCTGTAGACAAAATACTCTTTCAGTTTTGCAGCTTTCCCAGAAGATAACAAATCCTGTGCGAATCCCAGGGTATTTTTCCACTTACGACCGTTCTTGTAGTATCCTGAAACCCTCTAGGGGGATTGTAATAACTTTGTATCCTCTAATCCAAAAGTCAAATTGTTGCTTATTTTCCAACAGTTTATATCCATATTATAGCAAATTGTAGCAAAATTAACCAGCAAGGTCCTCATAAAGTCCTCTTTATATTCTCCAGCTTTGACAGCCACTTTGACAGCTGTCAAAGTCTCCGTCTCTCTTCACCAGGCTCCACGAATCGCCCCGGTTCCCAGGGGGCTGCATTTTTCTTCTCACCCTCCACTCTTTCTCCTCCAGCACATTTCTTATAATTTCCCATCGTGAAATTAATGATTTTTATCAGAGACATACTTCCCTTTGGACCTTGGTTACCCAGTCCTTGTTTTGGAATGCTTACAATAGGGGGGGGGGATTGACTTCCTTTTAAATCGCCTCGCTCGTGCCAAATCCAAAATTTTGAACCCGGTTTCCCAATTACTCACGGGTTGTTGTTAATAGTCCAAATTTTCAATAGAAGAAGTCAGCGCTCTCCGTCGAATGGCATGCGGCTGCGCCGGCAGGGAAAGCAGTGGACTCAAGCACCACGCCACTCCCCGGCACCCGATCCAAGCCTTTAAAAGGCTCCTTCACGAGTCGGGAGGGCGCTAATGGTGCAAGCCGAGTCACCCATGTCCACGGACTCCGTGCCCGTGGTTTTTAAGGGTCCCCGCGTCGCCGGCGCGGTAGGACCCAGCCCCTGCCGAGCAGACTCCCTCCGGAGCTCGGAGGGAGTCCGCCATTCGGCGATGGCGCTAACCCGGAAGTCCCATAGTACCACTCTATTCTGCCTTGGTTAGACCACACCACACAGTTCTGGGCACCACAATTTAAGAAGGATATTGACAAGCTGGAAAGGGGGCAGAGAAGGGCAACCAAGACATGATCTAGGGTCTGGGAATCAAGCCCTATGAGGAACAGTTGAGGGAAATCGGGTATGTCTAGACTGGAAAAGAGCAGGCTGAGAGGAGATATGATACGGAACTGGCGAAATTGACATACAAACTGCGAGACAAGGACAACTGTGGCTTTAAAGAAGAATGGGAACTTTTTACAAATTACTTTAAAAAAACAACAACAAAATGAATTGGACTCCTTGGAAGGTTTTGAACAAACATACACAAATTTATAATTGTTAACATAAAAGATAGATAATTTAAGGATCTTTACAATTTTACAATATGCAGAGAATAATATGTGTTGAAAAACCGGAGAGGGGAGCTGAGGAAAGTCTGGGGTGTGGGTGTGTGGGAGGGACAGTTTTTCTGGGGAGGGCGGAAGGAAAAAATGGGGGGGGGGTTGGAAATGAAGATGATAAGTTTTTGATAATTTGTTATGTTGAAATTCTTAATAAAAGCTATTTTTTTATTAAAAAAAGAGAGGAGATATGATAGCCATCTTCAAAAATCTCAAGGCGGGGAGTGTCACATGGAAGAAGGAACAAGCTCTGGAGGGCAGGACACAAACTAATGGCTTAAAATTACAAGAAAGGGGATTCTGGCTAAACATCAAGAACAACTTTATGACAGTTAAGAGCTGTTTGACAGGGGAACGGTCTTCCTCGGGAGGTTGTGAACTCTCCTTCCTTGGAAGGTTTTCAAGCAGAGGTTGGACGGCCATCTATCATGGATGCTTTAGCTGAGATTCCTGCATGGCAGGGGGCTGGACTTGATGACCCTTGGCGGTCCCCTTCTATACAATTCTCTGTTTCTATGAAATGTACAGAAAGGCAGGCAGTTAAGGGGTAACCCAATGGAGCTCATGGCCACAGGCTTTTTTGAGACTGGTGCAGGGCTGTCTTCCCCTGAGACCAGCTGTTCTCAACCTGTGAGTCCCCAGATGTTGTTGGACTACAACTCCCATCATCCCTCAGCTCTGGCCTTGCTAGCTAGGGGTGATGGGAGTTGTAGTCCAACAACATCTGGGGACCCACAGGTTGAGAACTGCTGCCCATGACCCTCTGGATCTTTTGGACTACAACACATTTCATCAGCCCCATTTGGGCAGCCACCTACCCCACAAGTGGTGCACGATGTACAGCTCCCCGATCTGTGAGAAGAAGCCGCCCACAGCTTCCTGGTTCTCCTGGCGATATTTAATGGCCCGCGCCCTGTTCACCAGTCAAGAGAGAGGGCAAGACGCAAGCAAGTTATAAATGAATTGCTATCATTGGCCATTTCTGCCCCACCCAAAGAGATAACGGCAAACCTGCACTTGCCCCACGACTTCAGGGGTGTAGCCCTCCCGAGGTTATGGTCCTCCAACTCCCAGCCAGCAGGCAACATGGCCCCAAGTGAGGGATGATGGGAGCTATAGTCCAACAGCATGGGGTGGGCACAGGCTCCCCAGGTATGCAATGGGTGCATTGCTTCCTTCGCAGTGTGCATAAAAATGCATGCAGCACAGAAAGCAACATACAAAAGCAATGCCTTAAGGGGAAATGGCAAAACTGTCGCTTTCACTTTTACCTAATGAGCAAAGTCTATGTATTAGTAGAAATGAGCACTGAAAAGCTGGTGGGTTTTTAAAGGATTATATATATATATATATATATATATATATATATATATATATATTTGTAAGAACATAGAAACCAGCATTTCCAAAAATCTCTAAGCAGTAAAAAACAACAACAACAACCCACTTATGTGGCGGATATGTGGCACATTCAATGTATTTGAAAAATCTGCTTACCAGTTATTTCCCCACTCAATCATGGTCCCAGGCTGAAAGCAAAAGGGAGAGGTGATGTACACAGCTTGTAGTTATGATTGCAAAAATTCAGGGAAAGCTCTCTCGAAGAGTTGTGGTGAGCTTCCCAAGCTCAATTTTTGGGGCATATCTATATATAGCTTCATCTATGCACAGGAAACTGGTGGTGCTTCAGAAACCTACTAAAGGGCGGGAAACTACAAGGAGGAAGCAGTTGGAGGGAATGACTTATTGTTTCAGTTGTCTCTACACTAATGCACAGCGTATGGGAAACAAGCAAGTCGAATTTGAGCTTTTAACACACGATGGAAAATATGACCTAACAGGCATTACTAAAACCTGGTGGGATGAGACTCATGACTGGAATGTAGAAATTGAGGGGTATAACCTATTCAAAAGGAATACAGTGGTACCTCGGGTTACATATGCTTCGGGTTACATACGCTTCAAGTTACAGACTCCGCTAACCCAGAAATAGTACCTCGGGTTAAGAACTTTGCTTCAGGATGAGAACAGGAATTGTGCGGTGCTGCCATGACAGCAGCGGGAGGCCCCATTAGCTAAAGTGGTGCTTCAGGTTAAGAACAGTTTCAGGTTAAGAACGGACCTCCGGAACGAATTAAGTACTTAACCCAAGGTACCACTGTAGACCAAACAGGAAGGGGAGAGGAGATGCATTGTACGTAAAGGACATGTACACTAGTGAAAAGATCCATGACCTGGAGCACAGAAGGCAAATTGAGAGTATATGGGGAAAAACTGTAGGAGAGCGAAACAACAGTGACCTTCCAGTGGGGGGTCTGCTATAGACCTCCAAGCCAGACTGAAGACTTGGATGATGCCTTCCTAGAGCAGATTATTACCCAACATTCAAAATGGAGGGATACAGTAGTCATAGGAGACTTCAACTATCCCGATACCTGTTAGAACTCAATTTCTGCTGAGAATGCAAGGTCCAACAAACTCCTGAACTGCCTCGCTGACCATATGCTTTCCCAGAAGGGTGTCAGATGATCCGAAGGCTCATGTAGATTTCATATTGGCAGAAATGTTCCAGGAGATATTAGTATCCTGAGCCGTAACATCCGTCCCCTTCCCAAGATTCACCCCCCAGAACTCACTTTCAGCTTGTACGTCCTCAGTTCATAGATATTGGGCCCAGGTCGTGGCAAAGGCTCATTCCAAAAGCTGAACTCCAAGAGCAGCTGGTTTCTTCGGGACAACAGCATTTTGCTCCTCTCCTTCCGGAATTCCAGGTACTCCTGGAAAGGGGAAAGATCAGAAGGGTCACTTGGGCACTTAGCTGTGGGCTTTCAGTACTTTCCATGGGGGGGGGGGGGGACATGATCGAAGAAAGTGGGCTAGTGTTGTGCTGTGTAAGCATGGGATTTGGTTCTTTCAAGCAAGTTTCTAGTTCTCATTGACCTGAAAGTCATATGTTGACAGTACTTATATGTCGGATGGTTACTGTTTGGGTTATCCCAGCCACAATTTGAAGGTGACCTGGAAACTGCAACTAATCCAGAATGCGGCAGCTGGACAGGTGACTGGGAGTGGCTGCCGAGACCCTGTAACACCGGTTCTGAAAGACCTATTGGCTCCCAGTACATTTTCAAGCACAATTCAAAGTGTTGGTGCTGACCTTTAAAGCCCTAAACGGCCTCGGCCCAGTATACCTGAAGGAGCATCTCCATTCCCATCGTTCAGCCCGGTCACGGAGGTCCAGCTCTGAGGGCCTTCTGGCAGTTCCCTCCATGCAAGAAGTGAGGTTGCAGGGAACCAGGCAAAGGGCCTTCTTGGTAGTGGCGCCTGCCCTGCGGAACGCCCTCCCATCAGATGTCAAGGAAATAAATCTGACTTTTAGAAGACATCTGAAGGCAGCACTGTATCAGGACGTTTTTAATGATTGACGGTTTATTGTGCTTTTACCGTATTTTTCGCTCTATAGGGCGCACCTAGTTTTTTTTGGGGGGGGGGAAATAAAGGGGGGGAAATTATTTCCCCCCCATGCCCCAAAGAGCAAAGAAGCCAAGACAGCCAGCGGGATCCATCCCGATGGCTGTCTTGGCTTCCTCTTTAGCCACGCACAACCTCTCCAGCTGGGAGAGGCAGCACACGTCTTTGGCAGAAGCCAAGACAGCTAGCGGGATGGATCCCGCTAGCTGTCTTGGCTTCCTTTTTAGCCGTGGGGCTGGGGCGGGGGAAGCCCGAGCTTCCCCCGACCCCAGAATGGGTCTGGGAGTGGGGGCGAGGTTATGCGCAACCTCGCCTTCGCTCCCAGAGCTTGCTGCTATCTGCAAGCCTTCGGAGCCCGGCGGGAGTTCCCGCCGGGCTCCGAAGGCTTGCGGATAGCTTCCTGAAGCCTGGAGAGTGAGAGGGGTCGGTGCTCACCAACCCCCCTCTCTCTCCAGGCTTCAGCGAAAGCTTGCATTCGCTCCATAGGACGCGCACACATTTCCCCTTCATTTTTGGAGGGGAAAAAGTGCGTCCTATAGAGTGAAAAATATGGTAATTCTGTTGGGAGCCACCGAGAGTGGCTGGGGAAACCCAGCTAGATGGGCGGGGTATAATAAATTATTATAGTTAGCCAGGGACTTGAACCAGGGGTCAGAGGCACAAGCCTAACACTCTACCCAGAGGGTAATCAATGTTGTAGGGCCACAACTCAGTGGTAGAGCATCTGCTATATATGCAGAAGATCCCAGAACATCTCCATGTTAGGCTGAGAGAAACTCCCTCTCTGAAACCCTGGAGAGCTGCTGCCAGTCAGAGTATACAACACTAAGCTCGACGGACCAAAGGTCTGACTCAGTTCAAGGCAGCCTTCCCATGTAGGCAGGTTCCAGATGTCCCATCATTCTTGATCGAGGGCCATGCTGGCTGGGCCAATGAGAGTTGGGGACCCCAACATCTGGAAGGCATCGCCTTGGCTACCCAACTGTGCCATTAAGATTGCTGCTGGCTCTTTGCTGCAGAGACCAGCTAGCCAGATGTGGCCTGGCACTGGCACCGTCGGCTTGCCAGAAGTGTTGAGATTTCATTCCTCCGTTGCTGCTGATGTGTGACTGTTTTCCTCACATGTCTGGGTTGACATTCCAGTGTGTTGGAGTCATGAGAACGGAAGTTCAGTTTACAGTGGTACCTCAGGTTACATACGCTTCAGGTTATATACGCTTCAGGTTACAGACTCCGCTAACCCAGAAATAGTGCTTCAGGTTAAGAACTTTGCTTCAGGATGAGAACAGAAATCGTGCTCCAGCGGTGCGGTAGCAGCAGGAGGCCCCATTAGCTAAAGTGGTGTTTCAGGTTAAGAACAGTTTCAGGTTAAGAACGGACCTCCGGAACGAATTAAGTTCTTAACCTGAGGTACCACTGTACACTGTTCCGTTATGTTGTGCTATTGCATTTTCTGTTCTCTCTCGGATGAGGAGAGAGGAGCCGTGATTCCTCTGTTCTGTAACATTTGATCTTGTACATAATAAATTAGCTTAGAATTCTACACCTGGAGTCCAGCTTCTGCTTTGAACTCTGCTATGTTTGTGTGTGCATATATCTTCAGATATATGTCGCAGTAGCGACTCAGGACAGAAGGGTGATGAATCATCCCGTGGGGCGCTTTGGAGGGGAAGACGCAGTTCCCTGGTGTTTCCCCAACAAACAGTACATCTGGAGAAGAGAGACCTGCGCTTGGTACCTGGTTCTGTTTCAGCTTGTTCATGCAGTCCACGAGGGCCGGGTAGCCACCGGTGAATCGCCAGAGATGCACTAGGACAAGAAGAAAAGAGCCTCAAATCCTTGCAAGCCCAAAGGGATAGGCAAGAAACCCCATTTGAAAGCGAATACCCACGTGGCTCACTGCTAGAGCATCCATTTTGCATGCAGGTGATTGTGGTTGATCAAGTCCTGAAATTCCCTTTTTTACTGGGAGGAGGAAAGGCAGAATCTCAAGGGCCTCCTTAGGGAATGTACACACCATCTAGTAATTGTGGATGTACTGCTCTTGCACATGGAGGTTCTGATTAGAGGCAGTGGCTAATGGATTACACCGGCAGGGGTCAGCAAACTTTTTCAGCAGGGGGTCCGTCCACTGACCCTCAGACCTTGTGGGGGGCCAGATTATATTTTGAAAAGGGGGGGGGGGAATGAACGAATTCCTATGCCCCAGCAATAACCCAGAGATGCATTTTAAATACAGTGATACCTTGGGTTAAGTATTTAATTCCTTCCGGAGGTCCATTCTTAACCTGAAACTGTTCTTAACCTGAAACACCACTTTAGCTAATGGGGCCTCCCGCTGCTACCGCACCGCTGGAGCACTATTTCTGTTCTCATCCTGAAGCAAAGTTCTTAACCCGAGATACTATTTCTGGGTTAGCGGAGTCTGTAACCTGAAGCGTATGTAGCCCGAGGTACCACTGTAAAAGGGCACATTCTACTCATGTAAAAACATGCTGATTCCCAGACCGTCCGCGGGCTGGATTTAGAAGGCGATTGGGCCGGATCCAGCCCCTGGGCCTTAGTTTGCCTACCCATGGATTATGGGTTTGTTTGTTTGTTTTAAAGATGGAAGGGGAGAAAGGGCTGAATCGCTATGGCTCCCCGAGTCATATGCAATGAACTTTCTGTCAAGGCAGAACTCGAAGGCCCCTAAACCCACCCTGCATGGTTGGCCCTGCCCCCTCACCTGCCTGGTCCTGTTCACCATACCAAGTATTCCAGTTGCCAACCAGGTCGCAGGGGTAGTCCGAGTCCGAGTGCAGCTTTGGAAGTACCTGCTCCCTGCAAAACAGACATGGAATTGACAGGCAAGGTGGGGATAGCCAAGGCTCACATTTATTATTAGCAGCAATTATGAATAACAATACCTATAGCATCACCTTAGTCCACATACGTATGTCCCCACAACCACTTCGACCGGCAGAACTGGCACTGTTACAAGTATCACATAATGTCTGTTCCGCATTTGTAAAAACTAAATATTTTTGTGTGGCAGCACCTTTACTTTTGTTTTTTATGATTTTCAGTTTTATACATTTCAATAATTTTACAATCATTTTAACATTTCAAAACATGACTTCCTCCCCCCCCCTTTCTGCGGTTGCTTAAATTATTCCCCCCCCACGCATATTACAAATTAACTTAATTTACTCATCTACTTTAAACATATACTCTTATAAAACTGCAGGTTATTACAATAATCCTGCCAATGTTCTTATTATCTGTTTGTAAATAATCAATAAACCATTTCCATTCTTTTATAAAAAGGTTGTTATGGTGATTTCTTTTTTTCCTGGTAAGTTTTGCCATTTCTGCATATTCTGTAAGTTTTTGTACCCATTCTTCTTTCTCTGGGACTTCTTCTTCTTTCCATTTTTGGGACAAGTAACATTCTTGCCACTGTAGTCGCATACATGAATAAATTTCTACAAAGTTTGGGTAGTTCTGTCCCTATAATTCCCCCAGACACCGACACTTTGGAACTCCCTGCCTGTGAAGGCAGCTCCCTTCACAAGAGGACCTAGTATTATGAAAAGTTGAGAAGCGTCTCTCTCTCTCTCCCCACAATTTAAAACACCTCTAGCTATTGTAGTTGTCAGACCACCGCAAACAGTTAAAATTGTTAGTAGGACTAGAATATCACTTGTAGTGAATAAGGGTGAATTTTGGACATAATGGAAGAGGTAAAAGATTTGGATCATCGTAAAAGATGCCAGAGGAAATGATTAATAATAGGACCCACAAAGGGGAGGATGGAAGTCCAGGAGATTCCTTGGAACCTTGTTTTTAAGATTTACGCTTGATATAGCTCTGTAAAATTTCAATTTGGAAAACCAAATAAATAAATAAATATTTTAAAAGGAATGGAGTCTCCGGGAAGATGGAGTAGGTACTGGACGGCTCCCTGAACACTGCAGCAAAATGCCTGCTTGTGGAGTTTTACTATTGAATTGCACTATACTGTCGTTAGGCCTTTTAAATAACCTCTCTTCTCAATCTCAGAATTCCTGACAGCGGGAGAGACTTACGTCAGGCTGTTATAGGCATCCAGGCACTCAGGTTTCACATTGTGGACTGAAATGACAAAGGAAACAGTTGCGTTTGGCTTAGTATCAAATGCAAAGTAAGAGGGAGGGAGGAAGAGCGGAGGAAGCCTGCAGCAAAACAGTCTCCTTGAACAGGACCAACTCGTTCCCCTGGTGAGCTAGCAGGGAAATTCGTGGCTGCCCCACAGCAAGCATTCTGCACCGAATAAATAATAATACATTTCCTGAAGCAACAAGTATTCTGTCCAGATAAAAGACGCATCAAGAATCCAGATTCTATTCCAGAATCCAGATCCTATTCTCAAATTCTCAAGTAACGGCAACAGGGTGTTTTTATTTTTGAAATGGAATCCTAGAACTGTAGAGGTGGAAGGCAACCAAGGGTCATCTAGTCCAAACCCCTGGCGAGACAGGAATCATGGCTAAAGAATCCCTGACAGATGGCCATCCCACCCCTGTTTAAAAATCTCCAATGAAGGAGAGGCCATGACCTTCCAAGGGAGCCCATTCCACTGCCAAACAACTTCAAAAGTTCTTCTGAACGCTTTGTCAGAATCTCCTTTCTTGTTGTTTGAATCCATTGGTTTGGGGGTCCTATCTCTCTGGAGCAGCAGAAAAACAGCTTGCTCCATGTGACAGCCCTTCAGATATTTGAAGATTATTCTGTGTGCATTATTCCTGCCTAACATAATTCTGAATGTCTGTCTGTTTGCCTGTTTGTTTAGTATTTGCATCTTGCACAGAATTTGGAACTTCTTGGAGGCAAGGAACAGATTGGGCAGTGGGAGGGTGGTTTGAGTAAGTCTGCCATGGACACTGATAGGAGATTGGTTGGAAGCAGGCAGCAAGAAGTCACTATATCACAGACAACAGAGACTGTCAACGTAGTTTCTGTAATCAAGAGGTTGAGAAACCTGACTTGCTCCCCCGCCAACCAATGCCTTAATTTTCAGCGTTTTCTCCTTCATCCTTTTACAACACCTGACATCCATTCATCTCCCATTTGAGAGGCAACCATCAATTGAGACAGCCTCCCCAGATCCAGAGAAACATCTGGAGAGACCTAATTGGACTAGAGACTTTCTAGATGAGGATGAATCCTGACAAGACAGAAGTACTGTTTTGGGGGGACATTTTAAAAATATTTAAGTTTTCAGAAAGCCAAAGTTCTGCACCAAGAAGGTTCCATGGTTTTTACGCAAAGCATGGAAGGCTCTTCGTCGATCACCCACCTCCCCAAGCTGCTCTGCTGAACAGAAGACGCGAAATCTGTTGCTGCTGCTTACAGTCCTTACCCGCGGACCAGCCCTTGGCCCTCACCCGTGCAGAAAGCAACACAGAGGCTTACGACAAGAGCAGAGGGGAAAGCAAGCTTAGGGACGAGGGGGGTGGCGGCTCACACTGGATCTTGTACAAGTGGTTGGTCTCTTTCTTTGACAGGAGGTTGGAATGGGCATCCTTTCGGGGGTCCACTTTGTGGACAAAGAGGGAACGGAACCAGCTGCTTTCGTGGTCTTTGGAGTACTCCCTGAAAGAAAATGCAGGTGTCAGAAAGGCAACCCACCAAAGGGAGGAGATGGCAGCCTTCGCAGCAAAACATCTGGACCAGGTTTCTGAATTGCTACTCGCCTGGTTGCCTATGGCGAGTGAGAAATCACCTCCAGGCAACCAAGGAACAGGATGAATGTCAATTCATTACTTCTCAAAGGCAAATAATGAATTTCAGTCCCTGCATAATCAGCATAAGGGTTCTGAAGCAAGTAGCCTTCCTTGTTTTAAGTTATTATGCCCTTGTGTTGTGGATAATTCTGCATCAGTTCGCATGGGCTCTTAAAAACGAGCTGGTGGAGGATGAATGGAGCATTTTGCATCTTGGAAAACTATGCTACTGGTTTACCGTATTTTTTGCTCTATAAGACACACTTTTCCCCCTTCAAAAATTAAGGGGAAATGTGTGTGCGTCTTATGGAGCAAATGCAGGCTCCTTGGCTTCAGCGATAGCAACGCGAAGCGTTTGAAGCACAGAGGGAGAGCTCCCCCCGCGCTCCGGAGGCTTCGCGTTGCTTTCGCTGAAGCCGTCTGAAGCCCCCCGCTGCGCTCCGGGGGCTTCAGGCAGCTATCTGCAAGCCTTCGGAGCGCAGCAGGAATTCCCGCTGCGCTCCGAAGGCTTGCGGATAGCCGTCTGAAGCCTGGAGAGTGAGAGGGGTCGGTGCACACCGATCCCTCTTGCTCTCCAGGCTTCGCTGGAGAAGCGCTGCACAGTTTTCCCTCTCTGCACAGCGCCCCTTCAGCGAAGCAGGAGGAGAAATGGAAGGAGCTCCGTTTCTCCTGCCTCATCGCTGAAGGGGCGCTGAGCAGAGAGGGGGAGAATTATTTTTTTTCCTGTTCTCCCCCTCCTATGGTCCGATACGTCCTATAGAGCAAAAAATACGGTACTTTAGTTTCGTGTACCAGATTGCTCCAAGCTTCATTCCCAGCTGTGAAATGGGAACAGCTGAAAACATTTTTGTTCCGGCAAGCCTATCCAGACATGCAGAATGTCAACATCTGTTTTAACCTGCTTTTTACCTTATTGTTCATTTTAAAATTATTTTAAGTTTTTTTTAAATTAATGGTAATTTTAACATTTTGCTCTTTTTGCAAACTGCTTTGAGTTGTTATTACAATCCATCGGTATATAAATCCTGTGAAATAGAGTGAAATGTGAATCAGGACAGACCCCTCATTTCACCTCTTACCCTCCCCCCCCCAAAAAAAATCTAGGAGATGGAGAATAATAATACAGAACTACCTCACAAGGTTGTTTGTATGGATAACTGACATGAAAGGGAAGTTTCGGTACAAATATGCTTATATAGACATTCTGATCAAGCTTCTCTCTCTTAAGCTCTCCCCACGTAAAAATAAAATATCTATCTGCAAAAGCTGCGAAATAAAAAATGAACGGCTTCTCTCGAACACAGCTCTACCGAGCAACGGGTACCATTATCTAAGATGGCAACTAGATAAATAAAGAGAGGGGGGGGAGACCCTTTCTTTGCAGCCAAGACCTTTGCACCAACGTTGGTCATTCATTAACTTCAGAAAATAGATGGTAAACAATCCATCAGGGAGGCATGGCTAACTCAACAGGATTCCCACTGGCCCCTTCAGGGGCTGTGACTATGTGAACATGGACACCAGGGTTCCCCAACCTGGTGCCCTCCAGCCATAAGATGCTGGGGTTGGTGGCAGCTGGATCCAAAACTGCTGGAAGGCACCAAGTTGGAAAAGACTGACCTGTTAGCCAAGGGCTCATAGCTAATCTCTAGTCCAAAATTCCAGCTTTCGAAATAATTTGTTACTTACAGCACAAGCCTAATAAGTCCATCTACTCAGACAAAAATCCTGCTGGATTCAGTGGGGCTTACTTGCAGGTCAATGGGATTAGCTTTGCAGCCTAAGGCATCATAGACTCTTAAGAGTTGGAAGGGACCCAAGGGGCATCTAGTCCAACCCCCTGCAATGCAGAAATCTCAGCTGAAGCATCCATGACAGACAGGAGAGTGGGGAAAAGAGAAGACTCTCAAAACTTGCAAGAATCAAGCAAACGAGCATTTTAAAACAGGGTTGCATCCAACCAAGTCAAGAGCAGGCCCCTTGAAGTTCATGGCACTAGGTTAAGTAACGTCCATTCATTTCAATGGGCTTCCTAGGAGTAGGACCCCAATGTTGGATACGACCCCAAAGTCCACTGCGTTTTAAGAGCTTCCAAGGTCAGGCCTCACCAGCCCTCCAAGGGCGCAAAGTGAAAACGATCCTTTTCCTTCCTCCCGGGTTTGTTGCGATCCTAAGGAAGGCTTGATCCCTCCCCCCCCCCCAGCCTCCTGGAGATTAACCCTTTGCCACCCGGGGAGCGCCCGTGGCGCAAGCAAAGGCGCAAGACTTTGGGCATGGAGAAGTGCGCAAGGCAGCATCGGAGGTGGGCTCCGGGTGGGGAGGGGAGGGCAAGCTGCTCACCGGCCCCCGCCGCTCCCGCGGGCCAGGCAAGGGTCTCCGCCCCGCAGCGCCGCCAGCAGCAGCAAGCGCCGCGCCGGCATCCCGCACGCCCACGTCGCCATCTTCGCTCTCGCCCGCGGCTCCAGCAAGACCCGGACGAGAGGAGGGAAGAGGAGGCGCCGCCGCCGCCGCCGCAGCGACGCTTTGGGGCGGATCTCGGTGCTCCGATGCGGCACACGCCCCCCGCTCGTGGGAGGGACCACTGGGGTCTCCTTACAGCCGCAAGGGGGCGTCAGCGGCCGGCAGCCTTCATACGGACTAGCCACCTGACGCCATCCCTTTAAAGCGCGTTCGAAGGGCATGCTTTCCCGCAAGGGATTCTGGGCCGTGTAGTTCACCCCTCGCAGAATTACAATGGCCGGCTGCCCCTTCACAAACTACAGCGCCCAGAATTCTTTGGGCGGGGGAAATGCTTCGAAGGTTGCAGCGTTTGGGGCTTTTTTTCTTTTTTAAGTTTAGAGAAAAGGCAACACGACAAAAGTTTGCAAAAGTATGCATGGCACTGGGGAAAAGCTGTTCTCCTGTGAGTTCAACAGCATTCTTGGTGCCTTAGCTTCACAGGTTTTAAACTTTGTCCCAAGGACTTTTTAACTTTCTGATGTTTTGCCGCTGCTTAATATAACTAGTGATCCGCGCCCGCCAATAAACAAAATTCCAGCTAGTTTGAGGAACGGTTGGCTTGCTTGGGAAAGCTGATCTCATAACGCTAGCACTCATCATCATCAGTATTTATCTATTGTTTCATACGCGAAATCCCTGATATAGAAAAACGGGTGGTTGGCTTTTGCTGCCCAACTCCCCAAGGGACTGACTCCCCTAAGTCCATGATCCGTCAGAGATGAATGGATGGAGGCAGGAGGCAGTGAAAGCAAGGCAGATCTTTATTTTTCTGTTGCAACAGAGCTCCCTCCACTCCTAGCAAGGAGGCAAGAGAGACCCAGAGCCCAGAAGAAACATCTCTTTTAAGCGTTTGCATTTTGGCGTGGAGAAGGACATCCTCTCTACAAACAGTCAGAAATTACATTGCACATAAGGTGGGGTTGCTGTGGCTCAGGCAGGCCAAGGTGTGATATTCCTGAATATTTAGGAAGTTTTACATAGTTCCAGACACAGTTTACACAAATATTAGCATAAGACAATCAGGATGCCTGTCAGATATCCCTCAATGCAGAGCATCTGGGGAAACAATGACAATACAAAGGAGGTTCATAAATATAGGAAAGGAATCCCTTCAGAAACTAGCTGCCTACCTGTTCTCAGGCAAGGGGGATTAAGGAGGCAGAGGGAATATTTAGACTTTAGGAGAGCCAAGGTGGCTTTTGGATTGTTCTCCAGTACTATTTTAGACACGTGACGTATATACTTATGTGTGTGTGTTTACCTTGTGCAATTATCAACATTTATTCTATATTTGAGACCTTAGAATTTCTATAACACCCGTAAGCAGTTTACATAAAACACAAAAAGGTATTTTTTAAAAGAGAATGAAAAATGCAGCTAAAACAAATACAAAGGAATACATCGGTAAAAACAGAGAAGCCATTGATGAAACATTGAGTTAAATATCAATAAATAACAAAACAGAATAGTGTGATTAATCTTATTAGCCCAACAATGCCTGCTTAAATATATGGGTCTTTAAAGGTAAAGGTAAAGGTAAAGGGACCTCTGACCGTTAGGTCCAGTCGCAGACGACTCTGTAGTTGCAGTGCTCATCTTGTTTTATTGGCCAAGGGAGCCGGTGTACAGCTTCCAGGTCATGTGGCCAGCATGACTAAGCCGCTTCTGGCGAACCAGAGCAGTGCACCGAAACGCCGGAGCGGTACCTATTTATCTACTTGCACTGGCGTGCTTTCGAACTGCTAGGTTGGCAGGAGCAGGGACTGAGCAACGGGAGCTCACCCCGTCATGGGGATTCGAACCACCGACCTTCTGATCGGCAAGCTCTAGTTTAAAACTTGCCACTCTTTTCTGCTTCGTGAGCATTGTGTGGAAGGGTGTTGCAGAGTTTGCAGTGTATTGCACGGTGCTGCGCCAGTCTAATCAATTTTCTTTTTGTCTGCCTTGTTAAAATCAATAAATTTATCTGAAAAGAAGAAGAGGATTTGCTGCTTGAGGGTGACAGAGCCTTTTGATCCACCTTACTTTTGCAAGCCTAAAGGTCCAGTGTGAGACTGAATACCTCCAGCAAAATACCGGCAAATCAAGAGGCAAGCAAAGATGGCAATTCAATAATTATAACAGAAATACATAGCAAAGGCCCCCGAGTGTAGCTTACTGGTAATCTAATTCAAAACATAATATAGCAATCCCAAATAAACAACTTGATTTGAGTAATCCTCTGGAAATGAATTTTTAATCAAGGCTTATCCCAAGATTTGTATACATGTTTCCTAAGATTTATATACATATTTGTAAATCGTCTCATTTGAATCCTTTAAAAATGTCTAGCAACTTAAATATGTATTTATTAAAGAGCCACCAATAAATACATTTTCTGGCTTCCTGCGGATTGAAATGTTCAAGACAAAACACAAAAATCAGGACACGCAGTCATTGAGCGGGAGACAGGAGAAGGAAAACAGAAAAAGGAGTCAGGTCCAGCAATTGCATTTCAATTTAAACGGGAGCAAAAGGATGTCTGGGTGCAGAAAATGAAGTCTGACATTGACAAATCCACTCTTGGGCTTAATTCTTTTTCTATTCTCAGGGAAAGGAGAATTTCAATTGCTCTTGGCAAAGCTCCTGAAGAAAGTGAATTATCTCTATTCTTAAGGAAGGTGACCCACATTGGGGGATTGGCCAAAGAAACACAATGGGCGTCTCAGGGAAGAGCCTGATTCTGAAGAGATCGGTGCCCCTTCACAGAGCCCTCAGGCGCCTCTGGAGAATCTGAGCTGCCACCTGAAACTAAACTCTGCTAGTCTGAAGCTGCCACCCTGTATCCCAGTGGTGGGGAACCTCTAGGATGCGAGACTAGCTAGGCCTCTGACCCATAGGCTAACTGGCCTCTGGCTCTGACCCATAGGACTAGCTAGGATCTGGTCTGCAGGACTGACCAGGGCCACTAGGCCTCCCCATTTGGCCCCATTTAGTTAATAAAATCAGCTAAACCGGGGTGGGAGACCTACATACCCTCCAACATTTCTCCGATGAAAACAGGGACATCCTCTTCTAGAATAATAATAATAATCAGTGGTATTTTTCTGGGGGTACGCAGGGGTACACATACCCCTAAACATTTTGTGAATCTAAGTTTGACCTCTTTGAGGGGTAGTATTTCATTATAAGTAGGAAAAGAATACCCCTAAACATTTTTTTAGAAAAAAGCACTAATAATAATAATAATTTCATTATTTGTATCCTGTCCATCTGACTGGGTTGCCCCAGCCACTCTAGGTAGCTTTCAACATACATTAAAAAACCATAATAAAAGAGGGCTTCCTTTGGTTACTTATCTCCTTGGCTCAGGAGTTCCATAACTCCCTACCCTCCAACTTTTCTCCGATGAAAATAGGGACGTCCTAAGGAAAAAAGGGTCATTCCGGGATCAATTCAGACAGATTCTGTAAATCCAGGACTGTCCCTGGAAAATAGGGGCACTTTGAGGATCTGGACCTCAGGTGCAAGGACCAAATGTGGCCCTCTAGCCCTCTTTATTTGGCCCTCTGAACGCCCCTCAGGCCACACCCCTCACTGATCCTGCTTTGTACCAAAAACCAGAGGTGGGGACCATCAAACCTAGGGGCACAACATGACCCACCAAGCCTCTCTGTCTGGCCCTGGGACTCTCCCCAGGCCACATCCCCTCCTGCACCCTGCTTGGATGTTCTGCTTCATTGGACAGGGTCCTTGAACTCTGATTGTGCCTCTTGCTTGAAGGATAGAGAGTGTTGTGTGTGCATGCGTGTTTTTGTGTAGAAACTAGCCCACTGTACCAAAGGCAAAGTCAACATTGATTGCTCTGCCCACTGTTGCTTCTGGCCCCGCCCACCACTGGCATGTGGCCCCCAGAAGATTGTCCACAATAGAATGCGGCCCCCAGCTGAAAAAAGGCTCTGCACCCCCATATTAAACCACAGAGACTAGGACTAGCTGATCAGAAGGTTGGCGGTTTGAATCCCCACGACGGGGTGAGCTCCTGTTGCTCGGTCCCTGCTCCTGCCAACCTAGCAGTTCGAAAGCACCTCAAAGTGCAAGTAGATAAATAGGTACTGCTCCGGCGGGAAGGTAAACGGCGTTTCTGTGCACTGCTCTGGTTCACCAGAAACGGCTCAGTCATGCTGGCCACATGACCTGGAAGCTGTACGCCGGCTCCCTCGGCCAATAAAGCGAGATGAGCGCCGCAACCCCAGAGTTGGTCACGACTGGACCTAATGGTCAGGGGTCCCTTTACCCCCATATTACCCCCATATTAAAGCTTTCCCCTTGGCTAACAATCAAATGTTGATGTCCTGAGACCCATACGTGCTTCTGGTTCTCATGCATAAAGTCCAAAGTCATTTTTCTCTCTCTGCAAAAATCAAATTGTTTTGGTCCAGACAGAGCTTGCTCGGTAATAACGCTTAATATATTATATTTGGATGAGAGCCAGAAACAGAGACTTGTGATCCGGCGGAGAAGATGAAGTCTGGAAACATAAGCAAGTGAATAAATAAAAAAGGAACAATTTTGTTTAATTTTTTAAAAAAGCCTTCAGCATTCTTTGGTATGGGGCATCATAGCAGGGCTACGACACTTAATGGATAAGATGAATTGATTTTAAACGGTGCCTCTGAGTAATTGAGCAGCAAATGTTTAACTACATTAAAAACACAGGGAGCGGCCTTCCACTGAGTCAGACCTATTGGTCCATCTAGCTCAGTATTACCTACACAGAGTGGCAGCAGCTCTCCAGGGTTACAGGCAGGGATATTCCCAGCCCTGCTTGGAGATGCTGAGAACTGATTGATTTCATTGCATTTGTATCTTACCTCTTTCCCCAAGGACCTCAGGGTGACGTACATGGTAATCACAATCAGTTCTCCAAGGCTGGTGCAAGGCGATTGATGCGGACCTACGGGACCTCCTCTCCTGGTATGCCCCACGGAGGACCTTAAGGTCCATAAATAGCAACACCCTAGAGGTTCCGGGCCCTAAGGAAGTTAGATTAGCCTCAACCAGAGCCAGGGCCTTCTCAACACTGGCTCCGGCCTGGTGGAACGCTCTGTCTCATGAGACCAGGGCCCTGCGGGATTTGATTTCTTTCTGCAGGGCCTGTAAGACAGAGTTGTTCCTCCTGGCCTTTGGCTTAGAATCAGTTTGATTCCCTCCCCCTCTTTCTTTTTCCTTTCTCCTCCTGTAAAGAGGCTGCATCCTAATGTTTTAATGTTGTATTTTAATCTTGTTTTTTAAATTGTATCTTAATCAACTTGTTTTTATTATTGTTTGTTAGCTGCCCTGAGCCGGGTCTTGGCTGGGGAGGGCGGGGTATAAATAAAAATTATTATTATTATTATTATTATTATTATTATTATTATCCCTACAACAGTCATGCAAGGTAGGTTGGGCTGAGAGAAGCAGCAAATGGCCCCAGGTTACCCCAGTGAGCTTCATGGCCAGGAGGGGATTTGAACCCTTGTCTCTCAGGTCTTAGTCTGACACTCTAAGCACTGCACCACACTGGCTCCCAGATTTAACCTGGGGCAACATTACTGCGTATAATTTAAGAGCTGGGCTTACGGCATATATGGCACATGACGGCATCTCTCTGCCGGGAATTTAATCATGGATTAGAATGTTACAAATGGCTCGCAGACAAGGCTTTGGTCTGCACCTTCAACGCTGTGCTGGCCAGCTTGGGGAAGTGAATTATGAAAGCCTTTAATACCTTTGACTCTGTAAATGACCCATAGTGACAATCGGGAAGATACAGCATCCACTTGGGAGGCTTAGCATGTGCTTTAAGGGAAACAGATCTCTTTGGAACAGCACGCTGGCTGGGTTTCAATAAAGCGTCCCCGTTGCAGGAGATCGATGGAGAAGCTATAGGCAAGTCATTGAAATAATTGGATCAATTGCCTTGCACCAGCCATGGAGAACTGATTGCGAATCGCCCGAAAAGAACCTCACAGGTTCAACCCTCTGACGCTCATGCAAAATTCCCCATGCTTGGGTGCCTGACGTTAATAAGCTTGGAGGTAAGAAATGGTTAAGTCAAGAGGGAGGAAGCTCCGGCCCATGATACTACCATAATTAGTCCTGTTTCAGCCACACTGAGGCCACTTGGTTAAATTGTAAAAAAGAGAGGTGTTAGCAGGTCTCAGGGATTATTGAAAACTAGACGCCCTTAGATGGACTCCTCAAAACTCCTGAAGCACTGGTGGCTTGGTTTGCTAAATAACATATGGCCCTCTGTACATGCTCAGAGGCGCTTTCAAGTTCAAGCAGCCTACAGTCAAGGCCACCACACTGATGCCACATAGGATGTGTCACAGGTGTAAACATTTCCCCAGTCCAGGTATCATAGTACCAATTTGTGACAGCTCAAACAAGGGAGCCAGATCACACCCTCCAGGTGTGATGATACTGACAAAGGCACTGTTTGTACATCACAAGTCATTGCTTTGGCGCTCCCTGAATGTAAAGAATACAGTGGTACCTCGGGTTACAGATGCTTCAGGTTACAGATGCTTCAGGTTACAGACTCCACTAACCCAGAAATAGTACCTCGGGTTAAGAACTTTGCTTCAGGATGAGAAAAGAAACCGCGCAGCAGCAGCAGGAGGCCCCATTAGCTAAAGTGGTACCTCAGGTTAAGAACAGTTTCAGGTTAAGAACAGACCTCCAGAACAAATTAAGTTCTTAACCCGAGCTACCACTGTACTGCAGTGTGAATCGCTTCTGGCAACATTCAGATTAATATTTGGGACAGGCAAAAGAAAGTACTGTATTTTTCGCTCTATAAAACACACCAGACCACAAGACGCACCTAGTTTTTGGAGGAGGAAAACAAGAAAAAAAATATTCCGAATCTCAGAAGCCAGAACAGCAAGAGGGATCGCTGTGCAATGAAAGCAGCAATCCCTCTTGCTGTTCTGGCTTCTGGGATAGCTGTGCAGCTTGCAATTGCTCCATAAGACGCACACACATTTCCCCTTACTTTTTAGGAGGGAAAAAGTGAGTCTTATAGAGCAAAAAATACAGTAATTCTTCACACATTGTGTAGTTACAACTATGGAACTCAGGACCACTTGAGATGAAGTGATGGCTATCAACCTGGACAGCTTTAAAAGGTGACTGGGCACATTTATGGGGCACAGCTGGCCCCCAAAGGTTATGTTCCACCTCCACTGCTGGAGGCATTGTACTTCAGAATACCATTTGCTAGGAAGAGGTTGAGAGAGTGCTGCTCTTGTGCTCAGGTCCCGCTTGCAGGTTTCCCATGGGGGTATTATCTGGTCAGCCATTATGAGAACAGGATGCTGGCCTTGGATAGGCCCTTGGCCTGATCCAGCAGGCTCTTCTTGAAGAGATTGAAGGGAGATCGAATTCTGGGAATCCTGGACAAAGATGTCTTAAAAGAGGAGCAGACCACTTTTCACTTCTTGGAGAAGTTCAACATAATAATAATAATAATAATAATAATAATAATAATTTATTACATACCCCACCCATCTGACTGGGTTGCCCCAGCCACTCTGGGTGGCTTACAACAAAATATAAAGAACACACGATACATCAGACACTCATCTGTAAGAATGGAGCTATAACTTTACATTGACTTGTCTATTTCTCTTTTAAAGCCATCTAGGTTGGTGGCCATCACTGTCTCCTTGTGGGAGGGAGTTCCATAGTTAAAGAAGAGTCCTTTCTTTTATCTGTCCTGACCCTTCAGCTTCCTGACATTCAGCTTAATAGATATCCACGAGCAGTGCTGGATTTATGTATAGGCTAAGTAGGCTGAAGCCTAGGGCCTTTAAATCTAGGGGGCCTCGCCAGCCCACCCGCTCCCAGCGGGCAGTCTCCCCTCTCCCACCAGAGAAGTACCTATTTATCTACTTGCACTTTGACGTGCTTTGTAACTGCTAGGTTGACAGGAGCTGGGACTGAACAACAGGAGCTCACCCCGTCGTGGGGATTCGAACCCCCGACCTTCTGATCGGCAGAATTTTAAATACCCGTCAACATCCTTGGCGTCACTCAATTTTGTTTATAACACTGTTATGTACTGAGTTGAATAGGATCCAAAATGCAGCAGTCTGATTGGTTCTAGAACAATATGATTCAGAATGCAGCAGTCTGATTGGTCCTAGAACAATAGGATCCAGAATGCAGCAGTCTGATTGGTCCTAGAACAATAGGATCCAGAATGTAGCAGTTTGATTGGTCCTAGAACAATAGGATCCAGAATGCAGCAGTCTGATTGGTCCACAGGAGCCACCCAATCCAGCTCCAGGTGGAAGTGAATCCGCAACCTGATTGGCCTACAAGAGAATCCCGGAATTAGCCAATCATGTGGGGCCCATTGTGTAAATACAATGGTACCTTGAGTTAAGTACTTAATTCGTTTCGGAGGTCCGTTCTTAACCTGAAACTGTTCTTAACCTGAAGCACCACTTTAGCTAATGGGGCCTCCTGCTGCCGCCGCGCCGCCAGAGCACGATTTCTGTTCTCATCCTGAAGCAAAGTTCTTAACCTGAAGCACTATTTCTGGGTTAGCAGAGTCTGTAACCTTAAGCGTATGTAACCTGAGGTACCACTGTAATGTATATAAAGCAGACATTCTGGGGGAACTTCCATTCCTCCTCACCACTATGAGCTGAATAAAGAGCATGAAATCCACTCTCGACTATATTTCAAATACTCTTCCATTTTCTTCTAGTCGTGAGGGTGGAGGATGGGGAGGTTCCTCACAAATGGAGTAGCCTAGGGCCTCTCTTCATCTAAATCTGGTCCTGTCCAGGAGCTCTAGATGTTCTGAGAGGATAAAAACTTTTCTGCTCAGAATTCTACTTTCTCCATTTCGTTCTGTCTTTCGCTAGGGGGCGCCCAAGGCCACCTCATTCCCGGTCCCGCCTCTTTTCCTGCCTATCCGCCTTTCCAAGCACAAAGCCGAGGCGGGAGTCGGTCACTCTCTCTTCGGAGCTTCTATGGTCTAAAACAAGGAGCGGGTGGGTGGGGAAGAGGGTGTATGTCGGCCTGAACGGCAGCGCCGCTCGACCAATCCATGAGAGCGGAAGACGTAGAGCCCCCACCCACTTCCTAACATAGGTGCTTAAAGGTGGTCACAAGCCTAACAAAGCTATATAGAAACTTCCGGTCCCCTACCGAAAGTGCTGAGGTGGGTGGGAAAGCGGCAAACATGCTAAGAAATCATTGCGTGCGGAACCCCCACCTATGAAAGAGCTACATAAATTCGGGGTGGGGGTGGGGAATAGAAAACGGTTCCTGCCGCTTTATCCCCGCTCCTCGTTCACACCCCCTCAAATGGCTGCCGTTCGCATTGAAACCGGAAGTATAGCTCTCTCATTCCCTCACAGATCCCTATGCGTCAGTGGTGGGTAGGGGAGGTGGGAGAGGCCCGACGTCCCGCCTCCGGGGAGGACCTCTCAGCCAATGGGAAGAGAGTGGCGAGGAGTGGCAGGTTAGGCTGTGATGGCTGAGGTGAGGGGCAGTTTCCCAGTCAGGGAGGCGGGTGGGGAGTAAGAGAAGCGCCCCAGGGAGATTCTACACCCCCCCGGACACTTTGGGGGGTCCGAAAGAAGAAGGCCGCCCCTCCCCGCCCCAAAACTTCCCTCGTAGGAGCGTCTTCCCCCCCCATTCCTGGGCGGGAGACCCTCCCCCAGCCCTAGGCGCCCCCTCCCCCTGCCCCCAATAGGCCCCCTAAATACCCCCCCCCGTTTCACAGTAGGAATTCTAAGTTGTCCCCCCACCCCCGTTCCCATATTGAATTTTTGGGTCACCCCCCCCTTTGCAACTCTCCCACCATTTCTCACTTAGAAGCCCCCCCCCCCCCCAATTTCACTTCACCCCTTTCATGCCCCCAAATTCTACCCCTCCCCTTTATACTGAGTTTCTGGGGTTGTGTATTATCATTGCCATTATCCTTCTTCTTGACTTTCCGGCAGCGTTTTCCCCAAGGGGCCCTCTGTCCTCCCTCCAAATTGCACGCAGCGACATCTGCTTTGTGGAGTTGGGATCCCTTAAAAAACTCCCCACCGAAACCACTCACATTTCTTCTTCAGAAGGATGCCTTGAGACAGAAAACTCCATCCTCCCGTCCCACCCTTGGTCGGAGTTTGAGGAAACTCGTGTCTTTACAGACTCTTCTCTCTCAAAAGAACATTGCAAAACCTTACCTGCCCGCTTTTGCACAACAGTGCAAAACCTTACTTGCAAAACCTTACTAAGCACAGCCAAGGCTCAGCTCTTGCCCATCCACTATCCCCAAATCATCTCTTCTGGTCGCTAGGGACATCTCCCGATTTCTGAAAGCTGAACACAGCTGTTGGTTCATAGCAAGAGTGGCCTGGCAGGTGCGTGGGTGGTTTCTCCCTCCCCATTTCTTTACATTTCCTCTTCCCCTGCCATTTTGAAAGGAGAGGTGTCCTTATTTCCATTTATCCTTTAACACCCCTATACACTTTCCTTTGACAGAGGGGCACAGACAAGTCCTAGAGACTTGTTAGATGTCCTGCTGACCCCTTAGCTTTTTCCTCCCGCCCTACAACACCCCAGAAAAGCCAGGAAGGGTGAAGTCGTTCTCTGAGGTTTCTCTCATTTGACCCCTCAGTGTTTGCATCTGCACAGTGAGTAGAGGGGTCCGTCTCCCCCCCAAGCAGTCCTCCCATTGTTGGGAACGTTTCCCTGAAGTTAGGACGGAACGATTGCACCCTTTGGGAGCTGGGGTGGCTCCCCGGGGTTTTCGTCATGGCTGGTGCCATTGCATCGCGCATGAGTTTCAGCTCACTGAAGAGAAAGCAGCCCAAGACCTTCACAGTGCGGATTATCACCATGGATGCTGAGATGGAGTTCAACTGCGAGGTAACGGAGGTGGCTGTGTGTTTTGTTGAAGTTTGGGGTACTTGTGGTTAGAATGTTGCTTAGAGGGGTGTTCTGCATCTGCGGTGCCTTGTGCACCTCCCAAAATGCTTTATTAATTTTATCTTGGAACATAAGTTTAAGAAGGATGTTGAAAAGCAGGAACGCGTGCAGAGTAGGGGGACCAAGACAATCAAGGGCCGGAAACCAAGGTTTATGAGGAATGGTTGAGGGAGCTGGGTCTGTTTAGCTTGGAGAAGAGAAGACTGAGAGATGATATGATAGCCATCTTCAAATATCTGAAGATGGAGTTCTGCTCCAGAGGGTAGGAACCGAACCAATGGATTCACATCACAAGAAAGGAGATTCTGGCTGAACATTAGTAAGAACTTCCTGACGGTGAGAGTTGTTTGACAGTGGAATGGACTCCCTTGGGAGATGGTCAACTCTTTGCCGTTAGAATCTTGTCTAAAAGACTCTGCCAGGGATTCTTTTGCTGTGATTCCTGTGTTTCTGGGGGTTGGACTAGATTACACTTAGGGTCCCTTCTGACTCTACTGTTCTGTGATTCTGTTTTAAGAGCCCTGCTTGATCAGGGCAAAGGGCCATCTAGTGTGGCATCCTCTTCTCGCAGTGGCCAACCACCACTTGCAAGCAGGAGCCAAGTGAAACAGCAACTATCCCCACTTGTGATTCCCAGCAGCAACTGAGATTTAGTGTGGGGCTTGCATCTGCCCTGTCTCATCCTCTGCTAAAGCAATCCAAGCTGGCGGTAACATCTGTCTCCTGTAGAAGAGAATGCCATAGTTTAATTATGTGCTGTGTGAAGAATAATTTCTTTTGTCTGTTCTGAATCTTCCAACATTCAGGTTCCCTGGATATCCCTGAGTGCTAGTGCTGGAGAGAGGGAGAAAAAACTTTCCTCTAGCCACTTTCTTCATGCATAATTTTATATACCTCTGCCTTTTCCCCTCCCTTTTAACTCACCTTTTCTGTAAACTGAAAAGTGCCAAACGCTGTCAACCGTTCTCGTAAGGGAGTTGCCCCAATACTCCATTGATGAAAATGTGCATAATGGAACCCTGGTGACCCTCTCATTTTTAAAAAAAGGAAAAGCAATTCTGGAATGGGTGATTTTTCAGGAGAGAGAGCTAGCAGTGTTGGTTACCTGTTCTCTACCTGCACCTTCCCCACTCCTGATTCCGCCTCTTTCTTAGGCTTCAAGCACGTACAGTATTTGGAAGAAGTGAAATAGGTTAAAGATGGTTCAGGGTATAAGAATGAAGGTCTGCAAATTGGCCATTAATGATTTTCAGCAGAAAACCAGAAGGTTAATGGCTCATTTAGAAGTGGAACATTTCTCCCTGGAATAATTAGGAGAATAAAGAGTGCTCCCAAGTATATTTATGCACAATTTTCCTGATGGTATGAGCTGTTTGACAATGGAAGAGACTGCTTTAAAAGATAGTGGCTTCTCCTTCATTTGATGTGTTTAACCAGAGGCTGAACAGCCAGCAGAGTGCCTGCCTCCGTGGGGGGGGGGGTTGGACTAGATGACGTTTTAGATTCTTTTTTCCCCCTGGTGGGTTTTGATTTATGGACATTCAAGGGCCAAGCGCTTTCTCCATCCTTCTGTCTTCCTCTTTGCAGGATTGATCGTGATCTTGAGGGTTGATGGTGTTAGTGAGAGATAACTGTAGGTGTGTCAATTATTACTGTGGTTGTTATAATTTATCACCCATCCCTTCACCCTAAGGTCCTAGGGTGGGTGACAACAACATAAAAGCTAGTGTTAGAAATGGCTTAGAACAACTTACAGTCGCCAGAAGGAAGGTGATTAAAATAGAACTAACAGGGTCTTAAATATGTACACCCCAAGTGCCAAAAGCCAAGGTGAAGCAACGCGTCTTCAGCGTTCACCAAAAACTGTATAATAAAGATGCCAGACACACTTCTGCACTGTGTAGCACACAAATGAATACAGAATGTAATCAGAGGAGTACAAGTTCCAATCGGTGTGGGCGTGACCCACTCCTGACTCGCATCCGTTGGTGATGAATAGGAAAAACAAGATCAGTGGTGTAACTGAAGCTGTAAAGCGACCATAGAAAGCTGCTTTATTCAGAGTCAGACCACTGATCCATCTAATGCAGTTTTATCTGCACTGACTGGCAGTGGCTCTCCAGGGTTTCAGCCAGGGATCTCTCCCAGCTCTGCCTGGAGATGCCAGGGATTGAATCAGGGACCTTCTGCAGGCAAAGCAGACCCCAGCTTCTCCTGTCATTGGAAGTTATCATATACCAAGACAGACTATTCCATCTAGCTCAGTACTGTCTGCACTGACTGGCAGCGGCTCCCCAGAGTCTCTCTCAGCCATAAATGGAGATGCTGGGAATTGAACCCGGGGCCTTCTGCATGCAAGGCAGGTGCTCTTCCCGAATTGCTTTCTGCTGCACACTGGAGATTCGTAGGGTCTTGGGAGGCCAAGTACCACTGTCAAGATCTTGCTTTTGAGTTCCACTCCAGCCGCTTCCTACCGGAGCAGCTTTTGTCTGCAGGTTGCAGACCAGCAGAGGGAGTTTGTTACCAGGCTCTTCATTTCAGAAGCACTCTGGGGAGACTTCAAGCTTCTTCTTTGATGCTGGCCCAGAGCAATGTAGGCGCAGTTTGAGGTAGCTTTTTTGATACACAGGGGCCTGTATGCAGCAGTACATTGAAGGTCAGAGCCGCTTGGGCTGGCTGCTGCGTGGAGGTGCTGTTGCTGCTTATACCACATCTTGTGGGAAGGAACAGCCAGCAGGGGAGCATCCTTCCCAAGCAGGATGAGGTAGTGGCAGCAGCAGCAGCAGTAGCGATAAGGTGACATGATAGAAGTTCACAAAATGATCCAGGGCACGGAAAGAATTGATAGAGAACAGTGTTTCTCCCTCTTACGTAACACTATAATTCACAGACATTCAATGAACCTGAATGTTGGAAGATTCAGATAAAAGAAAGGACTTGTTCACGCAGCGCAGAGTTGAAACTATGGAACTTGCTGCCACAGGTGGCAGTGACAGCCACTGACTTGGATGGCTTTAAAAGAGGATTGGATGAGTTATTGGAAGAAAAGGCTATCACTGGCTACTAGCTGTGATGGCTATGCCCTGCCTCCGTGGTCGGAGGGAGTAATGCTTCTGAATACCAGTTGCTGGAAACTGCAGGAGGGGAGAGGGTTCTTTTGCTTGGGTTGTGTTACCAGACTTCCCATTGGAATATGGTTGGCCACTGAGAGAAGAGGATGCCTTTGGCCTGATCCAGCAGGTTCTTAGGTTCTTTTGAAGGTTGTTTAGTCAAGATGACAGTGACCCTGACCATACGATCTTATGCAGGCCTACTAGGAAGTAAGCCCCCTTTGAATTTAGTGGTACCGAATTCCCACATATGTCCAGGAATGCAGCTTGAATCATAGACGTATCTTCCCTTGTCCGTGGGATAATTTAGACTTTCTTACTAACATAAAAAGTACACTACTTTTCTCGCCAAAACAAGAGCCCAAAACATAACATGATAAATACAAGACAGGATATAAGCAGCCTTGTAAAGGACGCCACCTAATACCACACTTTTAAGAAATCTGTGTTTAGAGGCTGTGCTTTCCCAACCAAAGCACTCTACCCAAAAGCTCGCTTTGAAAATGGAATCACGTCTCAACCCCTTCTGTGGCGGTCCTGGTGAACAGCAGGCTTAAAACTCAAGGAAATGACATGGTTGTTATAATTATCCATTACTGCTATTTTATATGGAAAGATGAAAGAGAATGCCATTATTTTCTGCAGTATAAATAAAGCAGGGATGGGAGATCTCAGGGGTGGGGGCCGAATGTGGCCCTTCAGTTCTCTTTCTAGCCCAGGGAACTCTGCCTAGGCTATACCCCTCTGAGGCTACACCCCTCCTAGACCCTGCTACACAGCTTGAGTGTTTTTTTTCATAGCTGGGATGACCTTGAGCTCTGATTGTGCTTCTTGTTTGCCTGGATGGAGGAGTGTGCAAGTGTGTGTAGAAACTCGGCTGTTGCACAAAGCTGGAATTTACATTTGTTGCTCCACCCACTTTGCCTCTGCCCCACCCACCAGTGACATGTGGTCCTTGGAAGGGTTGCCCCAAAGGGAATAATCCCTTGGCCCGAAAGGGGTTAACCGCCCCGGATGTAAAGGAACAGAAGGCTGAAGAAATCTGGAAGGCACAATCATTTGAGCTGTCAGAGTTCTGCCTCCTGTTTATTGCCTTTTAAAAGCAAATAATTTCAGGCTTTCCCCAGGACAGAGTCCGCCCCCCCTTCAAAGATCCACATCCATTTAGCTGTCCTTCTAAGTCTCTTCCAGCTCAGTGGTATCATGTTTGCCATGAAGTGACAAGTTCTGTACGCGGGTGAGGGTGCTCAGTTCGGATTTGTGTAATGGTGTTTTGAAGAATTTCTTCTCTTCCTGTGATTTTTCCGTTCCGAATTCTTACCCTGTGGAAGTGCCAACGCTGGTCCCAGCTGATTTCCTGACCTTAACACTCTTGACAGAGAGTGCTTTTGCAAGCCTTGAGTTAAAAGCGAGCTGGAAAGCTCTACAAGAAACCGTAATAGGGGACAGTTTTGAGCTGGCAAATACATCAGAGATTACCTTACAGTTTATTACTACTTCGGAGGCTGAAATGCAGAAATTGGTGAGCTTTCTTAGCTACCTAATTCCAGCATTTAGGTCTGAAATTGGTTAGCTTTCTTAACAATCAATAGATCACTGTTCAGAAATGTATTTATACTCGTTCTACAAGGAAGGCTTGTAGCTCAGTGGTAGAGCATCTGCCTTGCATCCAGAAGGTCCCAGGTTCAATCCCAGGTGGGGCTGGGAAAGACTCCCTGCCTGAAATCCTGCATAGTCGCTGCCAGTCAGGGTCGACAAGACTGAGCTAGATGGACCAATGGCTTGACTCACAATATGGCACCATCCTGTGTTCCTCAGCATCCTGAGATTGTTATTTGATGAACTGGAAGAATAAAGATATGACATCCTTTAATCAATGGATTGACAATATGACATCACTTGCAATTTATGAATGGACTGCTTACAGGCACAAACGTTTGGATAAGCATGATAACATTTGGAATTAGTTTATACAGAATGTAGTAGGCTATTAACAGTTGCATAAGTATTAGGATAATAACACTATATCAGTTTATTTAAGAATGTATAGGAATATCTTTTCTTCTTCTTCTTCTTTGGTGATCACTCGTAGCTGAGTAAGATTGTCTTCCATAAACATGGTTTTAAAAGTGAGTCCATAAGTGACTTTGGAGGCCAATTCTGGATCCACACGTCCTTCCACAGTGGGGACATAGGTTTCTAGACAGGAGTTGATCATGGTGAGGGTTTGCCAAGTGTGCCTTCCTCTTAGTGCGTTTCTCCCTTTCGTCCTGAGTTCGAGCGACTTCAAAACCCATGACACCTTTAGTAAAGGCAAGAGTATATTATATTGCATTTGTGTGTGTGTGAATTTCTTATATACATATTAGTTCCCCCCCTCACTTTTCTTTCTTTTTTCTGTCACTTAAAAAAACCCAACCAACCAACCAGCACCCTGTGTTCCTAACCTACACATTCCCTGTGGTTCTGGGACACTTTGGAGAAGGGCTGTAGCTCAGGGGTAGAACAACTGCTTTGCATGCAGAAGGTCCCTGGCGACTCCAGGTAGAGTTAGGAATGTCTCCTGCCTGAAGCCCTGCAAAGCCGCTGTCAATTTTTGTAGAGAACGCTGCACTAGGTGGACCCAATGGCCTGACTCAGTATAAGGGAGCTTCCTGTGTTCCTATGGATGATTTAGCACAGCAGTTAACCAAAGGCATTTGTCTTTGGGTGGTTTCCAGGTTTCAAGCGACTTCCATTGAAATCAGCCTGGAAGAGGAATAAAAGGGTGTGTTTGTGTGAGAGTGAGTTTATTCACTTCCCGATATCTTGTTTGCTGAACGCTGTTTGCAGGAGGTGATGTCGTGTCAAACAAGTGCACTGACTTCAAAGTGCATTTCTATTGTCGCTTTTCTTATTGCACAGGATTCGGTTCTTCTAGGGAAGCAGGCTAGTTGCACAAGAGCTCCACAAATCCACTTGAATTTGCCCAACGTGAATTGGCTGGTAGGGGATTAAATCCTACCTGCACAATAGTAACAGTCTCAATGTGTCTTGAAAGTGTTCTGTGTTTAGGACCAGGAGAGAGAGAGCTGACTAAATGAGGGATTGCAAAAGGTGTTTCCAGTGCAAGCCCCAAAAGTTCACAGTGATCATCTTCTCATCTCTAGGCTTACATTGTAGAAGGTAGTGAGGACAGGTAACTTCTGTATTAAGGTTAAAAAAAAGGTAAAGGACCCCTGGATGGTTAAGTCCAGTCAAAGGCGACCATGGGATTGTGGTGCTCATCTCACTTTCAGGCCAAGGGAGCCAGTGTTTGTCCACAGACAGCTTTCCGGGTCATGTGGCCAGTATGACAAAACTGCTTCTGGCACAACGGAACACTGTGATGAAAACCAGAGCGCACGGAAACACTGTTTACCTTCCCGCTGCAGCGGTACCTATTTATCTACTTGCACTGGCATGCTTTCGAACTGCTAGGTTGGCAGGAGCTGAGACAGAGCAACGGGAGCTCACCCCGCTGTGGGGATTCGAACCGTTGACCTTCAGATTGGCAAGCCCAAGAGGCTCAGTGGTTTAGACCACAGCACCACCCGTGTCTCCTACTTCTGTATTGTCTGTTCAACAATGGTTGAAGGATTTGGGGGTCAGGAAGATTATAAGTGATTCCTTAACTGTGATTCCTGCATTGCAGGGGGTTATTAATATTATTACTGTTATTTTTAAAATTTCTATACCACCCTTCATCGGAAGATCTCAGGGCGATTTTCAGCCTAAAAATATGGAATAAAACCACAAAGTACGTAATGAAAACAAGAACAAACCAAACCAATAACCCCCGTCACACAGACTAAATGACCCTCTCAGTCCCTTCCAACTCTACAATTCTATAAGTCTGCTGTGACACAGACAGACCGTCTTCATAATAAAGCTGGTGCCACTAAGGGCTGTATGCTTGGGGAGAACATGCGGTAGGTACCTCTGGCCTGTGGGCCCAGCACATGTCCTGATTTGACCCGCGAGGTCCTTTTTCTCAGCAAAGTGTTCCCTAGGATTGGTGTCAAAGAAAATCAGCCTTGCCTCCCGAGGCTTTGAGGTATTTGGAGCAGGGACCCGAATGATGCTCAGAGCATGTGGGAAAAGGTCTCAAGCCATTCGTGGCTTTAAAGGTGGAGAAGAGCACCTTGGATTGAGCCTTGAAACTAGTTGGCAACTCACGCAAATCACGTAGAGCCAGCAGCGCGATAAAATCAGATCACCCAGGCTCCCATCAGCATTCTGGCTGCATCATGTCTGGCAACGCATGGAAGTTTCCCAGAATTTTCCAAGGGCAGCCCCACATGGAGGTTAACATGAAATTGAGAGTCCTCAGTTGTGCAAGTGAATCTAGAAGCATATCTCAATTTAGACCTGTGTCGGCAATGACAGTGCCTCCAGCTGCAACTGGGTAGTGTGTGTGCGTATGTTTGCACAATGGATGGGGGGGGAGGCAGGTGTGTTTGTGTGTTACAATCTGCTTCCAATGCATAATCAGGGGTCAACAAACTTTTTCAGCAGGGGGCCGGTCCACTGTCCCTCAGATTGGGGGGGGGGGGCAGACTATATTTTGAAGAGAAAAAAAATGAATGAATTCCTATGCCCTACAAATAACCCAGAGATGAATTTTAAATAAAAGGACACATTCTACTCATGTAAAAACACACTGATTCCCGGACCGTCCGCGGGCCGGATTTAGAAGGCTATTGGGCCGGATCCGGCCCCCAGGCCTTAGTTTGTCTACCCATGGCATAGATTGTCTTCTTTTTTTAAGGGGTGGGAGGATTTTACTCTGTTCAGGGCAAACTTGGAAGGGTCACTTGCCAGTAGCAGAGTTCCATTTATATTTCACATACCCCCTGTTTTGAAGAAGCTGCATTGGTTGCCCGTAACTTCACGATACGGTTAACTGCAAATACTGAAGAGGCAACTTTTTATCCTGGCCTTTGACGTTTGAGATCTACAGTGGTACCTCGGGTTACAGACACTTCAGGTTACAGACGCTTCAGGTTACAGACTCCGCTAACCCAGAAATAGTACCTCGGGTTAAGAACTTTATCTCAGGATGAGAACAGAAATTGTTCTCTGGCGGTGCGGCAGCAGCGGAGGCCCCATTAGCTAAAGTGGTGCTTCAGGTTAAGAACAGTTTCAGGTTAAGAACGGACCTCCGGAATGAATTAAGTACTTAACCCGAGGTACCACTGTATATTTCTAGGGCCCCCTCTATTTCTGTCACATGTTTTAAACTGTTTCGTATTTTAATTTTTTTTAACCCATCCTGGGACCTTGGGTGAAGAGAGGTCAATACATTAAAATAATAACAATGATCTTAAAAAACAGGAGGAGGAGTCTAGCTGCAGTGTGGATCAGTCCCAAGGGCAGCCCCTGGTTGAGCACATTGCAGTAATCTATGCTTGAGGCCACCAATGCTTTTTTCCTATAACAGCCTCTCCTTTCACTCCCATGAAACATCTTAACAGTGCAGCTCCATTGAAATCTTTAGTAATCTGATTTACCAACCTTTTGCGGGGGTTTGCGTCGCTTTGATTTCTGGATTTTATTTTTGTTGGGCGGCCTTAATTTGAAGTTAACTGCTTTTAAAAACCATATCTGTTTATTTTTTTATTTTTATTAAAAAAAAATATTTATACAACAAGAAAAACAAACAAACAAAAAACACAAATACCGAATTACACACAAATTACAAAAATAACCATAGACACTTAATATTCTTAGCAAACAATAAAACATCTATTGGTCTTAACACTAAAGACCCAACCTCCCGTCTATTCCATACTTCAAATTCATATTACTTATTGCCAATACACTTTTTTCCCATAATTAAACTTATTCTCATTAAATCTAATTTCTTATATCTACCTTGCAACTATTACTGAAGTTCCTCGAATGCTGCAACAGAATTTAAACTACTATATTTATTTTTCAGATATTCTTTAAAAACCTCCCATTTAGAAACAATTACAAAATGAAAATAGGGAGTTGAAAAGGGAATGTGATAAGATAAGGAAAGAAACAGCAGATCTGAAAGCGCAGCAAGATTCAACTTTGGACTCTATTGCGATGTTGCAAATGCAGAGAAGGGAGAATACCCTAAGATTCAGAGGACTAACAGAGGACGCAGAGGAAATAATTGAGAAAAAAATCTCAAAAGAGCTAGCAGCTTGGTTAGACCTAGAAGAAGCAGAAGATCAAACTGGATTTTTCCCCGGACGATTTATGCAATCCAATATTAGATGTGTGATTAATGTATTAGAATATTTGGATATTAAAATTGATAAACCAGCAGCTGTTATGTTGGTGGATGCTGAAAAAGCTTTTGATAATGTGTCCTGGAAGTTTATGAAAAAATTAATGGAAGAAACTGGACTGGGAGAAAATATTTGTAAAGGAATAAATGCCATCTATTCGGAACAATATGCAAAATTGATCATCAATGGAAGAATTACTGAGGAGTGCAAAATAAACAAGGGAACCAGACAGGGCTGCCCACTGTCACCACTGATATTTATCTTGGTGATGGAAGTCTTGAACAATCAGATAAGAAGGGATCAGCTTGTTAAAGGCATCACTCTGGGAAACAAAACATATAAAATTAAAGCCTTCGCGGACGATCTACTTGTTATGACTGAAAACCCTAAAGAAAGTCTGAAAAGAGTGCTGGAATTGATTAAAGAATTTGTAGAAGTGGCAGGCTTCAAGCTGAATATAACAAAAACAAAAATGCTTGTTAAAATGTAACCACAGAAGAAAAGGACGATTTAGAAAAAATATTGGGCCTGAAAATCTCCTCAAAAGCGAAATACCTGGGTATTTGGATCACCCCCAAGAACATAAACTTATTTCAGGATAAGTTGGTTAAAACTTGGTTAGAGATTAGAAAAAACTTTGTAACCTGGAGTAAACTAAAATTAACATTTCTGGGTAGGATTTCCATTATAAAGATGAGTGTACTTCCAAAATTAATCTTTTTAATACTGGGCGAAGCAGGTTGTCTCAAGATATGGCAAAGAGAAATTTCCAAATTCCTGTGGGAAGGGAAGAAACCTAGGATTAAACACCTGATCTTAATAGACATAAAAGAGAGAGGAGGCTTTTCCCTACCCGACCTAAAACTTTACTACGAGGCAGCATGTTTCACCTGGCTAAAAGATTGGTGCACGTTGCAGGATTCGGACCTCCTCGACCTGGAAGGTTTTGACAACCGTTGGGGATGGCACGCCTACCTAATATATGGAAAAGCGAAAATTCATAAAAACTTTACCAACCATATAATAAGAAAGTCACTCTTTGCTGTATGGGAAAAATATAAAGACCTGATGGAGCCTAAAGTCCCGTGGTGGACTTCTCCAGTAGAAGCCATAGCAGTAAAACGGAAAAATACTCAGGAAAGCTGGCCAACATATAAAATACTTCTAAAAAATGAAGATAACCAAATAAAATTACAAAACTTTGAGGAAATAAGAGACCACATTTCAGACTGGTTCCAATACCATCAGTTATTTGAAAAATTTAAATCTGACAAACAAAAGGGGTTCTCAACAGAAATTTCCCGATTCGAATCTGATCTTCTAAATTCTAAAAGAAAAACTCTTTCCAAAACTTACCGACTCCTCCTTGACTGGACAGTCAAGGAGGAGGAGGTAACTAGTGGCAATGGTGAGGTGGTCCCAGGATTTTGGCCACTCAATAACCATGGCCCAATGGGAAAATTTATGGAAGATCAATTGGAAATTCACAAATTGTTACACGATTAGAGAGAACTTTCAAAAATGCAACATCGATGGTATCTAACACCATGGAAGCTTTCAAAAATGTATAAAAATGTATCAAGTAATTGTTGGAGATGCGGAGACTCAGGAACATTCTACCATATGTGGTGGATATGTAGGAAAATACAGGTATTCTGGGAGAGTATACATGCAGAACTGCAAAAAAATGCTAAAGATCTCTTTCAATAAAAAACCAGAGGCCTACCTCCTGGGAATAACAGATTTGGATATTCCACAAAAGAGGAAGGGTATCTTTTTATATGCAACGGCGGCAGCAAGAGTTTTGATCGCAGCAAAATGGAAGAGTTATGAAATCCCCTCTATTCAAGATTGGATCCAAAAGCTGACAGAATATGCTGAATTAGATGGTTTATCAGAAAAAATAAAAAATAAATCAAAACAGGAATTTGTTTCTAAAACCATATCTGTTTAAAATGTTTTCTTTCTGTCTATTGTAAGCCACATTGCGGGCCTTCACGGTGGAAAACTAGCCTTAAGAAAAAAGAGAGAAAAAGGAAATTATCTGTTGAACAGACCCCAGTTTCTGGTGTGGATCAGAGCCAGGGATTAGACTTTCCCCTCTTTTACTGTCACAATAAATTTCTTCCCGCTGAATTAAAAAAAGAATAAGTAGGCTATAGATATCAACAGATCCCGTCTGTTTGTTTATTGAAAAGTCAGAAGCTGTCAGGATGTTTTAACCCAGTTCAATCATCATTGGAAAAACAGCTGGCGATCTGGCAAGGCTCTCATGTTGCCCGTTTAAGTTGTGATGTTGGATAAATACCCAGGGTTAAAAATAGCTGTCTTCTCTCCTCCTGGACACTTTCCTTAGTATGACCTCCCTTTCCACGCTGCTGCTACCAGGATCTGGCCCTCTACTGTTCTGCCCTTAATCTATCTGTCTGCACCTCGCTTCTGCTCCGACAGAGAGGGCCAGTCAAGTGCGCTTCTGTAGCTGTACCTTGCCATGTCTGCTGTCTCCTTAGAGGTTGCACAGAAATAGCTTTTAATTAAAAAGTCGTTATCAAGTTGTCGTGCAGCATAAGTAAATAAAAATAGCTTTTTTTATGGCTTCTGCTTGCAGCATAGTTAAGTGGCTCTTTAAGGGGTTGTGGGTTTTTTGTGACATCTGTTTGTTGAAGAGGGAAATGAGAGGAGCTCTCCTGATTTTCAAGCTCTCAGTGTCTCTGAAATATTATGGGTTTTCTTCTGTGGCTGCTGACCTAGCTCCTGCTGCTGATGTGTGATACCGTTATTGAGGACTTGTCATACCCCATTATTTATCTGTTGCTTCGGATGCCAATCTCTTGGAAGGTGTCTTGTAAAATGCTCCGGTATCTTTTCTAAACCCTTTTCATTGCCAATTGAGTAATTCTAGAGATGCCACGGTCAGCCACAGCTGGGCACAGGATGATGACAACGTAAGAGCATCAGAAGACCTGCTGGATCAGGCCAGTGGCCCATCTTGTCCAGCACCCCGTTCTCATAGTGGCTGACCAGGTGTCTGTGTGAAACCTGTAAGCAGGATTTGAGCACATGGATGCTCCCCCCGTCCTATAGTTTCCAGCAACTGGGACTCAGAAGTATTTCTCCTTCTGTTGAGGCAAAGTGTACCTTGGAAGTTGAATGGAATCCATTCCGGAAGTCTGCTCGACTTCCAAAACGTTCAGAAACCAAGGCATGGCTTCCAATTGACTGCAGGAAGTTCCTGCAGCCAATTGGAAGCTGCGGAAGCCCCGTCGGACGTTCGGGATCCAAAGAACGTCCGCAAACCGGAACACTCACTTCTGGGTTTGTGAAGTTTGGAAGCCAAAATATCCGAGTATCAAGGTGTTTGCGATCCAAGGTACCACTGTAGTACACCTCTTTTTTTTTTTTAATAATTTTTTATTAAAGTTTTCAACAAACAAAAAAGAAAAACAACACACATAAAAAACAATACAAAACTTAACAGTAAAAACACAAAACATAACAGTTAAAAACAAACTCTCTTTTCCATTTCCAATTTTAAATTACTTATTTTCTGGACTTCCTCATACCTCCCTCTTTTGTATTCCAATCCACATTATTTGTCCAGCAGTTTCTTTTCCACTGTTTTATTCCCAATCTTTAATTTAATAAAACGTTAAAATATATAACTTCAACTTTTTAAACCTAATCCTTGATCTTAATGTCATATAGCTTTAAATTTTTCCCTTTTATTATCAAATTTCCATTTCTTTAAACATCTTTAATCTTGATCTTTAATCTTAATCTATCCTTGACTTTAACCTGTACAGCTGGAAACCACTTGTTTTCAGTCCAACATCACTCTAACATTCCTTAACACTGTAGTACACCTCTATACGCCAGTTGCTGGCATTGCAAGTGGGGAGAGAGTGCTTTTGCGCTCAGGTCCTGCTCGCAGGCTTGCAATAGGCATCTTGTTGGCCACTGCGAGAACATGATGCCGTCCCAGAAGGGCCTTTGGCCAAATCCAATAGGGCTCTTCTGAAGTTTTCCCATGACCCCGAGCTCTTCCAAATAATTTGGAGCCACATCCCTACTGGATCCCACTCTGCAACCTTGGCTCATCATGCCGTCCTGACTTCATCTCCATCCACAAGTGGGCTCCTCTCTCCTAACATTTGCCATAACTTCGTAGCGGGCCGTAATTGCCTGAGGAGCGGCGGTGCGGCGCTTGTAGCAAGGACACTGTCCCCATATTAAATTGCATTATCGGAGTGACGCTTTGGCTGCCTGCCAGGTGCAAATGACTCCTGTTGCAGGTTAATAAATAATGTACACCCTGTTAATAGATTTCCGCTCCCCCTTCCCCAAACTCTTGACATCTTGGCTGGAGAACAAGAAGAGGCCTCCCTTCTCCCATCGTCGACTGGTTGCTGAGTTTTAAGTGCTTACTCCTGTTTACTTTTAGAAAAACGACAACCAGGAGATGCTGATGAATTGCAGGCGCTCTGCACTTAGTTGAGATCATAAATCCCAGCCCTGCAAAATAACCGGCTTGCGGCACTTAGCCCTCTTTATAACCGGAGTTTATCCACGTATTCCGGCAAGACTTGCAAATATATCTAACAAACCATGTTAAGATAAAGCTAATGGAATATGACAGGACCACCTAGGAGAGAGCATTCATTCTCAAGCTGCTGGCTCAATTTGGGGTGTCTCGAGGCGGAGGGAGAGAGAGAGTGGCCCCCCCCCCGCCAAGCCCCATTACCCCCAGACGAAAGCCGGGCCATTGCAGCCCTTGCTTTTTATAAATTATGGCTCTGCCTCTAATGCAGTTTTTATTTTGAGGATATAGCTTTATTATATCATTCTGGCCACCACTCCGGATGATGGCGGGGGAAGAGCTGTGATGAGGAGCCTTGCTTTTCTTTCAGTTGGTGGTGACCTTCATCAGATGCGTATGCTAAATCTCACAGCCGCAGTGAGCAAGAATAGTGGAGTGGATTGTTAGGAATTCAGGAAGTTGCTTTATACAGTGGTACCTCGGGTTAAGTACTTAATTCGTTCCGGAGGTCCGTTCTTAACCTGAAACTGTTCTTAACTGAAGCACCACTTTAGCTAATGGGGCCTCCCGCTGCTGCTGCGCCGCCGGAGCACGATTTCTGTTCTCATCCTGAAGCAAAGTTCTTAACTCGAGGTACTATTTCTGGGTTAGCGGAGTCTGTAACCTGAAGCGTATGTAACCCGAAGTACCACTGTACTGAGTCAGACTATTGGTCCATCTGGATCAGCCTTGCCTACACTGACTGGCAGCAGCTCCCCGGTCAGAGGTCTTTCCCAGCCTTACCTGGAGATGCCGTCGGGAATTGAACCTGGAACGTTCTGCATGCAAAGCCACTGAGCTACCACCGGTGTTAGAAACTCAGATATATAAGCTAGGATTTAAACTAGGCTTACAGTTGCCAAAACAGAATGGCTCATTGCCATTTTGGGGCCACACAGCTTGGAATTTTTATTTTTCAATTTGACTTTTCGGTTCCTGAAATTCATTCTGATTGGGCAGATAAAATATAATAGAATTCTACAGGATGTGTTGCTGTTGTGTGAAAATAGTCAAGATCCAAGGAATCCCAGGCAAGCACCTCCAGATTGTATAGGCATCAGACGCCATCCTGGCACCTGGGCATCTTCACTTGATCACAAGTGGTTGATAGCCAGGTGCAAAATGCACCTGGCGCCTGCCAAATTTCGAACAATCACTACCACCCTTCCCATAAAATAAAGATTCTAGTCCTTATGGGTTTAAACTGAGTTATATAGGAAGCTGCTTTATACTGAGTCAGATCATTGGTCCATGTAGCTCTGTATGGTCTACACTGACTGGCAGCGGCTCCCCAGGATTTCAGGCAGGGGTATCTACTGGAGATAACAGGGGTTGAACCTGGAACCTTTTGTGCCCAAAGCAAGTGTTCTGCCATTGAGCTACGGCCCTTCCTGGTTTCCGAATGTTGATTGGAGGGTGCCAAGTCTGCTTTGACTTAGTGAGCACAAGGAGCAGGAATGGTTTGAAACAAAACCCCACACAGGGCTTAAGGGCAGGAGATATGACTGATGGTAAAAAGGACTGTATTTTGATTGCTGTGAATGTCCAGCTAGCGTGTTTGCTGTGGGTTTCCAGGTACTGACGTGATCACTGCCTATACTGTGTGCTCAAATGGTGCCCCCAAAAGGTTTTGGGTCACGTCCACACCGTGGCTTTAATGCACATGGTTTCCCTCAAAGAATTCTAGGCTGTAGAATTCCTAGAGCTACAATTCCCAGCAACCCTTAGCAAACTACAGTGCCCAGAATTCTTTGGGCGAAATGATGTGCTTTGAGTGTGCTTTAAAGGTACAGTTCGTACACAGCTTGAATGTAGACGTAAAAGTTATCAGAATAAACACCTGAGGCTGCTCAAATGCCACACAATGCCACGGTTTCTTCTAAATAATCCTAGTAAACTGTAGTTTCCCATCGCAGAGCTACAATTCCCAGCACCCTTAGTAGACGACAGTTCCCAAGATACTTTGGGGGAAAGCCACACGCTTCAAATGTACAGTTCAGCTTCTCCGAATTGGTTTTTAGCATCCAAGCGAAGGACTCCTACCATATGGAATGAGCAAAGGAGTGCCAGTAAAGTTTGATCTTAGTTAAGCTAATTTGCGGAAAGACGCCGAATGCAGATTGGTTGTTGAGCCAGTTGCTATGCGCAGGTCCGTCTCAGAGTCTATGGCTCTCCCAGCAGCCGTTAAATTGGTGTTACGGCACTTGTGAGTCAAGGCATAAAAACCTAATAGCACCAGCAGCCATCAAAGTGCCTGTTTATGTGTGCGGGGCCAAACTGCCGCTGCAGGGCAGAGTAGGGCGGAAGGCTCATTGCCATAAAATGTCGGCGATCAATATCTTAAAACCACACTTAGAAATCATCCAAATCTCTCTCTCTCTCTCTCTCTCTCTCTCTGTGTGTGTGTGTGTGTCCCCCCGCTCCCACATCCTTGTCCTATGCGCTAAACGCGATGCCTGAAAATGGTCCAAGAACTTCCCCGTTGGCTTTGTGCGGGCTTACATAACACCCCACATCATTTGCAGTCTGCAGACAGGCTGCCACTTCCGAGAGGGAGGGCTTCCGCATCGTTTGTAGTCTAAAGCGCGGCTGGAGTTTGAAAACACCAATTCCACAGGGTGCAGACCCTGCACCTGTGGATGAAAGCCTCTTTTCCTTGGCAAGGCTGCTGCAGGAGCCCTGCATTTGCAAGCCCCTCCTTTCGCCGCTCCTTCCACTCCAGTGAATGGACGGGTCGCTTTGCCACGTGAACACCAGGGCTCTCATTTCACCGTTCTGTCTTGGCAATATCCATTTGTAAATCCAGTTATTCTGTTTGCTTGTCTTTCCGTTGCATTTCCCCTCTTCACCTCCAACTGCATTCCTCTCCTGATGCTCGTTTGTGGATGCTCCACTGTCAGAGGCAGCAATGATTCTGTTCGTTGTTGGAGACCACAGAAGGTGCTCTTGTGCTTGGGTCCTGCTTACCTTTTTCTCCCACAGGCATTTGGCTGCCCCTGTGAGAACAGGATGCTAGGTAGGGTGAGCCATTGGCCTCATCCACCAGGGCTCTTATGATACTCTCATATTTTTGAGCTCAAGGCCATTGGTGACCCCAAATGCCAGCAAACCCAGGGGTGAAGGAAGGCTAACCAGCACCCGGTGTGGGGTGCTGGGGGCGGGGTAAACCGCCCGACAGCGCATGTGCTACTGCGTACTGTGCATGCACGTGCACAGTATGTAGCGGTGCCGCACATGCGCCCCGCAGCGGTTTGCTGATGGCGCCGCTCAAGCGCCGTATGGACGGCGGTGGGATCCCGCCGCCACCGCTGCAACCACGAGCGGCAGATCCTTCGCACGTGGCTGTGGCGGCACAATGGTGGCGGAGCGAGCCCCCTGCAGGGTGCCTTGTCACCCCCTCAGAGATGGCACCTGGAGCGGACCGCCCCCCACCTCCCTGCGCCACTGAGCAAACCAACATGTCAACAAGCCATTATTCATACTCCCCTCCCCCTGGCGTTGTAGGCAGCGCTGACCCACATGGTGGCTGCTTCACAGGGCTGGTATTCCCATCTCTCGGTCTTAATTTGTCCAGTTTTGTTTCTCTTGTAATCACTAAGTGAAGCTAAACACTTTGAAATGGCCGAGCTCGACTCATCCTGTGCTTGCAGCTGGCATCCATTCATTGTTGGTAATGAACAACCTCTCCACCCCGAACGTATGAAATGGAATATTTTCCACCAGAAAATAAGGCACCGGGGGGGGGGGGGGATTCACATCAGTGGTACTGGAAATAATTTTGGCGCCGGGGTGGGGGGTGCAAGGCAAAAGGAATTAGGATTAAAACCTCTTTTTGATGCAGTGGGGAGCAGTAGCCACAAGTGGGCAGTGTGGAATAACAGCTGGAGAAGGGAGAGCAGCTGGAGCAGAGCTGTTGTGCCATGTGTGAGGATTAATATTGAATGCTATGCCGGTGATCCTAAGACTTGAGAGATACTGACAAGGTGGGAGGGAGGCCCCCCTGCCTTAATGCTTCAGAAGAGCAGCCATATGTCTCTCCCTGCAATTTTATCGATTCCCAGAGGTAGAAAAGCACCAAGATCTCGCTCGCTTTATTTCCTGCTGGTGTACCATTTTTTTAAAAACAAGCCAAAGCTTTCTTTTTATACTGTTGATATGCAGCCATGTGAAAGACCACCTCTTTTTTGACTGCTCCAATTTCCCTTACTTTTACTCCAGGTGAATTTCTCTGCTCCCTACTAACCCAAAGTGAACGTGTGGGTTTGCTTTATTGCAATACCTCCCCTTGTTAACCCGGCAGCTGGGGCTGCTGCAGTCGAGACTTTTCTTTTGGGGACCCTGCAGTCTTTTCCTTGAAAGGCCTTTTCCTGATGAGGGCCGCACTCACTTGGCGCTGACCTGTTGTGGGGGCCGAGGGCACTTCTTCATACAGAGCATGGTTAAAGTATGGAACGTGCTGCCGCAGGAGGCGGTGATGACTGCCCGCCGACCAAGATGGCTTTAAAAGAGAATTAGACAAATGCATGACAAATTCATCAGCTTGGCCTCCACAGTTGGAGGCAGCAATGCTTCTAAATACTAGTTGCTAGAAACCGCAGGAGGGGAGAGAGCTCTTGTGCTGTAGTCCTGCTTTTGGGCTTCCCATTGGAGTATCTGGTTGGCCACTGTGAGAGCAGGATGCTGGACCAGATGGGCCACAGGCCTGATCAAGCAGGGCTCTTTTTAGGTCTCCATTGGCGGATGTCGAGGCATCTGATTTCTGGCCCTTGACATCCTTCTCCCTCCCTCCTCACCCAGTAGACTGATGAGGAAGAGATGGAAGACGCTTTCCAGACGTCTCAAGGAAGTGCTTATGAAATTAGGCCAAGGGGTGCATGTGGTCTTAGGTCTGTAGCTCCTCCCCTAACTACTGTAAGGGTAGCCTGGGTATGGGAGGCTGAACTCAGTCCTGCCTAGATGTATGTCAGTATAATACAGTCGTACCTTGGAAGTCGAACGGAATCCATTCCAGAAGTCCATTTGACTTCCAAAACCTTCGGAAACCAAAGCGTGGCTTCTGGAAGCTCCTTCAGCCAATCGGAAGCCGTGGAAGCCCCGTCGGACTTTCGGCTTCCAAAAGAATGTTCGAAATCTGGAGCACTCACTTTCGGTTTTCGATCGTTCAGGAGCCAGAACGTTTGACTCCCAAGGCGTTCAGGAGCCGAGGTATGACTGTAATAGGTTTTCAAGGAAGTCTGTATCTTCCCTTCATAAGAATATAAGAAGAGCCCTGCTGGGTCAAGCCAAAGGCCTGGCCCATGCAGCATCTTCCTCTCCCAAACCAGACCACCTTTGGTCAACCAGATGTCCAGATGGGAAGCCCACAAATAGGCCCTGAACACAACAGCACTCCCTCCCCATTTGTGATTCTCAGCAACTGATACTCAGGGATGCTACCACTGACAGCGGAGGGAGGCCATAACATAGAGCCAGGGTGGTGTAGTGGTTAGTGTGTTGGACTAGGACCTGGGAGACCAGGGTTCAAGTCCTCAGTCGGCCATGAAGCTCACTGGGTGATGTTGGGGCCAGTCGCTCACTCTCAGCCTAAACTAGCTCAAAGGGCTGTTGTGGGGATTAAATGAGGAGGGGTGGGTGGGGAAACCATATATGACACTTTGAGTTCCTTGGAGTTGGGATATAAATGCAATAAAATACGTAGAGCCCTACTGGACCAAACGTGGGGCATCTTTTCCAGATATCCTGGACCCAATCATACATAACAAAACCAGTCCCTGCGTATGAAAGTCATCTGTCTCTGCTCCTTTCTAATACTTCCCTTTTGTTACCTGCTTTCCCATAACCACAGCATTAAAAAGCCCATGCTTTAATGCCTCCTCTCCAACTGCTTAATTGAAGAATAATGCATATACGGGAAGGGAACGCAACTGCTACTCTAAAGAGAGAGTGAAAGCTTAATCCTCAGGGTAACTGCCTGATCAGGTTGCTTTAGCTGTCTCCATATTTCTATGAGCATTGCTCTGCTTACATAACCCATCTCCTTCTCCCTTGCTGCCCTGCATGCTCAAAATGTCTTCCCAAACACCTACAATGTGCCACTTCCATTCAGTGGAAGATGTGCAAAGTTAACCCGGTAGAAAGCACACAGGGATCCCAACGAGTATACATATCCTTATGAAATGGGATGCATGATTTACAGCCTTAAATATAAATTTGCTGCTGCAACAGTGCACGGAGACTAACCGATTGCTACCCTGCAGAAGAGCAACTAAATTTTGAGATGTGTACGCCACTGGTTATTCTTTTACCCCCCCCCCTTTTGAGTGAAGCATTCAATTTGTTAGTGAATTCCATAGTTGTTGCAGTTCTTATTGAATTTTTTTACTAGCAAGTCCCAGAGTGGGTTACAATAATTTAAAATACAGAATTGAAAACAGTCAAAACCAATTAGTCAGAGGGATAGGGTAGGCTCTGGAAACACACATCTCAGGGGTCAAAAGCTGGGGTAAAGAGGGGCATCTTCAGCATTTGCTGAAAGTTGTGTAGGGAAGGTTCTAGATGCACCTCTGTTGGGAGTTCCACAACTTAGGGGTTGCCACAGAGAAGGCCCTCTCCTAGGTCACTCCCTGATCCCCCTGAACTTCTGAGGGTTGCATAAGTACATAAGAAGAGGCTTCTGGATCAGGGCAATGGCCTATCAAGTCCAGCATCCACAGTGGCCACCGAGATTCCTCTTCCGGGGAACCCTCAAGGAGGACCTGAGGCCAAGAGCCCTCTCCCCTCTGGTGGTTTCCAGCAATTGAAAAGCATTGCTTCCTCCTCCAACCATGGAGACAGAGCATAGCCATCATGGCTAGGAGCCATTGATTGCCTTCTCCATGGATTTGCAGTTGTTCTGCTCCTTGTTGCAGCTGTCCTGTGGAGCAGTGTATGAGTCACCCAAGAGATTGTCAGCTGCAATGTCCTTGATGGCAGGAGCATTTGCCCACCAGACAGGAACCCAGTTGGAAACCCCTAAATCAGAGATGGGGAACCTGCAGCCTTCCAGATGTTGTTTGATCCCCAACTCCCATAATCTCCAATTGTTGGCCGTGTTGCCTGGGGCTGGTGGGCGTTAGTTTCCACAACAACTGGAGGACTCAAAGGTCCCTGCTTTAAATGTTACAGAACAAGCAAGCCCTGTGTTGCTTTTGTTCTTCTCCCATGGAGGTCTTATTTCTGCTTTTTCCAGTCTGGCGGTGGCGATGGACACGACCACACGTCGTCCAAAGCGAACTTGTGTCTGGGAGCAGGCGGCTTTTAACTTTTGTTTCCCTTTTCCTCAGGTCAAGTGGAAAGGGAAGGACCTGTTTGACCTGGTGTGCAGGACACTGGGACTCCGCGAAACGTGGTTCTTTGGCCTGCAATACATGATCAAAGACACAATGGCGTGGCTCAAGATGGATAAGAAGGTAAGGACGGAACGTTCTTGTGGACATTTCACGGATCTGAATGTTGGAAGGTTCAGGGCAGAGAAAAGGAAGGAATTCTTCCTGCAACGCACAGTTAAACTAAGGAACTCGCTGCTACGGGGAGCAGTGATGGCCACCAACTTGGATGGCTTCAAAAGAGGATTAGACACATTCATGGAGGAGAAGACAATCAATGGCTATTTGCCAGGATGGCTGTGTTCTGCCTCTACAGTTGCAGAGGCAACAGTGATGATGATGATGATGATAATTTATTATTTATACCCCGCCCATCTGGCTGGGTTTCCCCAGCCACTCTGGGCGGCTTCCAACACAATATTAAAATACAGTAATGCATCAAACATTAAAAGCTTCCCTAAGCAGGGCTGCCTTCAGATGTCGTCTAAAAGTCTGGTAGTTGTTGTTCTCTTTGACATCTGCTTGGAGGGATTCCACAGGGTGGGTGCCACCATAAGAAGACCCTCTGCCTGGTTCCGTGTAACTTGGCTTCTCGCAGGGAGGGAACCGCCAGAAGGCCCTCGGCGCTGGACCTCAATGTCCGGGTAGAACGATGGGGGTGGAGACGCTCCTTCAGATATACTGGACTGAGGCCATTTAGGGCTTTAAAGGTCAGCACCAACACTTTGAATTGTGCTCGGAAATGTACTGGGAGCCAATGTAGGTCTTTCAAGACCGGTGTTATGTGGTCTCGGCGGCCGCTCCCAGTCACCAGTCTAGCTGTCGCATTCTGATTAGTTGTAGTTTCCGGGTCACCTTCAAAGCTAGCCCCACATAGAGCGGATTGCAGTAGTCCAAGCGGGAGATAACTAGAGCATGCACCACTCTGGCAAGACAGTCCGTGGGCAGGTAGGGTCTCAGCCTGCGTACCAGATGGAGCTGGTAAACAGCTGCCCTGGACACAGAATTGACCTGTGCCTCCATGGACAGCTGTGAGTCCAAAATGACTCCCAGGCTGCGCACCTGGTCCTTCAGGGGCACGGTTACCCCATTCAGGACCAGGGAATCCTCCACACCTGCCCCCCTCCTGTCCCCCAAAAACAGTACTTCTGTCTTGTCAAGATTCAACCTCAATCTGTTAGCCGCCATCCATCCTTCAGCTGCCTCCAGACACTCACACAGGACCTTCACCGCCTTCACTGGTTCTGATTTGAAGGAGGGGTAGAGCTGGGTATCATCCGCATATTGATGGACACCCAGCCCAAACCCCCTGATGATCTCTCCTAGCGGCTGCATGTATATGTTGAAAAGCATGGGGGAGAGGACAGAACCCTGAGGCACCCCACAAGTGAGAGCCCAGGGGTCTGAACACTCATCTCCCAACACTACTTTCTGAACTCGGATTCTGAATATAGGAAGGGAGAGTTCTCTTGTGCTCAGGTCCTGCTTGCAGTTTTCCCATGGGTATCTGGTTGGCCACTGTGAGAACAAGATGCTTGACTAGATGGGCCGTTGGCCTGATCCAGCAGGCTCTTCTTACTTTCTCATGGATTCCATGGGGACCAGCTTCTTAGTAAACTAGCCGTAAGATTACTGCCTCCGATTCCTAGGTAGCAAGTGGCTGCGAATTCATTCCTGTAGCTCAGCTGTAACTTTTGCACTGTAAGCCTGAGTGTTAACTATAAGTCAAGGCTAGCATATCTGAGCTGCATGTAGTACTGGCTAATTCTCTCTGGGGAAGCTTGCTCCGAGATGGCTTTCCTCTCCTTAATCTGTTCCCAGGCAGCTGAAGTTGGATGACATTTCGGGACCAGACGTATGTTGTGCATTAAGAGTGTTTACTCAGCGCACCGTTCCCTCTAGCTGGATGTGTTTGCCTTGACTGATGGGACTTTGCACTGTCTGCTACAAAATCTGTCGAAGGCAGCGGTGTGGTGCCAAGCAAATGCTTACGTCTTAACTAGAGACCTGGGGCTTTAAGCTATACTGCGGTTTCCTAACTAGGGAAGCTCCGAATATCAGAAACATTGCAGAAAATAAAGAGCAAGGCCAAACTGAGATAAGAGCAAGGAAATCTTTATTGGTGGATGTCCAGTTTCTCTGGAAAAATAGTAAAAAGTCTTTAAGTGTGTCTAAACATTTAGAAAGGCCTAGGAAGCGCATGGGGGGGGGTGTCTGCAGGCCATCTCTTGCGCCAGGGGAGCATACCAGGAAATCTTAAATACCCATTGCTGAGTATTTATTTCATAAAATCTATACGCTGCTTGATTGTAAAGAAATCCCTCAACGTGGATTTCAATTAAACAATAATCAGCAAAAAGAAAAATTAACAGCGCCAATCTAAGACTTTAAAAAAGTGAAAATAGCAATGGGCTGAGAACAGATTTAAACTCGCATCCGTTTTCTAAACATCTGAGTCAGTCTGCTGAAACAAAAGTGTTTTTAGAAGGACCCAAAAAGTGAAGGTAACAATAGACTGATAACAATAGACAGGGAGTTCCAAAGTGCAGGTCCTGCCAAATGCGGAATGTGTATTATGTGGCACCTGTAAAAGCGCCAGTTCTGCCGATTGAAGGAGTTGAGTGGGTGTATATGGGGCAAAGTGATCTAGTAGGGGAATTATTAAATATTGCTTTAAGGGAATGAAGGACTGACCCACACCATAAGGCTAAAGCACATCCCAGGCACATTTGGAAAACGTGGCTTCCTCCAAAGGATCCCAGGAACTGCAGTTTGCCAATCACAGAGCTACAATTCCCAGTATCCTTAAGAAACTTAAGGATTCCCAGGATTCTTTGAGAGAAGTCCTGTGCTTTAAACAGTTGCAGTGCCGAGGGCCTTCTGGTGGTTCCCTCACTGCCAGAAGCAAAGCTAAAGGGAGCCAGGCAGAAGGCATTCTCCCACCAGATGTCAAAGGAAAAAACAACTACCAGACTTTTAGGAGACATCTGAAGGCAGCCCTGTTTAGGGAAGCTTTTAATATCTGAAGGACTATTGTATTTTAATATTTTGTTGGAAGCCTCCCAGAGTGGCTGGGGAAACCCAACCAGATGGGCAGGGTATAAATAACAAATTATTATTATTATTATTATTATTATTATTGACGTATGTGTAGATTTGCCCTACATTGTAAGGCAGCGTAGGGACTGGACTTCTGAATCTTGGCTTCAACATAATGTTTTGTGCCACTGGACAGTTGCTGAAGTTCGGTCTGCTCTGTTCTGTGTTAAGAAACTAAATGTGATGATCAAGGCTTTTCATGCATTCTTCCAAGAGATTAAAAGGGAGATCTAATTCTGCAGGTCCTGGACCACGATGTTCCAAAGGAGGAGCCGGTCACTTTTCACTTCCTGGCCAAGTTTTACCCAGAGAACGCAGAGGACGAGCTCGTTCAGGACATCACTCAGCACCTATTTTTCCTTCAAGTAGGTGTTTTGTAAGGGAGACTAATGTTTGCCTGACCCAGCGGGAGGGAAAAGTGCTTTCAAGTTGGAATGGAGGCTTTGCATATTTTGGCAGCCAGGAGGCAGCTGTTGTTTCTGACTTTGAAAATCCAGCATCTGAAAGGGAGCCCTTAAGGGTTTAATTCTGATGCATTGCAAGGGGTTGGACAAGATGTCCCTTGGGGTCCCTTCCAACTCGACAGTTCCAATTCTGTGATTCCAGGGTCAGAGGTGAGAGTGGGCGGAGCTGTGGGTGTGAACCTTAGCTTTGCACAGTAAGCCACAATCCAGCCACACAAAAGCCAGCGTGGTATAGTGGTTACAGGGTTGGACTTCAACCTGAGACCAAGGTTCAAATCCTCACTCAGCCGATCATTGCCTCTCAGCCTACCCTACCTCACAGGGGTATTGTTGGGATTAAATGAGGAGGAAGAGGAGAACCATCTACGCCACCTTAAGATCCTTGGAGTAAAAGCTGGGATATAAATTCAATAAATATATAAATAAGAAGTCAGAGGCTTTTACACCCCCCCCCCAATCTAGGAAGAGAAGACATTACAGTGGTACCTCGGGTTAAGTACTTAATTCGTTCTGGAGGTCCGTTCTTAACCTGAAACTGTTCTTAACCTGAAGCACCACTTCAGCTAATGGGGCCTCCTGCTGCCGCTGCGCTGCCAGAGCACGATTTCTGTTCTCATCCTGAAGCAAAGTTCTTAACCCGAGGTACTATTTCTGGGTTAGCGGAATCTGTAACCTGAAGCGTATGTAACCTGAAGCGTATGTAATCCGAGGTACCACTGTATTACAGTTGAAGGACACATCCCAGTGTGACACTCAAATGATGTGGAAGGGGACCAGTGCTGGGTGTGGCATGGTTTTGGGAGAGAGCCCCAAGGCTAAGATAAAGGTCTAGAGGACTTCATTTCCCTGCCCTAGTCTACAATGTTGTGCCTGGATCAGGGAAGGAGGCCTGGTCTATTCCTGCTTCAGTTAGATATTTCTATGGGATGTTGGGTTAAGTTGCTGCCTCTCAGCCACCATTTCGCCCTCTGTAAAATAGGAGCAGTGACCTACCTCGCTGTGCCAAACAATATTTTGCATGTTTAAACGGGGGACGGGGGGGGGCAGCATCAATTTGGGGTTGGATCCAGACTTGGTTGTATACATAGAGTAGACCAGGGGCCACCCACGGGGATCGTTTAACCGGCCCACGAGCCGTCCCCGAACAGAGCCACCTGCCTGGCGAGTCCCTGTCCGCTGCGCTAAATTGGCGCAGCGCAGCGACTCGCTTCCACGGCGTTGAAAATTGCATCTGCGCAGACGCTGGAAATCACGGGTGCGCATGCAGTTCAGCCCACAGAGGGATCTCCACTGGAGTGAACCGGCGCAGGCGAGGAAAACCTTGCCGACCTCTGGAGTAGACGCTTTGAAAATCATTGTGGCCGTCTGCTGGAGTTGTCTTTCTTAGCTGTGCTATAGCTCCTGCGTTTTTTGTTTTTTATTTAGGTGAAGAAGCAGATATTGGATGAGAAGATTTCCTGTCCCCCAGAGGCATCTGTTCTCCTTGCCTCTTATGCAGTCCAAGCCAAGGTAAGGACAGTGGCATGGATGACTATTTTATTTTTCATAAAATTTATACACTGCTCGACTGTAAAACAAACAAACTCAACAGCTTCAAAGTGGTTTACAAAAAGAATAAAACAGTTAAATTATCCATAAATACACTTAAAGACAGCAACTTTAAACTTTCAAAAAAGAAATCAGTGACAAGCGAAAAAACAGATTAAAACACACATTATCATTCTACATATCTGGGTAGGCTAGTTGAAACAAAGAATGTCTTTAGTAGGTACCGGAAAGAGCACAGTGATATCAATAGGCAGGGAGTTCCAAAGGGTGGATGAAGCTAAGCTGAAAGGTCAGTTTCCTACCAATGGGGAACACATATCATGTGGTACCAGTTCCACAGACTGAATTGTTCTAGGGGGGCGTATAACGTGGTTAAGTGACCCTAAGTTGTTACGGGCAGTGGGCGGAGCCTAAGCCAGCTGTGGGCGGGGCTAGCAATACGGGTGCAACTCCTTGGTCTCATTTTGATGCTTTGTTGAAGAAACGTCAGAGTTCTCGTCTCCTATATCGCCACCATGATTTATCGCCTTCCACCCACATGTCTCAAGGCAGTGTCCAAAATGCAATAAAAACAGTTTTTAAAAAAATCTTAGGAAATGACAGCAGATAAATGCAAAAAGTAGATACTCATAGCAGAGACCTATTTATCCAGCTGGGAACACCTGTCGGGGGAAAAAACCCTCTCTACTTGTTGGCAGAAAAGTGCTGATAGCAGGTGCCTGTTGTATCCTGACAGGGATGCCGTTTCACAGCTGAAAGCCCTGCTCTTAAGTTTCAGTGAAGCAGGCTTCTGATCTCTTCGGAACTTGCGGGTCTCCTGCAGACTGCAGTGACCTACTGGGTAAAGAAGGGATTCTGCCCATACAGCAGTCCTCGTTTTGCTGAAGGGTCAGCACTCGCCTCGGCAATGTGGTCAGATACCTCATTTTGTCGAGCAGATGTGTGGCGTCTCAGGGCTTTGCGGCAATCTCCATTGATGGCTTCTCCACGTCTTCAGCTGCAGTGGTGTGAGGAGCGGGGGGGGGGGCAGATTCATGCCTCGCCCCCACCTGGCAAACGTTCATAGCTTACTATGTTCACTGATTATACCGCTTCCCCACCCCCCCACCGCCTCTTGTGTCATTTCATTTGAAAAACGAGAGGAAAAGAACACTGCTTGTGGGGGTACAGTTGTGTAGAAAGGCGATGCTTGAGACATAAATATTGATAAATGCTTATTGTTGATGCAGTATTCTTTGCGGCTCCAACGATTGGTGACTAATGCATCTTACCTTTTCCTTAACCAAAAAAGAGAGAAGTCTTTTCATTTAGGGAACTGACCCGCAGAGGAAGATGAGTCTCTTAATAAGTGTTTACAAAAGACTGCAATGTATTGGGCCCTGTGCACCGTCCTGCTATTAGACCACACGGGTGAGCGTTGATAGTCTCCTTTTGCTGCCTGTGCATCATGTTCTCAAGCAGGGGGTGTGTAGAACAACGCTAATTGGCAGAAAAGTAGCTCTCTGGAGCAGACTTTGCCGTCTTCTACCTGTTGAGCTCCAAAATCGTTATTCCTTTGTGTGTTTTCGCCTCAGCACACGGTTGTATAACATTTCTTCTTCCCATAAAGGAGCTCTTGCTCGTTTATTTCATCTGTTGGCCTTGTGGCTGGAAATATAATGTTGTCATGTACATCTTTTTGAGAAACTGCAGGCAGGGGGGTTCTTTAAATCTGCTTGTCGGTGATGACTAGCCCTCTCACCAGTGGCCAGATGCAGATTGGGGGTATGTGGGTGTCATGAGAGGGACCATGTGCCCCGGGCAGCAGGTTAGAGAGGTGGCAAAACCACACCCTGTGTGGTGGATCCTGCATTTCCCTTCTTAGAAAAGGTGGGCGTAGCCTCCGATGTTTCTCTGATGAAAATAGGAACGTCCTATTCCACAGTAATAACAACAATAAATTTACTGTAAATCTGACTGGGTTGCGCCGGCCACTTTGGGCGGCTTCCAACATTAAATACATTAAACATTAAAAAACTTCCCTGTACAGAGCTGCCTTCAGATGTCTTCTAAAGGTTGTATAGTTACTTATCTCCTTGGCTTGGGGGTCGCAGGACTCCAACATTTCCCCAGTGAAAATAGAGACGTCATAAGGCATGGGTAGGCAAACTAAGGCCTGGGGGCCGGATCCGACCCAATCACCTTCTAAATCTGGCCCACAGACGGTCCAGGACGGGAATCAGCTTGTTTTTACATGAGTAGAATGTGTCCTTTTATTTAAAATGCATCTCTGGGTTATTTGTGGGGCCTGTCTGGTGTTTTTACATGAGTAGAATGTGTCCTTTTATTTAAAATGCATCTCTGGGTTATTTGTGGGGCATAGGAATTCGTTCATTTCCCCCCAAAAAATATAGTCCGGCCCCCTGCTGAAAAAGTTTGCTGACCCCTGTCTAAGGAAAAGCGGGACATTCCAGGATCAAATCAGGAAGCGGGACGGCTTCTGTAAATTCGGGACTGTCCCTGGAAAATAGGGGCACTTGGAAGATTCTAGGTGGGTGGCCACCTCCCTGCTTCTTTTAATAAGTGAGACCTGGTCATTTACATAAGGAATGACCAGACATGGGCTGCAGGTCTGCGGCACATCTCTTCCCCCCGCCCCGCCTTTCTCCCATGCCATGTTGACATCAGGACCAGACTCCTCTTTTATGTTCCTGCTAAAACATGTACGTGATGTGGCTGGCTATGGCGTATCAACGTTGTCTTGGAAGCCGCTGTCATTTTCTCCTTCCTCTTCCTGGAGCAGGCAAGGAGATGGGTCTTTCCACAGAAGCCTGCATGGGGCACAAAGGGAAGAAATACTTTCTCTACTTTGTCCGCCCTCTGCTGGTGCCAGTGGCGCAGACCTTTGCCCTTTAGAGCAAAATTTGTAGACCTGGCACTCTGGCAAGTTTCCCCACCCTGCATGCCCTCCCCAAAGACTCTCCGCTAACTTTTGCTGCTCCCTCATTCAAAACGTGTAGCACAGCCTTCCCCCAACCACAATTCCCATCAGCCCCAGTCAACATGAGTCAGATTAGCTCCCCCAAAACTGGAGGTTAGCCACCCCAGCTGTATTACATTCATGCCATTGTGCTCATGGGCAGGTGTTTAAAAAAAGTGACTTTTTTTTAAAAAAAGGCCCAATAAACGCCTTTTTCTCAAAGCAATAAATGCACCAAATCCTTTTCCTAAAAGTGTGAGTCATCGTCATAAGTGACTCTGCCTGTTACGGCCTCTTGGATTTTGTAGTATTGCAGCTCCTTCCAGCGCTGCTGCTCCTCCCCCCTCCCCCTATTTGTTATTTCTGAAACTAATAATGTTTTGGTATCTTGAATATAAATGTGAACAAATTTATTTGGTGCAAGCGAAACCAGATGTTTGCGTGACAGAAAGACAATCTACAAGTAAAAACACAAACATGAATCAGTGTTCCTTCAAGAAGAACCGTTTTCGTGACACTTTTAAATATCTCGTTTAATTGAAAAGCTCTCTCTGCGTGTGCTTTTTCTCTCCTAAAAGTTTGCAAGGTTACGCAAGCCAACATATCTTGAAGAATGTATGCTATCCTTCATTTTCACAGCCACCCACCCCCTTTCCTAAATTTGAATCACCAATCCCTCATCCTGGCTCGCTGTTGGTAAATCACTCCCGAGCTATTTGTTAACCGTGCTCTGAACTCATAAGTAAGGCTGTCAGCTGATTTAAAGATTATTATTATTGTTTAAAAAAATGGTTTTGACTTTTCTCCAGTCAGTTAAACTTGAATTATTGCAAAGCTGCTGTGAAGGTGCCTTTTCCGGGGATTCGTGAAGGAAGGTGTCTCTCTCTTAATGTGTCTGAGAAATACAAGGAGAGGCTGCTCAGTGTTAGAAGTCTACCTCTTAAAAATGTCCCTCTTAAAGATGTCAAAATAAGGTTTGCTAGGACTATAGAATATCCAGTTTGAAAGCAAAACTCTACTACCACTTTTGGTCAGTTGCATTGTTACTCCTACTGCTGGTGTGTTGCAAATGCACTGGCAGGAACACTAGATTGGATCTGCTAGTGCCTTTGCACTGTGCTGACCTTGCTGGTGTTCCTCCACTCCCAGGAAAGCAACAGCAACAGAACCGATCAGAGTATTGTAGCCCTGTCTGAATTTCGTTACTGAGCAAGCAGTGGCCAGGAGTCTCCAAGGAACACTTTCTTGAGAGCAGAATCCACATACGAAGGCCGACAGCCCAAAGGTCATGTAGTCCAGATGATCACAGAGTCATGGGTCCAGGCCATAAGTCAGGAAGTCCAGATCAGGGAGCCAAGGATCCAGCAGGAAGCAGCAAGGAAGGGCCAGGAACTACAGGAATTGTTGGCAGCACCTGGCTGCTGCTGAGTCCTCTGTTTATGAAGGCCAAAGCCAGCTGGTTCTCATCAGTGCCTTCTCTCTGTGAAGGCTGATCAGCTGCAGGTGGAGTCATTCCACCTTCACCCCCTTCAGGCTGCTGTTCAGCAGGCGAAGCTGATCCCTGGCCCATGACACAGAGGTCAGGGAAGCTCAACTGTGTCATCGTCTGCTGCTGGTTAAGTGAGCGTTGCCATCTTCTCTGGTCTGCACCCTTTTTGTTTTTAAAATAAAGGTCCTAACACTTTTATCCAAAAGGGCCACCATGCACTGAGTTTGGATGGAAGTAGGAAGGAGAAACTGTCTTTTTTTTAGTCATTTGCATTCTTTGCCAAGGGGCTTATTAAGGCAGTGGGTTTGTTTTTCTAACCCTCCTTATTTTACGCTGCGCGATGACTGTGAGGTGGGTCAGGTTGAGAGATAGGGACTGGTTCAAGGTCACCCAATGTGGATCTAAATCAGGGGTCAGCAAACTTTTTCAGCAGGCGGCCGGTCCACTGTCCCTCACACCTTGTGGAGGGCCAGATTTATATTTTGAATGGGGGGGGGGGAATGAACGAATTCCTATGCCCCACAAATAAAAGCACACATTTTACTCACCAGGCAGGCCCCACAAATAACCCAGAGATGCATTTTAAATAAAAGGACATATTCTACTCATGTAAAAACATGCTGATTCTTGGACTGCCTGTAGGCTGGATTTAGAAGGCAAATGGGCCGGATCTGGCCCCCGGGCCTTAATTCGCCTAACCATGATCTAAATGGTAGTGCCATTTAGCACCACTGCGCTGAGCAAAGACATTTTCTACTTGCCTCGCTCCCATAAGAGGCCACCAACCTAGATGACGTTAAAAGAGAACTGGCAAATTCATGAAGGCTTTTAAGGGCTACCCGCCATGATGGCTATGCTCTGCCTCCATTAGTGGGCATGCTTCTAAATACCGGTCGCTAGAAACTGCAGGAGGGGAGAGTTGCTCTTGCACTCATTGGCTGCTTGCAGGTTTCCCACAAACATCTGGTTGGCCACTGTGAGAACAGGAGGCTGGACTAGATGGGCTTTTGGCCTGATCCATCTGGTTCTTCTTACGTTCTTACGCATTGCAACATGTTTTCCTAGCTGTGCCGAATTTCATCGATTTTTGTGCCTGCTGTTTCTGTGCTTCGATTGATGAATGGATTGATTGCAATTTTATGATGATGATTGATCGCATGTCCCATCAGGTGTCTTATACTGAAAGGTGGCATAGAGATTATAGAAGCAATAAGAAACATACTGATTGAAATCCACCTAGCCCATAATCAATCTGTGATGGACTCTGGAGTTGCACTGATGAATCTGTTAAAAGCCCTCCCCATAATTTTTAGTATTTTCGACTGCCCGAAACTGTAAATCCATTTTCCTTGGACATAAATGAGACGCTTTGGACCACACCCTTCTCTTGGTGGTTGGGTTCCCCCTGAATATCTCTGCTCCTACAGAAACCAGTGGGGAGCTGTCAGGTGCCCAGCACCGCCCTGGATGTTCCCTTACAAAGTTTCTTGCATAAATTGGAGTCTGAGTCAGATGCTGATGGGGCATTTCCTTTCGCATCTGTGCCGGCTCCAAATTTGGCACTTCCGCCTTGAAGCCCCTCTTTTCTCGCACCGAACGCCTTTTGCCGCCTTGAGGATGTGTGTGGGCAGCTTGTTGATGCTGATTGTCAAGCTCTGTAGCGTGTGTTGTCCCGCTCCCCCATCCTTGCTCAAAACTTTTAAATAGAGGCTGATTGAGAAGGACTCCTGACTTCCTGCCTTCGCTTTATTTGATCATTTGTCTTGCTTAAAAAACCGCCATGCAGGACTCTCCTCCCCTCTGACTTTCCTCGTGGATGTTGAGGATATTCTTTGCATACCGGGGTTAATTATTGCATGAAATCACGTCCTGGCTTTATAAGTGAATGATAGCAGGACGCTGGCAGCTCTTTCATTGGCGGGCCAAAATGGAATCAAAATATTTCCGGTACATATATATCTATATCTAGATATATTACTTGTAAATGGCCTTCTCTTGGAACACCCGTTCAGGGGGCGGCTGTTACGTGGCCCTTTGTACTGAATTCCTTCTGCATGTTCTATGGGAGCATCTGGCTTGAGTTCTTAATTTCCAAATTGACAGTTTCATCGGGCTTCTCGCTATTTGAAGGGTATCGGCTCAAAATGATGGATCGTATGAACCCTCGTGAGTAATAATTTTGGTGCTGTTTAGTGGCCCAATTTAGGTAAAAGAGCTTTTGGCAGGCAGATTGGCTGCTGTCTCCAGCTGCCCATCTAAATCTTGCTTACATGGATGAAAGGTTTTTTAAACTTTTTATTTTTCATGTACAGTGGGTGCTCGGGTTGCAAACGTTATCCGTCAGGGAGGCATGCTTGCAACCCGCAATCTGCGCACGCTTGGGTTGCGATTTGGCGCTTCTGCGCATGCGCAAAGCGCGATTTAGCACTTCTGCACATGTGTGACAGCCGAAACCCGGAAGTAACCCGTTCCAGTACTTCCGGGTTTTGGTGGGTCTGTAACCCAAAAAACGCAACCTGAAGCGTCTGTAACCCGAGGTATGACTGTATAACTATAGCGTGTAAAAAAAAATCCACAATACATAGAAGCCTTTTTCCTTGTTACGTTTACAAGGTGCTCAAGGCAGCATAAAGAGCTCTCTTCCTCCCTGTTTTATCTTTACAACAACCCCACGAGGTAGGTCAGGCTAAGAGACAGTGATGGTCCCAAAGTCACCCAATGAGCTTCATGGCTGTGTGAGGATTTGAACCCTGGTCTCCCAGGTCTCAGTTCAGCACTCTAACCACTACACAAATACTGGCTTATATTTGGTTTGGTAGCAATTCTACCTTTTGTATCATTATTTTTAATAGGGGGAATCTGAAGAGCAGTGCACTGTTTCACTGCAGCATACCAGATCTCTCCAGGAAAGTTATTGTGATGCTGGTGTTGAGGCCCCAGTTTCACTAGGTCTTGCCCCTGGTATGAGCCCGTGCCACTGTTCTACAAAATCATTTTCCACCTTTGCTTCGTTGCCGGTACTTGCTCTGTCCATTGGGGCCAAATTGCCATATTAAAGATTTTCCATTCTCTGTCTTCCAGTTTTCCAATTTCTTGGTCTTCGCTGTTGCATCTTATCTTGACTGATTTTCTGCCCCTGCTTTTCGCTGTTTTAGAATCTGTTAAAAATCCAGGGAAATTATGAGGGCGTTTCCTTTATTGGTAAGATGAAAATGCATTGCATATTAAGAAATTTACAAGGTGTTTACGCCCCACACACATTCTAACCAATTATAGGCATGCATTTAAAGTATCTTTTCCTTCACACTGCATTCTTCTACTTCTTTTTGTAAAAGTAAAAATAAAAATCTGAATAAAAATGGTTGGGGTGTATGTGGGTGTGTATCCATTTTATTCCTGGTCACCTTAGATTTATTGTAATAATAACAATTTTGTATATGTACTGTGTGTGTATATATACTTAGTAAAGTTCAGAATAGGCAGTGTCTTTTCCCCCCCAGAAACAAAAAACGATTCCTTCACACAAAATAGCCCTATTTACACACACACAAAAGCTTTTCTCAGACTTTTTGTAAAGGAAAACATGTTGAGATTACTGCTTGGCGATAGTCATTGTGCATTTTCCCCTGAGTGGTTCCGCCCCACTCAAACCTTTGAGAAGGTTGCCCCAGCCCAATTTATTTTCCTCTGCTCTGTACTGCCAAAATAGTTGTCAGACTTCTGTTCCCATATAATAGCTACAGAATCCTATTTTGCTTCTGTTGTGTGGAAGATCTGCGCCCTGAAAGCTATAGAAAATGGCATAAAGTCAACAGCTGTAGAATCTCCTGGAACTGGCATTGATGTGGAAGACTTCAGGAGAGCAGCTTGGTCAGAACTAGGGGTGGGCGAGAAATTCGGTTTGATATGCAATTCGGTGTATTCTTATCTAAATTTGCACATTCCAAAATGACAGGTGAGCCTTCAGGATTCGCAACCCTCCCAATCTTGTGATACAGTTCTCCAACCCAAAAATGGTGTACAAAACACATATATTAGGGGGAAGGTTGCACAAAAATGCATATATTAAGAACATAGGAAGAGACTGCTGGATCAGGTCCATAGCCCATCTAGTCTAGCATCCTGTTTTCACAGTGGCCAATCGGATGCCCCCATGGGAAACCCACAAGCAAAATATGAGCACCAAGTCTCCCTTCCTGTGGCTTCCAGCAACTGGTATTCAGAAACATGGCTGCGTCCAACTGTGGCGGTGGAATGTAGCCATCCTGGCTAGCAGCCATTGAGAGCCTTCTCCTCCAGAAATTTGTGCAGTCCTCTTTTAAAGCCATCCAAGATGGCGGTCATTACTGCTTCCTGTGGGAATGAGTTCCATAGGTTAACCTTGTGCTGCGGGAAGGAGTCCTTTCTTTTACCTGTCCCGAATCTTCCATCTTTCAGCTTCCTTGGACATGCACGGATGTGCTTAAGTTTGTGCACGCTCTGTAGTTTGCAGCTGCACCAGGGGTGGGCAGCCTCAGGCCTTTGGGCCAAATGCAGCCCTGCAGGCCTCTCTGTAGGGGCCCCTTGGGACTCTAGCTCTGTTCCTCCTTCCAAGTGCTTTTGCCCATATGGAACATAGAATTAGAGAGTTGGAAGTGACTCATATGGAACATAGAATTATAGAATCATAGAGTTGCAAGGGACTCCTATGGAACATAGAATCATAGAGTTGGAAGGGACTCATATGGAACATAGAATCATAGAGTTGGAAGGGACTCATATGGAACATAGAATCATAGAATCATAGAGTTGCAAGGGACTCTTATGGAACATAGAATCATAGAGTTGGAAGGGACTCATGGAACATAGAATCATAGAGTTGGAAGGGACTCATATGGAACATAGAATCATAGAGTTGGAAGGGACTCATATGGAACATAGAATCATAGAATTGCAAGGGACTCATATGGAACATAGAATCATAGAGTTGGAAGGGACTCATATGGAACATAGAATCATAGAGTTGGAAGAGACTCTTATGGAACATAGAATTATAGAATCATAGAGTTGCAAGGGACTCATATAGAACATAGAATCATAGAGTTGGAAGAGACTCATATGGAACATAGAATCATAGAGTTGGAAGAGACTTATATGGAACATAGAATCATAGAATTGCAAGGGACTCATATGGAACATAGAATCATAGAGTTGGAAGAGACTCTTATGGAACATAGAATTATAGAATCATAGAGTTGCAAGGGGCTCATATAGAACATAGAATCATAGAGTTGCAAGGAATTCATATGGAACATAGAATCATAGAATCATAGTTGCAAGGGACTCATCTAGTCCAACCCCCTGCAATGCAGGAATACGCAGCTGTCCCATATGAGGATCAAACCTGCAACCTTGGTGTTATTGGCACCATGCTCTAACCAGCTGAGCTATCCCTTCATGTCCTTGAACTGCAGCAATGCCTCTTCCTTCCCTGGATGGAGAGATGTGTGCAGTGTGCATTTGTGTGAGTGTATAGAAACATGCAACATTGCCTACTAACATAAGCGTTGCATCCATTGCTCTGCACACGTTTTACTTTTAGCCCTGCCTGCCACTGAAAGGTTGCCCACAAGTAGGGATGGGATTCACTGTTCTGCACCTGTTCATCTTTTGATCACATTGTCATTTCTCAAACTTGGCCTGCAGTGATTTGCTGAATGTGTATGATCTCTTGCAAAAATAGTGTTATTATTCTTCATTCTCCTGACGGTGGCATGGTTGCCTCTTGCATAGAACGCATTTCCCTAATATGTGCATATTTTTCGCTATTTGCAGTACCCGCTGCTCTTATTGATCGCCCATCCTCAAGTAGCCATCTGGCCCCAGGGGGTGAGAAAACAAAACAAAAGATTTAAAATCAATATCTGCGGGTGAATGGCACAGGCCATCAGCAGGACATCTCCTATGGGGAAAAAACATTTAACATATATTCCCCCTTCCTCTTCTTCTTGAAAGCTTGTAAAAATCCTCTTTTTTTTAAAAAAAAGTTGTTGTTTCCTCTTCTGCATGAGAAATAAATGAAAAACACGATATTAATATATGCTGACGAAAGTACAGAAAACTTGTGTGCTTTGAAATGCCCTCGGTTTTGTACAGCAGTGTATGAGACGGTGCCTCTGGGGAGCTCAGAGAATAATTCTTCTAAAATTAAAAAGCGAGATTCTGATTTTAAGGTTTTGTGGGGTTGGGATGAGGCAAGAAGCCAACACAGGCTTGGAGGTTGGGGGTGGGAAGCTGCATTGAACCCACCACAGTCAAAGTCTATAGTTGGATTGCACTATGCTTTCCTTAACAGAGGAGAGAATTATCTTCTGGTCTGATGGCGATTAAATAAAGAAAACTTTACAATAAACAGAAGGTCATTTTCTGGCCTGTTAAGATAATTTATCAAACGCCCTTCACCCTAAGGTCCCAATGTGGATTACGACATTAAAATAAAACATTATTTTAAAAAGTTGAAAGCAACTTACAATCATAAACATAAGAGGGGTCCTAAAAAATATGCACCTAAATTGACAATTTAATTGTTACTGGTGTGGTGTAATGGTTAGTGTTGGACTGTGACCTGGGAGACTGGGAGACTCAGTCATGAAGCTCGTCTTGGGCCGGTCATCATCTCTTAGCCTAACCTACCTTGCAGGGTTTTTGTGAGGGTGAAGGGGGGGGGAAGAACCATGTACACCAGCTTGAGCTCACTGGAAAATAAAGGTGGAAAATAAATATAATAAATAATAATACATCAATTAATTAAAAAAAAACAACAGGGTAAAGAGGTACATCTTCATCATTGTCCGGAAGCTGTATAATGAGAGTGCTGGATGCACCTCTGTTGCATTCAGTGGATGAGCTTGGGAGTTGGGACCCTTCCCTAACAATAGATCTCTGCTTCTTTAAATGCACCAGGGCCTGTCTCTTTCTCTTTGTGCACCAGGACTGGATAAGTACCCCTGTTTTAACACTACACATCCCTGTTTTGTGTTTTTTCCCCTCCAGTACGGTGACTACGACCCCACTGTTCACAAGCGTGGCTTCTTGGCCCAAGAGGAGTTGCTTCCAAAGCGGGTAAGGCTCTGTCTTGCTCAGTCGGACACGGGCAAAGGTGGAGAGGCCTCAGATCTTAGTCAGAGAGCAGCATGTCAGGCCTGAATCCCCAGAGAGCTGCTGCCGATCAGTGTATGCCGAGCTAGAGGGACGAGTTGGTCTGCTTCAGCATAAGGCAGCTTGCTGGCTTCCTTGGACATCAGATGGCTGTTAAATGATAGCAGAACATTAGAATTGCCTTTTCCCCAAACACACTTTCCAGATTGGTCTCTCCAGCTCTGCTGAAGATAATGACCGTTATTTTGGTCTTCTTCACAAAGGCTCTTGGATGGGGAAGGGCTGTAGCTCAGGGGCAGAACATTTGCCTTCCATGCAGGGGGTTTCAGGTTTTATCCCCAGCATTTCCAGGTAGGGTTGGAGAAGATTTCCTATCTGAGCTGCTGCCAGCCAGTGTAGACAGTATTTAGCTAGATATACAAAGGCCCTGACTATATAAGGCAGATCCCTACAGCTCAGGCTTCCTCAAACTTGGCCCTCCAGATGTTTTGAGACTACAATTCCCATCATCCCTGACCACTGGTCCTGCTAGCTAGGGATCATGGGAGTTGTAGGCCAAAAACATCTGGAGGGCTGAGTTTGAGGAAGCCTGCTACAGCTGATGGGAGCTGTGGTCCCAAAAGCATTTGGAGGGTAGACTGCTTTAGGGCTTGAAGAAGCCTAATCGTCTGTCTGCCTGGGCTAATAATGTAATTGTAATGAACTGTCATTTAATGAACAGGAAGTGGTTTGTTTCCCTACTTTGTTGAGATGCAAATATGCATACCTTGGTTGGGAAAGGAAAGTAAGGCACCGTGTCCATGCCTCTGTCTGTCTGCTTCAGTTACTTATATTGGGCAACAGTGGTTCAAAGACACTATAGTACTGCTTGATGAGCCGTCCTGCAGGATGTGGCATTTCAAACATGGTCTAACTTTGACCATTAGCCTGCACTGTCCATTTCTGAGACAAAACTGCAGGTAGGTGGGGCTCCACTGAGCTAAGCTACTGTATAGATCCTAGAATCATAGAATTGCAGAATTGGGACTCCCAGTCCAAACACCTGCAAACATAGCTAAAGACTCCTTGCCAGAAAGGCACCCATCCTCTGCTTAAAAACCTCAAAGGAGAGTTCACCACCTTCCGAGGTATTCCACTCCACTGCTTAACCAGCTCTTTAACCTCAGAAAGTTCTCCCCAATGTTTAATTGGAATCACCTTTCTTGTAATTTGAATCCATTGGTTTGGGTCCAGCCCTCGAGAGCAGCAGAAAACAAGCTTGCTCCATCTTCCATGTGACAGCCCTTCAGATATTTGAAGATGGCTTTGTGTCTCACTCTTCAGGTGATAAACCTATACCAGATGACCCCAGAAATGTGGGAAGAAAGAATAACAGCTTGGTATGGCCAACATCGAGGCAGAGCCAGGTGAGTCTTTGCATCCTCAGTGTCCTTTTTATAGCACTTTGAGGGGTTCCAATCGAGTGGTATATAAATTTTACGAAATAAATAGTAGCTGGCATACCAACCAAAGTTTTTACATTCATAACGATGAGAGCTGGAAATTTGAAAATTTGTAGGAATCTGAAAAATCTCAAGAGTTGATGTGCAGCCTGCCCTGAAAGCAGAATCTCACGTCCTTTGTTTTAAGGATGGCAGCAAAGCATAGGTCTGATCACAGCTTATACTTGTGACCTAGAGAAGGGATCATTGTGGAAGTCCTATAACATTTAGACGTCTCTAAGACAAGCATAGAAAACGGGTAGCTTCCTGGTTACCCTTATTTTGTTCTGCTCCTCTCGCTCCATAATAGTGGAGGCTGACCCAATAGGGCAAATGGGACAGTTCCCCACCAGCCTCCCTTCTTATTTACAACCAGTCCATGGGGTGGCCCTGCGTCTCATTGGCGCTGGTTCTGCCTACTTTTGGTACCTCTGCCTTCTGCTCTTTGAGTATCAGTAGCGCCAACCACTATTGCACCCTACAACACAACAGTGGACAACTCTTTCTTTTCACTAAGGGTGATCAACTGTGCCCCTGAAATTTAGGGTGTTTGGGAAGGGGGAAAATAAAAATATTTCCTTTGCTGAACATCCATTTTAACAGAAATTAGGATGCAGTAAACCTGCAGGAAGGGATTTGCTGTGGATCTTTTTTTGCTTATATCTCTTACATATAATAAAAAGGGAAGGTTGTCATCATGTAGCAGTTTGCTTGGCCACTGATAGGTGGTGATATGCACTATAGTGTGAGAACAGGCTTCTGAGAGCTGCTGGGCAGTGGAGGCGGGAGAAAGAGGCAGGCAGGCAGCTGCATATGGAGGTGGGGGTTTTTTGGCCAGGAAGGGTGGTTTAGGTGAAGTGCAAGGGAGGATTAAGGTTGGCCAGAGGGGTGTTGTTGCCAGACAGAGCTGGCAAGCAAAGTGAGCGGCGGCACAGCCTCTAGTTTGTGTGTGTGTGCTTGTGTTTGTGTAATACCTTGAGACCATCTTGAGCATGCTGTGTAATATCTCTGTGAAGCTAAGAACCCGTTTTATTTCTTGGTTCTCTCCCAGTCTCCTGCATATTCCATAAGGTCCTGTTTCTGTCAAGCTTTTGCAGCTTTAAACTGTCTGCCCCACTGTTCACATTTACAGGGATGAAGCTGAAATGGAGTACCTGAAGATTGCCCAGGACCTTGAGATGTACGGCGTGAACTACTTTGCGATCCGGGTAAAAGCCCCAAGTTTTGCGTTGCACTTTTTTTTGGTGGTGGTGGTGGGGGTTTGAGGGCAGGAGGCCCTTGAACAAAAGAAGATGGGAACCAGTTGTGCAGAAGGACTCTGGTCAGTAGACTCTGGCTTTGCTAAAGCTTCCTTCCGTAATGCAGAGGAGAGTTTGATGCAGAACCTTTGATGTACTGGCAGCTTTCCTGCCGTAGCCTTACCTGCAACCAGGAAAGGGCCGCTGAGAGGCTTCCCCAGGGGGATGAATGCGTCACTGCTGCTGCAGTTCATTCTGCCTCGGGAAGCCTGAGTGCTCTAGCTCTGCCTCCTCCTGCCCTCCCTCTTTGGCCAGGTTGATCCTGTAGAACAAAGCTTTTTGGATTTGTGGGCACATTTGCAAATGGAATATACACTGTCGTTGAGCAACACACACACACACACACACACACACACACACACACACCATAACTTATTCTATTGGCTTTTTTCAACCTTAATTCAGGGAAGAGATGTAGTTCAATGGAAGAGCATTGCTTTGCATGCAGAAGGTCCCAGGTTCAATCGCCAGAGTCTCCAGTTAGGGCTGGGCATTTTCCCTGTCTGACTGAAACCACGGAGAGCTGCTGCCAGTCAGTGTAGACAATATGGAGCTTGATGGAGCAAGGCTCTGACTTCACATCAAATACCAAGCATAAAACTAAAAGGAAGAAAAGAAAATACTTCTGATTCTTTGTGTATCAGCTTTATAGACTTCTGCAAAACCCTTGCTTCATAATAGCACCCAGCTCTTCTGCTTTCTATAGACCAACCTTTTTCCAGTCTCCAAACCAGCTTTGTTTTACATTTTTGTGCAAAAGTCCATAAGGTGCCTTATAGCAAGGCTCTGAACTCATATAAGGCAGCTTCCTGTGCTTGTGTGTGTTAAGTGAAGGGCTGGAGCTCAGTGGTAGAGCATCTGCTTTGCATGCAGAAAGTCCCAGGTTCAGTGCCTGGCATCTCCTGGAAGATCTAGGAGAGATTTCCTGCTTGGAACCCTGAAGGGCCACGGCCAGGCAGCCGAGGCAATACTGAGCCAGATGGGCCAGTGGTCTGATCAGTATAAGGCAGCTTCCTATGCTCTTAAAAAAATTTTTTTTTGGGGGGGAGACAACTTGACCAGGGGAAACCTGTAAGCACAAGGGAAAGCCTCTGTGTGTGCATGTGCACCCACGGGTGCTGCATTGGCAACCCCTACCGTGGAATTTGCCTCCTGGCAAATAGAAGGGAAAGAAATGGAGGCAGTGAGAAATTTTACTTTCCTGGGCTCCATGATCACTGCAGATGGTGACAGCAGTCACAAAATTAAAAGACGCTTCTTGGGAGAAAAACAATGACAAACCTAGACAGCATCTTAAAAAGCAGAGACATCACCTTGCCAACAAAGGTCCGTATAGTTAAAGCTATGGTTTTCCCAGTAGTGATGGATGGAAGTGAGAGCTGGACCATAAAGAAGGCTGATCGCCGAATAATTGATGCTTTTGAATTATGGTTCTGGAGGAGACTCTTGAGAGTCCCATGGACTGCAAGAAGATCAAACCTATCCATTCTTAAGGAAATCAGCCCTGAGTGCTCACTGGAAGGACAGATCCTGAAGCTGAGGCTCCGATACTTTGGCCACCTCATGAGAAGAGAAGTCTCCCTGGAAAAGACCCTGATGTTGGGAAAGATGGAGGGCACAAGGAGAAGGGGATGACAGAGGACGAGATGGCTGGACAGTGTTCTCAAAGCTACTAACATGAGTTTAACCAAACTGCAGGAGGCAGTGGAAGACAGGAGTGCCTTGCGTGCTCTGGTCCATGGGGTCACGAAGAGTCGGACACGACTAAACAACAACAAACCATAGAATTGTTGGCTAGACTTAGGTGGGATTCATGTGTCAGATTCTCTGAGCCATTTCAAATGGAGACAATGTAGAATTATAGAGTTGGAAGGGACCCCGACGGTCATCTAGTCCAACCCCTTGCAATGCAGGAATCTAAAAAAAAAAAAGGATCCATGACAGATGGGTATGCAAGCTCTCTTAAAAAAATCCAATGTTCTCTCCCCTTTAGAATAAGAAAGGAACAGAGCTGCTGCTGGGCGTGGATGCCTTGGGCCTGCACATATATGATATGGAAAACAGGCTGACCCCCAAAATTTCATTTCCGTGGAATGAGATTCGGAACGTCTCTTACAGCGATAAGGAGGTAAGGCACACTCCTCTTGTCCCCCCCTCCCCGTGTCTCTGTCCAAGTGCTGAATTGAGAAAGCGGCCTCATGCACCTATTCCTTCCTGCTGCCGGTTCCCAGGATACTTTAGGGGAAGCCATGCAGTGGAAGTGGTTAGAGGGTCAGACAAGCACCTGGGAGACCAGGGTTCGAATCCCTACTTGGCCATGTGAAGCTTGGGCCTATCATCATCTCTGAGCCTAACCTGCCTCTCAGGGCTGCTGTGGGGGTTAAATGAGGAGGGGGAGATCCACGTCTGCCACCTTGAGCTCCATGCACGGAGAAAGGTGGAATGTAAAGACAACAAACAGCTGTTAAAACACTAAAAAAGTTCATTAAATGTACAGTGTACACGGGTGGCGTTGTGGTCTAAACCACTGAGCCTCTTGGGCTTGCCAATCGGAAGGTCAGCGGTTCAAATCCCTGCGACAGGGTGAGCTCCTGTTGCTCTGTCCCAGCTCCTGCCAGCCTAGTAGTTCGAAAGCATGCCAGTGCAAGTAGATAAATAGGTACCACTGCGGTGGGAAGGTAAATGGTGTTTCTGTCTGCTCTGGTTTCTGTCACGGTGTCCTGTTGCGCCAGAATCAGTTTTGTCATGCTGGCCACGTGACCCGGAAAGCTGTCTGTGGACAAACACCGGCTCCCTCGGCCTGAAAGCAAGATGAGCACCACAACCCCATAGTCACCTTTGACTGGACTTAACTGTCCAGGGGTCCTTTACCTTTACCTACATACAGTGTATATAAATTCAATTATTATTATTATTATTAATAATAATAATAATAATTAATAATAATGCCCTTTTGACTGTGGTCTGTCTGGCACAGGGATGGCCAGAGTGGCTGCACCTTGCCTCCCATCAACCCTGGACAATATGGCCAGGAGGCAGGGATGATGGGAGTTGTAGTCCAACAGTGTCTGACTTGCTCCATGCTGGCTATCCCTGATATAGCAGGACTGCAGAGAATCCCTTAACCTCCTGGACTCTGCAGTTCTTTAAAAACAGTCACCGCTTTTAATTGGTACAGCGGTGCCTCGCTCCCCTGTCCTGGAAAACGTTGACTGCAGTTTTCTTTCTTTTAAGACTGATGCAAACAGTGCAATGCAGACGAAATTAGCAGCGGCTTTTTCTTTTTTGGTGGGAGGCGGGCAGGAAAAGGAGGATTGATAACATTTAAACAGTATCTGGTGAGGGCCAAGAGCTTAAGGCGTTCTACTTCAGTTATTATTGCTGAAGCTTGAAGCAATTAGTTATGATGTGCTCTTTTATTAAAAAAAAATATACAGTTTTGGATGCATAATCCTATTACAGTTAGCATTCTTGCGAGATCCTTTCCCCCTCTCCCTTTTCTGGCTACACACAAGTTTTATCAGTTATGCCCCCCCCTTCCCTCCCATAACACTGTACAGTATTCCACCAGGAATTGAGAGGCCCAGGACCTCGTCTGCTGGGCCCGGAACATAATAGCCTGTAATAGAGCCGCCCCTCGAGGGAAGGATCTGTCATCTTTTATCACGTCAATAATCCTCGTAATAAGACAGCCGCAAGCGAGATGTGACACGATAGTAAGCGGGGCTTAATAGTGGCGCAGGACAGCTGTACCGAAACATCAGAGGTGTTTAATCTAGTGTGTCTATTATCAAGCGCACGTCTGGGACTGCAATGGTCCTCGTGGCTGGCAGCAAATCCTCAGGGATTTCCCCCCACTGCCAGAGTTGAGATCTGAGGCTCCGTGCTGCTTTTTCGTCCTATTATATGTTTTGTTTATTGATTGTGTTTAAATCCCACCTCCCCCCGCCCCCAAGGAGCTCAAGGTGGTGTTTCTGGTTCACCCGTGTCCCCCATTTAATCCCCACGATGACCCCGCGAGGTAGGCTAGGCTCACTGGCCCAAGGTCACATAGTGACCTTTACGGCCGAGTCGGCATTTGTTGTTGGTTTTTTTTTTGTTTTTTTAGATAATATTTATAATTTATAAATAATATTTATAATATTTATTGATAATTTCAGGATTACAAGAAAAATAAAAAACAAAAAACAACACTACAATACAAAAAAAAGAAAAAAAGAAAAAAGGAGAAAAGCACAAAATATAAAAACCAATATGCCAATACAGCAAAAGAGAGTAAAAAAGAAGAAAAAAGGGAAAAAAAACCGGAAATCCCAAATTGCGTATCCATAATTTCCATTTGCATACTTCCTTGACCTCTTCACACCTCCCTTTTTGTATTCTAGTTTAGTAATTATTTCAGCAAATTCTTTCCATCTTTCTCAATTTTTGTTATAAAATTTATCTTAACAATTTAACCTAATAATTAACTCAACAAATCCTTTCCATCTTTCCCCATATTCTGTTATTCAAATTACCTTAATTTATTTAACCTTATCTTACCCCTAAGTACCTTAAGACTTAAATCTTAGTTTTCAAATATACATAGCTCCTGATATCATTTCTGCTAGAGTCGTATAGTTTCATTCCCACATTTTCCCTAATATTCATTAAGCTGATTCTAAAATAAAAATTTTCCATTATAAATTCTCTTCCAATCATCATCCAGCGTCTCTGCTTCCTGGTCTCGGGCCGTGTCAGTCCTTACTGTCCATTCCATCTAGTCCATCAACCTGGAAGCCTTATGTCCGAGGCCCTTAAGTCTCTTCCATGTCCCTTCTGCAATTCTTCTTCATCTTGTTTGTGCTTGCCCTTTTCCTTGTCTTTTGTTGGTCTCTGTCTTAGTTTCTTTCCTTTCTCATTGAGGAGTAGGTCTCTGGGGGATTCCAACCCAAAATTGTCTCCATCACCCTTCATCCAGCTCGCCCATTCCCCACAGTCCCACTCCCCACAGTCCTCGATATAATCCAAAATGTATTTAAAATCAAATTTCAAGGTCTCTCCAAAGCTAGGAACCTCCTCATCTCCAGACTCCCCTTGGCCCACTCCAACTTCAATCTTCAATAACAGTGGCTTATGCTCCTGTAGGGCCTCGGGTCTCTCCATTTGTACTATTTGAGGTGCAGCCGCATCCTCCTCCATTGTCATCTGCACTTGCCCAGTCAGTACAGATTCATAGGTTGGTTCCTGAATGATTTCTGTATCAATGTTCCCTGTTTGTCCACAGTTATTAACCACAACCGTCAAATCCATTTTCTCATTCATCAAGTCCATCTTCTCATGCATCTGTTCCAGCAAAGCATTTGTCTTGCATAAAGCAAGCACCCAGTCTTCCTCCCAGCTCATCTTTGTTCAAGGTCAGAAAAGACTGTTCCCACGGTCTTAATCTCACAGATGTTAGGTCTCAAATATACTACGGCAACAATTTAGCAAGCTCCCTCTAGAGGGAGTCGGCATTTGAACCCTGGTCTCCCAGGTTCTAGTCCAACACTCTAACCACTACACAGCACTGCAGCTCTGCTTCCCATTCTAGGCAGGCTGGCGACTCACCTGGCAAAACTGTTAGAATTCCTGCTCCGTGATTGCAGTCATGGGATTTTTGTCTATCACGTGACGGTGTATGTTTTGACTCCACAGAGTGGGAAGTGACAGAGACAGGATGTTTGTGTTACTGTGTTCCGTAAAGTGGGACTATTGTTCTTTGTTCTTTTTCTCTTTGCTGTCTGATGCTAGAGAGAGAGGGAGCCATGTTGCAGTGCTCCGTGTGTGTTTATATGTAAATAAAGTAGATTAGCCAAAATACTGCGTTGCTGAGGTCTGTTACGAAAGCTGCGAAGACTCTGCAGATCCCTAAGTGTGCCGATGTCTGTTGGCATCAGTCGCTGTGATGTTCAGGCAGAAGAAAGCTTTTGAAGCTCCTGAACGATCGCCCAGGAGGGAGAGAACATGCCAGTCGGGCATGTGTCTCTGCCAGGGTCCTACTCGAGTGTAGGACGAGCTCCTGACAGAAACAACCCAACACGCTTCTTTGCTAAGAAAAGAGACAGGCTAGCACTCTTTCTCCCTCTCTCCATGCACTGAGAAATAAGACTGTTTATTCAGTGCCGCCTGTGAGCAAAGAATGCCTCAGTTTCCACTTTATCTGGGTATTCTGAGAGAGAGGAGGATGAAGGAACAGATCTCTCAAATTGGCCGCCACAAATTTTGCTGCAGTGGCTACTGGCTGGATTCTAGGTATTTGTTTGATTTGTCCTCCATCGCTCTTCTCCTTTGCTTACTGGCTTTGCTATGGGATCTAAGTTTGTGGGGTGTGAAAATGGCTGGAGAACACTGAACTTCCCTAACCCGAGAGAGTTATTGTCTTTTGGCAGATTCTGTGTTGGCAGCTAGCCAGAAAGTAAAACTTCAAGGTGCATTCACCTTTAAAAGGAAAGGCTGCAGCTCAGAGGGTGGAGGGTCTACTTTTCACACAGAAGGTCCCAGCTATCTCTTCCTAGGGACGGGAATGTCCCCTGCCTGAGACCCTGCCAGTCAGAGTAAGCAGTATTGAGCTAGACTGATCCAAGGTTCTGACTCAGTATGGATCGGGGTTCTGACCCATACCTCAGTGTCTAGAGCATATGCTCTACATGCAAAGGGTTCTTCCAAGTTCAGTGCCAGGTAGGCTTGGGGAAAAGGCTCCCTACTTGAAACTCATGAGAGCTGCTGCCAGTCAGTGTTGGCAGTACTGGGCTGGATGGACCACTGCTCTGACTTGGTATAAGAGAGATTCTGGCGCTCCTTTCCGATGCGCATAAGACTGGGCTCAGCTATCAGGGCGCACCCCTCTTCCTCTATTTCATTTTCACTCCACTCTTTGACAACTTCTTCCTCCCTCGCAGTTTACGATAAAGCCTCTGGACAAAAAGATTGACGTCTTCAAATTCAACTCTTCAAAGCTGCGTGTGAATAAGCTGGTAAGTCTGAAGGAGGATGCAAGAGTTGCATTGTGGCAGCCTCTCTGCTGAGCAGCCAGGCATCCTTCCAAGGCAAAGGGGCCCCAGGCTGCACGAAATGCTGGTGTGCAGGAGATGAAACAGATGATGGCTCTGGGGAACTGGAAAGGCACAAATCGCACTGCAGACCTAGAGAGCCGGTGCCAGCCCATCTGCATGAGCCTGATGCCCTCCAGATGTTATGGGATGCAACTCCCACCAGCCTCAGCCCAGCTGTATGATGCTGCTTGGCTTGCAGAAGGTCCCTGGTTCAGTCCCCAAAAGCATCTCCAGGTAAGGGCTGGAAGAGATGCCCTGCCTGAAACCCTGGAGAGCCACTGCCAGTCAGTGTAGACAGTACTGAGCTATATGGCCCTATTTAGAGAGAGAGAGAGAGCGCGCACATGAGACTCTTAATCTCAGGGTAGCAGCAAGCTTCTCGATGATTTTGTGAGTGACTCTTTCTCTTGCGTGAAAGGCTGGGAACAAGCCCGCCATTGTTGCTGCAACAACAGCAGCAGAGGCCTGGCTTTGTCTGAATAGCTGGCAGATTCTGCTTGGAAAATTGGTCTCTTGGAGCGCTGGGGAAACTGCAAGCTCTGTGGTCAAACACTGTGCTCAGGGCCTCCATTGTTTTTCCTCCCAACTCCTTCCGCTGATCCCCATTCAAGAGCCGTGTATAAAGGGGGTTCGTCTCCTTTCCCCGTTTTCACCGACTTTTTTCTGAGCTAACCCTTCAAGGATCGGTCTGCCTTATAGAGACAGCTAATTTCCAACCCACTCATGTGTTTATTATTTATTGGAGAACTGCTGCCAGTCAGTCTGCATCAACGTGATGCCCTACAGATGTTCTGGACTACAAATCTCATCTACCCCAGCCAGCACAGCCATGCGATGTTGGGGCCGATGGGAGCTGGCTGAAGATGGGAGATGGCACATCCATTGCACTAAATAGCCATATTGTTTTTTATTTGCATTTTTATATTTTAATCCCCACCTTCCCTCCAAGAAGCTCAAGGTGGTGTGCATGGTTCTCTTCCTCCCCACCTTATCCTCACAGCTACCCTGCGAGGTAGATTAGGCTGAAAGGGAATGGCCCAAGTTCACCCAACGGGCTTCATGGCTGAGCCAGGGATTTGAACCCTGGTCTCCCAGGTCCTAGTGCAGCACTCTTAACCACTATGCCACCACTGACTCTCTTTCTCATTTTGCATTTTATTGTACTGCAATTTGAATTGGAATAAAATACCAAGGATAAGTAACAAAGGAAGCAATAAAACACTGAGCAAAGCTCGGCTCTGCCCTCGCTGGTCTTGGAAGGATCCTTTTAAAAAGCCCCATATGTCCAGAGACTTTGCGCCTGCCCATTGGGGGGATATAGGAAGCTCTGAACACATATTTTTTTAGATGTCCCTTTTACGATGAGGCACGTAGAGATACCATTGACCCCCTGCTGGTGAGGTTTGCTGACCTCCCAGAAGAGCAAAAATTTGATCTTCTCCTGTTAGGCAAAGATCACAAGACGACCCGGATGGTCGCCAGATTCTGCACACAGATCCTTAGGCGCAGACCATCCCCCGATTCAAACTAGTTTGTTAAGAAAATTCCCAAACTCGGATCCACAGGTGACTCTGGGTCATTTCTCTACAGAAGTTTATCTTAAAGTTTTTATGTGTTTATACGCCTATCACATTTTAAACTTTAAATCCATTGTTGTGTATTGTTTTAAATGTTTGTTTGCTTTTGGGATTGTAGTCCCATTTGTGTTTCACAAGCTGGCCAAAACACTGAGCTAAACGCACCAGCAGTCTAATGGCAGTAGGCAGGTTACTAGGTTACTATTTACCATTTATTTAGAATCATGAGGACTAGAATCTTCCTTTTCTTTCCATTGGGAAGAGTTTCTTTTCATTGGCAGAGTCTCAGGTTTGATCCTTAGCATCTCTAGGTAGGGTCAGGAAAGACAGCCAGCCAGTGTAGACTATGGAATGGGGGAAGCTGTGGTCTTTCAGATATTATTGGACTGTGGACTCCCATCAGCCTCAGCCAACATAGGCAATAGTCAGGAATGACAGGAGTTGTGATCCAACAACATCTAAAGGACCACAGCATCATCACTCCTGATGTAAATAAAGCTGTGCTAGATGTCCCATTGGTCCGATTCGGTATAAGGAAGCTTCCTATGATGGTCACGTGTGTCTGATCTAGACATTACAGTTGCTACATGGAAGCCACCAGAAACAGTTCTCCCTTGGCATTATTGATGGCTGTGGCATGTCTCAACATGGTGGGGTAGGCATGCACTTCTGTGCAACAAGGTGGGGTAGAGGACAAAAGTGTTTTGTTTTCAAATGCTTGGTGGCGTGAACACAAACTTCTCCTCTTCTTAATGGCTGGACCAGATCCTGCAGCTGTGCATTGGAAACCACGACCTGTTCATGAGGAGGAGGAAAGCAGACTCCCTGGAAGTCCAGCAGATGAAAGCCCAGGCCCGGGAGGAGAAGGCCAGGAAACAGGTCAGAGAAAGGGAGGGTCCTGTTCCTTTCTTAACAACTACAGTGGTACCTCGGGTTACATACGCTTCAGGTTACATACGCTTCAGGTTACAGACTCCGCTAACCCAGAAATAGTGCTTCAGGTTAAGAACTTTGCTTCAGGATGAGAACAGAAATCGTGCTCCAGCACTGCCGCGTCAGCAGGAGGCCCTATTAGCTAAAGTGGTGCCTCAGGTTAAGAACAGTTTCAGGTTAAGTACGGACCTCCGGAACGAATTAAGTACTTAACCCGAGGTACCACTGTATTTGAATTGTTCACTTGGGATCTCTTCAGAGGAAACTGCTGCAACGTCGGCATTGCTGCGAACGTTCGGCACCCGCGGGCGAGAGCTGACAATCCCAGGCAAATTTTGCAGATTTTTGGAAACTTGGGGCAGGGCAGTTTTAAAGTTGCATAACAGAGGGATCCAGTGCTACAGCTGTGCTAGTTGAAGCCCATTGTGTAACAGATTGAGCAGCCTCTTGTGCATAGTGATAGCAGCAACTGGCTTATGCATTCTCTCAAAGAGTACAGCAAAGGTGCCTGCCTGATGTCAATAGGCAGGGAGTTCCAAAGTGTAGATGCCGCCGCACTAAGATTGTGTTACTACAAATGCGGAACGGGTGTTATGTGGAACCTGTAACGCTGCCTGTTCCACAGATCAGTGTGTTTGGGTTGGCATATATGGGGATCCCCAACATTTTGGGGTCACCGCCCTCTTGGTACCATAACGTACCACTGCCCTCTACCCTACCTTATAAAATGCATTATTCATAATAGCGGTTTTCACAAACCGCTAAGGAAGATAATAACACAATAAAATTCCATAGAATCATAGCATTGTAGAGATGGAAGGGTGATCTAGTTTAACTCCCTTCAACACAGGAATAAACACGAAGAGTTAATTGCAAATAATAATAATAATCATCATTATTATTTATTTATACGCCCAGAGTGGTTTCCCCAGCCACTCTGGGCGGCTCCCAACAGAATATTAAAAACATGATAAAACATCAAACATTAAAAACTTCCCTAAACAGGACTGGCATCAGATGTCTTCTAAAAGTCAGATAGTTGTTTATTTCCTTGACATCTGACGGGAGGGTATTTCACAGGGCAGGCACCACTACCGAGAGAAGGCCCTCTGCCTGGTTCCCTGTAACCTCACTTCTCGCAGTGAGGGAACCTCCAGAAGGCCCTCAGAGCTGGACTTCAGTGTCTGGGCTGAACAATGGGGGTGGAGATGCTCCTTCAGGTATACTGGGCCTGATATTCCAAATGCACATTTAGTTAGTTATTTAATTATTTAGTTAGTTGCACATTTATTCAAAACTCAACTCAAACTAATCAGCTTAATTCAACACTATTGATGAGCGTGATCCAATGTTGCCAGCTTTTCAAAGCCTGATAGTCAGTTACACCTCCAGCAAGCCCCCTGCCCACCCTCTTGCATCTCAGAGCGGCTCCAGCTAGTCCTGCCCACTTTGGGATCCCACTGGGGCAAGGCAATCCCAGGAGTAAACTGGTCCCAAGCCTTCAAGGGCTTTATACCAACGGTAGCACCTTGAACTTGGCCCTGTGAGAAATGGGCAACCTGTGCGGATCTCTGAGCAGAGGTGTTCTGCGCTGACACGGTCTCCCTCCCGCCAGCAACCACGCTGCAGCATCTTGCGCCGACTGCAGTTTCCGGGTCAATCGCTGGGGAAGCCCCACATAGAGTGCATTGCAGCAGCGCATGCTTGCAGCTGCCAGTGCCCGAACTACTGGGCCAGAAAAACGGTGTCCACTCTGCGGGCATACGATCTTTAAATGCTGTCCATCCTCTCCCCTGCCGTTCTGTAAACCTATTTCTCGGTCGTGGCGCTCGTATGTTTGCTGTGTCTTGGGGAGGTTGGCTGCGGTTGTGGGAGGGAGGGGGAGCCGTGTCCTAATTAGATGGTGATGGAATGCGAGCTGCTCTTCCACCGCATGCCGCCTGCATGCTAATTCCGAGCCTGGCCTCCTTTTATCCGCTGCGGGTCAGCCCAGCCAGCAGACGCGCCGCATCTCAGGCCGCAGCATGGAGCCAATGAGCACATATCAGCAAATTGGATTGTATGAATCATGGTTTTCTGCTTGTAGACCTTTTCTACTTGCTGAAACCCACACAGCTAATCTGCGCGGTGCTGCTCGGAATATAGATTGCCACTTCTGGGGAAGCGGTTAGGCGGCCGCGGCCAAGTGCCTCCGTGTGCCAGGGGACGCTCAGCTTACGGGAAGGTTAGGTTAAAAGTACTTGTCTTGGATTTGCCTGTGTCAGTGATGTTACGGCTCTTGGCTTAGTTCCATGGGCAGTGATAATAGTTTCTCTGGGTTGGCTGCCTTGCACCCAGGTCAACTTGAGCTGTAAAAAACTGAATGTGCCCAAAGGAAAATGGGGGATGCATCCTGAGTTCTAGGAGGAGGGAAACGTGTTTTGTCTCAGGGAGTGTCACCCAGCGCATAAAGGCTTTTAAAAAAAAAATTCGGTGCTCCCCTTGGGACTGGTTTGGATGCTCCTCTTGGTGCAGAATCCTGCAGCTGGACTGCTGGTGAGGACAGACTAACTCCAGCACAGAGCACCAGTGTTTTAAAGGTTGCACAGTCTACCCCTGTACTACCGGTTCAGATTCCAGGGTCTTGTATGCATTTGCAAGCCCCTTAGCAACTTTGGCCAAGGGTACCTTGAGAACTGCCTGGCTCCTTACATCACTGTGTGATCACTGAGGTCATTGTTACTTGGATGCATGGCTCAAATCCACTAGAGCATGGTGGGCTCAATTCTGTTGCATCCCCTCAGGCAGGCCCAATCACCGTTGAATTTCCAGCACCTAGTGCATAACTTTTTACATTTCTGCAGGCATCTCTAGCCGTTTTTCTGACTTCTATAGCTAGTTTTTAACTGATTTTGTCTCTCTTAACCTTCCTGCACACCGCTCAGAGACAAAGATATGGCCAGCAGAGGTTAAATGTGTTGTTTACCTAGAGCGGGGAAATGGTTCGAAATTTTGAGAGGATAATGAAGAGGAAGAAGGGAAAAAATGAATTGCTGAGGGAGGGCTCCTAAATCTGAGGGTGCAGAGAGCAGGGAGTCCACCGAGAACCTCCATGCCGGCCTCTTCCAAAGCATCTACCAGCAGCCCGGCAGCAAACCCTGTGCCTTGAAATCTCCCTGCTCTTTAACAAAGCATCTAAATTGCTTTGTAAACCTGGATTGCGGAAGTGGAATTGATTGTGGCGAGCAGATGTCTGAATTCTGCCGCACAGCCCTGATAAATTGGATTTCTCTTCGGAGCAAAATGCCTACGACCTGCATGCCTTGGTTGCTTATGTACTATTTTCTGCCGTCCTCACTTCCCCACCCCGCCTCTCCCCACCCCCCAAGATGGAACGCCAGCGTTTAGCTCGAGAGAAGCAGATGCGAGAAGAGGCAGAGCGGACGAGGGACGAGTTGGAGAGGAGGCTGCTGCAGTTGAAAGATGAGGCGACGATGGCTAACGAAGCCTTGGTAAGTCTCTCTGCAGGGATGACTAGCTGCCCACTGCAGTGGCATGGTCCTGTTAACAAGACATGCATGGTAGAAGCAAGACCCCTCTCCTCAGCAAGACTTGTCCTTACTAGTCAGAGTAGATGCTCCATTCACCTGCATTCAGACTCTGCAACATCAAGCTTACTCGTTTGGGAACAGGTGGTGGCTTGGTGATCGAACACCTGTTTTGCATGCAGGAGGTTGCAGGTTCAATACCTGTCTCCTATAAGTGAAACCCTGGAGAGCCTCTGCCAATCAGTGTAGATGGTAGTCTGGTTCAGTATAAGACAACTTCCTGTTTAATTCAGCTCTTCTTTTTTTTAAAGAGGCATAAGGACTAGAAACTTTGTTTATTTTTTGAGGAGGGACAGTAGCTCAGGGGTAGAGCATCTGCTTTGCATGCAGAAGGTCCCACATCATCCAGGTTTCAGAAGCAAAGGATGGGGCAGCTGGTCACCACAGTGTTGGGGGAAATGGACTCTGATGGTGCAGTAGGGAGCCTTCACTCTCGTTGGACTACAACTCCCATCACCCCATGTGGAGGGCACTAAGCTGGCAAAAGCAATTGTGCCACCCGCAGCAGGATAAGTTTAAATTGCTCCCGTGGTCACCAGCCCATATGAGCTGGTTTTCCTTCTTTTCTTTTCTTTGAAAAAAATAATTATTAGTCAATTAAAATTCCATTCAGCATCCTGCTAAGAGGAAGGGTGACTGATCCTGCCAGAATGGCTTGCAATAGATGTAAAATGAAAAGCAAGGAAGAGGAAAATAAAAGACTTTCTGCATTCTGCTGCAGTTGTTTTACAGGTGGGAAAGACCACTGGCTGTGTGTCTTTTGCATGGAGAGTGTTTCAGGGAGGCTGAGGGGTTGTTCCTTTCCAGCTTCTTTCTGACTGCTGCTGGGTGGAATGGTCACGGACAGAGGTTTCCTTCTCATGAAGGTGGGCAACCTTTATCTGTACTGGAACTCTTCAGATAGTGGCTCTCCAGACAAATAGACAGACAGGCAAACTGCATGTAGAAGGTTAGCATTTCAGGGAGAAATGTCAGGGAGAAATGAGATGCTAGAAGGTTAGCATCTCAGGGAGCCAGATTTCTTCTTGAGTTGCTAGTTTTCTGTGTGCCTGAATTTCCTTTATTTTCTTCATGGAGCGACATTCAGTTCTGGGAGTCCCAATGCGAGGTGGTACAGACCCCAGTTTAGCACCTGAAAGGAAGTCCAGAGTCTGTTGTGGGAAGATTTTTTTTTAAAAAAAGCAAAGAACAGAAAATAAAAGAAATAAACTTTGTCAGCTGACATTTCCCATTGATCCTGACTTAAAACTTACAAATTAATATCATATCGGCAGCCCATAAATCCAAACAGGGGAAAAGAAAGAATTTTTTCACCCCTAGTTAAACTGTGGAACTCGCTCCCTCAGGAGGCTGTGAAGGTCATCAACCTTAGATGGCTTTAAAAGAGGACTGGACAAACTGATGGAGGAGAAAGCTATTGCTGTCTACTACTCTGTTCTCCACTTACTGTTGGAAGCAGTAATGCTTCTGAATACCAGTAGCTGGAAACTGCAGGAGGGGAGTGTGATAAGATCCTGCTTGTGGGCTTCTCATAGGCATCTGGTTGACCACTGATAACAGGATGCTGGACTAGATGGGCCGTTGGCCTGATCCAGCAGGCTCTCCTTGTGTTCTTAGGTATCCAAATGAGATTTACGGTGATAAGCTCCAGCTCCAATTTCAGAAAAGGCAGTGAGATCTTCAGGCCCCTGAGTAGTACAAAGTGGGCATTTATCCTTCCAATATGAGCCTCTTTGCAACCGTGAGGGGTGGCTTGGGTCGTTTTCATTGCCCATCTGTTAGGAAGACTTTTGACCACCGACCATAAGAACATCAGATCAAGCCAGTGACTCACCTTAGTCCAGCATCCTGTTCTTACAGTGGCCAACCAGATGTCCCAGCGAGAAACCTGCTAGCAGGATTTGGAGGTCAAGAGCCTTCTCACTCCCTGCACTTTCCAGCAACTGGTATTCAGAAACATTGCTGCCTGCAGCATAGCCGTCATGGCTTCTAGCCGAACCAGTGGCACATCGCCGCTGCATCAGAGCCCCTTGTGTGTAATTCTCCACCCTTCTTGCTCAGATGAGATCTGAAGAGACAGCTGACTTGCTGGCCGAGAAAGCTCAGATCACGGAAGAGGAAGCGAAGCTCCTGGCTCAGAAAGCCGCCGAGGCAGAGCAGGAGATGCAGCGGATCAAAGCCACAGCCATCCGGACCGAGGAGGAGAAACGGCTGATGGAGCAGAAGGTGCTGGAGGCAGAGATGCTGGCGCTGAAGATGGCGGAAGAGTCGGAGCGAAGGTCAGGCGGGGAGGGAAGCACACCCACTGGTTTGGGGGCTTTGAAGCATTTCATTCCTTGTTTTTCTTGCCATTGGGTTGTGCCCAGTGTAGCACAAAGTTAAAGTCTACTACTACTACTAATTTTATTGGGTGGCTCCCAACAGAATATTAAAAACACAGTAAAGCACCAAACATTAAAAACTTCCCTAAGAAGGGCTGCCATCATGTGTCTTCTAAAAGTCAGATAGTTGTTTATTTCCTTGACATCTGATGGGAGGGTGTTCCACAGGGAGGGAGCCACTACCGAGAAGGCCCTCTGCCTGGTTTCCAGTAACCTCACTCCTCACAGTGAGGGAACAGCCAGAAGATCCTCGGATTTGGATCTTAGTGTCGGAGCTGAATGATGGGGGTGGAGACACTCCTTCAGGTATACAGGGCCATTTAGGGCTTTACAGGTCAGCACCATGAAACGTACTGGGAGCCAATGTAGGTCTTTCAGGACCGGTGTTATACCTTCCTAGCGGCCGCTCCCAGTCACCTGTCTAGCTGCCGCGTTCTGGATTAGTTGTAGTTTCAGGTCACCTTCAAAGGTAGCCACATGTAGAGCGCGTTGCAGTAGTCCAAGTGGGAGATAACCAGAGCATGCACCACCCTGGCAGGACAGGTAAGGTCTCAGCCGGCATACCAGATGGAGCAGCCACCCTGGAATTAACCTGCACCTCCATGGACAGCTGTGAGCCCAAAATAACTCCCAGGCTATGCACCTGGTCCTTCAGGTGTGGGCATGGCCAATGAGCATGGAATGATCTTAAGCACTAGACCAAGTTCAATGAGATGCCTCTTATAAACCAGTTCAGTACAGGTGAACTCCTTGATTTCCTTGGGATGGCGTGTTGTGATCCCATCCTTTTCACACACACCTTGGCCCTACTGCAATCCCTAGCTTCCCCCCTCGCCACGCACACACTTCGGCTGAGCACCCCAGCGCCGAGATGTACCATCCTGCCAAGCCCTCAGGCCTGGGCCCCCACTGGGTCTTCAGCTGCTCAAGAACCGCCACGCTGCCGTCTCCAAAGCATTCAGATGCCATTAATTAAGTTTTTCGCCTCTAGATATTAAAACACCAAATTCATTACTCTCCCCCTCCCTTGTCCCAATATCTCGCTCCAGATCTCCCCCTCCTCTCCCGGCCAATCACGAGGCTCCCACCGCATGCCAGGCCTCCGTCTCCGTGGTCCTCTGGGCATACAAGGGCCGCTGCCAAGGGCTTTTGTCATAAATTGCATTCATTAGTGGGTGAATTAACAATAGCCTTAATTTCATTCTGAACTACTACTTTCCCCCGCTCCTGTGTCTGGGCTTCTGTCTTTGCCCGCTTGGTAACTTTCTTCTCCTTCCTTTATCCCTCCGCCCCGCTTGCCAAAAACATCAACGCCAGATATTGTTCAGAAGAGCTGATTACTTATTTTCTCTCTCCTCTTTCCCCCCCACCCCACCCCCTCAACCGCTTCAGAGGAACCTGTCGAGGATGAGGGGTAGGCAGTGGTTCTTGAAACCTCCAATGCCGTAATTCAGTGGTGCTTGTCTTTCCTTAGATGGGTGGTTCAAGCCACCCTTAGTGGCATGAGATTAGCGTGTAGAACAAGGCTGTGGGAACCTTTGGCCCTCTCTGTTCTGTTGGACTCCATTTCCCATCAGCTTCAGCCACCATGGCCAGTGGTTAGAACTGGTGGGAATTGTTGTCCAGCAACATCCGGAGGGCAAAAAGTTCTGCAGCCTACGTTTTAGAAGATAGAAGCTTCTGCTGCTGGGGGGTGGTGGGGGGTGGTGGTGGGAAGCAGAACCTGTCCTGGACAACAGTCAAAAACCAGTTTTTCTCTCCCTACCCCCCACCCCCTCGTTTCATTTCTCCTTCCCTGGACAACAGTCAAGACGGATGAAGTGCTGCCGTTTCCTGCTATTTGGGGAAGGAGAGCATTGTGGGGAGAGGCAGCCTTTGCCATCCGGGTGCCATCCAGATGATTTGGACTGCAACTCCCATCATCCCCAGGCAGCACAGCCATTTTGGACTTCATCTCCCAGCATGGGGGCTGGGGGCTGATGGGAGTTGTAGTCCAAAATGGCTGTGCTGCCTGGGGGTGATGGGAATTGGAGTCCAGATCATCTGGAGAGAACTATAAAAACATTGCCAAGGTGGCAAAGGCTAGGGTAGAGTGTTGGATTTGGCCCACCACTGCCTCGTTTAGGCCCTTGACCTCCTCTTTCCTATTTTGCTTGTGTGCAGGGCGAAGGAGGCCGATCAGCTCAAGCAGGACCTCCAGGAAGCTCGAGACTCTGAGCGAAGAGCCAAGCAGAAGCTATTGGAAATAACCAGCAAGTCATCTTACACAGTAAGAAAACATTTTATACATAGGGGCATCATTTTGCCCCTGGTGAGTCTGTGCTGCTTGCCCCTGGGCATCCTCTGAGATCTGCTACCCGAAGCCCAGCATTGCAATTATGCAAACCGAGCAGAGCTGTTCCTTTGCTGACTTTATATACAATTTTCTGCTTTTCTGCAGTGGCTCCCCTTTTGTGGGATGTTCTTTCCAGGGATGCTTTCCTGGTACCTTCATTACATATCTTCAGGCGCCAGGCGAAAACATTCCTCTTCTCCCAGGCTATTTAAACAATCTATGGCCTTTTAAACTCTGTATGTGTAGCAGGGGGGTTGTTGCTTTTGTTTGTTACCATGTTATGCATTTTTGTTTTTTTATATTGTAAACCACCCTGTGATCCTGGGATGAAGTGCAGTATAGAAATCATCATCATCATCATTATCCAAAGCCACATGTTCTGATGTTGCTTTTAGCAGAAACTGCTCAAAGCTTGTCGCTCCAGTTTTCTATGAGGTCTAGAAACTGTATTCATTTTAAAAATGAAAGCCATGATGATCAGGGGTTCCGCTTCAGTGTCTGGATTTCCAGGTTACAAATCAAAGGCTATAAAATTCTTCCTTAAAAAAAAAGTTGGGAGGGGACGCTTTGGGGATTCTTCCTCATTGTTGGGGCTCCTACGAGACGACCTGCTGTGTGTTTGGTGATCATAATCAGCCAGTTTTCAGCTCAGAGTAATTTGGGCATCTGTTCCCGGAGTTTTCAGCACATGGCCGGCTCCTTTAATCCCTTTGTCATTATCAACCTTGGCAGAAAAATAACAAGACCTCCAATTAAACTGGAAGGCCACAGACTTTTTTATGAGGAGCAAAACACTGGGCTTTTGTTAAACGCCCACACTTGTTAACCGACAGAACTTGCCGTTACGGAGCGGCACTGAGCTTCTGTGTCGCCCTCTGCGGTTCTGGTGTCCCATTTATTTCGCTTTGTTCGTAGCAAGCACTGTGCCAGGGCTTGGATTCGATAGAGCAAAGAGCAGCGCAATGCAAGAGAGAACATCCCGGTCCCAGAGGCTCTTAAGTTGGAGAGAGGGACACGGGCAACTTGAAGAATAAGATAAAAGTTAAAGGACTGCGCCCAAAGTAGCGCTGAGTAACGCATCCCCCCGTGCAAGGATTTCTGATTGCACAAAGGCACCCCCTCCGGAACCCCCTAAATATCTGATAGGGGTTCCCCAAACCTTCAGAGCAGATTTGGGGTGGGCAGGGGGAGGGTCCCATTGGGCAAGTGACTACGCTACACCTGGATCCGTAGAAAAGCCGTGTGGAACTGTTACAAACCCAGGAAGCTGCAGTCAGATCGTTGGCCCATCTAGCTCAGTACTGTCAACACTGACTGGCAGCAGATTGCCAGGATTTATGATGTAGCACATTCCCACCTATTCCTGCATCTGTTGGGGATTGAACCCGGGGCTTTCTGCATGCAAAGCAGATGCTCTTCCCCCCTGAGCTATGGCCTTCACCACAGCACCCCAACCCCAGGAATCAGCAGGTCTTGCACCCCCTCACTGGGATGGCCAAGTCTAGGGTGCGGGCTGATCCCTTACCTGGGAAGACTCCTGCCAGCAGCCTGCTAATAGCAACACAGAAGGCAAATACATATTTATAATGCCATGGCAGAAGCGTGTGAAGCGCTGCTTGATAGTGTCCATCGCAATTGAGGGGATTCAAATGATGCAGTCCTTCAACACACGCACATCCAGCATTTAATTTAGAGCTCTGGGAAGCTTCTAGCGTCCCCAGTGCCTCCAGCGCTGAATTGTTCACTCCTGTTACACAGAGAAGGGTGTGCAAGTTGTGTTCTGTGCTGTCACAAATAAACCCCACAAACAGGTTTCTTTTACATTAGTTTTACCCAGGCTCTCTCGCCATCCCAATTTGTCTTCGATACTGCATCACCCTGACTGAGTGTTTAAACAAGCAGAACAAAGGTGGCTTGGATTTAATGGCTCCCCGCTCTCCCCCCCCCCCCAGTTCTCTGAGGCTGTCTGCTAACGTTCAGAAGCTTTTAAGAGCACTGGCTGCAGTGCCGAAATGAGCCTGCCATTTCTAGCCAGAGGCCCCTTGAGTTGAAACACTGGTTGCTCGGGTGTTCTGTCAGAGACAATCTTCGGAACAAACACTCTCAGCCTGTCTGGCTTTCCCCTACAAGAGCCCCTGACTTTAAATGGGTCTGGTGCCAGCGATTGCACTTGTGGGCGATTTCAATCCAGGACAGACAAAGCACTTCTTCACTTCTTGAGTGCATACTCAAGATACGGAAAGATACATCCCAGAAGATGTAGGAATGGCCAGCAACTTAGATGCTTTTAAAAGAGTGTTAGACAAATTCATGGAGGATAGGGCTATCGAAGGCTACAAGCATGGCTTGTATTGCTTCTGAATAGCAGTTGCTGGAAACCACTGGAGGAAAGGGTTCTCTTGCGCCTGGGTCCGGATTGTGGGCTCCCCCTAGGCGACCTGGTTGCCCACTGTGGGAACAGAATGCTGGACTAGATAGGCCACTGGCCTGATCCAGTCTGGCATGGGGAACATAGGAAGCTGTCTTTAGACCAAGTCAGACTTAATCGCTCCATCTAGCTTAGTACTGTCGACGTTGTATGGCATCAGCTCTTCAGAGTTTCAGCATCTAACATTCCCGTACCTACCTGGAGATGCTGGGGGTTGAATTTGGGACCTTCTGCATGCAGAGCAGGTGCTGTACTACTGAGCTATGGCCCAATCCCCCCAAAGGCAGAAGGGGCTGAATGGAGAAACCAGGAGGATGGATGGAGATGCAAGGATTGCAATAAGTTCGAAGCAGGACTGATCTCTGAAAGACTGATTTATGGTGACAGAAGCAACAGCATTTGTCACAATCACCTGGCCCCTCTTAAAGATTCATTGTTTCTCTCCGTAATCTTCACAACAACCCTGTGGTGCAGACTTCGCCAACCTGGTGCCCTCCAGATGTTTTGGGCTACCTGCGCTGGCTGGGGCTGATGGGAATTGTCGTTCAAAACACCTGCAGGGCACCAGGTCAGTGAAGGTTGCTGCGGAGTGTGGCTGGGAAACCTTTGACCCTCCTAATGTTGCTGGACTCCAACTCCCATCAGTCCCAGCGAGCGTGGGCAATGGTGAGGGGAGATGGGAGTTGTAGTGCAATAACATCAGGAGGGCCACTCCTGGTATGGAACTTCCATTCTCCTCTCTCTCTCTCTCTCTCTCTCTCTCTCTCTCCTTCCTAAGGATTCACTGTTCTTTTAAGCCAGTGGGGCTGGCAGGAGTTGTAGACCAAAATATTTGGAGGGCACCAGGTTGGGAAAGACTAACCTGAGCTCCTCTAACCATCACCTTGGCTGGTACATTTCTGGATAGGCTTGCCTAATCAAAAAACAATGTTTTGAGAAGGCACTGAAAAGATTACAGTGAGGGCACCTGCCTGGTGTCAATAGACAGGGAATTCCAAGGTGTTGGTGGGGCCACACTAAAACATTGGTTTCTTTCCAGTGCTGTCACATATGTAGTAAGGTTTGTAGTGCACTCTGAACCTTTGAAATGCTGTATGCAGTTGCTAAGCCTTATGTTATTATGAATTGGGAGAGTGTGCTGAGATAGGGATAAAGACTATTTTACCTGGGGTCCTCAGGCCCTAGAGTTCATTCATTGTGAAGGTGAGATGCAAAACATTCTGGTGTTCAAAGCATCCTGCTTTGGGAGGACTGTCATTCGCACGATGAGCATCAGGCCAGTTTGTCCTTGACTAAACTCTGCAAAACAAAACAAGGCTTCCTTATCATGCATGCACCCCAGGTTTTCATTGGGAGCTAATCAGCAGGCATTGCGAGTATATTTTTGCCCCTGGAACCGAAGTATAATTAAGAGGAAGATTGTAAGACAGCGGCAGTTTGGCTCCACCCCTCCAGCTGCATCAATCCCAAAAATGTTTCATAAGAGAAGCGCTTCTCCTTTTTGAAAAATAAAACCCGCTGCTATCTCTCCCGAGGATCTCTTAAAGGGGCCTGACACAATCCTCTTTCACTCGTGGCCCATGGGAATGCTTAGCATGCCGACTTACTTGCTCTGAAAGGAAATGATTCTCACAGGTGGTGAACAAGAATATTTCAGAATCATTGCAGTTCGGGTGCTATTCCTCTCATTGTCCCTTGCTTTCCCTAGGGTTGTCTTGTGCATTTTCAGTAGACAGGCATGCAAAAACTAGCAGGAGAGCAATGAGCAGGCAAGAGGCTTACTGAGGGGTAGCTGTGTTGGTTCAAGCTAGCATACCTACCATGGAGTAAAGTTACTTATTTCGGGGTGAGACAGCCTGCTGCTTGAAACTGGAGGCTGGAGCATCTCAGTGGTTAAATCCCTAACACTTTAGTTTAAGAGGGAAACACAAGAAGAGCATGTTGCCGTAATCTAACCTAGAGGTTACCAGAGCAAAGATGACAGAAGAATTTTTAGATGTGCTCTAAGTCACCCAGAGTGGCTGGGGAAACCCAGCCAGATGGGCGGGGTATAAATAATAAAGTTGTTATTATTATTATTATTAAGTTAGGTTATCCCTGTCTAGATAGGGGTGCAGCTGGGCCACGAGCCAAAGCTGATGGAAGGCTCTCCATGTTGCCGAGACCACTGGAGTCTCTAGCAACAGCAGTGGACCCAGAAGTACACCCAAGCTACATACCTACTCCTTCAGAGATGGTATGACTCCATCAAGAGAGGGCCACCTGCCATCCATCTGCTCTAGGGAACCATCTGTAGCTCAGGTGCATAGAGTCCCTGGTTTAATCTCCAGGCAGGACTGGGAATATCCCCTGCCTGAAACCTGGATTGAGCTTCAGCTTGTTGGCTCTCATCCAGTCCATTACTGAGGCAAGACATCGGTCCAGCACATCCTCTGCCCCACCTGCGGATGTAAGGGAATAGCAAAGCTGTGTGCCATCAGCATATTGCTGACCCCACTCAGTGGTTTCATGTAGACGTTGAGCAGCATAGCGGATAAAATTGAACCCTGGGCAACCCCCCACGTTGAAGGCTCCATGGGGACGGACAGCACTCCCCAGGCATCACCCTCTGGAAACGACCATCCAGGTAGGCCTGCAGCCACTGCAAAGCCAGTGTTTCCCACAGGCATTTGGTTGGCCACTGTGGAAACAGGATGTGGGACTAGATGGGTGATTTGACTAATCCAGCAGGCTCTTTTTATGTTCTTACGTACTGCCAATCTTTACAAACTTAGGGGATCTGTAGGGAAGGAGGTGGCCTTTCAGATATTTGGTGCCTCTGTCATTAGGACACAGTAGCACACAGACTCACACCCGGGAAAAGCAAGGGAAGGTTAATAACTGGATGGAAGGTACTTTGCATCGCTGCAACAGGCTTCAGTGGCTTTTGTACACATTGTTCTTCTTCTCCGGCATCCGCATTTCAGCCAGGACCTGTGGTCTAAACAATTGTGCTTGACGTTGATCTCTGAGGCTTTTCAAGTGAGTTGTAAAATCCATTCAGCCTGAAGCCCTTCTTCTTGGCATCAGCTGTCCGGAAGAGTTATGGTTATCAGCTCCGCTGCTCTGCCCAATTTGTAGTGTGGGTTTCTATCACACATCCCCGGCACTGAATAAATGTCAGATTCACAGGCTTGCGGCATTGAGAGGCACAAAAGGCCTACCTGGTCATGCCACGAGGCAGGCTCATCTATCCGCCACTCATCTCCCACTCCCAGCTGCCCACACAACCCCAAGACACGATGCTCTTTGCAGAAGACACGGGCAGAGCAAAATTGCTCCACGGGGATTCAGAGATGAGCCAATCCACAAGCCGCAGGAAGGCAAAGAAAACCACCCCATCGCTAGCCCAGCCCCAGACATAGCAGTCAGAATCAGAGAGCAATCAGGCTCGTGCTACAGGAATTGTGGTCTGTGCAAAAAAACCCTGCTGGAGTAAAACCACGTCCAGCAACCTGTGAAAAATAACAAAGGGGTTAAGTGTGTTTCCTGCAGTGAGACCAACTGTACTTTCTTATTGGCATTAAATTAGATGCAAGATCACAGCTGGTTACTGATGGGGCCAGGATGTCCATAAAGCGTCCAGGCACCTGCTGGTAAGTATATCTTGTTACCCAGGTGCCTCTTCGCTCTCACCTATCCTGCTAGGAAACATTATGGGCAGGCAACTACTGTTGACCTCAACCTGGGCCTCCTTGTTTTAATTGCTGTGCTGATTTAATGGGGTTGTTGCATTGCATGTTTTAGTTAGGGATGTTTATATGTTAATGTTACAACGGGATTGTTTCATTGTCTGTTTTGAATCTGGATGCTTTTATTTTTGAATGTTGGCATACTTGGTTTTTATACTTGTAGCCTGCTTAGTTGCCTAAACTATATTGAGATATTACCCTATTAACGTATATCTGTATCCCTGTATCGTATAATGGCTCCTAGCCACAATGGCTATGCTCCATCTGCATGGCCAGAGGCAGCAATGCTTCTGAATGCCAGTTATTGGAAACCACAAGAGGGGAGAGTGTTCTTGTGCTCGGATCCTGCTTCTGGTCTTCCCTTTGGAACATCTGGTTGGGCACTGTGAGAACATGTGGCTGGACTAAATGGGCCTTTGGCCCTGATCCAGCAAGCTTCTTCTGATGCTCTTCTAGAGGACAGCATTACAACATGAAATACCATCAAAATTAAAATGCAAATCTCTGCATCAAGCGGCATATACATTTTTGACTGATAATAATAGCAACCTGCAGTGGGTGATTAATCTCTGCTTTGCCTTTAGCAGCCGATGAACTCAGGCTCAACGGCGCTCCCTGCTGACATGCCAACCTTCAACCTCATCAGCGAAAGCCTCTCCTTTGACTTCAAGGATACCGACATGAAGAGGTTGTCCATGGAGATAGAGAAAGAGAAGTGCGTTGTTCTCCTTCTTGGCTGTGGTAACTCATAGTCTCGTGGCGCTTGTGGCACAGTGCAGATTCCACCCACTCTTCTTTCTTTCAATGTGACATTCAACTTAAAAGCATAGGAAGTCGACTGAGATCATATCAGACCATGCTTCCATCTAGCTCCATATTGTCTACAGCATGACGTGGGGCCTGTGGACCAATCGTGGCCCACCAGGAGGGTTCACGTTGGCCCACGAGGCCATTTCTCCCAAGCCATGCCCACCTGTCCACCAGCTGACGTCGCTGGATGATGTCAGCTGTTGGGGGCTGGATTCAGTACTGCTGGGTACTGCTTTATCAGGTTGTACCCCACTGGAAAGTTGCAACCAGCAGGATTGAACCTTCCATTCATCAACTGGTGAGCGCAGGGTTCAGTCCTTCTGGGTGCTGTTCCACTAGTGTATACCCTGCAGCAAACGTGCTGGTGAAGCAGACCCCTCCTCTCACCCTCAATTTGTACCAGCGGGTGGACTGCCCATTTCTCAGTCACTTGATGTCATCATGATGTCAGATGATTGACAGTTAGTTGGCTCCATCTACCCGCCAAAGTTGTCCAGTGTGGGTGGGGAGATAGTGATCTGACTTGCTGGGCCAGAAAGGTTCCTCATCCCTGATCTACACCAGCTCTCTAGGGCAGAGATGGCAAACCTCAGCCCTGGGGGGCCAAACGTGGCTGCCTAAGCCTCTCTGACTGGCCCTCGAAATTCTCCCTAGTCTCCTAAGCTTTCTCAACTTGGGCACTGCAAGCACCTCAGATTTTTCCCATGTCCCACAACCAAGGAAGCTGAATAAAAACTGATAAAACTAATAAAAACTGATAAAAACCGCACAACTGCTGCGGAGCTCAAGTCAGTGCTTCCACTCTTCACTTCAGGCTAACAACTGTATTACCCAAGGAAGGGTAATGTCCTGATCTAGTGGAGGTTTGCAGTTCCCGATGCCCCAGGCAGGCAGGATTCCAAGGCAAGGCAAAGTCAGCACCAGTCAAAGTTTGGGTTCAGGACCATGGACAGCAACCCCTCGATTGATACCAAACATCCAAGTTGTCTCAGCAAAGGCCTGGAGCTGAGTTTTATGGCACTGTTTCAGTTATCTGGAAGCCCTGCCACTGTGTCATGGTCAGTCAACTGGCCAGCAGTGCTTTCTTCTGCCCCCTTTGTTTTTTTCCAAGCAATGGGGTTTCAACGTGTGGGAAATCTCACATTAGAATCATAGAATCATAGCACTGTAGAGTTGGAAGGCAGCATGATGGTCATCTGGCTCAACCACCTTCAATGCAGGGATCTTTTATCCAACGTGGGGGTCGAACCCATTGCCTGAGAGTCTCGTGCTCTACTGACTGGACTATCCCAGCACCATGGGACTCTCTTGATCCCCTGAGGAGTCTCTGGACCAGCCATCAGAGTCTGGCAACGGTGGTGTTTGCTTGAGGTTCTGCAGGAGGGGTGCAGGCTTTGGTGCAGTGCGGACCTAAGCATGGGTCTGTCTCACCCCTGAAGCTGCAGTTCCTGGAGTACTCTGCCTCTGACAAATCTTGCTCTGAGGCCGTGACAACTTTGCAGGTTGCTCTCCCTGCGTCATATTACCTAACTTAGCGGAGGCGATGCCCAAAGACAGCTGAGCGGTGTCATATTGTATGCATGTCGGCACACCTCTGTCTATTCTGGAGTAGAATAGACAGGCCCAGGATTTAGCTGTGATTCCTGCATTCCAGGGGTTGGACTAGATGGCTCCCTGTCTCCCTTCCAATTCTGCGGTTCTGTGATTTGCAGCTTCTGAATTGCTTATCTGACTACCAGGCTGGTCCAGATGACATTCAGTCACCTGTTCCAGACCTGCAGCTTTGTGAGGATGGGTGGGAAAGAAAAAAAGAAAAAACAACAACCCACCTCTGCTTTAGTGAAGCTTTTTTGGTGCATTTCAAAGCAATGTCATCGGTTTCATCCTCCAGGCAGCGCTTCAGGGATAATTAAATGAGAAGCCTATCTATTTTAGCTGCGTCTGCAAAAATTGTTTGGTTTCGCGGCTAACGGCAGGCACTCTGTGTGTCTGTGTATGTCTGTGTGTGTCGTTGCTCAGGGTGGAGTACATGGAGAAAAGCAAGCACCTCCAGGAGCAGCTGAACGAGCTGAAGACGGAAATCGAGGCTCTGAAGCTGAAGGAGAGGGAGACGGCGATGGACATCTTGCACAGCGAGAACAACGAGCGGGGCAGCAGCAAGCACAACACCATCAAGAAGGTATCGTAGGCCACGCCACTGCGTAAAAACCGGGATTTCTTGGTGCGTGAAAATGCGGCCGAGCTCAGTTCAGGACATGACGCGCAGGGAGAGAGAGACCTTGTGCCGTGTTTTGGAGAGCGCCTTTATTTAATTCTTTTATTTTTATTTCATAAAATTTATATACAACAGCCCCTTCAAACTGTATGCAAAAAGAACAAGACATTGACATTGTCAGTAAAAAAACAGTTAAAAATGGCTATTGAAAACGTTGAAAAACAGTAATAGCTGAAATCAACAGTAAGCTAAAAAGCAGATGAAAACGCAGTTCAAGATTCTACGTATCTGAGTAGCCTTTGCCTAAATCAAATGCTTCCATCAGCTGTCAAAAATGGCACAGTGAAGCTGCCTGATCTCAAAAGGCAGGGAGTTCCGAAGTGTCCGTGCTGCCACGCTAAAATGCTCAGTGGCTTACAAACGTGGAACCAGCATTGCACGGTGGCTGTAAAAGTGCCTCTTGCGTTTAGTAATTCGCAGTGCTATTTTTCTGGAGGGGATGCAGGGGTATGCATACCCCTAAACATTTTGTGAATCTAAGTTTGGCCTCATTGAGGAATGGTATTTCAATATGAGTAGGAAAATGAGAGTACCCCTAAACATTTCTTTAGAAAAAAAGAACTGGTAATTTCCTTAGAGACCCTGAGAAGACCGGGGGAACCTTTGGCTTTCCAGGTGTTGCTGTAGCACAACTCCCAGCGAGTGTTTCTCAGCTATCTAATACTTGGGGGCAGGGGCGGGAAAGGAATGTTTTCCAGTTCAACATTTAATAATAAAGGAGACAAGTGCACCTGACTAGAGGGGGCATTCCATAACCGGGGAGCCACCACCGAAAAGGTACTGCCACTGGTCAGCGTCCAACCCTGATTGCAACAGCACCAAAACACAGTATCCAATAGCAAAAAAATAACAGAGGAGCTTTACAGTTTCACCTTGGTCCTAGAAACCGCCTGCCCCACCAATGTTGCTCATAGTCCCTCTCCTGCAACAGGTTCTTATAGGGCTTCCAAGAGCAGGGGGGCACAGTATGTGGCTGGAGATCTCCTTCATTTCATAACATGTAGAGCTGCGGCAGGGAAAAAGTCTTGGAGTGAGAGAGGGGAAAGGCAATACATTTCACAAGGGCCGTGTTGGATTCCCCCCCAGAGGCCCACGTGGTCCACCTCCGTGACTGGCCAGTTGCATAAAACCAGGATCTTTTTTCTGCCGTTGCAGCCCAACAGCTGGTATTCAGCAGCATACTGCTCCTGGATGAAGAGGTTCTACTTAGGCATCATTTCAGAGCCTCATTTTCCATATTGCTGATCTCAGCAAGCAAAAAAAAGTTAAAAATTCAGTTGACTGTTGACTGTCCGTGCTTCCCTTTGTGTGCCCCGTTTGGTTACAAGAGGAATAATTGCCTCAGCTCTCTGCCTGGTTGACCTGCTGTTTCGAAATCATTCTTCTCCCATCGTTGCAGGATTCAGCAATGTTGAAATATTTGCTGAGAAGAGGGAAATCTTTGGATTGCCTTGAATATCTCTTTGGAATCCCAGGAGACTTTGTCAGCAAGGAATCTCCCCTTTAAGCCAAAGATAACAAGCTTTCTATTTAAAAAATCCCTTGGCAGATGGAGGGAGGATCGTTATAGACAAGAAACTTGAGCTGTGGGTCTCAAATTGCTTCATCTCATCTCTGCTTTGTTTTATTTTGATTTATTTCCTACTTGGATTTTGTTACTTTATTTATTCATTTGTTTTCTTTGTGTCCCACCTTTCCCCCCTTTCACCTCTAAGGAGCTCAAGGTGGCAGACATGGTTCTCCCCTTCCTCCTCTAATCCCCACAACAGCCCTGTGAGGTAGGTTAGGCTGAGAGAGGCAGAGACTGGCCCCCAAGCTCACCCAGCAAGCTTCATGGCTGAGCGGGGGATTCGAACCCTGGTCTCTCCCAGCTCCTAGCCTGCCACTCTAATCACAGAACCATATTGGCTCGTGACAGTACCGACAACATATTTCAACCCAGGACCCACCTTTTAACCTCAACCCAGGACATGGGACCCATTTCTGTTTTCTTTTTCTTTTTAACTCTATATGTCCAGATGCAAAGGAGGCTGTTTTATCATTAATATGTAGAAAGTATGATTTTAGGAAGGGCAGCTTGTCGTGTTGGGATGGACTGAAGTAGGACGGGCAGGGAGGGGCACCCATGCACCCCTGACCTCCGTGCTGCGGCATTACTGCTGCTTCCCAGGAGGGGCAGAGGGAGGGTCAAGGTCGCAGGGTGACTGCCATTATCCTGGTGCACCAACAAAACCAGTCCGAGGCTTCTTCCGGTGCCTACTGAAATCATACTCTGCACCCTTTTTCCTTGCTGCCTGCAAGGGACAGCTTCAGAACAGATCTCGTGCTGGCCTGCATTGCAATTTAAATAGATAGAAGGAAAGATCAATAGATCAATAGATAGAGGTTGATGCCCACTGCTGCGACAGGTGAACACTCTCCTGGCCCATAGTTCATTTCTTTCATTAAAATGTATATACCACTTTATTGCAAAAAAACACAAGCAAACCCTCAAAGCAGTTTACAAAGAATAAAAGAGTGACATTTTCAGCTAAAACAACTATTCAAAGCAGTCAAAAGACAAAATCAGCAATAAACTAAAAACAGATTAAAACATACACTGACATCCTACATGTCTGGGTAGGCCTGTCTAAACAAAAACGTTTTAGCAGGTGCTGCAAAGAGTACGGTGAAGGCACTTACCTGATGTCAAGAGGCAGGGAGTTCCAGAGGGTTTAAGTGCTGCTGTGCTAAAACTATCCAACTGCCAGGCTTGCCTGTAGCATTTTGGCTTGCCCTCCAATGAAAATGGAATACAATCCTTGCCCACGATGTTTTCCTGTGCGCGTCCCGTTGAAATGGGACTTTGAGTGAGCCTTGGGCAAGAGAGCTTTCTGGAGGAGATAGTGCCCTGTGAGCTATAGAACCACCAACCCAATTTTCACACTTTGTTTGAGGAAGAAGCGACCTGGGAACATTGACACTCTCGATTTCACAGAGGACCTCTTCTTTTGTGTGTTTGTTTCTCATTTTGCTGGTTTAGCCTCAAGCCCAGGGCAGAAGACCTATCTGCATTTGAGACCTTCCAAGTAGGTTATTCCAAGATTTCTTTGCGTGCGGTGATGGGATGGCCACCTGTCTCTTACTAACCCCTGCATGAGCTTGCTTGTGGGAAATCCACTGCCTTTCACCACCCCTGGCAGGGCTGTTGGAGCTTGTCACCCCACGGCACAGTCCTTGTGAGGGTGAGATCTGGCAAACGGGTCAGGAACCTTATGGTACCCCTCCTCCCGGAGGGTGCGATGCTGGAGGGGACCTCTCCTCCTTTTTTGCCGCGTCCCCCCACTTTTGGTGCAATTCCACCAGTCCAGCCTTTGCCAGCCTGGGGCCCTCCAGATCTTTCGGACCGCAACTCCCATCAGCCCCTAGTCAGCACGGGTATATGGTGCTAAAGGAGCATGGTCACACTGGCAGGGGCTGATGGGAGCTGTAGTCCAAAGCATCTGGAGGGCAGCAGGTTGGCAGAGGCTTATCCTGCCACCTGCGCTTCTTCACTTAGCCCAACAGATCAATAATACTCCATTAGGAAATTTATTCACTTAGCGTATATCCGAAACACAGCTGTGCATCTTTCTCCCGCCATCACCCAGTTAACAGCGGATGTTAACAGTTGCTGGTTCATTTCTGGGCCCGGTTAGAGGTGCTCACATTTAAATCCCTAAACAACTTAGTCCCCTAATTTGAAAAGACTGCCTCTTTCCCTACAGACCCTCTCAGTTATTAAGATTGCCAGAGGGGGATCTCTTGGTAGTTCCTCTGCCCCCAGAAGTTCAGTGGACAGATGAATGAGGAGAGGGCCTTCTCTGTGGTGGCTCCTAAGTTGTGGAATTCCCTTTGCCACAGAAGCAAACCTGGCACTTTCATTATGTGTAGGCTAGAAACACCCCTCTTTACCCTGACCTTTGATACTTGAGATGTATATTTTTAAGCCCCACCCTGTAACCGTGGCTGTTAACATGCTTTAAACTGTTTTTCATACTGTATTTCTAAATTGTTTTAACCTGTCCTGGGACATTATGGTGGAGGGTAGCGGTAATGAGAAATCATAGAATTACAGAGTCGGAAGGGACCACAAGGCTCGTCTAGTCCAGGCGCCTGCAGTGCAGGAATTTTTTTGCCCAACGTGAGGCTTGAACGCATGACCCAGAGATGAAGAGTCTCATTCTCTACCAACTGAACTATCAAATAAATCACAGCAACAATATGGAAGGGTTGGCTTCCTGCAGAAGCCTCTGCGTTCAGAAGCTTGACCTTTCCCAATTCTCCGCCTCCTCTTCAAAAAGCGACGGCAAAGGAGCACTTACACAAGAACAGGAGTGATGCCTCCTCATTTTAGGCTGCATGCGTGACGGGGAAGGGAGGGGCAGATACCTCTCCCTCTGTCCCACGAAAAGAATCGCCACCCTGCAGGGAAAGTCCAGAGTTGAATCCTCGGCTCTGTTCCTCATCTCCTGCCCCCGCCCCTCATTAATCACCCCCCTCCCTTGGCAGCCGATTCATTCCCCCTCCTCCTTTTTTAACTTCTGAAAAATAAATCTTTCTGAAACCTTTTTTTGAAGCTGCCGCTCTTGCTCTCTCCCGTTCGAGTTGAGCACTTCAAAGCTGCTCCCTGGTCTTTGGAAGCCTTCGCTCGAGCGTCCTCATTGGCTGGTGCTCTGGCACCTCTTCTTCGTGCCCCCCGCGGTTTGCTCCGCAGAACCGTTCAGATCTCGGCGAAGGGCAGGAATGCCACCCAGGCTGTTCCTGCGGGACGATCCTTAATTGGAACGGCTTGTCATCGTTGGCACCTTTCAAGATGGGCCGTGGGGGAATTGTGGGGGGGGGGGAGCGGGCTTTCAGAGTCTGCTAACTGGCCACACTAGCATTACATAAGGACATCTGAAGCACCTGCCAGCGGCCCATCTCGCTTGGATCCTGTTCTTACAGTGCCTGTTAGAAACCTGCAAGCAGGATCTGAGCACAAGAGCAGTGTCCCTACCCTGTGGTTACTGCCAGCTGGTAGAATCATAGAGCTGGAAGGGATCCCCAAGGCTCATCTAGTCCAACCCCTTGCAACGCAGGAATCTTTTGTCCATCATGGGACATGAATCCATGACTCTTGAGATTAAGAGTGTCATTCTCTACGGACTGAGTGGTTGCTCCCTCCAACTGTGGAGGCATAGCAATTGTGAGCATAGCGATTGTGGCTAATAGTCGCCAATAGCCTTTTCCTCCATGCAGTTGCCTCACTCTCTTTTATGGTAAGGGACGCAGGTGACGCTGTGGGTTAAACCACAGAGCCTAGGACTTGCTGATCAGAAGGTCAGCGGTTCGAATCCCCACAGCGGGGTGAGCTCCCGTTGCTTGGTCCCTGCTCCTGCCAACCAAGCAGTTCGAAAGCACGTCAAAGTGCAAGTAGATAAATAGGTACCGGTCCGGCGGGAATGTAAACGGCGTTTCCGTGTGCTGCTCTGGTTCGCGAGAAGCAGCTTAGTCATGCTGGCCACATGATCCAGAAGCTGTACGCCGGCTCCCTTGGCCAATAAAGCGAGATGAGCGCCGCAACCCCAGAGTCGGCCACGACTGGACCTAATGGTCAGGGGTCCCTTTACCTTTACCTTTACCTCATCACTGCCTCCTGCGGGAGCAGGTTCCCCAGATTAACTATGTGCTGCGTGAAGAAGTCCTTGCTTTTCTCTGTCCCAGATCTTCCAACCTCCAGCTTCTTTGGATACCCACCAGTCCTCAAGTTACAAGACGGGGATAAAAACTCCCCCCTGTCCACTTCCTAAATTGAATCTTGAAAGGGAAGAGCAGAAAGAATGATAATATTGTTCCCCCGATGCCACCTCTTCCCTGGAGCTCTTATTTTTGGTGGCTTCAAGTCCTGGTAGGTCCAAAGATGGCTTTGTAGCTAGTCTGTTTGCTGAAAAGCAGCTTTCTGGTCCTGTAGCTAAGTATATACCTAGGGCAACACGGCGGGGAGGTTTCATGCTGGTTTTGTGCCCCAAGGAAGCAGGTGAGCCATCAGTGAACAAAAAGGATGAATGGTTGCTGTGATGACACTTGGTTTAACTGGCCTGTTGCTCCATTGCTTCTTGTCTTTGGCACATGCAAAATCTTAGATGAGCATTTTTTGGGGGGGATTTTCTTTCATGCTCTTCAAACATAAAAGTTACTGAGGCCAACATGAGGCTACTTTGGCAATCTAGAAATTCTGGCTAGCATGTCCTCAGTGGGGCAAATGGTGGCGTCAAACCCTTTGGAGCCTGCATTGACTTAGGCTAAACTTCTGCCTTCTGTTAGATCTCGGGTTGTCTTTTTCTCACTGCCTGGCTTCCTAAACTAACCCACTCTCCTTGAGTACCTCGCCGCTCACACTTTGCTGCACGTCACTGGAATACATCGCATCCATCGCCTGGAAGAATTTCCTCAGGTCTTTCAAGGCGGCATTTTGCATTGCCATTAGGGGCCTGATCCATTCCCTGGCCCCATCCTGCAGATGCCCGACAATGTATGCCACCCTCTCCCCATCGTCCGCAAAATCCTTATGCTGCAGGTCCAAAGCGTATTCTATTTCCGTTCGGAACGCGTTGTAGTCCTGGGGTTTCCCCCCAAACTTGTGTACCAGTCCCGGTATCTTCCTTGCTACGGGGGTGGTCCTGACCTGTGCATCGTGAGCCTGCCTTTCTTCCAACCGCGCCGTGAGAAGAGCCACATGCTGTTCCAAATCTTGGTTCCTCTCCACCAGATTTTGCACTCCGGCTGCTCCCTCCGTGGCGCCGGCTTCTCCGGTTTGGCTCATTCTGCTGCCTGCCTGTCGCTGCGCAAAAGCAACGTCAAGGACTGACGGATTGCTGTAATAAATGTAGGGGTTGCTCGTGCGCAAGTTGGTGCCACTCCTGGCTAGGTTGCCTTGTTAAACCTTTTCTGTCTGGACAGCCCTGCACTTCGTGGCTGTTCAGTCGCTAGCAGAATCCGTCAGTGGGCGTTTCTTAAACCTTTCCAGCATAAAAGTTGTTTGACTCCAAGTCTCCTCCTACTCTCCCTGCGCGAAGCCTTCTGCGCAGGGAGGGCGTGGGTAGCGGAGGACCCGTGCTCTCCTCGCTGATCTCCGACGAGGAGTCCTGGAGCCTCTCGCCGATTCCCCCATCTGCCCCCCTTTATCCCTGGTGTTACGCTGATTTCTTTCCCCAGCTGGTGAGCCGCCTCTCCCCCTGCTGGGCCCTTCTCCAGCATCGCTTGAGAGCCTAGCCTCCGCCTCTGGCTCCGATGTCAGTTCCCTGACAGGGTCCATTCGAGCCATTTTTTTATTCTTCAATATTTACTGTTTCCCAGTCCCAATAGCCTGGATTTCCACTTCCCACTATTGCTGAAAATTATTGCATGTTACTGCAGCATTTTAAATTTCACTCTGATTTGTAGCTTTCTTACACAATCTCTATGTTGCTTGTGATTGAGCAGCATTAGCCAAGGACCCGATATTTCAAATTCTGTATGTGTTCTCAGAGGGAGAGTCTGCAAAGCTGGAAGCTCTCCTTTGAAGAGAGATGGAAGTCAGATATCTTGGTCATCCGGATTTTCTGGCCTTCTTCTTGATGCTTGAATCTTCATAGGAACAGTATGGACTTTACCTCTTGACTAGAATTAAGCACTACGCTTTGTATGTTCTCTGTTTATTGAGACAGCAAACAAACCTCCTCTTGTGCTAATCTTGCTAGGAAAAACAAATCCAGAAAACGAGCCAAGAACTTGATCTTATACTTTTCAATCTTCTGAATAAACGTTTGAGTAGTACAGTCGTAACTTGGAAGTCGAACGGAATCCGTTTCGGAAGTCCGTTCGACTTCCATAGCGTTTGAAAACCAAAGCGCGACTTCAGATTGGCTGCAGGAAGCTCCTGCAGCCAATCAGAAGCCGCAAAAGCCCCGTCGGATGTTCAGCTTCCAAAAGAACGTTCAAAAACCGGAACAGTCACTTCCAGGTTTCAGTCATTTGAGAGCCAAAACATTCATGAACTAGGCTGTTCGAAAACCAAGGTACGACTGTACAGGGCCTTCAAGTTTTGGAACACGTTATAGAGTTGCATAGGAACATAGGAAGCTGCCTTTTCCGGAATCAGACCATTCATTCATCTAGCTTAGTATTGTCTACACTGACTGGCAGCAGCTCGTCAGGATTTCAGGTAGGGAATCTCTCCCAGCCCTACCTGGAGCTGCTGGGGATTGAACCTGGATTGTTTTGCATGCAAGGCAGATGCTCTTCCACTGAGCTACGGCCCTTTCTCGAAGGAGAAATAGACAGATCCCTGTCTCATGCCATGGACAACTTAAAATTTTATACAGCATTTGGGAAGACAGCAGACAGACAGCAACAGAGGACAAATATAAGGAAATTCATTTCCACATACTTAGATTTCCTTCCACTGGGAGGCTGCAGACTGAAGGTGCTAAACCAAAGCTTTATTGGCAGAGGTGGGTACAGAAAGATAATTTAAATGGGACGCAAGAGCTGGTCCTGAGAGGGGGTTAGGGAATTTGTTTATTAAAAATCTCTCCTTTCTGCTGTAAAACAGCCCTCGAGGCAGCAAGGAGCCCTCAGAATAACACTCAGGGGGTTCCAGATAGAAGCAATGTGACAATGCTTAATGTTTGGCTCCTGGGTTTGATCGGTGCTTTGTTTGATCTGCAGTTAGACAATACTGCAAATTCTATGTCCTTTTAAAATGTGTTTGTGGGAGGGTTTTTATGGTTTGCTTTTGTTTTTATTATGTATTTTCTGTTCTCATTTTGTATTTTTGTTTTGTGATCTTTGGATGAAGGGTGGCATACAAATTTAATAAATAGCAACAATGAGGAAGGAAGGAACACGCGGTGTTGCCTTACACCAAGTCAAACCATTGGCCCATCTAGCTGAGTATGGTCAACAATGACTGGTAGCAGCTCTTTGGAGTTTCAGGCAGCCCTACCTTGGGGTTAAATCTGGGACCTTCTGCATTCCAAGCAGCTGCTCTGCCACTAAACAGCTATTCCCCTTTGGACTTGTTGGATTTAGATCCATGCAGCACGGTCAGATGCTCCACCTTGAGCTATGGCCTCTCCTTCGCTTTCATCCGGAGGACCCTGTATTTCGGGGGGTTGGACTAGATGACCCTTGTGGTCCCTTCCAACTCTACAATTCTGTGGTTCTATGTCCCAGTTCCGAATCTTTCATTTGGGTAGAGGCCCCTCTGTGATGAAGCCCCAGCATGGGAACAAAGGTCATGTTTGCGACCTCCCGAGTTTTCCTCTCCACCTTGGATGGAGCCTGCAGAATTTTTCATGTTTAATTATGTGGTTAACATGCTAATCCCCTTTTTATGAGCTCTGGGGGCGCAGCACAGACATCTCTTCAGGAAGCTGATTTCCTCTGCACGTAGTGCGCTGGCTTCGCTAATTCCAGCTGGCTGAACTTCAGGGGGGCTGGCTGCTGCTTCAGACTTCAGAAGAATGTAGGAGACGGGGTTTGTTTTCGTTCTTGAGGGTCTCTCATTCTCTCTATGCCTCGGACTTCAAGGGTTTCCTCTTAGGCCAGGCTGATGAATCTGTGACGAACGCTCAACAGGAGCAGGCAGGATTTTGGAGCAGCTTCAAACTTGTTTTTCTTTCTTCCCACCAAAGAGAAAAGGCATGCGTTTTGCCTGCAAAACAGGAAAGGGGAACCAGAGCGATCCAGCTCTCCTTTCTGGGAAAGAGTAGGCAGTTGGCATGCCTTCATAAGAACATTAGAAGAGCCTGCTGGATCAGGCCAATGGCCCATAAAGTCCTGCATCCTATTCTCACAGTGGTCAACCAGATATCTTTTCTGGGAAGCTGCTGGGAACCTTCTTTTCTGGGAACCTTCTGTTTGCAGAGGTTCTGTTCCAAATCTATACTGTCCTCCTTCTCCTGGGAAGATTCAGGATTAGGATCAGGGGGAGGGGGTGGCTTCCACCATTATTCTTCAGTGCAGTCCTCCTCAACACAGTCCCTGATGAGCAGAGCCATCACGGCTAGTAGCCACTGATTCTCTTATTCATGAATTTTTCCAGTCCTATTGTTAAGCGAGTGGCGCTGTGGTCTAAACCACTGAGCCTAGGGCTTGCCGATCGGAAGGTGGCGGTTTGAATCCCCGCGATGGGGTGAGCTCCTATTGCTCGGTCCCTGCTCCTGCCAACCCAGCAGTTCGAAAGCACGTCAAAGTGCAAGTAGGTAAATAGGTACCGCTCCGGTGGAAAGGTAAACGGCTTAGTCATGCTGGCCACATGACCCGGAAAAACTGTCTGTGGACAAATGTCGGCTCCTCGGCCAGTAAAGCGAGATGAGCGCCGCAACCCCAGAGTTGTTCGCGACTGGACTTAACTGTCAGGGGTCCTTTACCTTTACCTTTTATTGTTAAGCCACCCAATCTCATGGCCATCGCTGCTTCCTGCAGGAATGAGTTCCATAGCTTAGCCATGCATTGCATGAAGAAGTTATTTCTTTTATCTGTCCTGAATCTCCCAACCTACAGCTTCATTAGATATCCAAGAATTCAGGGAGAAAAACCTTTCTCCATCCTCTTTCCCCGTGCCTTCCCACGCCAAGGCTCACTACAACCCCCAGTCCTCTTAAGTAGCTAGCTATTCTCCTCCATAAACTCAGCCTTTCAGAAAGGTTCTTTTGGTATATTGTCATTGCTGTGGTGGAGAGCTGGATTTAATGGGCAGCCCAGATCCTTATCCTCCCCACTCCCCCTACGTGGGCCTGTCCCCCTGTCAATAGTCTAGAGTCACAGTGCCTACGATCCCCCTTTCAGCCCTGCCCCATTGAATTAAGCAGGGCTTTCTTTTTAATAAATGTGTATAGAATATTACTCTTTCAGATGCAGAAAAAGGCTGTTCTTTTGCTTCAAAGGGTATATTATAAACTGAAAGGAAATGGATTCATGAAAGCTAATTTTCTGCGGAGTGGCTACGACACCTCCAGCTTGCTCCAGTATATGTTTACTCAGGAGCAAGTCCCACTCATTTCTCAGACTAAACGTGCATAGAACTGCAGCCTTTCTCTGTGCAATTCGGATATTCTGCGTTCCTATAATACAATGAAAGAGTAGCAATAAATGTTATTGTTTATTGCTACCCTTCCATTACATTATCAGGAACATTTCTGAGTTTTATGAGTGTGTTCTGCCTTTGCATCATGATGCTGAGCTCTAGATAATGTTTCTAAGCTTAGGTAATAAAGCCTTGCTTTCTTTACCGCTGGTGTCCCCAGTGTGACTGGTAGGGTGGAAGGCAGGGAGACCAACAGTAGAGGGAGCCAGAGCTAATGACAGGCAGAGCCAACTAAGACTGGGTGTAGCATCATAGAATCATAGAGTTGGAACGTCACCAGCTTAAAACGTAACTGGGTCATTATTCTTCTCAGCCCAGATCAGAGCTTGTTTGGGGTCAAACTCATCAAAAGGCAGCATTTCCCAAGAAATGACAGGATAGATATGGATTGTGGCTAACATTGTGTGTACACCAGTTCTCAAACCAGTGGCGAGAGCGCACTAGATGCAGAGTAAGCAGGAGCGTGTACAGAGTCTAATTCAGCTTTTGCCGTCCTCCTCCTTCCTGCTGCACTGAGACTAAGGAGGAGGAAACTGCTAGAAAGTAAGCAGGCAGGCAGGTGGGGGCTGGCGGACAGCAGACTGAGATTTGGGGCACAGTGCCCCATTCCCCCATTTGCAGGGTGGGAAAGGGAGGCCTGAGAAGTTTAGGGATGTTAAAAGGAGATTGCTTAGATGCCAGGGTGACCTTGTCTCTGCAAAACGCAGCCTCTGTGCCGTTTGCCAGTGACAGGTAAATGAGATGCTGTAAACTTTTTATGCTGCTGAAATACAAGGCAAGGTTGGCAGCATAGTTGGTTTTTTTAAAAAAAGGGATGAGATACTGTTTGCATTCTTTTTAAGGGCCTGAAACTAAATGTTGCATGCAAATCTGTGCCATGAGACCCTGGTTTCTCGAGAAAAGCTGTTTTGAGAGGGGGGATTTGGAGTAGTAAGTAGCGTGTATGTTAACCCTTTGGCTACATGCTGTTTCAAATCAATCCCTTAAGAACACAAGAGGAGCTCTGCTGGATCAGGCCAATGGCACATCAAGTCCAGAATCCTGTTCTTACACTGGCCAACCCGATACTCCAATGGGAAGTTCCCATGCGGGACCTGATCACAACAGCACTCTCCTCTTCTGAAGTTTCCAGTGACTGGCATTCGGAAGCCTTGCTGCCTCCAACTGTGGAGGCAGAGCATAGCCATCATGGCTCGTAGACAGCAATAGCTTTCTCCTCCATGAATTTGCCTGGTCCTCTTTTGAAGCCAGTTCCGCAGTTTAATGAGCGAGTTCCACAGTTCAATGATTTGGACTGAAGAAATGGCTTCTTTTATCTGCCTTTCCAAAGGGGCTTTTCTGTCTCACACACATCTCTAGGTAGATCTGGATACTCCGCTTCCTTAATTCTTCCTCTGGAGTCACAGGAAGCCCCATCTGAGATTCCCAAGTGGAAACAGACTCCTAACTCAGAGTAGTCCCATTTCCGTAAACCCCACACCGTGGCTGTTTCTCCTCCTCCTCCCACTTGCCACCCCCTCCAGTTTTATTGGGGAAATGGCCTAAATGGATTTGGTGGTCTCATTTCAATTCTGTGCAATTTTTGCCAAGCCAGCAAAAATGGGGGGCCCTGCAGTTATTGGGTTAGCTAGTGCAAAATGAGCTTGACTGCAACAGAGTTATTGGTTCCTCCAAATCAAATAAAAGCCCCGGGTCTCCTGGGGGGATACAGCAGCCTCCAGGCAGAAGGAGCAAAGAAGATATCCCCCCTCTTTTTCTTCTTCTTCTTCTTTCTCCTTCTGGCTATTTGATTGCCTTCCTCTTTTCTCCCTCTCCCCTTCATATATATATATTCTTTGATTCGCCCAGTTAGCGCATTGTAGAGCCTATTCTCCTTCCTCTCTCCCCTCCCTCCCTGCAGGAAGAGGGACGGATCGCACAATGGCGCCTTGTAAAATCAATTTTCTCCCTGTGACAAAAATGTAATTTGCTCTTAATCACCCAGGTTTGGCTTGCACGAAATCTTGCTGCGTGCGATGGCACACACATGCTTGCTTCCCCCCTCCCCGCCTTGCATCTGCGTCGAAGAAAACAGCCCACACATTCAGAGACACCTGTAGTAGCAGAGGAGGAGGAAAAGCTTGTGTCTGATCTTGTCTCCTTCTAGAGAAGGGGGTGCTCGGAGAGAAGCAGCAGAGGCCGGGGTTGGTTGGGGGGCATGCATCTACTTCTCGTAACCGCCAGGCTGTTTTGGATAAAGAACGGCAAGCATGGGAAACAGGCGGCCTTTGCAGAGCCAGCCCTTCTCCCTGCAGGCTTCAGCGTAGGAGGATCTGTGCCATCGAGGTGTGCAAGTCGTTGCCACTGATTAGCCCGACGCAGGGAAGAGTGAAATTGGTAGTTTCCAGAATAACAGGGCGAGATGTTTTGCTGCAGGATTGCCCTCTGCATTTAAAAACCGGGGGAGAGGAGGGGACCTCAAACCCAGGGACTGAATACGCCACCCCCCTGAGCCTCTTTATCTGACCCTCAAGGCTTTCCCAGCAGCACCACGGATGCCCCCTGCTTGGCACCCTCCGGGAGCCTCTCTGCCTAGCTTGAAGTCTGCTTGCACCTCCTGCATGGCTAGATGAGAGAGGAGAATGTGTAAAAACTGGCCTGCCATCGGAGGTGGTTGAAGGGCAGCACGACCGGTGGGGTCACAATGGGTGCCGTTCTGCAGGGGGAGCCACAACAATGCTGTAGCCCCTGGAACATGAGAGGTGGGGTAGGGCGTGCCAAATTTTAGCATTGCTGCTGAAATTTGAGAGCCTGGAGTCTGTCGCTGACGCTGCTCAAAGGCAAAACTGGAATCTCTGCTCGCTTTTGCTTCTGGCCCTGCCCACCAACAGCATGCGGCCCCTGGAAGGTTGCTCAGGAGGAAAATGTGGCCCTCTGCCTGAAAAAAAGTTTTTACACCCCTGATTTAAAACAGGAACCCAACCAGGGTCAACTAGGTTGTTCCCTCTTCCTATTTTATATTTTATTATTGCAGTTGTTGCTCACCTTTTCCTGTCCGAGGAGCTCAAGGTGGCATGCATTGTTCTCTTCCTCTGCACAACAACCCTGTGAGGCAGGTTAGGCTGAGAGGCAGTGACTGGCCCAAGGTCACTCATCAAGCTGCACGGATGAGTGGGGATTTGAACCCTGATCTCTCCCAGGGGCTAGTCCGACATTCTAACTACTACACCACCATCAGCTCTTGGTTCTCACATCCCGCTGATGTAGCCATTCTGGTCCCCCTTGACACCCTACGTCCCCCAACACGATTCTGCGGACACCAGGTGAGGCTCCTTTGAGCTCGGAATGCCTTTCCGCTGGGCTGGACATGTCAACCTTTTTCATTGCCGCCCACTCTCCATCCAAGCGCCATCGGTGAGCAGCTGTCCCCAGAGCATCCGTCCCGGCAAGCAAGGTGGCTGTCAGAAAAGCAACAGGCAGGCTTGACAGGTGATGAGATGCCAGGCAGAGACCGAGCAGATTCACTTGAGCAACTGATGCCAGGAGGGGAGGGGACAGGCTGGGAGCAGTGTGCCCCTGCCGGGGATCCTTTTGCAATGGAGAGAGACACACACCAGTATTTCATTTCTTCCCCCCCCCGCCCCCCGCTTTCTGGCGGAGCTGCTGTTTTTGACAGTGCACCGTTCCCCGCAGGATCAGAGGCAGAAAGCGTCCGTCCGCTCAGCCAAGAGCAAACTTAATTCATCCGGCGGCGGGCAGGGATGCACACAGCTAGCTTTAATTGGATGTGAGGAGGCAGCCGTGGAGGAGAGATGTGGGCCAGACCTTCAGCGTCTGGCGGGGAACTCCCCAATTTGCGAGATTCTGCCTAACGGTGCCGGGCGTCCTCCCACACTCCTTGGCTGGCAGAAGCAGTGCAAATAAGGCTTGGCGCGGCTCTGTGGGGTCTCCCAGATGGATCTCCTTGGATAAAATCTTGTCCTTCCCACAATTTAGAAATAGACATCTGCACTTGGAGGCAGCAGTGCTTCTGAATACCAGTTGCTAGAAACTGCAAGAGGGAAGAAGGCTCTTGCTTTCGGGTCCCGCTTGCTGGCTTCCTGCAATAGCAGTCTGGCTGGCCGCTGTGAGCAGAGGCTGCTGGACTAGATAGGCCATTGGCCTGATCTTGCAGACCCATGTACAGTGGAACCTCGGTTGTTGAACGTAATCCGTTCCAGAAGACCCTTTGACTTCCAAAATGCTTGACAACTGAGGCGCAAAGAGCTGTTGCCAATTTCAGTGGTGGAAATTGAGAAACGGGCCTCGGAAGCCAAGGCGCATTCAAAAATGGAAGCAATTACTTCCGGGTTTTTGGCATTTGGGTTCCAAAACGTTTGGCTTCCGAGACGCTCTAAAGCAGAGATTTCACTGTATTTATATCTTTACTTGATAGTTCATTCATGCTGTGATCGGGGGGACCAGCCTGTGACCCCCCAGGTGTTGCTGGATTCCTAATGCTATTATTATAACCATATTGGTGTGAATAGGGACCACACTTTCTGACTTGTATTTAAACCTGAGTGTAGCCAATAATGGTGTTCTGGTAGGGAAAGGAGCCGGGATTTCATAGGTTTTGTTTTAGGAATGCAGCCTGCATTTGGCGGCAGCTTGTATTTGAACAGATACAACGTGTTTTTAAAATAATTTGTTCTCTGCCAGCCGCAGTTTCCCATATTGTCAATACTTCACTGAGCCAAACCTTTCTTCTTCTGCATGTCACGTAGTAGGATGAAGTTCTTGCGAGGCTTTAAATACACCTGATTTCACACACCCAGCACCTGTGCTAACTTTCAGATGGTCTTGATTTGTATACTTGATGCTGGAATTACATCTGTAACCATCCCATCCATTTCAAATCCATTGCGTGCTTTATACAAAGGACTGTCCTGTGGAAGGTGGAGCAAGCTTGTTATCTGCTGCTCCAGAGGGCAGGATCCAAACCAATGACAATAAAGGAGATTCTGACTAAACTTTCTGATGGCAAGAGCTGTTTGACAGCAGAACAGGCTCCCTCAGAAGGTGGTGGGCTCCCCTTCGTTGGAGGTGTTTCAACAGAGGATGGCTGGCCGTTTCTCAGGGATTTTTAGCTGTTTTTCCTGCTTTGCAGGGGGTTGGACTAGAATGACTCTACGCTTCTATGATTCTGTGATTCCATGACCTCCATCCACTTACAGGCTGCCACCAAATCGAAGGGAGGTTCTGCTCTGTCCTCTTCCTGTTTAGCATCAGACTCACAGCTGTCAACATTTCCCTTTTTTTTATGGGAAATTCCCTTATTCTGAATAGGATTCCTCACAAGAAAAGGGAAAAGTTGACAGCTATGATCAGGCTGGTGCCAGAAGCAGCCAGGATTGTCTGCGCTTGTTACCTAAGAATGTGTGCATAGGCAGAGCAGACACTAGGCAGTCGTTCGCAGCCGCTGGATACATTCCAGCAGAGGGCATTAAGCCTCTGCAGTAGTCTCTTCTTCAATCCAGCCCCCCCGCCCCCGGCCCCAGCAAAAAGTAGTTGCAAAGGAAGCTGCCTAATCTATACCCGGTCATGCCATTGAGCTTGCTGTTGTTTAGTCCTCCCCGTTGCTTGCTAACAGATCCTTTAAAACCCGAGTTGCCAGAACCCGTGCCGAGCCGCATGATCGGCTGTAAGGCCAAGGAACTGGTGTGCAAAAGGCATTTGAGGCTGGCAGGTGTAGGAGTAGCAGCCAGGGAAGCCGGCGAGCGTGAGTTACGGTGCACTCAACGCTTCCTGTAAGAGGCTATTTCTCAGCAAAACACCCGACCCTTTGACTGGAGCCGCTCACGGCTTTGTGTCTGCCGGAAATAATGTTCCCAATTAGTTAAGCACCTTTTAGATGCGCCGCACCTCGTTTGATAATCTGGGAGGCATGATGTGTCCTAGGATGCCGATTAAGGAGGTAGTAATCAAATACGGCAATTATCTCATAAGGTCTGCGGTGGGTCCCTTTCACAGTCGCCTTCCTGCAGTATTGCAATAAGATTCACACAAACATGCTCTCTCCTTCCTGTTGAAGGGGCTGCTGGCTTTGTCCTCTGCCCTGAAGGGATCTGGAGAAGGGTGTTTACATGAGAGAAGCCAAAGCAGTTTAGCTGTCACCGGCTTCTGCCTGTGCATCTCGGAGCTATAGATCTCTGAAGAGGAAGCCGGGGGGTGTCTTAAGAGAATTCCACAGTGCTCTTGCGAAACGGATTGCCAGAGCCTTCCCGGTGAAGCCGTGACACTTGCCATCAAGATAGCTTGTGCATTTTTCACTTGTGGAAATTTACAACCGCAGTGTGTTGGGGGCTGGTAAAAAGCAACTCAAACTACTGGTTTAAATGGGTGATTATTGTTTTTCTAATTATTATTACTAATTGTTAAGGAGAAGGGCTCAGTGGCAGGGCCTCTGCTCTGCATGGAGAAGGACCCAGGTTCAATCCCTGCCATCTCTAGGTAGGACTGGGAGAGAACTATGTCTGAAATCCTAGAGGGCTGCTGCCAGTCAGTGTAGACATTACTGAACTAGATGGTCTAATCATCTGACATGGTATAAGACAGGTTCCTGTGCTCCTTTGTTTGTTTGTTTGCTCAATTGCTTGCTTGTTTATTATTTTATTAAAACATTTCTAGACTGCCCTTCAACCCTCTCTGTATGCAACAGTGATATGCAATATGCATGAGTAAGCCTAAACATGTCGCCAAAATGAAACAGAATTTTTTTTAAACCCATATGAGCTAACTGAAGTAACCTACTTTAAAAACACCTTGGCAGAAGTGAGTGTAAAGTCAGTGTTAACTATGCACCTTAGGGAAGGCCATTCCAAATGTTTGGGGCTACCAAAGACAAGGCTCTTTTCGTTGATGGTGGATAACTAACTGCACTTAGGATAACTAACCTCACTTAAGAGGCTGATATAGGAAGAGGCGATCCTTCAGGTATTTGAGTCCCAAGCCATTTCTCAGAAGCAAACAGGCACCCAGCATAATAGGTGCGGAGTGATATGACTAAATTCTGATGGGGAGGGAGACGATATTACAGATGGGAAACACCTGGTACTGGGGATAATAGCTACACTGATGCACAGGAAACTGAGGCAGTGCTACAGAAACCTGCTAAAGGTCAGGAAACTAGAAGAAGGTAGCAGGGAATGACTCAGTTGTCTCTATACTAATGCACAGAGTATGGGAAACGAGCAAGATAAAGTTGAGCTCTCAATACAGGTTGACAAATGGGAAGAGATTCATAACTTGGGAGTATGGAAGGCATATTGAGAATATATGAGTAAAAACTGTAGGAGAGGGAAACAGCTGTGACCTTCCTGCTATAGTCCTCCAAGCGGGATGAAATACTTGAATGCAGATTACCAAATTACTGGAGCAGATTACCAAACATTCAAAAAGGAGAGTTATAGCAGTCATGGGAGACTTCAACTACCCTGGTATCTGTTGGAACTCAAACTCTGCTAAGAATGTAAAGTCCAACAAGCTCCTCCATTGCCTTTCTGACTATTTCATTTCTCAGAAGGCAGAAAGACAAGCTGGAAGTACTGGGAATCTTGGGAGGCAGTGATCATGTCCTCTTGGGTTTCATGATACAGAGGCAAGGGAAAGCTGGGTGTAGCCAGGCATGCACTCTGCACTTTATGAAGGCTGATTTCAAAAAGCTTAAGGAACTGCTAGGTGAGTTCCCATGGTCAGAAATGCTTAAAGAGAAGGGAGTCCAAGATGGATGCGAGTTTCTTAAAGGTGAAATACCGAAGGCACAAATGCTGACAATTCCAACAAGAAAGAAAAGCGGGAGGCTTCTAAAGAAACCAGTGTGGCTGCATAAGGAGCTTACAGATGAGCTGAGATTTAATAAAGGCATGTATAAGAAATGGAAGAAAGGGGAAATTGTGAAGGAAGAGGATACACAAGTAGCCAACAGTTGCAGGGAGAAGGTCGGGGAGGGGTAAAGCTCAGAATGAGCTCAGGTTTGCAAGCGAGGTTTTAAACAGTAACAGGTTTATTCTGCTATGTTCGAAACTTTCTGAGTTCTCTATGTCTTTGGGGAAGGAGGGGGGGTGAATGCTTTCCAGAGACTGTGAATCTGTTAACTCTTTCTCTTCTAATGTTTCTTCTGCTAGCTATTCCCCATCCAGTATTTCCCAGCTTCTGCCTTCTGAACTATGCCCCTCTGCAAACCACTGTTCCAAACCTATACTGTCCTCCTGCTCCTGGGAAGATTCAGGATCAGGAGGAGGGGGTGGCTCCCACCATTCTTCCTCAGTGCAGCCCTCCTCAGCATGGTCCCTGACAGTAAGACCCCAGGTTCAGGCCCAGACACCTCCAGCTTAAAAAAGAAAAGAAAAAAGATCAGGTTTGCAGGTAATGGGAAAGATCGCTTCTACTAGACCCTTCAGAGTCATTGCCACTCAAAAGAAGACAATTCTGGCCTCAGGTGGACAAATAGCCTGGCCTGCAAAGGGACAGATGCCTGTCTTCCTAAGAGAATATGTGTCATTTGGATCTCCTGGCATTCCTGTTAAATCCCTCCAGCCTCTGTTGAAGCCTATCTTGTCACACACCCCTCTCCATTATCATACATATTTCTGTGCCCACACAAACCCCTGGATCCATTTGCGGATGACTCATTTTTCCTTTAGACAGTGAGATGAGCCGAGCAGAGAGAGAGAGAAATCCAGAGGGGCAAAATACACTTGGAAAGACCAGAGTCCTTTTGAATAGCACTCAACGCTCTGTCGAGGTCACTCCACTTGCCATTGTCTCTCCGCTTCTTGTGATTACAGAAAAGCGCAGCAGAGATGAGTACATCTGATTGCTGGCCCAGTGGGGAAGTGAGCGCGGAACATTGCTTGTAGAATCATAGAGTTGTAGAGCTAGAAGGGACCCCCTGAGGGTTATCTTGCTCAGCCCCCTGCAATGCAGGAATCGCTGCTAAAGAATCACTGGCAGGTGGCCATCTAACCTCTGCTTTAAGCAGCTCCAACGAAGGGAAGTCCACCACCTTCTAAGAAAGTCTCTTATGCTGCTGAACGGCTCTCGCCATTAGGGAGCTCTTCCTAATGCTTAGTCGGAATCTCCTTTCTTGTCATTAGAATCCGTTGGTCCAAGCCCTGCTTGCTGGAACTGCAGAATGCGCCATCGTCAATGGGACTGCCCTTCAGATATTTGAAGATTGCTATCTGTCAGGGACTGGGCAGAGGAGGAATGGTGGAGACCGCCTTCCCTTCTTGACCCTTCCAGGGAGGAGGAAGAGGATGACAGTATAGATTTACAACAGGGGTTTGAGGGAGGTCGCAGCTCAGAGGCAGATGAGGGGGAAAGTTGGGAAATCATGGGAGAGCCAGAACAACGACAGCCAGCTGACACATTGTCATTAGAAAGCATTCCAGACCCTCCCTCTCCCAGAACCCAGCGAGCTTTAAAAGTAGGAGAGCAAAGAGCTCAAAGGCAGAGGGCACGTAGCAGCACCCGTAGAGTTGGCGATGAGAATGACGAATGAGGAAGTGGGAGAGAAGGAGGGTGGAGATTCACTCGGGACAACACCATTATCCAAGAGGCTGGGTTCTATAGCCTCTCTCTTTAAAGATTGAAATAAAAAAGGACGGTAAGAAACTTTCCCTTGTCTTTATACTTTCCTGGGCAACCAGCCGGGAACCCCTGACAGCATCCTGACACTATCATATGGCTTGGCGTTTCTCAAACTTACTCAACTTTAATAATAACTTTAATAATAACTCTACCCTTTTCTAATAGGACCGTCTCCCCCCGCGGCACCTGGCTCTATGTGGATGAGGGTATATGGATCATTTCTGTTGGATTTTTATATGTAATAAAATATATGTATCAAAGCCCCCCATCCTCATCACAGGTACATTTACACCAACAGGTTGATCTCGATCTAGTGGTCAATTGTGGGGTGTCCCTGGTCGATCTTTGGACCCCCTGAGAATTGTTACCCCCCACCAAAAAAGGGGGGGGGGAGCTCAACAGCTTTGGCTTCCTAAAAAAAGCTCAACAACATTGTCAATGGGTAGATCACTGCCAGTTTTTTAATACTGTGAGTAGATTGCAGTCTCTTGGGAGTTGGACGTCCCTGCACAAATGATTCTTATCAACCCATGCAAATTATTGTTAGATAGATAATTGCATTTCTATTTCACCATTTTCTCCAAAGAGCTGAAGGCACACATGGTTCTTCCCCCTCCTCATTTAATCCCCACAACAACCCTATGAGGTTCAGAGGCAATGACTGCTGCCAGCAGCTTCAACAGTTCCATCAGAAATTTCCCACATGCCTTTCCTGCTTCCTCTTTTGCCACTGTAAGGACCAGTTGTATACTCTCTCTTTTTTTAAAGCCTGGCATGTGTTAGATTTTGTTCCCATTCATCCATGCACACCTGCTTAAGCTTCACAGCTGCAGCGTTCCTGGGAATCTTGGCTTCCTGTGCAGCATCTGCTTTTCCTGAAATGCTTCAAGGTTCTGGTGCACCACTGATCCTTAATATGGCTGCGGGAGGCAGGGAGGGAAGAAGGTGCATTGTTTTCCATTCTGCGCCGCATTTGTCACGTGCAGTGCTGTTTCTATTCTGCCACAGTTCGTCTTCTGCCCCAAAAATACAGTATTCATCTTGCTAGCGACTGGCAAAATTATGTAACCTACGTGTGATTAATTTCATCAATCATGTTGTCTTATTCCAGGTCTTCAGTGGGCACCAAAAAGACATTGCCTGTGTCAGATTTAAAGGGGGGGGGGAGTTAAGTGTAGGGGCCTCCACAAAAAAGGCCTGACTCCTACATCGTATAGAATGGACCTCATGAGAAGATGGCGTCTGTGGGAGGCCCTCTCCTGCAGAGCTCTGCGATCGATGGGGTATATAAGGGGTGAGATGCCTTTTCAGATAGCCTGGTCCCAGTAGGACTCTATACACCAAAGCCAGCACTGTCTGGTAGCTAATTGGTAGCATTTGTGGAGTAGGAGGTGCTGAGATCTGCCAGGATGTCTCAGCAGAACCTCCATGAAAAGAAGCAGTATATCTGAACATCAGTTGCCAAGCTAGGAAAAAGCCACCCCCCTCTGGGGTCTACTCATGTAGTAGCTGGAGGCAATTGGGTCTCGACTGGATAAAATGAGATACTGGATTAGTCAAAGGGCATTTTTATGTGCTCTAGCAGGCTCAGACCAGTCACTCCTGGCAGAAGGCAGCTTGCTGCTTCCTTCCGTCTCAGACCATTCCTTGAGGCAGTTTTCTGCAGCAGAGCAGGAAGCCAGCACCCTCTTTTATTATATTCCTGTGTGTTTTGTTTTTCTCTCCTCTCCCAGCTCACCTTGCAGAGCACAAAGTCCCGTGTGGCCTTCTTCGAGGAGCTCTAGTAAGCGAGCCGGTTATTTGCTCCTGAGCCAGCGCCCAACTGATGCGGACCCTCCGTTTGAGGACTCAGCCATAGCCAGCCACGAATCCCTCCTTCCCGGCTGCCCCCTGAACTGTGACCCCCTCTTCACACGTTTTCGAAGAGTTTGACGTGACGCTCCCCTGCTTCGTACTTTGTAGTTTTTTTGGTTTTTAATAATCTTTGTATAACACACGACTGTGATATACCATTTAGCTTCTTCTTCCTTTTTTAAAAAAGTGTTTGTATTGATTGTGACTTGTATTAACGTGCTCCCAAGACGGGGTAGGCGCGGCACCAGCATGAGACCCCTTTTTGCTTCCCACCTCTCTGTAGGGACACGACGCCGCTCCCTCCTGCGGACGAGAGAGGCGGCTCTTTCCTGAAGCTCGCATCAAGGAGCCTTTAACATCTAGCATGCCCTGTCTGCTAGCGCAAGACCCCATGTGCTCGTGGGTGCCAGTTTAAAGCTTGCACGACAAAGGGATCCGGCGCAACAGTTGCACGGGAGGAAGCTGGTTGGGGAACAGCCGCTCCTGGCGCAACAGCCGGTTCTTGTTGTGCGATCCGTTATGCGGCCATCGCGGGTGCTGCATATTCGTTCCCCCTTGCACAACAAGTGACTTCAACTTAGCTCCCTACATTCTGAACCAAATGGAAGTATAATCAGGGAGTCTCTCTTAGACGTCAAGCTCTCTCCTTCCTTCTGAACCAAGCTGGGAGAGAGTAGTTGGGTGGACTCTGAAGGAAGCTGCCTTCTGCTGAGTCAGACCACAGGGTCCATTTAGCTCAGTAGTGTCCACACCAATTGGCAGCGTCTCTCCAGGATTTGGGGCAGGGGGTCTCTCCCAGCAAAAGCAGATGCTCCAAAAACTGAACTACAGTCCTTCCCCCATGCCACCTTGACCCAGGGTTTTGTATTTTGTTTTTGCACTTTGTTTCAAGGCATATCATTTTAATCACGGGATTTGGGGTGGGGGGTTTTGTGCAAAAATTTGTTTCTCTTAAGAACTGTGATAGCGTCAGGAATGGGGAGGGAGAAGTATGGGGAATTTGGGGGCCCGGAAGCCCCAGTCCAAGGTGCTGTGGAAGATGCAGGACTTTTAGATGCAGAACAACAGAGCCCCTCCGCCATTTGCCCCCAACCCACGCTAATCCACTGTGAGATTTTGAACTCTTAACTGACAGGGCAGGCGCCTCTTTGTAAAGACTCCTTTTTTGCTTTTTAAAGTTAAATTGAGTACTAGACTGCAGTGGCTTCATGCCTGAGAAAATACGTGTAGCTTTGCAAAAAAGCACACCCAGCATTCACTCCTGTGGGATGACTGTCAGGGAGCAACGTGCATACACTAAACTACTCTCCCTCTCACTCACACACAAATCCTTTTCCTTCTCAGCTTCTTGCATTCTGATCTTCGGTCCTTTAAAAAAGAAACCCGCAACTCTTTGTGTACTGCAATACCTCAGTGAGAGACGATCTCTCTCGCTCAAAAGCCTCAGATGAATTTTCTAGCTTCTAAGCCTTTGCACTGCCCCCTGGTCCTGTTGATATTCTTTTTGTGCTGCTATCAAGGGATGCAATGACTAAAGGGGCCTGCCATTTTAAAGGTGGAGTTTCTATTGCTCTCAAAGTGGTGCTGTTCCCAAAATAAACATAAAACCCCAGCTGTGTTAGTTTCCCACTTCCAACATGGCCACCATGCCTGTAGGCTCACCTTGTCTCACCTTTCCTCGTTTTATGATCGGTCGAAACGATGGATTCGTACAAGTTCGAAAACAGGAGTAGAGGGGCCAGTGGGAGGCTGAGCTTATAAGCAAAGGGTTGTTTCTGGGGTTACTAGTAGCAGCACAGTCAGAAAGAACCAGTCAATCTGAACCTGGCCATCTTGTTTGAAAGATGCCAGATTAAAGGTGCATTGGGTGATGTCCTGTTCAGGATCCGCAAAACACTGACTGATTCTGCATCACACAAAATCGGATGTAAGCAGCTAGAGTTTCTGGACAGCTGAAAAGAGAAGCGCTTGCTTTTCCAGGCGAGTAAGAGAAATAAAACAGCTGATGAAAGTTTAGGACTAGACAAATCTTGGAGGATATGTCTCTCAATGGCCACTAGCCATGGTGGCTGGGTTCCACCTCCACTGTCGGAGGCCGTATGCTTCTGAATGCCAGTAACTGGGAATCACAAGTGCAGGCAGTTGCCGTTGTGCTCAGATCCTGCTTGTGGGCTTCCCATTGGAGCATCTGGTTGGCCACCGTGAGAACAGGATGCTGGACTAGATGGGCCATTGGCCTGATCCAGCAGCCAGGCTTTCTCTGTCTTTTGCTGGTAATGGCAAACCATGTTTTGGCTTAGATTGTCAAAGCCATTTTTAAGTCGCTTTTTAGCTTTTTAAAGAGCAAACTCAAATGTTTTTTGAAATGCTGGTGTGCATCCTCACTTCACACGGGCTGAGGCCCAAATCGTTTTACTGTGCATTTGTCTGAATCCTTGAGAGAGCCACGGCACTTGCAGTAAAATAGGGCTTTGTTTCCTTAGAGCCAGCGGTTCTCAACCTGTGGGTCCCCAGATGTTGTTGGACTACAACTCCCATCATCCCTGAGCTCTGGCCTTGCTAGCTAGGGATGATGGGAGTTGTAGTTCAACAACATCTTGAGGACCCACAGGGTGAGAAAGGCTGCCTTAGATGGTTGCCTTGGGTGTTACTCTAGCAGTGTTCATCCATTGGGAACTGGGTTGCAGAGCTCTCTGGTTCCCACTGTTGCCAGAGTCCTCCTGATCCACCCTCCACTATCAATAGAGGGCTGCCAGTGTCTTCTAGCCACAATGGCTTTGCTCTGGGGGCAGTAATGCTTCTGAATCCCACTTGCTAAAAGCCACAGGAGGAGAGACTGATCCTGCACTCAGATTCTGCTTTCTGAGTTTCCCAGGGACATCCGGCAGGGCTCTTCTTGACTTCACTGCTCAAAAGACCGTGTCCCAGATTTAAAGATACGGCCTGTGCCCACCCTGCATTGGTGGTACATAATTTTAAGATGGGTCTTCTTCATCGCATATCCGCAAACACTTTTCGGAAGCGGGCAAGTCAGGCCCTAGAACCAGACCTGGGTTTTGTGGCCTTACCCACATGTGAGTCGAAGTTGCATTTCCTGCATTGCCTATCCAGGGGTTGCCAACTTTTTTTTAAAAAGGCATGTGGGTATCTTTGGATTTTGGAGTGGTTGGTGTGGGTGCCACTCCCTCTGGTTAGTTCTCTCGCTCACCCAAGTGTTGCCCGACCTCTCTCATTGCATTTGGCTCCTGCAGTGCAAATTGGGCAACCGTGGAGTAAAAAGCAAGGAGGGTGTGTGAGATGGTGGAGACAGATTTGCTGCCTGAAATACGAAACAGCAGCTGACCCTCAGCATGGTCTCTGTCTGGAGGTAGGTAATGGGAACCTGTAGCCTTCCAGATGTTGTTGAAGTCATCATCCCTGGCCATGAGATCATGGTGGCTTCTGGGAATTAGAGGTCAACAACAACTGGAGGGCCAGGCATTCCTTGCCCTTAAATTAGAGTGGAGGGGCCCAGACACATTTGATCCCTGGGGCCTCTGTCACTGAATCCCAGACATGCGTCTAGCCCAGATGTTCAACCCAGAGTTTGGTGCAACAACCTTTCCCCACCCTGACTTGTTTTCGTGGATGGGAGTGTGTCTCTCTTGATACTATTATTTTTTACAAAAAAGAAGTTTGTACTGAATATTGAAAATGTATATCTGAAATTCAGATATCTCACATCCCCCCCCCCCAAATTGTGTTGTTTCCTTAAAGGGGGGGTCTTGATATGGACAGACCCTATTTTCTATTCCCATGGATTGTTACATACTCTGCAGAATTGATTTGTTTCTCATTTTGGGTTTTAATAAAAGTTCCAAGTACTTGGAGAGATCCGCCGTGGGCGGCAGTTCTTGTCGTTTCTTCTCAAATATGGGTGGGTGGGCTTCAAGTGTGCAGGATCTGCTTTGATTCCCACCTCCCGAAACTAGATGGCCATCAGCCAGAGGTGAGCGCAAACAAGGGCTTAGAAAGAGCGGTGAACATACTTGGAAAAGGACTATCTCTGGGTGTATCTCAGGCCAGGAATTTACCTGAGTATCTGAAAGACCTTCTTCCCTACAGACCCTCTTGGGCTCCAAGATCGACAGGGGAGGGCCCTCCTTTGTAGTTCTCAGAGGCTCAGCGGTGGTGGGGGGAGGTGGTGGCCTGGGAAAGGACCTTCTCTGTGGTGGCCCCTAAGTTGTGGAACTCCCTTTCCACGGAGCTGTGCCTGGCACCTTATACAGCTTCTGGTGAATGCTGAACACCCACCTCTTTGCCCTGTCCTTTGAGACTTGAGGTGTACATTTTAAGGACACACCTTATTTTGTGATTGTAAGTTGTTTTAAAGTTGTCTCTAATATTGTCATATAACCTGCCCTGGGGCCCTAGCCTGAAGGGTGAGATGATGATGATGATGATGATGATACCTTCCAATTCCTTTCTCACAAAAATCTATTTTTGGTTATCCCCCAACATACAAACCTTTCTTCACTCCAGCAACCTTAATTGGGGGAGGATCTGGGGAGGGGAGGCCTAGCTATAAGCTGAACAATTAGAAGTCAGAAATACAGCTTTTAAAATACAGGTTTTTAAAATTTAAGTTTTGATTACTAAATGGATAAACATTAATGCAAGACGCAACTTCTGTGATGGAGTACTGCCAACCATCACGATCAGAATCCATAAAAGTGGAAGGCAGACACCCAAATCACCATCATTTAGGGTTGGATCCCATATTAGCCCTACTCAAGAGTAACCCCATTGAAATTAATGGGCACCTGCTTGTGGGCTTCCCATTGGGGCACCTGGTTGGCCACTGTGAGAACAGGATGCTGGACTAGATGGGCCATTGGCCTGATCCAGCAACTTCTTATGTTCTTATAGGTTAGTAAAAAGATGAGGAAGTATTGCAGGTTAGCCTCCACAACCTGCAACATGGGATCACTTTTTAATGTTTTTCTTTTTAAGGCTTCACCAATCTTGTGCCCTCTAGATGCCTACCAATATTCAAAAAACAACAATTAATAAATGGCAGCAAATTCTGTATAGCTGAAAGCATTAAAGATTGTAAAACACAATGCATGCAGATTCAAATACATTCTGTTCCAGTGTAGAAAAATAGCAGAATCATCTTGAGTTGCGTTCCTGGAACAATGATTATCCACAAAGGGTGAGAAAAGAACTCGTCTTTGTGAGTTTTAAGGACTGCGGTGACATAGAAGGGTTGCTTCAGTGTTAATAAAATAGGTGACTTACAAAGCCATGTCGCAGGTGTAATTCTCCCTCGAAATATCAAACATCCATTATCTAGGCTGGGACTTAAATGCATATCAAATGGTGCATTGGGAGTTCACTGTGCAGCAGAAAGTAATGCAGGGGCACAGCTAGAGTCTTCAATAATGTCTGAATAAAGTTCTCATGCCCTGGAGAGGAAAGTTTGCAACATTTGGGACCTTTTAGTTTAGAGAAAAGTTGAGTAAGAGGTCACACGATAGAATTGTGTAATATTATGCATGTATGGTATGGAGAGGGTAGAGAGAGCAAAGTTTTTCTCCCTTTCTCCACTAAAATGCATGGATATCCAGTGAAGCTGAAGATTCAGAACAGACGAAAGGAAGTCTTCACACAGTGCATAGCTGAGCTATGATTTTCAGGTTTTCAGAAAATCGTAGTTCAACTATGCACTGTGTGAAGAAAGTCTTCCTTTCGTCTGTTCTGAATTTTCAGCTTCACCATCGTCAAAGCAATGAGATCCAGCGCCGAGGGCCTTCTGGCGGTTCCCTCATTGCGAGAAGTGAGGTTACAGGGAACCAGACAGAGGGCCTTCTCGGTAGTGGCGCCCGCCCTGTGGAACGCCCTCCCGTCAGATGTCAAGGAAATAAGCAGCTGTCTTATCTTTAAAAGACATCTGAAGGCAGCCCTGTTTAGGGAAGTTTTTAATATTTAATGCTGTACTGTTTTTAACATTTGATTGGGAGCTGCCCAGAGTGGCTGGGGAAACTCAGCCAGATTGGGGGGGGGTATAAATAAATTATTATTATTATTATTATTAATGATTCTTCAATATCAACTCCACTGGACTGGTGATGTTGTTCGGATGCCTGATCATCATCTTCCAAAGCAACTACTCTATCCCCCACTCAAGAATGGAAAGCGGAATACCGGCGGACAACAAAAGAGGTTTAAAGATGCTCTCAAGGCAATTCTTAAAAAATTAACATCAGCACTGATAACTGGGAAACACTGTGAGTGCTCCAATTGGAGAACAGCCTTTACCAAAGATGTCATGGACTTTGAAGAAGCACAAACTCGTGGCAAAAAGGAGAAACGTGCTAAGAGGAAGGCAACGTTTGGCAAACCCTCTCTGTGATCAACTCCTGCTGGAAACCTATGTCCCCACTATGGAAGGATGTGCAGATCCAGAATTGGCAAACCTAGACAACATCTTAAAAAGCAGGGACATCACCTTGCCAACAAGGGTCCGTATAGTTAAAGCTGTGGTTTTCCCAGTAGTGATGTATGGAAGTGAGAGCTGGACCATAAAGAAGGCTGATCGCCGAAGAATTGATGCTTTTGAATTATGCTGCTGGAGGAGACTCTTGAGAGTCCCATGGATTGCAAGAAGATCAAACCTATCCATTCGTAAGGAAATCAGCCCTGAGTGCTCACTAGAAGGGCAGATCCTGAAGCTAAGACTCCAATACTTTGGCCACCTCATGAGAAGAGAAGACTCCCTGGAAAAGACCCTGATGTTGGGAAAGATGGAGGGCACAAGGAGAAGGGGACGACAGAGGACGAGATGGTTGTACAGTGTTCTCGAAGCTACCAGCATGAGTTTGACCAAACTGCGGGAGGCAGTGGAAGACAGGAGTGCCTGGCGTGCTCTGGTCCACGGGGTCACGAAGAGTCGGACACAACTAAACGACTAAACAACAACAACAACAGCAGTCCCTTACGGACTCACTGTTAAGACTGTGTTCATGGAAGGCAATCTTACTTGGCTACGAGAAGTTGAGCTACAGAAGAGGCAGTGATGGCCACTGGCATGGATGGCTTTAATAAGAGAATTGGACCCATTCACAGAAGATTAGGCTATCAATGGCAAAACCACAGGAAGGGAGAGTGCTCTTGTGCTTGGTCCCTGCTTGGGGGTATCCCACAGGCATCTGGTTGGCCAGGGTGAGAGCAGGATGATGAGTAGGATGGGCCTTTGGTTTGGTCTGACAGGCTCTTCTTACGCTCTCATAGGTGGCGGACCTTAGGCCTAGGAGTCATATGTGCCCATGAACTTGTGCCAATGCCTCTTGCTTGCCTGGGTGAGAATAATAATAATAATTTTTATTTATACCCCGCCCTCCCCAGCCAAGGCCGGGCTCAGGGCGGCTAACAAGCTATAATAAAAACAAGTTGAATGAATACAACCTAAAAACCTAAAAACAAGATTAAAATACAACAATTAAAATATTGAAACATTAAAATACTAAAATGCAGCCTCATCACAGGAGAAAGGAAAAAGAAAAAAGAAAGGGGGAGGGAATCAAACTGGCTCCAAGCCAAAGACCAGGTGGAATAACTCTGTCTTACAGGCCCTGTGGAAAGAAATCAGATCCCGCAGGGCCCTGGTCTCATGAGGCAGAGCGTTCCACCAGGCCGGAGCCAGTGTTGAAAAGGCCCTGGCTCTGGTTGAAGCTAATCAAACTTCCTTAGGGCCCGGGACCACTAGGGTGTTGCTATTTATGGACCTTGAGGCTCTCCGTGGGGCATACCGGGAGAGGCGGTCCCGTAGGTACAAGGGTGATAGAGAGGGTGTCTGTAAGTCGGTGTCGAAGCAAGCCTATTCTACAAAGGTGACATCTCCCTTCAATGCTGCTCCCACTTCGGCCTCCACTGCCACACAGCCCTCGCCAGGAGTTTCTCTCTTTCTCCATCCTGTGCTTTCCCCGGCAACCCCCCCCCCACACTTTTGCTTCATTATCTCCTTCTCTCCCAGCCCTTCCTCAAACGCTCCTGCTCCTCCTTCCTTGCCCTGGATACTTATGTAATCTTGTTTTGCCTGTCAGATGCCTGCCCTCTTTGTGCGCCAAAGGCAGCTGCGTCTCGCTGCCAGATAATATGATCCCTGGATATTCCCTGTCGCGAAATGCTCTGGTACTTAAGGGATGCCGAGCTGTGTCAGTCGAAAAGCTCTGCCTGCTTCAAGGGAGAAAAGGGGAGCAAGCAGGTGGGGTGTGCGTGTGTGGGGAAGCATATCGTGCAAATCCAGCTCTGCCAGGCCAGTTGTTCGTTTGTTTGTTTGCAACTTTTGCATTGGTATAAGGAGTTTTGCATTAGCTGGAAACAAATCCTCATAAAATTACAGTTGAATTACATAAAATTAAAGTTTCGGTGGGCCCTGAAAAATTATACGCTGTTTGGTGGGATTTTATCGTATATACAATGATTACAGGCGCACAGAACTCCCTTTGCACAGTGCAACATGCAAAATTGGCTTTCCTGATGGTAATAAATACTTCACCAACCTACTATTAAGTCCCTCCCGGATATACTGTGCTGCGTTTATGTACTTCTGTTCTGTTTTGATTCTGTTATGATTATTGTATTACTTCTGTTATGATTATTGTATTAATTTGTTTGATTTACTTCATATATCTATATCTATCTATCTATCTATCTATCTATCTATCTATCTATCTATCATCTGTCATCTATCATCTATCATCTATCATCTGTCATCTATCATCTATCATCTATCATCTATCATCTATCATCTATCATCTATCTATCTATCTATCATCTATCTATCATCTATCTATATCTATATCTATCTATCTATCTACAGTCGTACCTTGTTTTTTGAACAGCTTAGTTCTTGAACATTTTGGCTTCCGAACTATTTTTGGAACGTCCGACAGGGCTTCCGCAGCTTCCGATTGGCTGCAGGAGCTTTGGTTTTCGAACGTTTTGGAAGTTGAATGGACTTCCAGAATGGATTCCATTTGACTTCCAAGGTACGACTCTATCTATCTATCTATCTATCTATCTATCTATCTATCTATCATCTATCTATCATCTATCTATCTCTATCATCTATCTATCTATCTATCTATCTATCTATCATCTATCTATCTATCTATCTATCTATCTATCTATCTATCATCTATCTATCTATCTATCTATCTATCTATCTATCTATCTATCATCTATCATCTATCTATCTATCTATCTATCATCTATCTATCTATGTATCTATCTATCTAATCTATCATCTATCTATCTATCTATCTATCTATCTATCTATGAGGGCCTTCTGGTGGTTCCCTCACTGCGAGGTTACAGGGAGCCAGGCAGAGGAGCTTCTCAGTGGTGGCTCCCTCCCTGTGGTGTGCCCTCTTGTCAGATATCAAGGAGATAACTATACAACCTTTAGAAGACACCTGAAGGCAGTCCTGTATAGGCAAGTTTTTTAAATGTTTAATGTTTTGTTGTGTTTTTATATATGCTGGAAGCTGCCCAGAGTGGCTGGGGCAACCCAGTCAGATGGGTGGGGTACAAATAATAAAATTATTTGTAGTAGTAGTAGTAGTAGTAGTAGTAGTAGTAGTAGCCTTTCACTTTGTACTACACTGGGCACAACCCAATGTCAACAAAAACAAGGAATGAAATGCTGCAAAGCCCCCAAGCCGGTGAGTGTGCTTCCCTCCCCGCCTGACCTTCGCTCCGACACTTCCGCCATCTTCAGCGCCAGCATCTCTGCCTCCAGCACCTTCTGCTCCATCAGCCGTTTCTCCTCCTCGGTCCGGATGGCTGTGGCTTTGATCCACTGCATCTCCTGCTCTGCCTCGGCGGCTTTCTGAGCCAGGAGCTTCGCTTCCTCTTCCGTGATCTGAGCTTTCTGGGCCAGCGAGTCGGCCGTCTCTTCGGATCTCTTTTGGGCAAGAAGGGTGGAGAATTACACACAAGGGGCTCTGACGCAGCAGCAGCCAAATGCCAGATGTCAAAGAGAGAAACAATTATACAACCTTCTGTAGACATCTGGAGGGAGCCCTGTACAGTGGTACCTCGGGTTACAAACACCTCAGGTTACAAACACTTTGGGTTACAGACTCCACTAACCCGGAAGTAGTACCTTGCGTTAAGAACTTTACTTCAGGATGAGAACCTTGGGTTAAGAACTTTACCTCAGGATGAGAAAAGAAATCGCACGGTGGCGACGGCAGCAGGAGGCCCCATTAGCTAAAGTGGTACCTCATGTTAAGAATGGTTTCAGGTTAAGAACGGACCTCTGGAACGAATTAAGTTTGTAACCAGAGGTACCACTGTATCGGGATGCTTTTAATGCCTGAAGTATTGTGTGTCTTTATATTCTGTTGGAAGCTGCACAGAGTGGCGGAGGAACCCCAGTCAGATGGCCAGGGTATATAGATATATCACTTATTTAATGTATTTGTATCCCACCTTTCTCCCAGGATGAGATTCAAGGCAGCTTACAATTAAAAACAACATTATAAAATATAAAAGCAATAAAAACCAATGAGTTAAAACACACACGCAATAATTAGAATACATCAGAAAACATTTGGAACTAGCAATTAAAATCCAGTTTGCCCTGACAGCGGCCGAGAGATCAGCATCTTAGTTTCCAAAGGCCTCTCTGAACAGGAAGGTCTTAGGCTGCTGGCGGAAGGATAACAAAGAGCAAGGCAGTAGGACTTCTCTTGGGAAGGAATCCCACAATCAAGGAGCAGCCACAGAAAAGGCTCTCCCTCGGGTCACCGACAACCGTGCTTCTGAGGTCGATGGGACCAAGAGAAAGTGTCCACTGATGGATCTCAGCAGCAGCCAGGCAGGTTTGTATGAGAGGTTGGGTTGGGAGAGACACCCTGCCTGAAACCGTGGCAGTCAGTGTAGGCAATACCAAGCTAGATTGGCCAATACCAGTCTGGCACAGTACAAGGCAGCTTCCTACCGGCTCTGGTGTGGCTCCCTGGCCTTGTTCCTGCTGTGTTGCTGCTGTTAATCTGAGCAAACTCCCGCTGTCGCCTCCCGCACCCAGAGCTCCAGATTCTCCTGTGTCGCTTAATGAATGCACCACCAGAATTGTTTATCTTTTCTGTTTGCACAATCCCGGCCATCAAAAAGAAGAAAGGGAGGAGAGAGAAAGAAACGGAAATTCCCGGGAGATTAAATTTAGCTTTTAATGAGGATGATGGTTCTGCCTGTCATATTTTATGCACGCTCCCCTCTGCACCCCCACAACAAGAACAACAACAACGGCTTGTATTTCCCAAATTCAATAATTGGCTCAGAAGAAGGAGATGGGTTTGCTCCGGCTCCTCTTTCTTCCTCCTGTTCTTTCTTTTTTTCCCTCCAGAAGCCAGACGGGAGGTGCGGATGAGCGGAGGCGAAGAGGGAATTCACTTCTCTTTGGTGACAGGGAAAAGGATGGAGGGAAGAGGGGAGGGAGAAGAGAAGGAGCCTCCTGTTCTGAGAACAAGGCTGCAAAATAAAATAAAAAGATTAAAAAAGAGCATCGCTGACCTAATTTCAGAATCAAGCAGAGAGAGGGAGATAGGAAGCCTCCCTGGTATAAATAATGCAGCTTTTCTGCATCGGTGTCTTGTTGTGACGGAAAAGTTGGGCTCCGCTCAGGAGGAATGAAGCTTCCGATCTCAGAGAGGCTGCGGAAGTTGGCTTCCCCCGTGTCTCCTCTCTGCAAAATTGACAGGAGGTTTCCGTGCGTGACGGGGGGCTCCCGCTTCACCGCCGCGTTTTTATCCTTTATTGTTCTGAGCCCTGCAACCTGCAAAAACAAAAGGGGGGAGACGGTGTCTTTGGGATTGGCACGAAGGCTAAAAGGATTATTTAAGTGAGTCAGTGGCTTTGATGGTGTAGAATCATAGAATGTTGCAGCTAGGACTTGGGACCCAAAAAGTCCTCCAGCCCAAGGCTTCCAAGAGACTTGAACATAATAACATGCTTCTGGATGAGACCGATGTCCCCATCCAGACCACTGTCCTGCTCTCGCAGTGGCCAACCAGAAACCCCAGTGGGTATCAAGCAGGATTTGAGCACAAGAGCAGCACTCTCCCCTCCTGTGGCTTCCAGCCAGTGCTGGGTTACCAAATAGGCAGAGTAGGCATCGGCCTGTGGGCCCCATGCCTTTAAGGGGCCCCGCTACAATGGATCAAAATAATATTGATTTGATCTTGAAAGAAAACTACAATCAAGCTTTCTTCGTTCAGTGTTATCCCACTAAATCGCACACATGAGGGGGTGAGATTTTGACTGCCTAAGGGCCTCCACAATGTTTAATCCTGCACTGCTTTCAGCAACTGGTATACTATGGTTACCAGACGTCCCCGTTTCCCGGGGATTTACAAATCTGTCCCCAGACAAAATCCGTCCCCAGATTTCATTTAATGTCCCCGGATTTATATTTTAAGTGTTGTAGATATATTAGTAGGGATTAAATGTTGCGTGATTGGTTCAACGGCACAAGGCACCTCATATGGGGACTTCCAGCAAGGCAAAATGGTGGGCACCACGGCAGTGAGCAGCTCCTGAAGCAGGCCAGAGCCAACTGCACTACCAGGCTGGCTCTGGGCTGCTGAGACTGCCGCTGCCACTGCCGAAGGGGAACCGGGGATGCCTGGAGCATCAGCTGGGGGAATGGCGGACACTGCCCCCCCCCCCCCGTGATAAAAATCGAGCCGGGGGAGCCGACGCAGGGAGAAGGAGGAGAGGAGAAAGAGAGGGAAGAGAGAGAAAGAGGAAGAAGAAAAAAGAGTGGAGCCCCGACCTTGCCATGCTGCTGCTGCAGCTCAGGAGGAGAGATAGAACACCAGGAGAGCAAGGACATCTGGCTGAGCCCAGGCCTGACCCAAGCCTACTCCATGGTGGCTAGCGCTCCAAGAGAGCAGGCCAGGACCCAGAGGAAGACCGCGTGACAGAGGAGACCACAGAAGAGATTACTTCTTCTTTTTTTTAATAACTTTTAAAAAAATCTCTCCTCCCCCTTTTTTTAAAGTGTCCCCGGATTCCTTGAAAAATATCTGGTAACCTTATGGTATACAGAAGCATTGCTGCCTCTCCAACCATGGAGGCAGAGCCCAGGCATTGTGGCTGGTTGGGATGTCTGTGCTGAGTGCTCTGCCTCCCTGGTCAGAGGCAGTGATGGTTCTGAATACCAGTTCCTGAGAATCACAAGAGTGCTCTTGTGGTCAGGTCCTGCTGGCAGGACTTCCACAGGCATCTGGTAGGATGCTGGGCTAAATTGGCCACCAGCCCGATCTGGTAGGTTCTCCCGATGGTCTTATGTACGCACAGCTGAAAATGCACTACTTACCAGCCAAGTCTGAGTGTTAGAGATTAAAACCACCATTCAGGACATAACATGGACCTTGTTAATAGAGGCCAGCTCATAGCAAGAAAAATGGTTGGACATCAAAAGTTAGTAGTAATTCTTTGATTGCAGAGATTGGACTAGATGACTGTCATGGACTGGTTGGATGCAGAGGAATGGTGGGAGGAACCGGCTGGGGAACCACCAAGGAGGGAAAGCTCAGAGCCCGGGGAGTGGTAGTGCGACAGCGATGAGTGGTCAGAGGGAGAAGAGGAGGTGTTGGAAGCTGAAGAGACAACAGGGCTTCGTGAGCTGTGAGAGTCTGTGGCAGAGAGAAGTCCAGAAGCAGAAGAGTTGGATGAGGGAGATCAAGAGGCAGAAATCAGTCTGATTATGGAAGAGTCACAGGTGTGTCCCCCTCCTGCTGCGACGAGCTCCTCCCGCCCCCAGTCTCCCAGAACCAGGAGAGGCATGAAATGGAAGGAGCAAAGACAGACACACAGGAGCAGCCTCCATTTGCTAGGGGAAAGCGCTGGAGAGGAGGAGACGTCTGTGGGGCGGTGGGGACTTTTGGTCTTGGCACCTGCTTCATGGGGGCCAGACCTGCCATGGATGAGTTACTGATCCTTTGCCAGTTCCAGGCAGACCATGTTTTTTGCTAATAAAGCATTAACTCCAACTTGCACAGTTTGTTTTTACTGCCGGCTCACTTCTGACAGGGACACGAGTGGCACTGTGGGTTAAACCACAGAGCCTAGGACTTGCCGATCAGAAGGTCGGCGGTTCGAATCCCTGTGACAGGGTGAGCTCCCGTTGCTCAGTCCCTGCTCCTGCCAACCTAGCAGTTCAAAAGCACATCAAAGTGCAAGTAGATAAATAGGTACTGCTCCAGTAGTAAGCTGTACGCCGGCTCCCTTGGCCAATAAAGCAAGATGAGCGGCGCACCCCAGAGTCGGTCATGACTGGACCTAATGGTCAGGGGTCCCTTTACCTTTACCTTTTACACTTCGGACAATGGGCCTTGTGTCCCTTCCAACTATATGATTCTATAAGTCCTGCTGTTTCATCCCACCCTCAAATCAACCTGGGTAGGGATTGTTTTATGGTAGTAGCCAGGAACGCACCTGACACTGGGTTCTTTGCTTGACCAGTGTTCTCTGTGCTTGCCATTCTTCGGCAATGGCTCTCTCCCAGACCTCAAGACTCACTTTGCTTCTGAGCTGTGCAAACGCTGTTGAGGATGTCAGGGAGCTGTCAACGAGCCAAGTCAAGCACAGGGCAGGCACACACACGGAAGGCACAGAATGCAATCAGCTCTTTAGTAGCAGAAAACAACAACATTTCGGTTCACCTTACTCCAGCTAAGACATTGCCGAAACTGACCATTAGCTCCACACTTCCTCCTGTAACCTTTTGCTCTGGATCTTCTCAAGCAAATGAAGGCTTTGTCGGGGGGGGGGGGTGAGCTCCTCCTCTGGGTCTGTCTGGCCCATTGCTCAGCAATTTGCAGGAGTCTGCTCCATCGAGGTGTCAGAGGGGGAGGAGAGCCAGCAAGACTGGGACTGTCCTGTTGCTGGATAGCTGCGCCACTCTGACTCCTCTCTGAGTCTGCACTCAACACTGTGACTCTCAGCCTTTAACCCTGCCCTGGAAGACCCTCCTTGTCCTGATGCCCCCCCTTGATCGCTCAAACCCTCTGCTTCTAGCACCATCCGGCTTGTCCCTTCCCCAGACTGCTCCCCAGTGCCCCACTACCACCACGATCCAGGGGGGCTTTGGGGCAAACGGCTCCCACCATTTCTTCCTCATCCAGCCAGTCCCTGACAGCGGAGAAGAAAAAGAGGTGTGGGAGCCTCTGTTAGAGCAATGACACCCCCCCCCCTCGCCAGACTCAACTGAAAAGCTGTCACATCCGGACAAAGAAACAGCCAGTGCCGCAAATGAGGCATGCCCAGCAGCCGAGAGTGGGGAATAAACAGCGGTGAACCAAAGGAGGGCATCTCTTAGGGGAATATGCGGAGGGGACCCAGCCAAGATTGATCTTGGGCCTTTTTGAAAAATGTTATGACAGCTCCCGAACAAACAGCGTGCTATTTTTGAGCCACCGGAAAGCAATCCATCTGTACGAGATCAACACAAAGCAAGCGAGCGCTGCTCGGGCAAGCTCACAGCTGACTCAAGAACGACTTCTGTTGTTCACTGGTGCTGGGGGAAATGATTGGCTAAGAAGGGCAAGGCCTGTCTAGTCAGTCCCTGGTAGCGCAGAGGCAAAATAAAAGCCATGTAACTGGCAGCTTCTTTCAGCTGGTTGAAAAGATTCGGAGAGGGGGGAAATGTACTATATATTTTTTGAAATAATACACATCAGGGGAGGGCTGTAGCTCAGTGGTAGAGCATCTGCCTTGCGTTTAGAAGGTCGCAAGTTCAATTCCCACCTGCTCCAGGTAGAGCTAGGAGAAGATCTTTGAGAGGTAGCATGGTGCAGTGGTTAGAATGATGGGAGAGACCAGGGTTCAAGGCCATAAAGCCCATGGGATGACCTTGGGCCAGTCACAGCCTCTCAGCCTAATCTGCCTAACAGGATTGTTGTAAAAAACAAAGTGAAGAGGGGGAGAAGTGTGTAAGCCACACTGAGCTCCTTGGAGAACAGGGGGCTCTAAATGCAACAACAACAATAATCCATTCTTTGAAATTCACATTGATCCAAATTTTGTATTATTATTATTATTATTATTATTATTATTATTATTAATGTGAAATCAAAAGCACGGACCAAACAATAATCAAAATTACAAATGTAGGAGCAATACAGAAGTTGCATTTTTCAAATAAACAGAGCAGATGATATAGAAAATGAAAGGTAGCAAAATGCATCATGAAAACTAAATTTTGCAATTTGGTGGTGTGGGAAAGAGAGTATATATGTGTGTGTGTGTGTATTTGAATTTGACATATAATAAATGAAATTCCACCAAACAGCATAGAAATATTTCAGGTCTTCTTTGCCCCTAGAAATGTGTGATTTGTGAGTCATATTCTCTGCAATTATCAGAGTCCACATAGTTTTGCCCCAAATTTTGCAATGCAGTTCTGCATCCAAGTAAAGAGTGCATGATATTTTTTACACATTCTTACTAACAGAAACATAAGGTTCAATGAGCTTTGTGGCACAAAACCTTTATTTGTAACTGTTTACACAAAGCTTTACCAAAGAAAATCAATAGCTGGCTAGCTCAATTGGTACAGCACAAGACTCTTCAACTCAGGGTCGTGGGTTTGAGTCCCACGTTGGGCAAAAGATTCCTGCATTGCAGGGGGTTGGACTAGATGACCCTTCCAACTCTATGATTCTAATGACTAGCTGTCTTGTGGCTTGTGACAACTCAGAATCATAAATACAAGCAAACGTGACCAAAGGAAATAGCTTTGAAAGTGGTAAGCTCAGCAAAACTTTAAACAAGACGCAAGGAAGGTGTTTTGCTTTAGGCTCTAGCTTGGTCAATAGTACAGTGGTACCTTGGTTCTCAAACGCCTTGGTACTCAAACAACTTGGAACCCAAACACTGCAAACCCAGAAGTAAGTGTTCTGGTTCGCAAACTTTTTTCAGAAGCCGAACATGCTCTGTTTTGAGTGTTACGCTTCCAATTTGAGTGCCACACTTCCGTTTTGAGTGTTACACTGAGATCTGTCTGTTTTTGCTATTTATTTTGCGTTTTTGTTTTTGCAGCTCTTTTTTGTTTTTGTTTTTGTTAATGTGTGGAACCCAGTTCAGCTACTTATTGATTGTGTGACTGCAGTACATTGTTTATCGCTTTCATTTTATGGATCAATGGTCTCGTTAGATAGTAAAATTCATGTTAAATTGCTGTTTAAGGGGTTGTTTTTAAAAGTCTGGAATGGATTAATCCATTTTGCATTACTTTCTATGGGAAAGCGCACCTTGGTTTTTGGAACACTTTGGTTTTGGAACGGACTTCCGGAACGGATTAAGTTTGAGAACCAAGATACCACTGCACATAAATGATCAATGTACAGTGGTACCTCAGGTTAAGAACTTAATTCGTTCTGGAGGTCTGTTCTTAACCTGAAACTGTTCTTAACCTGAAGCACCACTTCAGCTAATGGGGCCTCCTGCTGCCGCCATGTGATTTCCATTCTCTCTCTTTTTTTTAAAAATGATATTTATTAAGGTTTCCAAAAAGAAAAGTTACATATATATATAAAAAAAAGAAAAATAGAAAAAAGAAAAATACAAAATACAGAAAAAATAAAAAGACTTAAAAAACAAATCAATCTTTCCATGCCTTACATTTCATTTACTTGTTTCCCTGACCTCCTCACGCCCCCATTTTTTGTATTCCAGTTCAGTTAATTAATTCAGCAATTCCTTTCCCTCTTTGTTTTTATCTTAATCCTTTAACTTAATATATTATAGCTTTAGGTTCTCACCTGTTAACAATCCATTTTTACATACACCTTTATAACATTGCTGCTAAAACCACTGAACTTCATTCTGACATCATTCTAACATTCATTAATTTTACAGTATTTCTGTAAATAGTCTTTAAATTTCTTCCAGTCTTCTTCCACCGACTCTTCTCCCTGGTCTCGGATTCTGCCAGTCATTTCTGCCAATTCCATGTAGTCCATCACCTTCATCTGCCATTCTTCCAGAGTGGGTGATTTCCATTCTCATCCTGAAGCAAAGTTCTTAACCCTAGGTACTATTTCTGGGTTAGCAGAGCCTGTAACCTGAAGCGTCTGTAACCCGAGGTACCACTGTACTGAAAGTCGCCTCCTGCCAGCACCTCCTTGTGCCCCGTTGCCTCTTAGCACCCATAAGGTAATTCCACTCCCGCCACTCCAGGGGGCAGTGCTGCTCACTTTGGGAACCACTGCTCTAAGTGGAGGAGGTGGTAGTGTTTGCACCCAAAATAAGTGAGAGAAAAGACTCTACGCAGCTTTTGCATATAAGCGGATAGCCTTGGTGGGAGGGAGGGAGGGACTGAACCATGATGAGTTGGCGGGTCTGACTTTGATGTGCCGACTCAGCACACAGAATTGATGAGTCAGAAGAGGCCGTTTGACGAGAACAATTATTTCTCGTTTGGGGGGGGGGAGGGGAGCGCCTGATTTGATGGGGACATATCAAGGCCATTAACACATCTGAAGTGGGAAGGGAGAAAATCTAATTACGGATGCGTGAAATAGGGAAGATAATCCTTGGAAATTGGACAGAAGGAAATCCACAGGTGCCGAGGCGTCATCAAAGAAGGACTTTTGTCTTTAGGGCTGCAAAAGCCTCAGATGTAATGAGAAACTGGCAAGGGATGGATATTGCTTGAGACGTTCACGCACTTTCTTGGTTTAATGGGAGTTGGGGGCTATAGAGACAGGAGGATCGGCCAGGGCTTGCTGGAACTCACCTGCACAGCTCATGCCTCTGGGGAGAGATGGCATTGGACTCCAACTCCCATCATCCCTAGCCTGAGTAGCCAGTGGGCAGGGATGATGGGAGTTGCAGTCCAGCAATGTCAGGCTGCTCTAGAATTTTGAAAACGGTTGGGAAACATAGGAAACTGCCTGATACAGAGTCGGACTCCTGGTCCATGTAGCCTGGTACTGTGGGATATTTAAAGTGCTTTCAGACAATCAGTCCATGTTTTGCTAGACAGGCACATGACAGGAGATGAAGCTAACTGAGTTTCCCTGTAAACTTGCTAGCGAGAACTCCCAATGTGCCCTGACAGGGGGAGGAAATAGCTATAGATTTTCTCCTACCTGCCTGGGCAAACTCCTACTCTTTCCATCTTTCTGCTCTGCCAGCAATGTGAGGACATCTGCTAAGTCTGAGCTCCAAGCTCATCCGCTGTTTTAAACTGGTCATTATTATTATTATTATTATTATTATTAATTTTTATTGGAAGTTCAAAAAGTACATAACCATATGTGCACCAAACATGGTGAGACAAAAAATGAGGTGGGGGGGACCAGAACCTGTGCATAAGGGAAAATAAAGTACATTTTTGTGATTGGATTACCATTTTCAGCCTGCCTGAACAAAGCTGCTGTATCTATTACTTTCCAACAAGTATTCTGAGTGAGCAAAAGTTTATGTTTGACTTTTGCAATATCGTTTGTGTGATTATTGTTTTAAGGGGAAGAAAAGAGGGATATATCAGGAAAATCTGGACTACCTTAAAGCATCCTGGATTACTTAAACTTAAAGGCTAAATACTAGCCTATCCAAGCTCCCCATTTAAGCTGCAAAGGGAAGGAAGGATAATATCTAATAAATATATCTTGGACTTCCATGGAGCCCAACAAAGACCTGTCTTGCCCAGGCTTAACAGCATCACAGGCTTGGTGGTTAAAAGGTTAGCGACAGTCAACAGCTCAGCACAGGATCACCCCTAAGTGCTTCAAAGACACAGGCCCAGTGACACCAATTTGCATGCCATTTACATGCATTTGACACATGCTATTGTATCTGCAGTGATACAAATACAGACCTCTGATCAAATTAAGAGGGCAGGTGTCTGGGGAGGTCTCCTCCGAGCTGCCCTTTGAAGCTCTGTGAGCAAAATAAACAATGTTTTAATTGCATTCTTCTTAAAAGGAGGGTGGGAAGGGGGGGCAGGCAATCCACAATGCCTGCTACGCGAGAGGAACCGGCGGCAGCTGGAACTTGGAAGCCCCAGCGATTAATGAGGTTAAATTCTAATTAATACAGCTCCATTCATTTATCCAGGAATTGACACACAGAGATTAAGCAAAATCCGTAGCTCAGAGAGTGAGACAGAGCGAGCGGATGCCAGAGTTAAGGGAGAACAAACATCCCACTGGGGCAGAGATAAGAGGAAAGAGTTTGCTCTCAAACACAGCTGCTGTTCACTTCGGTGGGACTTGGTGTCAGAGAACCTCCTGGGGGACCCAGTGGAACATGTCTTGTCTGTCTTCAGCATTGATGTCCCTGGTCACCACTTCACCACTGCTTATGCTCAAGGGACCAGTAAACCAGGGATGGAGGGAGGCGTTGCGGGGTTGGTTGGCTCTGCCTCTTTGCTACAGCCCTTCTCTCAAGTCGTAGGAACACAGGAAGCTGCCTTACATTGATCATTGGCTCACCTAGCTGTGTTATCTACACCGATTCTCTAGCGTTTCATAGAATTGTAGAGTTGGAAGGGACTCTGAGGATCAGCCAATCCCCGCAATACAGGAATATGCAGTTGTCTTATGCGGGGATCAAACCTGCAACCTTGGTGTTATTAGCACCAAGTGTCAGGGGCTGTGCTGGTCCCGTGGGTTACCCAAGAGGCAAGGTCCAAGTCTGGTCCATGGTCCGGAGGCAGTCCATAGTAGCTGAAGCTGGGTGCAGGGCAGGGAGTCAGGTAAAGTCAGGAACAGGCTTGCAAGCAGGGATCCAGGGCAGGTCAGGAGCTCAGGCAAGAAAGCAGGATAGGGTTCAGGCAGGAACTAGCAACCAACAATGTTGCTCCCGCAACTTGGGACTGGGGCTGGCCCGCTTTATCTGCCCCGAGGCATAGGGTGGCCCCGATCCTCCGGTGACTCACCTCTCCTGGCCTGGAAGCGAGCACTCCTTCTGCGGGAACTTAGTTCCCTCCGCCTCTCTGCCCTGAGCCTCTGCAGCTCAGGAGAGGCTGGAGGGTTACCGGACCCAGAGGCAACCTCAGCTTCCTCTGACAGGGCTGAGAGTGGAGCACCTGCAGGCAATAGGTCCTCCATCACCTCCGGAGCCAGAGCAGACTCAGCTGATGCCTGCACCTGAGGATCCAGCACAGGTGAGGACCCTTCAGGCTCATGCCCCAGCCCCGGCTCAGCTGGTTCTGGAGGTGGGGAATCCTGTGCAGGTTGGGATCCCTCAGGTTCAGCATCCGAGTCTGAAGCCCAGGCCATCACAGGGGCTGGACTGAGGAGGAATGGTGGACACCCTCCCCCCTTCTTCTGAACCTTTCTGAGAACAGGAGGACAGTATAGATTTAGAACAGTGGTTTGCAGAAGGGCATAGTTCAGAGGCTGCAGAGGGGAGTAGCTGGGAAATATTGGGAGAAGAACAGCAGGAAGAAGAAGAAACACCAGGGGAGAGACAGCTGACAGACTCAGTGTCTTTGGAAAGCATTCCTGACCCCTCCACTCTCAGGACCAGGTGAACCTTGAAAGTAGTACAACAGAAAGCTCAGAGGCAGAAGCTCAGATTAGTCAACGCAGGGGTGATGTCGAATAGGAGAGATGGAGGGGGTCAGACTTTACTCTGAGCAAGGGCATTGTCTTAG